CCTGTGTCGAGTCTACGTTTGGGCTTAGTCTCCCGTGAGATTGCCAGACGGCGGTTTACGCGTTGCTGTTTTATCCGTCGGTTGTTGAAAAGTCAGGCAAATAACTCAACGAGCCGTGTCTATCGAATCGCGAGACTATGAGACAGGCGTTTGCCTTGGACAGGTTATTCCCTTTGCACAGTGATGCTCGACCTCCGTACCTCAATATATATCTATTTCCTGATGTCGGACGGTCAGCCCAGTTATAGTGGAGACGCTTGGATCGCGCCTAAACTTCAACAAGACATTGGGTAGAGAAAATAACGTCAAGCAGCTCCTCTCGCGCAGGATGGTGGCCTCAACACGAAGCGGACTGCTGCGTCAGCAGCCGATATTGGCTGCAACGCCTGCCACCTGCTGCATTAGGCATCTGATGAGAGAGCGTCGAGGCTCGGAGAGTCAAGAATCCTGAATCAGGCCGGTCGTCTGAGCTGGTCTGTCCCGCTACATTTCCCTACGCCATCGTCTTGGGATCTCCAATCCGCTTCGTTCATCCGTTATCAAGTTCTCCAAGCCGAAAGTAACGAAGGCGCGTCCAAACACTGTGCCCTCCTGCGCGATGTGGGACTCGCAGAGGCAACGGAAACATCAGTCACTGAGTCGGACTGTCACTCGACGAACACAGCAAGCTAAAGCATGGACAGTCCCCCAACGCCTGTCACCAGTATCAGATTCACTCCTGTTCCTTACCCCACTCTCCTAGACAAGCTCGAAATCGCACACTCGCCGCGATCCTACGAGGACTGGAGTATTAAGGCCTTGGTCACTGCTCTCTCGCGGGGAGAACCCGGACTGTCTCCTCAGGATGGTTCTCAACAGGGTGTTCAACCAGCCTCCTGTGATGCATCCCAAGGCCCGGCAGGATATCACCCGCCAAAATGTAGAGGAGCTTCTTCAGGCCGCGGCCTTTCGAGACCTTGTCGCCAACAGACTGGCGAACTCTGTCAAGATCCCAACGGTAACCTATGATGGCATGGGCCATGTGGGAGAAGACTCTCGCTGGGATGTGTTTTACGACTTCTCAGATCACCTGAAGAAGAGCTTCCCAAGAGTGTAGGAATTTTACTTTTCTTAGAGCGTGTCATAACTGACCGGCTGTTCAAAGTTATGAGGTCCTGATGGTGGAGACAATCAACCAGCACGGCTTGCTGTACACATGGCGAGGGGCACAGGAGGACATGAAACCACTCTTGTTCATGGCACATTCTGATGTGGGCTCAAACTGCCGTGAGACCCAGTGGTCACAGCCTAACTTACTTCCAGGTCGTTCCTGCTGGCGAATCGACAACTGAAGCTTGGACATATCCCCCCTTTTCAGGCCATTACGATGGAGAGTACATCTGGGGTCGAGGCTCCGAGGACGACAAGTCGAACTTGATTGCGATGCTGTCCGCCATCGATTGCTTGCTTGCATGCGACTTCATACCGAACCGAACTGTTGTTGTCTCTGTCGGCTTCGACGAAGAGGGAGGCGCGGAACAAAGCTATGGCGCCAGGTGTCTTGCAAAGACTCTACTGGATCGGTACGGGAGAAATGGCGTCGAGATGATCGTCAGTCTGCCAACAGTGTTGCTACCTTTGCTGACCGACACACAGTTCGACGAGGGCATCGCAGGCATTGAGAAGCGATTTGGCACCGACTTCGCACTGCCTGCGACCGCCGAAAAGGGGTACGTTGATGTGACCGTGACTGTCAACGTCCCAGGAGGCCACTCCTCTACACCACCGGACCATACAGCCAGTCCGTGCCCCAAATATCCGTGTATGGGAACCGAATTACTGATCCTGGGATAGTCGGCTATTTGGCTCAGATCGTTCGGCTGATTGAAGACCATCCTTTCAACTCGCAGCTTATCCGGAACAATCCAACGCTCACGTACCTGCGACAGGCCGCACTTTATTCGAAGACGATGCCTGAAGACCTCCGACAAGCTATTTTAGGTGCTCAAAGCCCCAAGAAGCTCCTGGAGTACATGAACAGCGATCGTGAAAGGCGAGCTATGATTAGAACCTCGACCGCTGTTGACGTTATCCAAGGAGGAGACAAGGGTAAGCCCACAGCCATAACAAAGCGTTCTCGCCGCAAGGACTGAAACTAAGATCACATCGTCAGTCAACTCGCTCCCGGAGAACGCTACCGTCCTGGTCAATCACCGCATCGCAATCCAAGACTCCGTCACCGCGGTCAAGGACCATTATGTCCGTCTCCTCGACCCTTGGGCCAAAGCACGCAGCTTCAAACTCCACGCTTTCGGCACAGAGAGCCCAGCGGAAAATGCCACTTCGACTGTGCTCAGCAATACTTCCGACTCTGGCGATCTCACCCTGACTGCCCATTACGAGCTCGAGCCTTCTCCGGTGTCGAGTGCCGAAGATCCAAGATTCGCATTGCTCGCTGGAACAATCAAAGGCGTCTTCGGAGACGATATCGTGGTTGCTCCAGAAATGCTAACAGGTAAGTGATGTCGTAGGGACAAATGTGCAGACGGCTGACCTCGCCAGGCAACACCGACACGCGATATTATTGGGATCTCTCGCCACAAATATACCGGATGTCTCCCTGGCGCGCCAGCCACGATCCTCGCGGAACTCGCATGCACACGGTCGACGAGCGGATGCCGATCAAAGGTCTTTTGGAAATGGTCCACTTCTACCACGAATTCATCCGCATCGTCGACGAGGTGCGGATAGAAGAGACTTGATCACGAGATGACCAATGTCGCAGAGACTGTGGTCCATGACTGCCATTGCAGCATTGTTGGATCGACTAAGCCGGAAGCATTAAGCTACCCTTTTCAACTCGATATTGGGCGGCATCGTCTAGACGAGATCGGTGGTCCAGAGGTGTTCGCCTGGAAGTTACCGTGGTCGACAGACGCGCACGAATCGAAGGAGTCAACCACGCTTCTGTATACGGCTGATAGACGTGGACCCCAGACTACCTCACAAATAGCTGACAGTCACCAGTTTCAACGGTGCTACTAGCTCAGATGGCTGCAAGAATCCCAGATCCCAATTAGTCGAACCGAAGAGTCCAGAACTGTGGTGTTTACGCAGCAACACTCGCTCGAACACGGCTAGGAGGGTGTCCAGAGATAGTACCAGTAACACTCGGCTGCTCTTCGGTCGACACGCACAGGATCAACTGTTATGGATACAAATCTTCTGCAGACACTTTCTGTCTTTCAACGATCCAGCGGATAAATGATACCATGAGCCGAGTCACACCATGCCGTTCTTGCTCCCTTCATGCACTTAGGACCGGAAATCAGTATCGGCTAGCAGCTTGGTCTGCTTCGGGGCTGCGTCCGTTGGGAGATGCGTCATGGCATCGAGATATCATCGGGGTTCTGGACAGCAATGTCACCAGGTAAATTCAGCTGTAGAGTCAAGCTTTTCAGAGATTTCAAGGAACTGACGTACCCATTGGGGGAAACACCCATCTCTTCTTGCCTTTTCTTTCATCAGTATTCGTCTTCGAATCGCAGTCCACCGAGGCTGATGAAGGGGCCTGAGTAAGTCCACTGCTGCTTTTCCGGGAAACGAAAAGTAGAATGCGGTGATTTGAGCGTCACAGCACAAGTCAATGCAAGGTGCCCAGAACGAGACGAAGACCGAGGACGTAGATACGACGTCCCATGGTGCTGAAATGAGATGAAATGAGACAAGATGAGACGGATAGGACGAAAGGACGAGGAAGAGATGAACTATGTATTATGTGGACATGGTCACAACGATAGCTGGTTTCTTTCGTTTCAATTCTTGCTTCTCGCTTCTCGCTTTTCGCTTCGTCACAAAGGATAAAAGGCAAGATTGGTGGTTGCTGGTGCGGAGGCAGGATCGGGGCATGTAATCAGTAGTAGAAACCTCACAGACCGGTCATCGTTGTTGTGTATCACATCTCGAAGTCGGATTGCCAGGTTCATCTACGTGTATTTTACGCGTCATGATGCTTAACCCCGAGATGTAACATTAGGTTCTTGCTTGAACTGTGCCTGATCGTGCTCTGGGCTGTCTTTGAGAGGGCGAGAAGAACAGAGTGGACAAGACGCCACAGTGAGTGCTTGAGCGACGTCATGAGGGCCAAAAATTGTCACCTACCCAGTAGGTGGTGTCTTCTGAGATCAATCAATCAATTTCCTCTCATTTCCGAGTATCGATCCCCGACGTGACACCTGAGTAATTCGAGGGTGAAAGTAGCCCGAGTGGTGGAGTGTCGAATGGGGATAAAGGTGGTCGCAGCGAGGCGGATATGCTCCTTTAGAATCCGGGGCCGAAGCGCCGCGTTCGTGGCAAGCTGGGTACGAATACGCCGTTTACACAGTGAACTGTAGTTACTGGCACCAGCCGCGGAAATTCGGACTGGGACGTGGCGCTGCTACTCGTCTAATACCAATGAGGTGGGCGGATGGGCAGCTTTGTTAATTAACCCACGCCATCACTGGTTGAGCAACTTGGTGGCTGGCTTGCCCTGTTACCTCGTGGACCACGCGACCCGTACGTCGCTCAGGTTATAACGGTGCAGTATTCGCCTGTGTAGGCTCGATCTTGCAGTCGGTCCACGGCACGACGACGAGTGACCGGCACTAGCATCTGCAGATTGTGCCCTTTATGGAGCCTCTCCCGGCACGACACCCAATTACAGGGGGCCCTGCAGCGTCGCATTCCTGACTCAGGCCGTCCCAGGCACGCAAATGCAACCACCTCCTCCAGAAAGCGGTCGTCATGGAACGGGACAATGGTCGAATCAGCCACCCCGGATTCCCCAGACCTTGCCTATAAGTTGTGCAGTGCTGCCTGCGTGCCAAAACTTAGGACATACACCCATCAAAGCTTGTCGTTGCTTAAAAACGGGCCCGTGTTCAGAAGATACATAGATCGTCTTGGATCTTGGAACAGCCAACCCGTCGAAACTCTAGCTCTTTACCAGTACCAGCAATCTCTTGTGGCTTCCATTCAATATGGTGAAGAGCGCTGTTGTCATACCCGTAGCGGTGCTTGCATCCATATGCGTGGTCATGTTCGTCTTCATCTGGTGGTGGTTTCCCAGACACTACAGAAAGGGTGTCGCGGACGACATGAATATCATGGACGGCGAGCGGGCGGGCAGGGATGCCACCCACGCGGGATTGGAGGGAGGGACGACGGACGCAGAGAACATGGAAGCGTCTCGGCCGAAGACCTTGGAAGAACATATCGCCATCGCCAGAGCCAACATACGACGCGGCCACAATCCAGCAGCGACGCCGTATTGAAGTGTGTCTCAAGGGGACGAGCTCGACTCGTCTCATCTCATCTCGACGTCCGGAAGTCGCCCTACTGTGTACTCGGATGAACGCCAATGCCACCCACGACCCGCTACGAACCACGCACACCAAGATCAGCACTGTGCTGGGCCTGCAACACCATGATAGTCGATTCGTCAACAGGCACGTTTTTGGGGTGGTCCGCGGGGTACAGTGCTATTGCTCGCCAGTCGCAAGCAGAGTGACAGTGACGAGCAAGAGGGAGGGCATTGAAGCGAGACATCATAAGGAGGCGTTTATAGGACACCATCTGTGGCGGCGCAGTTCTGTGCCAATGTTCCCCATAATCTCCAAGCTTGAAGCGCATTCGCTGTGTAAAACAATGGCATCGAATTAGCTGTGATATCGTCTGCGTTCTTGTAAGGTAAAAGTGACTGTGACCACGTTCACTTCGACGTTGCTGTCAAGCATTTGGCCGCCAAGGAAATTCAGGTGGAAAAAGTTCAGGTTCTCCGAGCGGCGACTTGCGACTGCGACTGCGACCGCGACCAGGGCTGCAACTGCGTGAACTGGGCACAGAGACAGGCAAATCGGGTTTCTTCTATCCGCCATCCAGCTGCTTGATCCCTTCATTCTCGAGTCAGAAAGTGCGCCCTCTCAACGTGTGCGAGGTACGCTTGATCAGAGCTTGCACCTTGCCTTGCCGCGACCATGAACGGGGACAATTACTCCTCGAGAGGTAACAGGCCTGTCCCAAACACGGTGCCTTCCCACTGACATTTCTGCAGACTCGGGGCGTTCTCGAGAACATCACGTATGTACCTCTGGCTCTAATCACGCGTGCCGTCGCACTGACTACTCGTTGCATAGAGTTCGAGATACGACCGAGACGACCGCAGAGATCGCGACCGCGACAGGAACCGAGACCGAGGCGAGCGCAGACGATCGAGGTCACCTCACCACCGATCATCAAGACGCGACCATGAAGACTCGTACGCTTCGAGTCGAGATTATCGGGCGCGCGAACGAGAAGACAGGTACGGCTCGAGGCGAGATGATCGCGAGTGGGACCGAGACAGAGGCCCGAGGCGTCGCGATGATGACCGTCCGCCTCGCCGAGACCGTGATCTATTCGATGACCGGCGAGGAGGAGGTGGCGGGCCCGGAGCAGGCGGTGGTCGTGACCGTGACCGTGACCGCAGCGGACGGGAAGATCGCGACGAGTTCGCTGCGCAAGCACGCGGGCAAAAGAACAGTCCTCCTCCCAAGAAACGAGAACCCACGCCCGATCTGACCGATGTCGTACCCATCCTGGAGCGGAAGAGGAGGTTGACACAATGGGATATCAAGCCTCCAGGCTACGAGAATGTCACTGCGGAACAGGCCAAGATGTCGGGCATGTTCCCCTTACCGGGCGCTCCTCGCCAACAACAGATGGACCCCAGCCGGTTACAGGCATTCATGAATCAGCCCGCAGGCGGCGCCACTTCGACCGCATTGAAGCCCTCCAACTCGCGCCAGGCGAAGCGACTGTTTGTCTCCAACCTGCCCACGACCGTCACCGAGGAGAGTCTGATGAGCTTCTTCAACCTGCAGCTCAATGGGCTCAACGTCGTGAAGACGGTCGATCCGTGCGTACAGGTGAACATTGCAGAAGATCACAGTTTTGCCCTGGTGGAGTTCAGGAATCCTTCTGACGCGACCACCGCATTGGCCATGGACGGCATCACCATGGAAGAGCATCATACCGAAATGAATGGGAATGGAGATACGAACCCCAAAGGACTGGAAATCAAACGACCAAAGGATTACATCGTGCCCACAGCCGACGACGATGCATATACAGATGGCGAGTTGTCGACCGAAGTGCCTGACACTGCGAACAAGCTGGCTGTCACGAATCTACCGCCCTTCCTGACCGATGATCAAGTCTTGGAATTGTTGAAGGCGTTCGGCGAGCTCAGAGCATTCGTGCTGGTGCGCGATAGTGACGCTCCGGAGTCGAGAGTACGTCGTCCCGTCATAGGCTGCACACACAGAGCTAACCTTTATCCAGGGAATCGCTTTCTGCGAATACAGCGACCCTTCGGTGACTGCCGTTGCGATCGAGGGCCTCAACGGCATGGATCTGGCCGGTAACGCCATCAAAGTCACCCACGCCAGTATCGGTTTTACACAGGCCGCAGGGCTGGAGATGGGCGTCAATGCCATGTCCATGTTCGCTGGCACTACGTCTGACAACATGGAAGATGGTCGTGTTTTGCAACTGCTCAACATGGTAACACCGGAAGAGCTGATTGATAACGATGACTACGAAGGTACGTCCACTCTTTCGTTTGTATTGCCTCCTACTGACTTCGATTCCTACAGAAATCTGCGAGGATGTGCAAGAAGAATGCCAAAAATACGGCACCATCCTCGCCATGAAGATCCCCCGCCCGTCCATGGGCAGTCGGCAATCGGCAGGCGTGGGTAAGATTTTCATCAAGTACGAGACGGCTGAGTCGGCGAAGAAAGCATTGCAGGCGTTGGCGGGTCGCAAATTCGCCGACCGCACTGTTGTTACTACGTATTTTGACGAGGTACGTGCTATGCTCACGAGATGTGACATTGTTATGCTGATTGATTGGTTGTTCAGGCGAGCTTCGACGTGAATGCTTGGTGAGCATCACAGATACCTGCGAGGTATCATATGCGGGCATTTCTGCCACCGCACCCTGTAAGCTCCTCCTCATCGAATCCCCGGAGGAGAGAGGCTCACTTGACGGCTTCGGTAACCTTCGTGGGAAGGGATGTGCCGATGAGAAGCAGTGAAGGTCGCCACCCGCTTCGAGATCATCACTAGCGACTATGCCACTATACATGCACCCATGAGGACTGGTGTGTCGAGCGACGTACAGGGCGTGCCTTCATGAAATTCCCGCGCGCAGACGCCAGGTTCCGCCATCGCATTATCTACCAGATGAGATTCGCCTTAAAACCACACGCATATCACATATCTCCGGACATCGACCGGTGGGAAGGAGTGCGAGGAAGAGGCAGAGGCAGAGGGAGGGGGAGAGACCGAACCTTCTTGGCCGGCTTCATTGCGCCCCCGAGCGCTTCACTCAAGTGTATTTCTACAGTGGACAGGGAAAAATCAAAATTCTTTGGATTGTGCACACACACATACACATACGCGCAGATACACAGTAGGTATGTGTGCCCTTTTAAGTTGGCCGTGGGCGTGAAGATCTTGAACTAGAGGGAAGTCTCGCCTTTTCTTTTCCTAGGTACCTCGGTACCTAGATAGGTAGATACTGTACTCCGTATATATGTCCTCTCGGCTCTCTTTCGGTTCACTTACTGTACTCCGTACTCGGTACAGTGTAGCTTCAATGGAGGGGGGAAAGGTTGGATCGTGAACATGTTCGTAAAGTCTCTTAAGTAGTCTTTCTGTGTGGGCTTGCACGTGCATATATGTCTCGTTCATTCCTGCCTACCACAGTACTTGCCCGTCCGGCCCTCTACACAGTCCAAGCCCTGGTCGTTGACGAATTGCACGTAACCCCTAGCTAGAAGATCTACGTACTCGTATCGCTCATTCGTGCAGTCCAGTCGTGCGTCCTGGAGGCTCCGCTCTCGTGCCACCACCTCCCTGCCACGTCGTATCCTTGCTGAGGACGATCATGCCCTCATTGCTACAGTATGTGTGCTGCACATTCCGCTGATGCTGTGCCTGTTTCTCCTATTGCCACGGCTTTGCTCCAGGTGACTTGGCGCCGCTTGATGCGACGCCGGCCTATCGTGCAGAACGATGCCTGTGGCAAAAAGGCGGCGGCGGCGGCGAAGCTACCTCAGTCCATCAAAGCCCATTTTACTCGTCGTCTAGAATCAACTTCGTGATCTTCCCCACCGCAATCGTTTGCCCTTGATCTCGTAGTGTGAACCGTCCTAATTGGGGATAGTCTTCGAACCTCTCGACACAAATCTTGCCTCCGCCGCTGGTGACCTGCAATCTGGCAATGATATTCTGTCCTTTCGCGGCGAACGGAGGTGGCTTCTTACTCTTCCGCCCGGTTCTTGGTTCGAGCTTGTGCAAGAGGGCGGCGAAGGTGACTTCTTCGGTCGCGGCGTGGACGTGGAGCACGCAGTTGAATCCCGCCGAGAGGATGGACTTGAGTTCCACAATGTTGATCTGTGCTTCGAATTCTTTGACGCAGTGGACGAGTCGTTTTGGCGAGCAGAGCACGAAACCCGGCATGATGTCTTCTTCTTCGATGCCTCGGAGGCGCATGCGTACCTGATCTCCACATGTCGCGTACGGGATTTCATCTTCAGTTTCGCCGTAAAGGGCTGCGATGCCGACCTCTTCGCGGTTAGGCATCATGATGAGTGTCGAGGTCTTCTGGACAACGCCGGCTTCGATGCGGCCTTCGATCATGGTGCCCATGTCGCGGTACTTGGCACCGACGGGCATCATGAACGGCGCGTTGAGGTTTCGCTGGATCTTGGCCATGCCGTCGAGGAATTCAAGGAGAGAGGGACCTTTATACCAATCCACCACGCTGGGAGGGATGCGGTCCTTGACATTGACGCCCGTTTGTGCCGAGATGGGCATGAAGGTTGAGTCCAGGCCGATTCGCTTCTTGAGGTACGGCTTCAATTTGCCCACAATTTCATCGTAGCGTTCCTTACTCCATTCAACCGTGGGATCGTCCATTTTATTGACCACCACGACGAGCTCTTTCGCACCGGTAGTTTTAATCAACATGGCGTGTTCTTGAGTTTGGCCGCCCTTTTCAAATCCGGTCTCGAACTCGCCTCTTCGCGCCGAGATGACGAGAATGGCCACGTCGGCTTGAGCGGCGCCGCTGAGCATGTTGGGCACATAGGTCTTATGGCCTGGAGCATCCAGGATGGTGTATCTTCGCTTATCGGTCTCGAAGAAGCCACGACCAACTTCGACGGTTTTGCCCTTTGCCCGTTCTTCCTTGTTGAGATCTAGTACCCAGGAGATGTACCATGTCTCTCGGCCTGCGTCTTTGGCGTCGCGCTTGTACTTTTCCAGTGTCCGCTCGTCGACCATGCCAGTTTGGATCAGGACTTGACCACCGAGTGTAGATTTACCGGCATCGACGTGGCCGATGAAGATGATGTTGACGTGCTCTTTGCCGTACATCTCTTCCAGAACGGATTGGTCGACATCAGCGGTTTGTGCTGCCGCAACTTCTTCGGCATTTCGTTGTTTCTTCGCTTCCGCCGGCGTAGGGGAAGATTTTCCCGACGATGGAGCTGGGGATGTCTTGCCCGTCACTTTCTCTCCCGACTTCTCGACTGCTTTGGCTGCCGACACTTTGGAGCCGGCGTCCACTTTTGAAGAAGCCGGTTCATCCTTTGTTGTTGGAGAGGCAGGTTTCTTAGGAGAAGCGGAGGCCGCTGTAGGGACACCAATCGATAGAACCTTAGCCTTCGGAGGTGCAGCAGCAGCTTGTGGTTTGGGAGCGGGCGCGGTAGGGTTCGCTTCGGTTTGAGGGGCTGGGGCAGGAGGCTGTTGCGGCGTCGGCGCAGACGCTGGCTGTGTGTCTGATCTCTTCGCAATGCTTATTGGACCACCCTGTCTGGGTTGAAATCCTCCAGGCGTCTGATTGTAGGCGGCAAATTGTCCACTATTATACCCTTGGTTGTAGTTCTGCTGTTGCTGTTGCTGCTGCTGATACTGGCCGTACTGGTTGTATTGTTGTTGGCCATATTGCGGGTATTGGTTGTACCCCTGCTGTTGGCCGTAGCCGTAATTTTGATAGCCATTCTGCTGGTATTGCTGTCCGGGTTGGAACGAGGCAGCACCAGGCTGGAACGAGTTGGCTCCGGGCCTGAATGTGTTGGCGTTTATGTTGATATTTTGTGCCCGTCTTGACAGATCCTCCTCCTGGTTGGCCGCATCTTCCCATGAATCGAAGTTGCCTGCCATATTGGGAAAGCGCCTTTATCGAGGCTGAGTGAGAATCAGACTGGAGCGGCGAGGTGAATGAATCAGTTCAAGGAGAAAGGGAGGCAATGAGAGACAGAAAGCAGAAACGGAGAGTTGGGTTGGGCATCGCTTGGAGGGGCAATGGCACTGACACTTTCAAAGGCAGAAATCGATCCTTGGCAAGGCTGAATTCCACAAGGCTGCGATTCACTTGCTGCTTTTAACTGCGAATCTTCTCTCTTGCAACTTGGTCCTCACCCCAAAACATTCAACTGAGACCCACGCTCGTCCTTCACCTCGACACTACCTGATTGTTCTCTGAATGCTGCATTAGGGACCGGTGCAATACTCTCAAAGATTCTGTGATTGCTACTTGAGGCACAGGGCTCCATGCCTGGTGTCAAATACATAGTGACCAGGGGGCCTACTGCAGCTTCATGCCAGTCATAAGGATTCACAATTTATTCACTGATCAAATATACGGGACAAGACAAACATTGGTGGACGCGGGATCCAATTGCAGTCAGATTAGTTCGGCGCTCTATTTCTATGCTGTGGCTGTGATGACATTCGTGGAGGGACATCAGTTCAACATTGCCCAATTCGCAAGTCATGAGATACGCGCCATCTGCCTCGAACAGCAATAACAAAATCAAGTCCCATCACGATCTGTCCAATCTAGTCATTATTTTTGAAGACGGAGTCACAAGTTAACTGGCTGTATTTCGTCCCTTGTGTCAGAGAAGAAATTATGACTCACCTCTAAGGAACCTCGAGGGGAATTCTTTTCACCAAAGGATCGGGAGCAGGTTGGCAGCCGACTTCTAACGGCCCATTCCTCCAACAGATAACACCCCCGCAATCTCACGCTGACTGTGGAAGAAGCCCGAAGGCCCCCCGTGGTGGCCGGCTGGACGACAAAAATTTACGCTTCGTGGTCCTAAATCCTCTATCCGACACGCCAGTGCATCAGGACGTGGAGGTAATGCGCAAACTGACCGTGCAGATCGCACAGTCGAGCGACGGCCCGCATGCTGATTACCTGATTCGCCAGAGCGAGGTGGACGCCGACAGTATGTCGCACAGCCCCAACGAGAACTGGCGAACGTGGGCCAGGTTGAACCGACGTCAAGCGAAAGAATTGCACTAAAACCCGTATTGTCCAGCATAGAAGTGAGATCTCGAGGCTCTTCTGCCATGCCCGTCTTCATATGCGGTGTGGCATAGCACGGGGTGCGCTTGGGCACAAATAAGTTGATCTGCGAGGCGACCAGCGGAGCAGGTGGGATGCTGTGGAATGGCGACCAAGGGGTCTCGCATCTTGATCGAACGGAAGGAAGCTCCCAGGCTCAGCGGGAAATCTCCCTGCAACCAGCACTAGCTCTTCGAGACTATTGTCCATTTACGGTCCATTTCTACACTCTTGAAGAACGCTCAAATGCGGAATAACGACGGCGACGACGACGACGACTACCAGTCCGATTTGCGCCTTCACAAACACTCACCGCGATGAATCAGCTCTTTCACTTGATCATGTGTCAGTTCTGTCGTGCCTCATGAGCCAGCCGTGCCAGCCGTGCCTGTCACGCCCGAGTAATCCGCATAACTGGAAAACAAAGTTGCCGGATCCAGAGCAACCGCTGCAGTTGCTGGATCGCCTGCTGCGCCTGTTGCGCCTGGATGTTTCGTATAATTCAGAATTGTAGTTGGGAGATGCATACCAGCCGATACAGGTACTGCATCGCCACCATCGCCTTTAGACGGCCCAACTTGTTAACATGGGCTTTTACATTCCATGGTCTGCCGACTTACCTGCATTCTCGTTGCCCGTGTGCTGGGATTCCCCCGTGACGATGGCCACGACCTCTGCCAGAGTGGCTTGCAGGTCAGGCAAATCTGACATGTCTGCATTTTCGTATATCGCAACGAACAGAGCAAAGAGAAAGCGACAGTGCCCATGTTGCGACAACGTCTCGACCGCGCCTGTGACGGAGCTGCCTTCAAACTGGCCGAGGTTGGGCATCTGGATCTCGTCTATCACGTTGGTGAACACCTGCGTGGCGTGTTCAAGTGAGCCGTCATGTGATAAGTCGACATAGTCGAGAGCCCTCCGGATGTGGACCATGAACTCGATCAAGTTGTTGTACTGATCCTCTGTGATCGTGCCTGCGTTCTTGTCCTTGGCTGCGTCGCTGACCTCATGCAAGAAGAAATCCGGATCGAGGTTGTCAGCGGTGATGGAAGGGTCGACAGCGCCGCCCCCATAGTTTTCATCGCCGCCATGGTCTTCACCGCCGCCGTAAGTTTCATCGTAGCCATAGTTTCCTTCTCCGCCTTGCGTATGATCACCGCCGATAACATTGTATGGCTGGTTAAGTACGATCATATCGTAATTGCTACAGAAGCCTGGTGCGGTGGATGGGAAGAAGCGGAAAGCTAGTATGGACAACAGAAGGGTTCGACCGTGTTATGAACCGAGATTCCCGTAGCAGAAAGTGGTGGACAGTACAGTGCGTTTGTTGAGAACCCAAAGAAACCCCTAGGCTATTGCATGATGATACATCGCGAGGGGGAGCGGCCGTACGAGCCTAAGTAGCTATTCTCGATTCACATTCTTACCTTCTGGTACGCTGGGTTTAGGGGGAGCAGCAAAAGGTCGGGCGCTTCCACGAAAATAGGTACTGAAAGTACTGTCATGGTGTCTGCGTCAAAATGGAAATAGCTCAGTCGTTCTGACATCTCGTGGCTTATAGGGGACGGTGCATTGGATGGTTAGTTGTCCGAGGTCGCATGGGATCTTCTCACTAAATTAAGCCACCACCGCTCAGTCACAGCTAAGAATGGTGGGAACCCGTAATCGACCAGAGGTCTACTGTAACCGACAGGTTTCATGGTCCCGGCATGCTCAGTGGCCGCAAGCTACCGCAAAACCTCTGCTCTGTAGCCAGGTGCCAGCTGGGATTGACTTTGGTACCCGCACGGGCACCTATTTGTAACTGGCAATTGACACAGGTTAGGCCTAGCAGCAATACGTGCGCTGCAGTAGATTGGCCCTAATCGAATTCACGTGACCGCCACTGCTCCTTCACTTCGTACAGTTTTCATGGCCGTAAAGACCCTCAGCAAGCCCGGAGTAGAGCAGTGGAGGCGCTCTAGGGAAGGCTTTTAGTAAAATTGATGAGTTTTGGGGGATGCTGGTGGCTAGCAGTTTGCCTGTGGTGACTGCCTGGGTTGTTAGCCGAGGGTGCCTGTGCAGGTCGTCAGTCCTGTGTCAGCCTTGTGGGAACAACTCGCGAGGCTGTGGCTGCACCAACAAGACTGTCGCGTGGCTCTTCTATTCGATAATCTATTGCATTTTATCATAGGTCACCCTCCCAAGGTGCTGCCTCGCGCCGCTCCAATTTCCCACCATCACACCCTAGCGGTCGGCCACCGTCGTATATGACCATGTTGTTGATACAGCAATGCAGCGTAATAGCGTAGCTCGGCAGGTAATTAGCATTTTGGAGTCTTTCGATGCTCAGATGCCACGATGCCACTCGCATAAAGGCCGGCGACCGGTCTCTAGCGGGTCTTTTCTCGGTGATTTCCTGAAACAATTCAAATCAGCTGCACCCTGAAGTAGATGTTTTCAGGACTCTGTACTCCGTAGCTTGGAGTGATAGGCGTCTCGAGACCGTTCGTCTGGTGGCAAGGCTGAGAGGCAATGACGCGCCAGCGCAAGGCTGCAGCTCCCGCCTGTTTGATCACCACCAATGAGCTCGCGTCACTCACTGCCCACTCCCTTTAACGATCTTTAATCCGTTGCTCTTTCTCCTCGGATGTGCTCTTTTTGATGACTTCTCGCAGAAGCAGTGATCCGTAAGAATCGTCCTACTCAAATGATCTCGCCAAAATGGACATCTTTCTGGGAAAGGTCACCCAGCAGGCGATGAACTATGCCATTCGCTCGGGAGTCACGATAACAGCATCCTACGCCATCCGACAGTCAAGCAAGCTACTGAGCAGCACGCCCAAGAGCAACATCCGAGACGAACTCTACAGGCTTCAACAGAAGCTCCAGCACAAAATTCGCATCGTGTCACCAGCAATTGACTTGATTGAACTGATCGCCGCGCGTGGAAACACCTCACTGGAATCAGCTGTCGCGCTGGTGAAGGAGCTGCGCCTGGAGATCCAGTCGCTTGGTCAGCGCCTAGCGAAAGCTGCGGAAGCCTCCGAACAAGTAGCCAGGAAGTCGAGCAGATGGAGTAGTCAAGCCAGAGCCCAGAATGAGGCGGAGTTGAGCCTCATCATCAAGGACATCAGGGCTCTACTAGACAGGATTGAGGACGCCGTCCCTCTGATCAACCTTGCCATCACCACATCCGGCGCAAGCCTCTCGACACAATTACCGCAGACTGTCTCGCCCTCTCGACTTCTCCAGGCAAGCACCTTCCTCACAGCAGGCGATACTCAATACTCCATGTCGCCGAACCATGCTGTCCAAATCGGACCCACTTTCACCTTAACTGTCTACATGCTCTTCGCGGGACACAATCGGCCTCAAGATGAAGAAGAGCTTCGCGAAACGACCTGGAAAGAAGTCATTCACAAAGCTCGAGTCAAACTACGCCGCGTGCCTCTCGACCTCGTGACGGGGGCAGGATCTGGGTCTGACACCATCCCCTCCGCAGACATCACATCACCGGTCAAACTCGCCTCCACCGATACCAACAGCGAGCCGGTGACCAATGGCTCCAGCATTCGTGCCCTGACCCATGCTGATGAATACGCCTACCAACTCCTCATAGTGGAAGACTTTGACGACGACCGCGTGCACGATTTTTCTGACGTGCCACTCCATTCCCAACCTGGCCCTTTCGACGACGTGGCGCTGGCTGGCATACGTGAGACAATACCCGTGCATGAGATCAGCAAGATCTTCTACGCCGATACGAGTAAAGTGTTGAACATCGGGTCCGACGCCGAGAGTAATCACCCCGTCTTGCTCTTGAAGCGAGATTTGAACGCCGTGCCGCCAAGGAGAATGGCGGATAGGGACGACGCTACGGGAGCATGGCGGGATGGAGAGGAGGGGCACGAAGGAATCATCACACTAGAGCAAGAACAGCCGCAGCCTCATGTCGAAGACGATTACCGCCAGGCGCATGCCCATGCCCGCGCCCCCGACGACCACGATCCGTGGCGTCTCCCCCCCTCCCTTGACCCGGAGTGGATTGCCTTCGAAGTCTACGCGGAATCCGAACCTAGCGACTCTGAGTCCGAAGGCGAGGGCGAAGATTCAGCGGTCGAAGATCCTTCCACCACGGCCGACGAGGCAGCAGCCTCCCAATTGACCTCGCACCTCTCCTCCCTGCACTTGAACACCCCTACGCTCAGCCCCCGCCCCACAACTTCGCATGGTCAGCTTCGAAGTAGCGCCCCGCCGTGGGCCAACAAGATCGTCACGTCGCTGTCTCTTCTCGAACTCCTCCTCCGGCTCACCTCGCTGCAGCAGTTTCAACAGCAATCCCACCTCTCCATCACGGACGAGCTGCTCACGTTCTTCCTCGAAGAGAGCGCGAGCACGGGTGCGGGCGGCGACGAACGATACAGACAGCACATGCGGATGGAAGCCCGGCGACGCGTAGGCTGGGATCCCTACAACGAGAGTCCCGTCAAGCGACGGGGCGAGGACTATCAGTATCAGTATGGATATAGCGCGGATGGAAACGGGGATGACAACAACGACGAGTATGAATACCGGTCTGGGTATCGAGATGGACACCATAACGAGAGCCTGGGGAGCATGAACGGCGGTGGGCGCAGGGCCACCCTGGGGTGGAGCCCGACAAGTGAGAGGACCAGGGATGGGGAGTCAGTCAGGCGGGACAGAGACAGAAACAGGGATGCCGGGGATAGGCGTATGACGCCGGGTCCCATGTCGCCTAGTCCGAGGTCGAGTCCGTTGCCGTCACCAGCGACGCCGGCGGGAAAAGCAGGCCGAGCGGCGTGGCTGAGGAGGGACGGCGACGCGAGCAGGAAGGGGAGTCCCCTGCGGCCGGCGACTGCGCTGACGGATGAAGGGATTGGCACGAGTCCCGTGAGTGGAGCTGATGAGAAGACTTGAAGAGCACGCCGGAGTGGAAGAGACGCCGAGAAGAGACGAGACGGGAATGGAAACGATTGCATACATGAAAACACAATTACCAGAAGTGAGAGCTAGACCATTGATACCCCCACAAGCGAAATGAAGGCGATTGAACTGCGTACAGTTTGAAACATTGCAAAAATAGGTGACAACGACATGGGAGGATTTCTTCAGTATTTACGCTTGATTCTGGTGTGGTGACTCGATTCTACGATGGCCTCCGCGTAAACATCCCATCCCGGGCCAACTGCTCGGCCGTGCCCTGTACTCGTATCCTTGCTCTCATAGCCGGGGTCACAGGTATGGCTGCGGTTCGCTTCTCGTGGCCCTTACTTCGTCCCCCAGATCAAGCTGCTTTGCTAGCTTGTCCCCATTTCTTCCAGCTGGAATTTTCTCATACCTGTTCGTTCTTGACGCGACGGTGGAAGTTTCGGGCGACGGCCTGCCCGGCAGGTCTGTTGCAGCCGGGACAAATAGGCTTTATGAGATCGACCATATCGGCTCGAGGTCGCACCAAGAAATGCGGCGACATTGTCGGCATTTCCGGGTCTGACTTACTCCGCTGGAGGGGTAGGCTAGCGGACGAGGACATATATTGGGTAGTGTTCTTCTCCCCACTGGCTTCATCTCACTCCCATGGACGCTCGGATCTGCATGATTTGTGCTCTTTCAGCGGGGGAGAATGAGTCGATCGTCCTCTGGTCCATGGCTAGAACCTGCTGGATCATTTCCTGGTGGGAGATTTGCGGCTGCTGAGGCTGAGGCTGAGGCGGAGGCTGTTGTTGTTGTTGTGGCATGGCTGCTGGTGCGTACTGCTGGGGGGGTGGTCTCGGAGGCATCTGACCGGGCACCATTACAGGTGGATAGCCAGGGTACTGTTGTGGCACGGGCTGTGGAGGAGCGACGGCGGCTGGTTGGGCTGGTCTGGCGGCTTGTTCGACGACCTGTGCCAGAACTTTCGGGTCGACCAGGTTCATGAGGATCAGAGCTTGAAATATAGCGTATGAGAGTTGCGGCGCGGTTTTGAGGAGCGACGTCGCTCTGGCGGGGTCGGATATGGCGAGCCCCTTCATTTGGGTCAGGACGTCGAGGAGCTGCGGTGGAGGAAGGGTAGACAGGGTTTGCGAGATCGCGTCTGTCGCTCGCAGATTCGGAGGGAGATCAACACCTGGAGGCAGAGGAGGAAGCGCACTTGCGGCGCCAGCGTTGTTGAGGCCGTCGCCGGCCGGAGCACTGGCTTGGTCGTAGTTCGTCGGCACAGAGTCCTTCTCGTTGTTATGAGGCCAGTCGACGCGGATCTTGCGCCCGTCGATCTCATAGTCGTTCAGGTTCCTCACTGCGCTGGCCGCTTGATCTGCATCTTGGAAGTCTGCAAAGCCGAATCCTTTGGATTTCCCTGTGTCCGGGTTGGTCATCAAACGGAACTTGACCACGGTGCCGACCTGGTTGAGGATTCGGATGATGTTCTCCTCGCTGAGATCTGCCACAGGTGAGTTTATGCGCCGCGGCGAAGGGACAGCAAGGTTGGCTCACTGAAAGGGATGTTGCCCACAAAGACACTACGGCTTTGTCCAGGCGCCATGGTCGGTAGTTGCAGAGTCGATGTTGCAGTAGAAACACTACTGTGGATGTCCCCAGACTGCGATGCGATGCGATGCATACATACGAAGAGAAGCACGAAGGGATCCAGTTAAAGCGGCGCGTTGGCGCATCTGCTTCTCCGCAGCGGTTGGCGCGGAGCTCAATTTGGATGCGAGCATCATCGACATTGCCTGCCTGCTGCTCTTTATCCCGGGTGCCACTCCTTCACCGATCCCTTTGTTCTTGACAAAGGCGCAACCATGTCCTACGACCCGAGGGAGCATTTCCAGCAGATCCAGCGGACACTGCAGCAGCGTCGAGGTCAAGGCTTCGGAGGGCTGCCCGGTGGAGGCGGCGCTGCAGGGAGAGGAATCCTTGCTCTTGTTGGTCTGGGTGTTGCTGGTGTCGTCCTCTCAAACTCCCTATTCAACGGTAATTGTGGACCTGATTATTGACAATTGCGACGGATTCTGACGGGGTTTCAGTGGACGGTGGTCACCGTGCGATCAAGTACAAGAGAATATCAGGTGTAGGGAATGAAATCTACAACGAAGGTACTAGGATGCGCCCACTTCGCTGGTGCTTGCATGGCTAATTAGAGTAGGCACACATATCCGACTACCCTGGTTCGAGACGCCCATCGACTACGATGTCCGAGCAAAACCACGAAATGTCGCCTCTCTGACGGGAACGAAGGACTTGCAGATGGTCAACATCACATGCCGTGTTCTTTCAAGACCTCGAGTCGAGGCACTACCACAGATCTACCGCACGCTTGGCACCGACTACGACGAACGCGTGCTTCCATCCATTGTCAACGAGGTGCTCAAGTCCGTGGTGGCCCAGTTTAACGCCAGCCAGCTCATCACACAGCGAGAGAACGTTGCCAGACTGGTCAGAGACAACCTCACGAGAAGAGCCGCCCGGTTTAATATCATGCTTGATGATGTCTCATTGACACACCTTTCATTCTCGCCCGAGTTCACGGCTGCTGTCGAAGCTAAGCAGGTCGCCCAGCAGGAGGCCCAGAGGGCGGCCTTCTTGGTCGACAGAGCCAGACAAGAGAAGCAAGCAACCGTTGTACGCGCACAGGGTGAGGCCAGATCGGCAGAGCTGATCGGCGATGCGATCAAGAAGAGCAGAAGTTATGTCGAGCTCAGACAGATTGAGAACGCCCGCAACATTGCTCAGCTTCTGCAAGAGGCGGGCGGAAAGAACAAGCTGTATCTCGATGCGCAGGGTCTTGGACTCAACGTCGGTGCTGGCGAGTTCGAGGGTTCATCGAAGAAGTAAAAGCTCGCACATGGAACTGGTAGATGCATCCTGGCAAGACGATTTTCTTGCGGAGCCTCACTTCTTTCAGCCATGTTTCAACAGCAATAGCGCTTGATCCACTAAATGTACAATTCTTCACTCGGGTATAGTCCTTTCCTTGATTAAACGCAACCGTCGTGGAGTAGCACGTAAATCTCGTTTCCCTCGTTTAAGCAGCAAGCAGGAGTACTGCGAAGCGCAGGTAAACTGCAGTTGAGCCAAGGGCGGACCAAATGAGCATTTCGGGCTGAACGATGCACTCACTGCCGCTTGACCAGGACTCTCCTGCCACATAATGAATGGTGTCGAATATAGTCTTGGTTCAACAAATAGACTACATGGCTCTCAGCATGGCCTGCCCGTGCCCTTCTTATTTTGGTGGCTGCAATATGCTGGTCAATGGTGATTCAGGTCAACATGGCGCTGTAGCCAAACTGACGAGTGATCCCTTGGTCGAAGTCTTTCCCCTTTCCTTACCTTTCATTTCCGTCTGCTGCATGGTGTTTTGCTCCAGATGTGGGGGTTATAGGTCGTGGTCATCAGGTAATGTACTTGCGCTCCTTCTTGCTTCTGAGGTCTGTCGAGTGAACGAGATCTCTGCCAACAGTGCAGTTGACTGACTCAATGGCGCAGTGTGAGGCTGACTCGAGCCAGCACGATGCCACAGGTTAGAACTACCAGCACCAAGGCCACGATCGTCGTCCCCTCACCAAGCACGACCACTGCGGCGATGAGTCCGCATCGACGACATCGCCGCCTCCCTTCATCTCGACCAGTCTTCATTCTTCTGCCGAATCTCAACAATATCTTGGACTGCCCTCTGCAGTAGCCTCAACACCTGTGCTGGACGCCGACCTCGATGGCGATGGGTTGTTGCCAATCCTGAAAAGAGGCACCATCGCGGGTTTGTCGACGTGGAAGTCCACTTCCATACTTCCTCAGTTTCTTTCTCGTCCCTGGCTTCAAGGTGATGCCTCTTTCCGGGTTCGACGCTTCCAGGCAGACCTTCAATAGCTGGAGGTCCCCACGATGGAACATATAGCTAGGTCGCCATGGAATGCTCTCAGTCACTAGTCGAGGCGGATCGCCACCGTCCCGGCGCGGGTGAGCTCCTCAAACTCTTCTTTAGCTTCTCACTTCTACCGTTACCTGGGGTCTCCCACACCACTCTTCGGGCCATGTTGACATCGTCGTTGCGTCGGTGGCCGTGGGTTCATATATTTGCGACCTCCTGGCCAGTCTTGGCTTTGGCCTCCATTCTCAGTCTCCAGGAGTAGTCGACGGAGAGTGTATGGCTTCGGCACTTCCGAGTATGTGCCGGGAAGACCCAGGCCCCTGCTATGGTTCCAAGCACAAGAGCTGATGAAGAGTCCCCCTTGGCTGATGATCTCTGGAGGCAATCCTGGCTTTGTGCTTCAAACTTTGTTGTTGTTCAGAGGTAAACAATGTTACGGACGGGTAATGTCTGGGTGTCGCCGCGCTGTTGGGGCCCTGCCGTCAGTCCTCACAGCATGTCAGTGCCCACAAAGAGCTTTTTCTTTACCCTTCAGAGAGGAAGACGCTCGCCTTGCATGAAAGATACGGCAAGATCGCATGTCTCGCCCTGAAGCACGCATGCACCAATGGTTGAGGTGACAAAAGGAGAGATGTTTGCTTGAAGAAGAGTCTGCTTGAGAGTTGTCGAGATCATCACTGCTCCGTCCTGCGAAAAGAAGAGTCCCTCATCGCATCACCGCATCACCGGGGTGGACTATAGAGCACAAAGCACGACCAGCTCCTGGTTGGCCGGTACCCCATGTTTCCCGGGGTGGAGCGCAGAGACGAGGCTCGCATCCCTTCATTCAACCCTCTGACCCTCAACCGTTCAACTCAATCAACGCAAACATCTCTCACACAACCACATCAAACGCCTTCTGCACTTCAAACTTCTTCCTCATCTCAATCAGTGTCTTGAAAAGACTGCCTCCTCATTTTTTTTGGACGCCGTACTGGCAATTTTGGATAAGATTTGGCCTCGACAAAGGTGGAAGACTCTCCCGTCGTTGAGCGACCAAACATCTTCAGATCCGCCACCAATCAACCCGCCACAGGCTATCTCAAGTCTCGCTTCCTACATCTGATCGGACATCGTCGATCTCTCCAGCTTCGAGCCTTTCTGCAGCAATCTCGGATTTTCGAAGAGGCAGCTCTGTCAGATCCGTGCCCCAGAACACGCGTCGATTATTCCACACCTTCTGACCTTCTCAATTCCTCCTGCGACATCCCAGGCTTTTGAAAAGCCAGTCAATCTGCTCTCTTCCGCATTCCAAACAGCGCTTCGAAAAGTGCATAGTCTGTAAGTCGTTTCCACAGCCATCATCACTGAAAAAGCTGACAACTTCAAAAGTTGAACTGTTTCTTCTCCAGACAATCTCCTCTATTCTCCTCAAACTTTTCTGAGGATGTCTTCGATCGTCTCAGAGGAAGATGCTGCTTCTATCAGCGCACCATCGACTGGCCCCGATGACTCCTACCGTTATGGAACGCGCTACGAAGGTGAAGTCAAAGGAGACGTTAGAGCGAGGCGGCCATCAAGGCCGTCAACCTCGCAAAACCCGCGGAGGCAGAAAAAATCAGATGAGCGCCCTGAGGAAGGAAAGGTTCCAGGCACCAACAAGCACTACAAGCACTATGACCTTGGCACGAATGCATCTGAAGTGTACATGGAGTTCCCAGATGGTTTGAGAAGAGGAGTAATGCCGCCCCCGAACAAACGCGTGTACAGAGACATCGTGTTGGCGCCAACTGAGTCTGATGGCACGAGCCGGGCCACTGGCGGTCATCAAACAAAGCCAGGCTTTGAAGAACTTCAGGAACTGCGAAATGTTTATGGGTCTCGCAGCCGGCATCCAGTTGCGAAAGCTCTCCACATGCCTTCCGTGGGGCAATATTCCCTCACCGAAGACAGCGAAACAGACGAAGCTGTTCCGGCGAAGAAAGCCACAGCACGTCGAGCTCGCCGGCCCGCAACAAATCGTAGGGCAAATTCTGCAGCGCCTCCTGAGGATGGTGCCGGCGAGAAAGACGACTCAGATGATGACGGCGGAGACAATAAAGTAGGCGAACATAACCGTCTCGACGTTACCACGTATCCATTATCGGATATCAACCAAATCTTCAGCCTCATTACCGAACATGCCGTTAATGAAGGTTTGTTGGAAGCCTCAACGGTCTTCGGGGAACAAGGCATCAAGGTCGTCACTATGTGCTCCGGCACAGAAGCACCTTTCGTCGCGCTCGATCTTATCCGAAAGTCGCTGCTCTCATCCGAGGAACGCGAGAGATTCAAGTATCAACATCTGGGCAGTGCTGAGATCGAACCTTGGAAGCAAGCCTTCATCCTCAGAAACTTCAACCCGCCAATCATATTCCGAGATGTCACGGACTTCGAGAATCATGCAGCCAACCCAGAAGACGAGGATTGCTACCCTGTCACAGCCTATGGAAAACGTGTCGAACCTCCTCGAGGTGCCCATATTCTGGTTGCTGGCTCTTCTTGCGTGGACTACTCTGCCCTGAACAAAGTCAAATCTCAATGGAAAGGAGAACGAGGCGAAGGCGAGTCGGCCAGAACAATGAATGGCATCGGCGCCTACGCCAAAATGTACAAACCCACTGTGATCATCATCGAGAATGTCGCCGGAGCCCCGTGGGAAATGATCAAGATCTTCTGGTCCGAAAAAGGATACGAAACGGTCATTGTGAAGTTGAGCACGGTCGACTATTATCTGCCACAGACTCGCCAACGGGGATACTTATTCGGCGTGCACAAAGACATTGCAGACCTGGCCGGATTCGACATTCAGCAAGCTCACAAGGAATGGATCCACTTGATGGCTGGTTTCCAGCGTCGGGCATCATCCCCATACTCAGATTTTTGCCTCGACGAAGACGACTCACGCCTGCAATCGCTTAGTCACGTTGTCACAGACAAGTGGAAGAGAGGAGGCTCTACTGACTGGGTCCAGTGCCGAAAGCGACACGTGCAGGAGCGTGTAACGAACAAGCTCGGAAGCGGTACCCCATTCACCAAACGCCGAGGGCATTCGCAAGCCCAAGTCGACGACTATGCTGACCAAGCGTGGGCACTCAAGCAGAGCAAGAGAGTCCTGGACATGTTGGATATCCGTCACCTCGACGACGTCGCTAGACGAGACTTCGATATGCGGTTCAAGCATAGAAATATCAATGTCTCGCAGAATGTTGACCGAGATCGAGACAATCGCCAATGGGGCATCGTTGGTTGCGTTACACCTAGCGGCTGTCTCTTCGAGACGCGTAGAGGTGGCCCACTCACTGGTCTGGAAATTCTCGGACTGCAAGGATTTCCCACTGGAGATCTTCAGCTTGAGAAGTACACATCGAATCAGCTCCAGGACCTCGCCGGAAACGCGATGTCGACGACCGTCATTGGCCCAGCGATCCTCAGCGCTATCATGGCATGCTTCCGCGTCCATGAGGACAATGATGGAGAAACACAAATCTTCGAGGTGACAATGGACGAGTATCACGACTCGAACGAGGACCAGTCCATGGAGGATGCGCCCCTGAGGGAAGCATTCGATGAACGAGAGTTGGAGACGAATCCGAATTGCAAAGCTCTCGTACCGCTCAAGGAAGAGTTTCCACATATCCGCGCTACGGAGGAAGGCCCATACTCTCTGGTAAGCGTCGTGGAAAAAGCCCGCGATCTCCAACCGCTATGCCGTTGTGAAGGCCTTCACCGCCGCACTTCAGAAGAAATTATCTATTGCCCAGATTGCTATTACACATGCTGCAAGGGGTGCAGTAGAGACACACACGGCCACAAGGCGTTGAGCAAACTGGAAATCTCAACATCCCATCGCCCAGTTGCCGCTACCTTTGCGAAGCTCTTGATTAATATTCTACCTGCCGCGCTGCAAAATCACAACGCGAGTGCCTCGTTGCCCTCTTTCACCGAGTCATCTGCTGAAGAAATCGAGCCCCGAGTCTCAGAAGCACTTCAGAGTCAAGTACATTTTCAAGGCGTCAAATTTGAGGGTTCCTGGAAAGCACTATACGAATCAGAGCATGCCCTGCTGGAGCTCGAGTTCGTCCCACATCGTCACATGTGCGACCCTTGTGAAGAACACGAGAGACCGCATCTCCACCTTGACGTCGCGCCGGTGTGGTTGCTCTTCGCGAAAGCTCCAGCAACGGAGCCCGTGAAGAGCAAGATGCGAAAGTTGTTCAGACATCCTATTGCTAGAATGACGCCAGATGACAATCTTTTCAGCGGCAGGTGGAAGCTCTGGGATGGTCCGACACAGTCTTCGAAGGTTCACATCATCCGAGCAGGTGAGCAGGTCGCTTCGTGGGAACGGAGACTCGGACTTGAACAGGTGCCCTTTCGAGACCTGAACTCATTTTCTGCTATTGAAGTCAGCCCCTCGACTTCTGTCAACGTCAAAGCACATTCGCTAGTTGAAGAAATTGCAGGAATATACGAGCTTCTTCCACATTGTCCTGCACCAAACGGCACACTACACCGGAGAGTGAGTAGCTCCGCACCTGGGAAAGCACCTTCGTTCCTCTCTCTGCAGTCTAAACCTCTGCAAGACGGTCGTCTCGATCGCGTTGTGTTCTCAAATCAACCTTTCCGACCAATTGAAATTGATGATAGAACGGTGCTGGCAGCCCTCGATAGAACATGGAGACCCGTCGCTACTGCCGAGGTGTATGAGGGTGAAGAGGTCCTGTGTGATCCTGTCAGCCTGTGGTCGGACTGTCCAGCCCAAGAACTTCAGATGCCTAGAGACGAGAACACTGTCTGCAAGTGGGTTCTGAGAAAGGAGGCTGACCCCGTGGCTGCTGCCGCCTGCGTCAATGCTCTGTCCACGATCTTGCTCCTTGACTTAACTTGCGACGCTAACGCCAGAGCGAGACTGGAAAATCGTCGAGAAATGTGCATTGTTCTGGAACGCAAACCTCAAGCATTGAGCGATTTTGGTTGGATTCTCTCTCACGCGGCAAGCATCCCGCATCCCTGGGATGAATGGCAAAACATCGACTTCTCAGAGGCTGTGGAGTGCGCAACTTGTTCACCTGCACAGCCCTGTATTAAATGGCTGCTGAAAAAGTCTGGCGCCAGCGAAACCGTCAAGGCCGTGGAGAGTCCACTTGAAGCTGCAGAATACGAGAATGCTTTATGCAACAGACCCAACCCAGCAGTGGCACTTCTCCGGGATGTTGACGGCAAGGCATTACTTGACGTCAAGATCAACATAAAGACACTTGCCCATCGCGCGGTCGCTCCGTTTCTCGTCAACCTCTCCCCGGGTTCTGAACTGCAATCTCTGCAATGGCGCCTGGATCCTTACAATCAGTTCAGTCCTAACCCGAAGTTTGCTCTGCCAAAGCTTCTGTCCAACAAGCTTGACAAGGTCGATAAGAGCCTGAAAGAGAAGATCGACCTAAAACGGGACTTGTGGAAGTCGCAGCTCCAGGCTCTCGCATGGATGATTGAACAAGAGACCTCTCCCAAGGCATGGGACGAAATGTCTTTGACTGAATCCTGCTTACCGGCGCTTGGGTGGAGACTGGAGGCCAAAGCACTCTTTCGCAAGCACAACGTTCGCGGCGGAGTCATTGCCGACGAAGTTGGAGCAGGAAAGACGACTACCTCTCTCGCTCTCGTCAAATACGACTACCAACGATCTCAGACAGCGACCTCGACAGGAGCCGAGTCGGATGAGGACGATGGCAGACCGCACATAGGGAAGTTGGAGACCAACGCCACGCTCATACTGGTGCCCAAAAACATTCTCAGCCAGTGGGAAGGCGAAGTTGGGAAATGCCTCAATTGGCACAAGCTTCGACCTACCGAGAAGCATGGACTTGAACAGAGAGCTCCTTACTACATTACAATCAAGGACGTGCCGGATTTGCAGAAGTACTCTCACGAACAGGTCAAATCAGCCACCATTGTTCTTGCCGCTTGGGACCTGCTCGGCCATAAGAGTTATTGGAACTACCTTCGCAAGATCGCTTGCTCTGCTTGCACTCCCGAAGATCCCGGACGTGCTTTTGAAGAGTGGTTGAAGGAGACTCTGCCTTGTCTCGACACCTGCGTCGAAGGACTAAAGAGGAGTGTCGCCGATTTTTGGACGTCATGGGACAATGTCAGACAGCGGACGGAAACCGATCACAAGTATGAGAACTTTGAAGGCTTCCTGACGCGGCAGGCCAAGCGGGCCATGATGGCCAAAGAGCGTTCCGACGCGAAGAACAAGGCTGGCAAAGCCACTGGCACTACAGGCAACAAGGCACCTCAAGACAAGGAAGCCGTGGACGCTCGAATCAAGGAAACAGCTCTCCAGAAATCTCGGGATGAACTAGACGGATTCCGACGAGATGCACATCACCAAGGCCAACCCATGCCTCCTCCTGTGCTGCTCCATATGTTTGCATTCCGTCGCCTCATTGTCGACGAATACACATACATTGAGGGCGAAACGCTACTGGCGTTGCTCCAACTTGACGCAGCTAGGAGATGGATGTTGTCGGGAACGCCCGCCATCCAGGCATATGACAGCCTCAATACGACGGCAAAGCTGATTGGCACCCAGCTTGCCGCGTATGACGAGCACGAAGGGAAGTTCGGGTTCGGGAAGGACGCCACGAGGATGACGCGCGACAAGTCTCATGGGCAGGAGATTCAGTCATACCAGAACGTGGCGTCCGCTGCCTTCAAGGAAGCGGTGTACGAACGTGCGAGCGTCTTCTCGCACCAGTTCATCCGCAAGAACGAGCCCTCCCAGGGGCGGGCTGAGGTGTCGACCTGTTTGTCGCAGGTCGCCCTCAGCCCATCGGAGTGGATCACCTGCTCCGACGTTCAATCCTTGGCGATGGACCCAGATCGACCCTTCGGCAAGCCCCAGCCGACCACGAAGGTCGACATGAACAAGGAAGTCCCTGCCAGCATTTGGCAGTTGACAGACTTGGTCGAGCGGACGGCCTCTCCACAAGACGCCCGCATCTGCTCCAGTTTCATGCTGGAAGAGATATGGCCAGTAGTCCGTGGGGACGCTGGTCGTAGTCTCGACCGACAACTCATCGGTGCTGAAAAGCACCGCATGAAACAAATCATCATGGAGCAGACAGAGCATGTCCGCGCCCGAACCAGCGAGCTTCTCCCGCTCCTCCAGGAGCTTTGGCACATGCACCGCTTGGTGCGCCATGGGGACAAAGAAGCTGCCGCCAGCTTCACCGGCCTTAGGGCCAGTGTCAGCAGCGGCACGCTAGCGGACATGCATGCGGTCGCCGTCGTGGAGAGTCTGCTCGGATACGCCCGAGAGAATGAGGCTGTGCCGTCCTCATTGCTCTCGAAGACCAAGAAGAACCCGGACGGTGCCGGTCGCGTGAACCTGCCGTGGGATGCGGCGGAGATGGGGAACGCGGCCGTCGCTGTCAAGGAGTTCGACTTGCGGATAGCGCAGGTAGAGAATCACGTTGAGATTCTCATGCGGGGCCTGCGTCGTCTGCGCCTGTTGAAGGCGGTCTTGGGCGCATTCGAGCAGAGGCTGGGCGAATGCTCTGGTTGTGGCGCTGCGCTGGCGTGGGAGGCGGCTGTTGTCTCGACGTCGTGTGGCCACGTCGTCTGCGGCGAGTGTGCCTCCGAGGCATGCTGCGCGGCAGGCGAGGTCGGCGACGTCGTGCCCGTCTCCCGGTTCGCCGTCTCCTACGTCGGCGCAGAGGTTCCCGGCACGGTGACGTGCTCTCGACTCCGTCTCGCGGTGTCCCTCGTCCATGGGGCCATCGCGGCCACCGACTCGGTGTTGGTGTTTGCCCAACACAAAGGCATCAAAAACGCCTTCATCGAGGCGTGTGGTGAGGCAGGCATTACCTGCCTTGACGGTTTCGAGGCCGGATCCGCGGCGAGGGCTGTGGAGGCCTTCCGCGCGGCCGCGCCTGCCTGCCTTGTTCTCAAGGTGGACAGTGCCGACGCGGCCGGTTGGAACCTCCAGAGCGCCAACCACGTGGTGTTCTTGTCGGTGCCGGTGCTGGGTTCGGTGGCGGAGGAGGAGGCCACCAGGGAGCAGGCTGTTGGCCGGTGCTGGCGTCCTGGTCAGACGAAGCAGGTCTTCGTCTACCAGGTCGCTGCCGCCGAGACCGGCGAGCTTGAGCTGGTGGTCCGAGAGCGGGGCTCAACGGCGTGAGCGGTGGTGGGTGTGCTGTGGTGGCGGTGGCGGCGGCGGCGGCGGCGGCTGGTGCTGGTGGCGGTTTCTTTTGCTTTGCTGGGTGGTGCGTTGTGCGGTGCGGTGCTGGGTGGTGCTGTGCCAGTCGCTGCGGGTCGGTGGAGGCGGGGGCCTCAAACGTTTTGTGTTGCTTGGTTTCTTTTTGTTTCCTTTGTTTAATGGTTTGGAAATGAAAGGCGATGTGACACCGTTTCTCTATACCTTGGCCCTATCGTACGTCGTGCCCATCGTGCGTCGTGCCCACCGTACGTTGTGCGTCGTCTGAATGGCGTATCTCGTGCCGTACACCCATCACAGTACCTATTGGCTATAGGGGGTTAACTCAACTAGCGACCAGTTCTATCGCTCACTAATCTATCGATGCTAGTCTGCGTAGGCTGACGCTGCAGTTGAAACTGATATGTATTATAGCGACGACATGTGCTGAAAGTTCTAGGAGTTAATGAAGTAGACGATACAGGGGACGATGTACTAAACAATATCGGTAACGATGTAGTGGACGGTATTCTACTGATTTACAGCGTAGACGACTCGTCTCGACGGGTTATATTCACTAACAACATTTGACGTGCATTATGGTTGTCTTTCGCTCCACACAACAGTATCTCTCCTGATGCAGTAGGTATCGACCACCACAACTTGCAACAGCAATCCGCGCCCGCCCTTGGTAATGAGCGATAGTCTCCAACGGATATTCATCATATTTTATTCACCCTTCATTCACAAAATAGCTACCCCTCATAGTACCAGGCGTCGACCATCGAGACCACGACGCTTTTACGCGCCGTTTGCCCGTGCTCAGTATTCCTGAAGGATGTCGCTATGCTGCATTCGCCCCTCGTCCACAATGTCGCTGACGCCTGATGGACTGTGCGCATCCCATCTGACCAATGCCACTATATGTGGCCCCCATTGACGATCTGTGCTCGAGGATTAGCACCTAGCGTATGTCATCAAATTTTCAGCGTCTGCAATATCGAGCCACGAATCCCGAGATGGTGGAGTTGACTGCTTGGTACATTCGATTCGAATACCTAAATTTTTAAGACAATGACAACGAGGTTGATCTTTGCAGCAGAACAGTGCCAGAGACTCCGGCTTCGACAGACTAGGAAGTGCTGGTCAGCAGCGTTTCTCACTGTAAGGCTGTTGGAAATCTCAACTTCGAAAGGCGGGCCTCATCTCACCTCACCTTGACCGGCGCATGATAGTCGACTGAGTTGTTGATGGTTACGAAACAACTGCGCACGAAATCTGGTATTAAGGAGGCCGAAGCAAGATTTCCCCTGTTTTAATTTCAACGCAACCATTCCTTCAGAGCATATTAATGGGGTTGTGACACCCGAGGCAGTGTCGGTACAAGGCCGACTTCCGCCTCGCCCCAAACCCCTAATTCGACCTCAGCCTCGTGCTGAGTCACCAAGCCCGTCGTCACATGACGCTGCTTCCACGCCCCGCGCGGTGTTTAGCGAAGCGGCAGGCAGACACAGGCATCCCAGGACAAATACCATTCTCTCTGCTATTTGCGCAGTGTTCACCTCTTCGGCAAACTCACGTACCACAACTGAGACGGTCAACAAAGCCACTGATTGGCCGCCGCTTCAAGCCAGCGCACTCGAACTGTTCGGTGGTTGACCTCGTGGCAGGCTTTCGTGCTGCGGCTTGCAACTTTCCCGCCGCGCTGTGGCACCTGCCACCGAAAGCCTGCCTCCTTGCTCTTGTAAGTGCACGTCTGCTCTCAGGGGTTGATACTCACCGTCTCAAGCTGCAGCCGCAGGGTTTCATCAATTATTCTTCGCGGTTGCTGATGTCGGCTGGCTTTCCTGTACGCACAGCCCTCACCGGATAAGCTTACCTGACGCATGCCCCTACCCATCGCCCCCCACAACCTCTCCCCGATGAATACATGAAGCTTTCGGCTGCACGACGATACCAAGCCGCGACGAGATCTGCTCAGATGAGATAGGAGTGTTGCGCAGGGTCGCGGACGTGACTGGGCTCTCCTTACTTCATCTTCCTTTGTAAACTCCTTGATGGCGCAGCCTTCTCGAAGTCTCGTGGTCGATCGACTCCACTGCAACTCTTGTTAGATTGCGCTAGCCGGACAGGAGCCGACTGTAGCCTCTGAGGCGCTGCACAAAGACGGTGAGCGCATGCATTTCTGCTGGGGCCAACGCCAAATTTAGCATCCCGTGAACAACTTCAATGGTGGACCGCTGTCACCCTACACAGGTACGGCAACGACACCTGTCTCTGCTGCCGCCATTCAGGGTGCAATTACCTGCCTTCGGATCTCCTACACTCTTCGTTAATGTACTCACACCGCAAACTGCACTCACATGGATATTGGCGTCGTAGCAGAAATCTCATGCCCTCCAGCCAAGCGGTTCGTTGCCATGTGTTTCGCTTTCCGACCGGCACAGCACCTCCCTTTGCCTTTGTAGTGCACTCGCGTGTCTTCTACGAGCGATTACGGCGACTAGAGAGATCGGCCAATCAGACTCTGTCATCGGTGACTGAGTGGAATGGGACTCGAAGGTTTACCAAAAACGGAGTCCGAAATTAAGTGTTCGATTGACTGGGGCGGACTCCGCCCATGGGAACCACGTCCAGTCCTCGATCTCGGGTTCAGGCCCTCGCCCTTCCCTAAACCGTCTTGAACCCCATCTGAGGCTGAGAGATGATAAGAGATGGATACACAAGCGCCACGATAGTCGCGATCAATGATATATTGTTGGTTACACATCTGTATACGACATACGAGAGGATCCATCCATCCGACTTGAGTGCGCCTGACTGTAGAAGCGCTCGACAGATTTCGTGGGAATCTGTTGACTTGTTTCCTTCCGTCCGCGCGGATCTTGGGGCACGCAATCAGAGTGCGTCGCAACTCGCGCTCAGCAACCAGGGCAGGCGGCCTTCGGATAGTATCGCGTAGCATAATTATGATGACACGGACGACGTCATTCGCCCTGGCTCAACAAGAAGCGAGGACGCATTTCTCGCAGCCGCCAACACCGAAAAAATTTCTGTTGGAGTTGAGCATTGGGGACGCGAGCTCGGGCGCTTTGTGGAGGGAAAAGCTGCTGTGGGCCGCCGACGGGCGTGCGGTTGACCGCCTCAGCGAATAGATCGACGATAGTGGCAAGCCTGAGCACCGCCCGGAGCCAATCACGCCCCCAGGATTCGCGGTAGGCCCTGCTCGGCGATTCACTTTTGGTGCGCCCAACAGCGAAATATCGATGGCCCCCGGAGCAGAATAGGGAGACTTATGCACGCTCGGTAGAGCGCTTTAGTCGCTGTTTGGCTGCGGGCCGCCTAGAGATTCAGCTAAACCCCTTGCGCTCTTGCGGCTTCATCCAACAAGGCCCAAAAAGTGTCAGGGACACATCTCAGCACGTCGTTGCTTTCATATACCCTGCGCCTTCGTGTCTCCTCGCTCTCCGTTGCTGACTTCACTCCTCCCTCTGCCTCATACCCTTCTCTACCACTATCCTCGCCCCTTTCTCCCCGACCTGATACACTCCTTACTCAGGCCGCAACAATATAGACTTTGGACTCCGCGTTGGGACATCGGTAATATTGGCGTAATTCCGGTCTCCTATTTCGGTCCCCAGAGCCATATTCGATCGAACGCCCTCCCCTCGACCGAGACACTGGTTCTCCCTCAAGAGTCGACCTCTTCAACTGCATGAGATAGACCTTCCTCCCCTCAACATGGCTCCCGCGGCGGTCAACGGTGTCAAAGGCACCAAGCCGCTTGCCAACGGCACCCCGAGTTCGTGGCAAGCGAAGCACAATGTGGCCGATCACTTCATTGGCTCCAACAAGCTAGAAAACGCTCCCCCGAGCAAAGTCAAGGACTTTGTTCAATCACACGACGGTCACACCGTCATCACCTCAGTAAGTCAATTTTTGAGGAAGCTCCCCGCGATTGTGGGCGCGAGCTGACGGCGCCAAAACTAGGTGCTCATCGCGAACAACGGTATTGCCGCCGTCAAGGAAATCCGTTCGGTACGAAAATGGGCCTACGAGATGTTCGGCGACGAGCGGGCCATCCAGTTCACGGTCATGGCCACGCCGGAAGATTTGCAGGCAAACGCGGACTACATCCGTATGGCGGATCAATACGTCGAGGTACGTGAACTCGCAAGGACACGCAGAAAGAGAAGGCAGCGGTGGCTGACATTGCTTGACAGGTGCCCGGAGGCACAAACAACAACAACTACGCGAACGTTGAATTGATTGTCGATATTGCCGAGCGCATGAACGTCCACGCAGTCTGGGCTGGCTGGGGTCACGCCTCGGAAAACCCGAAACTACCCGAATCCCTCGCAGCCTCTCCCAAGAAGATTATCTTCATCGGCCCCCCGGGCTCCGCGATGCGATCTCTCGGTGACAAGATCTCCTCCACAATTGTCGCCCAGCATGCGAAGGTGCCCTGCATTCCCTGGTCGGGAGAGGGTGTCGACGAGGTGGAAATCGACCAGGACGGCATTGTGACTGTCAGAGACGATGTCTACGACAAGGGGTGCGTACATTCGCCACAAGAGGGTCTCGAAGCCGCGCGGAAGATCGGCTTCCCAGTGATGGTGAAGGCCTCAGAAGGTGGTGGCGGCAAGGGTATCCGAAAAGTCGACGATGAATCCCAGTTTGTGGAGCTCTACAATGCTGCGGCCAACGAAATTCCCGGTTCTCCCATCTTCATCATGAAGCTGGCCGGAAACGCCCGGCATTTGGAAGTCCAACTGTTGGCTGATCAGTACGGCAACAACATCTCCATCTTCGGCAGAGATTGTTCCGTCCAGCGACGACATCAGAAGATCATCGAAGAGGCACCTGTCACGATTGCCAACCAAGAGACCCTCCACGAGATGGAGGCGGCGGCGGTCCGACTAGGTGAATTGGTCGGTTACGTCTCTGCCGGTACCGTGGAATGGCTGTACTCGCACTCGGACAACAAGTTCTACTTCCTGGAGCTGAACCCTCGTCTCCAGGTCGAACATCCTACCACCGAAATGGTCAGCGGTGTCAATATTCCCGCTGCTCAGCTCCAGGTTGCCATGGGTCTTCCTCTCCACCGCATCCGTGACATTCGCTTGTTGTACGGAGTCGACCCGCATACCTCGACCGAGATTGATTTCCAATTCAAGTCGGAGGCCAGTCTGAAGACCCAGCGACGACCTAGACCAAAGGGTCACTGCACAGCCTGCCGTATCACTTCCGAGGATCCTGGCGAAGGCTTCAAACCCTCGAGCGGTACCATGCATGACCTCAACTTCCGGTCGAGCTCAAATGTCTGGGGTTATTTCTCCGTCTCCTCGGCATCCAGCATTCACAGCTTCTCCGACAGTCAGTTCGGTCACATTTTCGCTTACGGCGAGAACCGAGCGGCTTCCCGAAAACACATGGTTGTTGCCCTCAAAGAATTGAGCATCCGTGGTGACTTTAGAACCACCATTGAATACCTCATCAAACTCCTGGAAACGCCTGCATTTGAAGACAACACAATCACCACTGGATGGCTCGACCAGCTGATCACCAAGAAGCTGACTGCCGACCGGCCGGACCAAATGCTTGCGATCCTGGCGGGGGCTGTCACCAAAGCTCATATTGCCAGTGAAGCATGCATTACGGAATACCGCAAAGGCCTCGAGAAGGGTCAAGTGCCCTCCAAGGATGTCCTCAAGACGGTCTTCCCTGTCGATTTCATCTACGAAGGTCAGCGATACAAGTTCACCGTCACTCGATCAAGTCTTGATAGCTATCACATCTTCATCAACGGCTCCAAGTGCTCTGTGGGCATCCGATCCCTTGCTGATGGCGGACTGCTGATGCTCGTTGCGGGCCGATCCCACAGCTTGTACTGGAAGGAGGAGCCCACTGCTATCCGTCTGAGCGTTGACAGCAAGACCTGCTTGCTCGAGCAGGAGAACGACCCCACTCAGCTGCGAACACCTTCTCCTGGCAAGCTCGTTAAATTCACCGTCGAAAATGGTGCCCATGTGAAAGCCGGTCAAGCCTTCGCTGAGGTTGAAGTCATGAAGATGTACATGCCTCTGATCGCACAAGAAGACGGTGTTGTGCAATTTATCAAGCAGCCGGGAGCTACTCTCGAGGGTGGCGACATCCTGGGTATACTAGCTCTCGATGACCCCTCCAGAGTCAAGACCGCCGAGACATTTACCGGCCAGCTGCCTGATCTGGGGCCGCCTCAGGTTGTCGGTAACAAGCCGCCTCAGCGATTCGCCCTTCTCACGGGCATTCTCCATAACATTCTCATGGGCTTTGACAATCAAGTCATCATGGCTTCCACCCTCAAGGAGCTGGTGCAAGTTCTGAGAGATCCAGAGCTGCCCTACGGCGAATGGGCCGCTCGATCGTCTGCTCTGCACTCGAGAACCCCCCAGAAGCTGGATGCCCAACTCGTGCAGATTGTGGAGCGCGCGGCCTCTCGCCACGCCGAGTTCCCAGCTAAGCAACTCCAGAAGGCTATCAACAAGTTCATCGAGGATAACATGTCTGCGAGTGACGGAGCTGCGCTTCATACCACTTTGGCGCCTCTCGAGGACGTCACGGCCAGATATGCGGATGGACTCAAGGTCCACGAGTTCAATGTCTTTACTGGCTTCATTGATCAGTATTATCAAGTTGAGAAGCTCTTCGCTTCTGGTACCCCCAGAGATGAGGATGTCATCTTGAAACTTCGAGAGCAGCACAAGGACGATATCCTCTCGGTTGTTTGGACTGTCTTGTCCCACACTCGCGTATCTGCAAAGAACAATCTGATTGTCGCCATCCTGGATCTGTACCGACCGAACCAGCCGAATGTGGGCAACGTTGCGAAGTACTTCAGACCTGCCCTCCGACGACTTACGGAGCTCGACTCTCGTGCGACTGCCAAGGTCACCATCAAGGCTCGTGAGTTGCTCATCCTGTGCGCCCTGCCTTCGCTTGAGGAAAGAGCTTCCCAGATGGAGCACATCCTCAAGTCGTCGGTCGTGGAGTCCAAATACGGAGAAACCGGATGGGAGCATAGGGAGCCAGATCTCGATGTATTGAGAGAAGTGGTCGACTCTCGGTATACTGTGTTCGACGTTTTGCCGCTCTTCTTTGCCCATCACGACCCTTGGGTTGGTCTCGCTGCTCTTGAGGTGTATGTGCGACGCGCCTACCGTGCATACACTGTCAAGGAGGTCGAGTATCACAACGATGTCGACCCCCCTTTCTTTCTCTCGTGGGACTTCATCCTCCGCAAAGTCGGACAAACAGAATTCGGCCTACCCCTGGCGTCCTCTTATCCATCGGGACAGGCGACGCCTTCCCAGAACGGCAATCAGTTCAAGCGTATTGCTTCTGTCAGCGACCTCTCCTACCTGAACAAACTACAAGGGGAGGACGAGCCAACTCGCAGAGGTGTCATTGCTCCTTGCCATTACCTCGATGAAGTTGATGAGTGCCTCGCCCGCGCGCTTGAGGCTTTTCCCAAGGGTACAGCGGAGAAGCGTTCAAATACCGGACAACATCTCATGCCGACACTCGACAGCCAGAGACGGCCTCCACAAAAATCGGATGAAGTCGAGCTGACCAATGTCTGCAACATCGCCATCCGCGACATTGAGTCTTTGAGTGATCCCGAGATTCTCGAGCGCGTACAAAGCATCGTAAACGAGTACAAGTCGGAGCTTCTGGCCCGCAGGGTTCGTCGCATTACCTTCATTTGTGGGCACAAGGAAGGTACTTATCCTGGCTACTTCACATTCCGTGGACCGAGTTACGAGGAGGATGCTAGCATCCGTCACAACGAGCCCGCAACAGCCTTCCAGCTGGAGCTCGGCAGATTGTCCAAATTCAAGATCCGTCCGGTATTCACAGAGAACCGAAATATCCACATCTACGAGGCCGTCGGCAAGGGCGATGATCGAGACAAGGTTGTGGACAAGCGCTACTTCACTCGCGCTGTTGTTCGACCAGGCCGCCTCAAGGATGAGATTCCCACTGCTGAGTACTTGATCGCAGAGACCGACCGACTCGTCAACGACATCTGCGACGCACTTGAGATCATTGGCAACAATAACTCCGATCTCAACCACATCTTCATCAACTTTACCCCAGTATTCAACCTGCAGCCCAAGGATGTTGAGGAGCAGATTGCCGGTTTCTTGGAACGCTTTTCCCGCCGCTTCCTTCGTCTCCGCGTCACTGGCGCGGAGATCAGAATTCTGTGCACGGATCCCGAATCTGGGCTGCCATACCCTCTTCGAGTTGTCATCACGAACACTTCTGGCTACGTCGTCCAGGTTGAGTCGTATGTTGAGAAGAAGGCTCGCAATGGAGAGTGGGTGTTTGAGAGTATCGGCGGTACCACCAAGGTCGGCTCCATGCACCTTCGCCCTGTGTCCACTCCTTATCCCACAAAGGAGTGGTTGCAGCCGAAGCGTTACAAGGCTCATCTCATGGGTACCCAATATGTCTACGACTTCCCCGAACTGTTCAGACAAGCAATCTCGAACAGCTGGGCCAAGGCTATCGCCAAGCATGCGCCTCTCGCTGAATCCAGGCCCGAGGTCGGAAACTGCCTGGAGTATAATGAGCTCATCCTGGATGATTCCGATAACCTGGCCGAGGTCTCTCGCGAGCCTGGTACCAATACTTGTGGTATGGTCGGCTGGGTCTTCACTGCCAAAACCCCGGAATACCCAAGAGGCAGAAGGGTTGTCATCATCGCCAACGACATCACATTCCAGATCGGTTCTTTCGGACCTCTCGAAGACAAATTCTTCAACAAGTGCACTGAGTATGCCCGCAAACTTGGCATCCCCCGGATCTACCTGTCCGCCAACTCCGGCGCTCGTATTGGCATGGCTGAAGAGCTCATTCCTCACTTCTCAGTTGCCTGGAACGACGAGTCGAACCCATCTTCCGGCTTCAAGTACCTGTACTTGACGCCCGAGAAGAGAGAATTGCTCAGCAAGACGGAAATTCTCACCGAGAAGGTCGTCGAAGATGGAGAGGAGCGACACAAGATCACCACCATCGTCGGCGCCAAAGACGGTCTAGGTGTTGAATGCTTGCGTGGCTCTGGCCTCATCGCCGGCGCGACTTCGAAGGCTTACGAGGACATCTTCACGCTCACTCTTGTCACCTGCCGGTCTGTAGGCATTGGTGCTTACCTCGTTCGTCTGGGTCAGCGTGCCATCCAGATTGAGGGTCAGCCAATCATCCTCACCGGTGCTCCCGCCCTGAACAAGGTTTTGGGCAAGGAAGTCTACACATCCAACTTGCAACTCGGTGGCACTCAGATCATGTACAAGAACGGTGTCTCCCACATGGTCGCAAGCGATGACTTCCAGGGAGTAGAGAAGATTGTCGACTGGCTGTCCTTCGTTCCCGACAAGAAGGGCCAGCCAGTTCCGGTCAGCCCTCCTTCGGATACTTGGGATCGGGATATCACTTTCTACCCACCAAAGGGACCTTACGACGTGAGACATCTCATTGGTGGCCAGGAGGACGAAGAGGGCTTCTTGTCTGGACTCTTCGACAAGGACTCGTTCCAGGAAGCCCTCGGCGGCTGGGCGCGGACAGTCGTTGTCGGTCGTGCTCGCCTGGGCGGCATCCCCATGGGTGTCATCGCGGTCGAGACTCGTACGGTCGAGAACGTCAGCCCTGCCGATCCTGCCAACGCCGATTCGATGGAGACGGTTGTGCAGGAAGCTGGTGGTGTGTGGTTCCCCAACTCGGCCTTCAAGACCGCACAAGCCCTCCGAGATTTCAACTATGGTGAACAACTTCCCGTCATGATCCTAGCGAACTGGCGTGGTTTCTCTGGTGGTCAACGAGACATGTACAACGAGGTGCTCAAGTACGGTTCCTATATCGTTGACGCTCTCACCAAGTACGAGCAGCCAGTGTTCGTCTACATTCCTCCTTTCGGTGAGCTTCGTGGTGGATCATGGGTAAGTGCTGCTTCAACTTCGTCGTCCCAATTTGATACTAACACGTTCTTCAGGTCGTCGTTGATCCTACCATCAACCCTGAACAGATGGAAATGTACGCCGATATCGAGTCTCGCGGTGGTGTCTTGGAGCCTGAGGGTATTGTTGGCATCAAGTACCGCAAGGAGAGACAGCTGGAGACCATGGCTCGCCTGGACCCTGAATATGCTCGGCTCAAGCAGCAATCCCTTGCGAAGAACTTGAGCGCTGATCAGCTCAACGCCATCAAGGCCAAGATGACCGAGCGTGAGCAACTCCTCGGACCCATCTACCAGCAGATCGCGCTTCAGTTCGCCGATCTCCACGATCGCGCGGGCCGCATGGAGGCCAAGGGCACAATCCGCATGCCCCTACAATGGAAGAACGCTCGACGATTCTTCTACTGGCGTCTCCGAAGAAGGTTGTCCGAGGAAGTTCTCCTCAAGAAGCTGAACAGCAGCTTAGCCGGTGGTGTCGTTCCTGCCACGACCACCCCCTCGACCCAGAGAGAACAGAACCTTGCCATGCTGAAGAACTGGTCTGGCTTGTTGGATGTCGAATTCGACAAGGACGATCGCAAGGTCGCTGAGTGGTACGAGAGCCACCGAAAGGAAGTGTACGCCAAGATCGACGCCGTCAAGACCGAGGCGGTCAGCAAGCGCGTCGCAGAGCTGTTGATGGGTAACAAGGAGGGTGGATTGAAGGGTGTCCGCGAGGTGTTGAGCCTCGTGCCCACGAGCGAGAGGGAGCAACTGGTCAAGTACTTGACCGGTGCATGAGGGCGTGGTGGTGTTAAAATGTATAGATGTGACGATGGATCGACCTGGATGTGGAAGCGAAACTGAACGCCAGAGAAATTATGAGGCGATTGAAGTTTTAAAGGTGCTTTTTGGTTCAATGGGTTTGGTCAACCAAGGCGTGTCGAGCAAGTATGCTTTTTATTGCCTTTGTTTTCGTGTTTTTGTACTTGTATCCTTGCGTTGCCAATGAAAAAGGTTCAAAAGCCCATTGCTCCGAGTCCCACGACTTTGCGGTCACCCAAGTCATTGCCTAGAACTGTGCTTATCCACGGCACTCTGAAAGTGATACACTCTACAGCCCTCAGGGGTGAGTGACGGTCGAGACTGATGCCCATATGCACAGTACCAGGCATACATAACTACCTACTGTAGATATGTACTTAGTACATACACGGTATATAGGCATCGGTCTTTCTCTGGAAAGTACGGAGTACTCCCGTACTGCGCTGAAGAATCCTCCAGAAGACTGGGCGAACTTCCAACACAGATGCAGTGGGACGGGGATGGGGGCTACAGTACATGCAGAATGGCGCACCCTTGCCGTGAGGGTGTGAACTACATACATAGGCTCCAGGAACTCCGTGACTTATGTGTACGGAGTAATTACTGGGTAAGTACTTGCTAGTGGTGTTCCTGTAGTTCTTCCCCACCTTGGGGTACTATGTATGGACAGTCAGTATCCGCGGTTAAACATACCTGATTTTACTGTATGCGACGGGGATTGTATGCAAAATGGGAACCCGCCTGAATTTCCTCTCTACCAACTCGACTCGAGGACCGTGCTGCAGCAGCAACTGCCGCTGCGTGCGTGCGTGTCTTTAGCTGCTGGCGATCGGCCATACGGCCTCTACTTATCTACCAAGGCCACGCCCGCTGGGACGATTTGTTCCCTTGAGCAGTTGGTGGGCAGCAAACAGTGGGCAGTGAGCAGTGGGCAGTGAGAAGTTTGAAAACACTCCTGGCCGTCCGGTCAGTCGATGTGCTTTTTTTCCCCCCTGCAGCAGGCAGCTCGGTAGGACGTCTTACTACAGTAAAGTACGTCTACTTGAGGTACTTGATAATGAATGTACCACTAGTGCCCACTGTACTTAATATAATGTACTCTTGTCTTATACAGGATCGCCCGTGGACGACGCTGCTCCCGCTGTCGGAGTGCTACTAAGTGATTGGAGGGTGCTGCCTACGATCCTCCGAGGGTGTGTGTGTGGCAAGCGGCCTTCCAGTTCGGCGGGCTCTCCATCTGTACATGTAGAGAAGATCAGTGATTTGGACTTGAAGTTGGACTTGATCTTGGCCTGCTCTGCTCTGCAGCCCTTTCGGACCGCTGGCTGGGGGACAAGTAGAGTACTTACTTAATACTCAGTAATAACTCACAGGCATAGACACATATAAACTCCACAGAGACACTCAACCACGCCCACATGCCCACGATCATGCCAAACGCCCAGACCCCCCTTCAGCCAGGACCACGCCGGCTTCAGTGGCCTGTTTGCGCAACTCCTGTTGCGGCACAAAATGATGGATGATCATGATGATGGCGGTAGTTTGGGCTGCCAAGATCCCGACAGCGATATAGCCGGAGCATTTAGCGGCGTCGGCTGGCAAGCTCTTTCTCGGGGGATTCAGGTCTCCTCCAGCAGGGGGTTGGGGTTTGGTGGGCGTCAGGGACAATCATAACAATGACAGGGTCTTGGGGTCAGGTGGCGCCTTACACCGTTTCCTGTCACGACATCGGGGATCGTGAGATCTTGCGTGTTGCGGCACACTGCCTCTATGACCGAGGGCATACTGGACTCTGCGTTGCTGGTGTGAGGGGCCACGGACCCAAAAGGCGTAAGGGCGATGAAAAAGGATGCGCAGAATGAAATCGGTTCTGATCGAGTTGCCTACAAAGTACTTTTCATCGTCTTCTTCTTCGTCCTGTTCGGGCACGCCAGCATTTATACCCACCGTGGACAGTATCACCCGCAAAGATGCTTGATGAACGCTTCTGGCCTCGGAGTGCAGATTCTCAAGTACTGCGTAGTCAGGAGGGCAGTTTGATGCCCTTGCCTTGCACTGCCCTGGACGAGAGGATCACTTGGACTTACTTCATGTCTGGCTGAATCTGGAGAAGCCCATGCAAGGAGAGAAAGAAGTACTCCGTACCTGAGCGAATGATGACAGGGTTACATGTGCCAGGCGGCAGCTTGCAAAGTTCCTGCATCCATTCACCAATAGACACCGCAAAGGCACAAGAGCAGCCGAAGCGAGGCCAGAACTCGCTGTGCTGCAACACGCTGCATTAGGATTTGGTACCTGCCAATCTGCGAGTTCCCTGTCTAGTGTACACATGCATCCCGACGTCAAATCAGGCTGTCTCGAGGCGTGGGGCGGTGTGCAAAGCATGCCTGGGACACGAGCAGGGAGTCGTGAAGACCATTTCGGTGAAGCGTCAGTACTCAGCCACCAGCGCCGTTGCGAACAACGACCAGGAAAATACGAGGATCATGGGCAACAGATTGTTGGAAAGCGGTGCCCATATTCCACTTTCCCCGTTTTTCGATGGGGGCATTCACGGAGGGAGATTTGGCAAGCTCATGGAACGATGGTCACTGGATGCTGGTGCTAGACAGAAGGACGCTCGGGGTCCTTCAGCCTGGGTGGTTCCTGACTAGTCCTCTTAGGGCTTAGGGCTATTTCTCTGTCAGGCTGCGAGGCTGCGAGGCTGCGAGGCTGGCTTATCGATAACGGCCTGCGGAGTCTACCTTTAGAACTTTTTCAGACTCCATTTTCTACCGCCTCGAGTGCGCCTCTCTTCAAGGTGCGCAATGTGAGCAGCCACGCTGGCTGTCCAACACCATGTCCGCGACCACTACCGCTACCACGATACAGACTAGGACCAAGTCAAAAACCAATTGGTCGGTCGAGTACGACACGGTCCGTCGCCATAAGCTCTTCAGACACACCCCAAAAGATCGCAGTGCGTATCCTGCGCTTCAAGCCGCCGTCAAACCGCACGTCGACGCATTCAATGCCCTGTGGGATGAGGGTCTTATAGATGCTGGGTTGAAAGATATTGGAACCTATACTGTGGTCGATGGAGATGTCCGGAATCCCAGCAAAAGCATTCACCACAACAAGCTCGACCTTCGTGTGACAGAGGTCATCCTCGAAAAACCGACATTACCTCCGTCCAACAAGTTCGCCATCGAAGACCGGAACATCTACCCCGCAGAATGCCGAGAGCGCCATGCGTCCTACCGAGGACGGTTAAAAGCCAGGCTTCAGTACAGAGTGAACAATGGAGAATGGCAGGAATCGGTGCGAGATCTCGGGCAGATGCCGATTATGCTGCGGTCCAATAAATGTCATCTTGAAAAGTTCTCCCCAGTTCAGATGGTCCGCCACAAAGAAGAGGCAGAGGAGCTGGGCGGCTACTTCATCGTCAACGGCAATGAGAAGCTGATTCGCATGCTGATTGCTCCGAGGAGGAACTATCCCATGGCCATTTCGCGAAATGCCTTTCAAGCGAGAGGGCCGACCTTCTCTAAGCTCGCCATGCAAATCCGATCAGTGAGACCCGATCAGACCTCGCAGACCAATGTCCTTCACTACCTGACCGACGGAAATGTCACTTTCAGATTCTCGTGGAGGAAGAATGAATATCTGGTCCCGGTGGTTATGATTCTCAAAGCTTTGGTGGACACCAATGACCGCGAAATTGCCGAAGGTATTATTGGCTCGAATTCGTCCAGAAAGGCGCCCAGTTCGTTCGTTGCCGACAGAACTGAGCTCCTCTTGCGGACTTACAAGGCGTACAATCTGAAAACGAGGCAACAGACGTTGGCATATCTCGGAGAAAAATTCAGGCCTGTCCTAATGCAGCCCATCACCATCCCTGACGAGAAAGTGGGTGAGGAGTTCTTGAGAAAGGTTGTGCTGCCCCATCTTGGTAACGTCGACGTGAGACCATCTCAGAACAACGACAAATTCCAGCTGCTTTTGTTCATGATCCGGAAGCTCTATGCTCTCGCAGCGGGCGATTGCGCTCTCGATAATCCTGACGCAGTCTCCAGTCAAGAGATTCTGCTTGGCGGTTTCCTCTACGGTATGATCTTGAAAGAGAACATCTACGAGTGGCTGGTCGGTATTGGTGCTGCGGCTCGAGAATGGTCGAGGATAAAGAATGGCGCTCAGTTTTCAGACCCGTCATTTGAGGCCGATTTCCTTCCCAAAATTGTCAGAAGAACGAACGAAAACCTGGCCGGCAAGCTAGAATACTTCCTATCCACCGGTAACCTGGTCAGTCAGACTGGGCTCGATCTGTCTCAAACCTCGGGCTTTACAATTGTCGCCGAAAAGATCAACTTTTACCGTTTCATCAGCCACTTTCGGTGTATACACCGTGGTACTTTCTTTGCACAGTTGAAGACAACCACTGTACGGAAACTCCTCCCTGAAAGCTGGGGATTTCTGTGTCCAGTGCATACACCCGATGGATCTCCCTGCGGATTATTGAACCACTTGGCCCATCAATGTCAAGTCCAGATCAAGAGAATCGATACCTCGGCGATTGAGAAAGCCGTTGCGCAAATGGGACTCTCTCCGACTGCACCAATGGCCCTTAATGATGGCCTTTCAGTCCAACTTGACGGCAGGATACTGGGCTACTGCCCCGCGAAGAGAGCAAGAGAGATTGCACAGTTGCTTCGGCACTGGAAGGTCAATGGTGCTCACAACATCCCGAACGAGCTGGAAATAGGGTACATTCCCACCTCGAATGGTGGGCTCTATCCCGGCTTATATCTCTTTTCGGATCCCTCGAGGATGCTACGGCCTGTCAAATACATCCCCTCAGACAAGCTTGACTACGTTGGCCCCTTCGAGCAACAATACATGAATATCGCTTGCGTCGAAGCCGACATCATCCCGAACCTAACAACTCATATCGAGTTCAAACCCACTAATATTCTTTCCATTCTCGCCAACATGACTCCTTTCTCCGACTTCAATCAGTCGCCTCGCAACATGTATCAGTGCCAGATGAGCAAGCAGGCTATGGGGACTCCATCGTCAAACCTGATGTGTCGGACAGACAACAAAGCGTACCTGCTGCAAACCGGCCAGACTCCTGTGGTCCGGCCTCCACTGTACAATGAATATGGTCTCGATAACTTTCCTAACGGTATGAATGCCGTGGTCGCGGTCATTTCATACACCGGCTATGACATGGACGACGCAATGATCATCAACAAATCGTCCCACGAGCGAGGCTTCGGCGATGGAGTCATCTACAAAACAAAGGTCTACAAGCTCAACGAGGATCAGCGTTCAACACGGTCCAAGACCGAGATCAAATCACTGTTTGGTTTTGCTGATGGTGATCCGAACATATCGCCCGAGGCTGTTAAATCTTTGGACCCTGACGGTTTACCAGCTATTGGGACCAAGGTCGGGGAGGGCTCGATAGTATTGGCCTACCACACGGTCATGTTCGATCCCTCGGAAGGCAAGCTCAAGAACCTAGACGGCAACACCATGTACTTCAAATACAAGGATGCCGAGGAAGCATATATTGACCAGATACGGCTGATTGGCGCTGAAAGTGGAGATCAGCCGTGTCAAGCCATCAGCATCAAGTATCGGATACCCAGACGACCCATCATTGGAGACAAGTTCTCCTCTAGGCACGGCCAAAAAGGAGTCTTGTCTATGCTTTGGCCAAGTGCAGATATGCCTTTTAGCGAGTCTGGGATCCAGCCGGATGTCATCATCAATCCCCACGCTTTCCCGTCTCGAATGACGATTGGCATGTTCGTCGAATCTCTTGCCGGCAAGTCGGGGGCTCTCCACGGTCTTGCGCAAGATTGCACGCCCTTCTCTTTCGACGAAGACAACACCGCCGGCAACTTCTTCGGCGACCAACTCCGCCAGGCTGGGTACAACTTTTATGGCAACGAGCCCATGTACAGTGGCATCACTGGCAAGGAGTTTGCAGCCGACATCTACATTGGTGTGGTGTATTATCAACGGCTGAGGCACATGGTCAGCGATAAATTCCAAGTGCGTACGACAGGCCCGGTCAACGCGCTGCACGGCCAGCCCATCAAAGGCAGAAGCAAAGGTGGTGGAATTCGCGTCGGTGAGATGGAGCGTGACTCTTTGATTGCCCACGGGTGTGCATACCTGCTTCAAGATCGTCTTATGGACTGCAGTGACAAGACTCGCGCTTGGGTGTGCCGATCCTGCGGCAGTTTTCTGAGTACCATGATGGTGCCGAATCAGTTCACGGCCGGCAAGAAAGGAGGCCGACTGGAGCCCAGTGGGATGGTGAGATGTCGGGCTTGTGCCAGACAAGCAACGTTCGAAGACAGTAAGATGACAGTTTGGGAGGACGGCGCCGGCCGGAAGTTCGTGGGCGGCGATAACACGACTGTCGTCAGCGTGCCAGGCGTACTCAGGTATCTAGACGTGGAGCTCGCGGCAATGGGTGTTCGGACAAAGTTCGAGATTGAGAATTAGTGCCTACAGTAGATGGCCACGCGTGTGGGCAAAAAGAAAGCTACTTGTTCTACATGGTCACCACCTCATTTCGCGTTTCATCGTTGTCGTCGTCGTTGCCGTGGTCCTTTCCCATCCCCTGAACTTGCTCCGGATTGATCATGCCCAACCGAACCGCAAAATCACCCCTTCCCACCTCCCTGATCAGCTCCTCGGCCATGTCCAATCGGCGCGCATACCTCTTCAGGGCGTCTGGCGCCTTGGCCACCCTGACGATGCGCCCATTCATGACCAGCTCCTCAGCCCTCGCGTTCTCATACACGAGAATCAAATGCCCCGCAATCACCGCCCCGACAAGCGTCGCCTTCTCGAGATCGCTTGCCCCGCCCAGCGCCACGACCGCCATCCACACCATCATCGAGGCCATCCAGTCCAAACAGCCCATGAGCACGGGTAGGGACAGCACGCGTGGTGCAGGCCCCTCGCTCCTACGGCAGGCGAGCCACCGTCCCGACGTCACGGCTTTGAGATCGTCGACCGGGCCCGTCATCCTGGCCCAGCGGTCCTCTGAGAGCAGGATGAGCAAGTCGCCTGGTACGCCTGGCTCGGGGGCGCCGTGCCATTGGGGATTGGCGCGTGTGCGTGTGCGTTCGAGGAAGGCTATTGTCGCGAGGACGCGCGAGAGGAGGAGTAGCGTGAACGAGAGGACGAGGGGTGGTGAGACCCTCACGGCGTCAGAGGACGAGCAGGTCGAAGATATGATCCATGAGAGGAGAGCTATCGTGGGGAGACATGCCATCGAGAGGTGAGGTGATGAAGAGGAGCGTCGTTGAGAGGTCGAGTTTGATGAAGTCCCGCTCCCGCGGGGCTGAGAATCAGACCGAAAGTGTGACTTCGTCCCATCCTCACCCTCGGCATCGCCCACAGACCGCACCACAAAGCGCGTAAGCCATCCCGTGCGGGTCATCTTCTGCAGGAACGCCACGGTCGCAGCATTCTCGACCCGGAAGACGTATCCCGTCGTGAGGGCCGCGCAGGCGGGATATTCGCCCTGGTTGAGCGCAGTGGGATTGAGGGGCGTTTGGAGGCCGAGACATAGCGTGAGGGCTGAGATGCAGAGTGAGAGGTAGTAAGATAGGCGATGGCGATGGCCTGTACCAGTAGCCCCGGCACCCAGCCCCGTTAGGGCGAGGCGTGTGTGGATTGGTGGGACGGGGGTGGGTGTTGCGAGGAGGAGGATTGGGAGGAGGGAGAGCGATAGCGAGAGCGAGAGGTTGATGTCCATGTTGTGGATGATCACCTATGTACAGTATGTATGGTAGGTCATTAAGGTGCTTGGATATACCCGGATTATGCGGTGCATGCGGGACTTGCTAAGTAAGTGACAGGAAGTGACTTGCCCAGCGAGACTCGATCACGATGTACGTTGGGTACATAGTACGCAGAGGAAAAGAGTTACATATACCTAGTACTTGATGGTGATAGCAGACTCAGCATGTCTGTTGGTAAGAGATCGCACGACGAGGCTCACGAGGCTCACAAGGCTCACAAGGCTTAAAAGGCTCACGAGGCTCACGAGGCTGTCACCCGCCGGCCAAATCAAGTTAGCCTGATATATGAACTCGTGGCGATGCTGCCGTCGACTTGGATACGAGTACTGTACTCTATCTTGCACTGCAGGTAGACGCTCAGTCATCATTCGATTGATGTCTTCCTTGTACCGCCAGAATTGGGCAACCTTTCTTCATGGAAGCACCTCATCCGTCAAGTTCAGGATCTCGGTCTACGGTGCCGACTGCCTAGCTGCGATCCAGTTCCAACTTCCGGGTACATAGCGACCCAGGACAGTCAACCTCAACGCTCACGCTCACGTTCAGGCTTATCCCTCATTCCCATGCTCATCCTTGACATCATCGACATCGCTGTCCCCATCCTCGGCATCGATGTTCATCTCCTTCTCCACCAGAGCGTCTTCCAATTTCTTGTCATCTTGACCTTTCTCGACCCATCCAACCAGCGGCTTCATGGTCGTGGCCTCAATTCCACCACTCGTGACGAACAAGAACGTCTCGCTAGGAAAGTTATCCACATGATTGAAGAAGTTTCCAAAGACGTTCTCTTTTTCCTCGTCACGATACATACGCTCGTAGATCTGTTCTTGCTTGAACTGATCCATCTCGGTTTTGTACCGGTCAAAATCAATGGGTTCTTTACCCAGGCTGTCCTTCGCGCGCTTGTTGTACGAGTCAAAGACCGGTCGTTCGAGCAGGAGTCCCAGACTGGGGGCTTTGGGGATGGAGAGTCGAGCGGGACCCATACTCTCCCGCAGTCGGTTCGGATCGCATCCGCAACGCACCACGAGCGCTACCATGCCGACCATCTTGCGGATCTGGTGCATCATGAAGCTCTGGCCGTGGACTTTCATGCTCAACCACTCTGTGCCGTTGATGAGAATGGGCGTCTTGTTGACGACGAAGGATTTTATCACGCGCTTGGCGCTGGGATCTTTATACGTCTTTTGAACCGTGTAATTGTGGTAGTTTCGGGTGCCGACAAAGAGGTCTAGTGTATCTTGGATGCGGTCGAGCCGCTCGGGAGGGATACGATAGGCGCGTTTCGCGGTGATATAGGCTTGTCGGAGACGTTTCACGGCTTCGTCCAGGATTTGACGGCGCGAGGTCTTGGGTTTCTCGGTCGTGTCCGATGAAGTCTTCGTGGATGCGTCAGCCTGCATGGTATCATCTTTGTCCACGGTCTCGCCTGCGGAAGTATTCTTTGCCAGCTCGGGCTCAAGCCCCTTGTCGGCAATTTCAGTATCAGATGGGTCGGCCACAGCTGCCTCGCCTCCAGCAGGTTCAATTCCTTTCATCCATAAAGCCTTCTCCAGTATATCTTGGATTTCTGGATCATACTCTGCGAGAATGGGCTTGATCATCTCTTCGTCTACCTTCTCCCAATACCCCAAGACCTCTTCTTGTCTCTTCCTGTATTCTTCTTGGTCTCCCTTCTTCTCGGCCCACTCGTCGCAATTTCGGCCCAGGAAACTGGTCGGATGTGGCGGTAGGAAACTGTGTGTGGGGATCAAATACTCGTATATCCTCGAGTCCACCAGCTGGTAGGCACTGAAAGCGTTATTCGTCCGTTCAAACCCCCATACTCGGATCTGCGGCGCCAGGTTTTGATTGATCTTCTCCACCACATCGTCGTCTTCGACGATCAATTTGAGCGAGATGACGTTGCCGGCGGCATGGACGCCCTTGTCCGTCCGCGCGCATCTGACAAAGGACGATTTCTTGGGATCGTCGGCGTTGGCCTTGGAAATGGCTCCCGCAGCCACGAACGCTTGGAAGAGGTCGCCCTCGATGGTCTTTTGATCGTGCGTCCTGGGATGCCATTAGCTCGAGACCACCAGCCCCGCCAGTGTTGTTGCCAGGAGCCTACAGCTGCATTCCTTTGTAGCCTGTGCCGGCATATCCGATCAGCACGGCGACCTTCTTCTTCGGCCGTCTCTCCTCAGCGGCGAGTACTTCGTCGCTAAATTTGGTCGCATAGATGGGTAGTTCGGATTCGCCTCGGTCGAGCCGTTGCCGCTTCGCGGCCTGTTCATCCTCGTTCCGCTGCCGCTTGTCTACTTTGTTCTTACTTAGCCAGTCAGTCCTGAAACACCAGACCACAGCACGTGGAGGGAGAGGTCAACTTACGCCCACTCCTTCCTCCCCATATCTCTCTTCTTGCCCGGACGACCTCCTCGACCACCTCTGCCTCCTCCCCGCGCAGCATCATTCTGATCCGCACGTCCTGCATCTGGAGGATGTCGTCCCTGGTCACGAAGTTGGGCGGTCTCGCCGTGTCCTTCACGCTGGGGCGAGGGATCGGAGGCCACGTTCCCATTCGCGGCCGGAGAGGCCGTGGGCGCACCCGGCGCGGCGGCTTGCGGAACGCCAGTCTCCATACTGGCGACTTGTAGAGCATGAAATGAGCGGGTGCGAGAGTGAGCGAACAGATCACAGCGCGACTCAGAGCGCACTTCAAGAATTTTGATTTCTCAAGCTTTCTCCAACATGCGCGCTCGACGCTCCCCGCAAAAGATGCAGCCGTGGCGGCCAGGGGGAAACCGGTCTCGCAGTCTACAGTTGAGCACAGAGATTTGACATGCAGTTGGCCGCTTCGTGTTATGTATCTATTTCGCTCGCAGCTGACTTGAGAGTTCGTGCTCTTGGTTTGACGAGAGTGCTAGTCCGCCGGATCAGTCTATCATAAGCCCTAGTATGCCGCTCCATTCGTCGTAGCCTCCCCCATGGGCTTCACCTCGACCTCGACGGGCTCTTCACCAATACCTCTCTTCTTCGCCTCCTCCAGCATAGCGACCGTGGCAGTGGCTCCGATCCGGGTAACACCAATCGACATGACATACAGCAGGTCATCCAACGTGCGCACTCCGCCCGCCGCCTTGATCTGCACCTCAGGCCTCGAGTGCTTCCTCATGAGCTTCAGCGCGGGCACCGTAGCGCCCTTGTACGTGTACATGCCATTGGGCTGCTTGACGAATCCGTAACCCGTCGAAGTCTTGACGAATGCGACATTGAGCGCCGAGCACATCTCGCACAACTTGACGATGTGCTGGTCGCGCAGGAAATCGTTCTCGAATATGACTTTGAGGATGGCTCCCATCTTGGTCACCGCGGTATTGATCGCCCGGATCTCTTCGGTCACATAGTCCCAGTCGCCGGAGAGGACTTTGCCAATGTTGACCACCATGTCAATCTCATCTCCACCGGCTTCAACGGCCTTCTCTGCCTCGAAAACCTTGACCTCAATGGTGCTGTTGCCCGCCGGGAAGCCAATAACCGGACAGACCTTGACGCCTGATCCTGCCAGAGCCTTCTTCGCCTGAGGGATCGCGTACGCCTTTACACATGCAGTTGCCGTCTGGTACTTTTTCGCAATCTCGAGGCCGTCCTGGATTTCCTGGTCTGTCATGGTGGGGTGCAGTAAGGAGTGGTCTATCATCTTGGCGATCTGTGACAACGTCACCGTGATTGTCGATGGTTCGGACATGTTGCGTTGGAGTTGACGTCTCGACTGTGTCGGTCGGCTTTCTTGCTGTTTCTCACCAGTCGGTTCTCCAATAGTCCAGAGTGCAAGTGACGCTGCCTGCTTTGCTGCCGGGTCTTTGAGCTATACGCTGATGCACACTTCCTGCGATGGGCTGAATTCTACTTTCGCGAAGTCACTGTCATTGTCGTCGACTTCCAAGCCGTATTTAACGATCGTCATGATAGTGGAGGCGGAGAGGCTTCCTGATCTGGACGAGCCGGTCGGCGGCAAGACATCGCCGGAACAGCTACTCACCTTGCGATCGCGCATTTAGGGGGAGGTGACTCCTGACTGTCCATGTAACGGGCGACAGTGACCCCTGAAGCAAGAACAATGCGAGGGTGGACTTGAAATAAGACTTTCGTCGTGTTCTTGTATGCAGTCCACGGATAATTCAAGACGCGCATCGGTAGAGATACTGACTCCGGTAGAAACCGCCTATGTAGAACGCAGGGCGAAGCACCGGACATCGGCGAGTTGAATCGAACATCAATGATTCGTTAGTGGCCAGTAGGCCATATCTGGGAGGTACATTGCCTCGAAGGCTGTGCGATTGTGCTCCTACAATCTGGTACGACTTGGTTATTCAGCAGACAGAGCCAACGTTGCAGTGCCAGGGCCGAATATGAGCTCGCTGGCAATGACCAGAAGGAGCCTTGCATGTTTGGCAGTTAAAAACACTCGATGCGTTCGAATGATACCCTCGGAGAAATCGAAATATTGTCCTTCGCTCGAAGTAGCCAAAGAGGGCGTGAAGCCGCGGATTACCTTGTCTGGCAATTTCTTGTTGCCGCTACAAGCTCAATGACGTGTCCATTGTCGCGGGACTCGAACCGCGAACAGAGAGAAAGGTCTGAAGTCTGTCGACAGCAGACGCTGCTGTTCAATTGAGCGTGTCTATATATTTCTCGGGTGAAAAGACAACGGTCGTATTTGTGACCTGGGCGGACTTCCCCCTGCTCGCAGACTAGCGTTGCTCGAAAGATCCCGGTCCCGTGCCTCATTCCCCCTCTTTTTGGATCGTCTACATCACGAAGCAGCGTTGAAAATTGTAAAAGACAATTGGCGCACACGATTGCCGAATAGGTACATCAAGCAGCGCTCTCCCCTTTTCTATTCTCTGCAAATTTAAGAATAAGAAACTGAAGCCACGCAGCCCCAAAATACCCAACCACCGAAGAGCCGCCTTGATATCACCAGTCGTCCGTTTCGACAAAACAGCACAATGACATACACGGTGTCCGAGATCACGGACCTGAGGATCTATCCCATCAAGTCATGCCGAGGCATACAGCTCCAGTCGGCGCACTTGACCAGACAGGGGCTCGAAATGGACAGGCGATGGATGTTCATTGACAGCCAGAACAAATTCATCACCATCCGCACCAAGCCACAAATGACCTTGATCAACACCGCCATTGACCACGACTCCGACAGTCTCATCATAAGCATTGGCCATGATAAGGATAAGGAAGTCAAAGTCCCCATCCATCCTAGCCAGGAATGGCTCGAAGCAAACACGAAGGACGCTTCGGTCGATATCTGGGAGTATATCACGGACGCTCACGCCTATACTGACCCGAAAATGCTGGGTCTGTTCAAGGAGTTCTTTCAGGAAGATGTACGCCTGGTGATGAAGGGCCCGGAGCCCAGAATATGTCGGGGAAATGGAGACCCCAAGCGTCTGGGACGTACGGAGAGCGTCAACTTTCCAGATGTCCTACCTATCCAGATAGCTTCGGAGGCGTCGCTTGCCGAGCTGAATTCAAGGCTAAAGGAGACGGGCGAGAGCGAAATCACAATCGAACGTTTCCGGCCGAATGTCATTATCAAAGGCGGAGAGCCTTGGTCCGAGGATTCCTGGAAGACAGTGCGTATCAACGGAGATTCCTCGTACTGGACAACCCTTACCGGTGGCAATTTGCACGCCATTGATGTCGACGTGGTTGCAAGATGCGCTCGTTGCACTGTGCCCAACGTCGATCCGGACACGGCAGAGAAGCATCCTCACCAACCTTGGGATCTGTTGGTCAGTTACCGAAGAGTCGACGAAGGTATCAAGTTCAAACCTTGCTTTGGGATGCTGTGTTGTCCCAGGAATGAGGGTCATATCGAGGTCGGAATGCGATTTGAAGTCATGGAGACCACAGACCAGCATAGGTACCAGAAGGGCTTTTGAGCACCGCCAAAGAAGTAGCCAGAAAATACTACACTTGTTTCCTGGTGTTGTGTCTGCACACGCGCGCCGCAAGATGAGGGCTACACTCTAAGAGGCTGACAGCGTCGGGTCAGCCATGGCGTGTAAGAAAAATGGCATCGGCTATACCGACATATCAGTGTCAAATCTGGTCGGGCACTGTGAGGCTCATGTGATTGGTGTAAGATTCAAACGTGGTGCAGGATAGACGCAGACGAAGAGTTGAGCTTTGCAACGGTGAGAGGAGACGATTCTAAGCGACCGACTGAGGCAGTGTGGTCGAACTCATCGTGGGAAATAAAGTGATATTCAACCTGCTTTGCCTGTTACTTGAAAATCTCGCGACCACGACCACTTCGGCTGGAGGATTTGCAGGTTATTGCAGTGCAGCGTGAGCTTCGTTGTAGTCTAGGAAGACGATGGAAACATCCGAATGTGACAGCATGCAAGGAGCTGCATGATGTGAAAGCCGGACTCGATAAAGGTATGCTGCAGGGTTGCCTGCACACCGGGCATGCGGCTGGGTTCAGCTGGCCGGAGCTCAAGCTCTTGACGGCGGCAGCTTGCACCCAAGTAAACTTTGTGAAAATTGATTGTGGGTAGCTGTCGAAGCTCTGGTCTGCCGGTGTTGTGAATCCACATGTTACTAGGTAGTTGACGGGCAGGCGGGCAATGCGGTTTTCTGCCTGCAACTGAGCAAACGATCATCGATCTCGGGCATCCAAACGGTGAAAGAAAAGCGGGATAAAGAAGCTACCTTGGATGAGGTGAGTATGGGGAACTCCAGCTGATAAAGGGTGCCATGATTGGAAGAGTACCTGAATACCAAGGAGAATCCAGCCAGTTAGAGAAGCGGTAATGCAGAAGGATTGTCATCGATCGGAAGCTTTGTTGGCAGCTTTGAGTGGTGTGAGTGAAATGTCAAATGGTTGGAGGAGTTGATGTGGTTCCTGGTGGAAGGGATGCGAGAGCTTTCTGGGAAGAAACTGGTATCGTCAGACATGGGGCAAGCTTGCTTTTGGTGCTGGGATCGCCCGAATCGCGCTTGTCTGGCCCGTGACACTCGCACAGTAACAGAGCTGGACGCCAAAAGGCTAACGAGCGTTGACGCTTGCACCCAGCTTGGGAAGCTGCATGTTGCTGAGCGTCGGAGAGGGGAAAGCACGGATACCCAGGGAAGCTACCACTGCCAATTACAGCACCCCGTTCACCCAGAACCAACCAGGGCAAGCTCCCCAAGCGACAGAGCTTCAGGTGTTCACCCCTCTCTCAAGCTCAAGCTCTTTTTTCATTCTTCAAATTCATCCCACCAACACTCTGCCCTTACCTATCACTCTCCTTCTCTTCACGACAACCTCCCTTTCTCCTGCGTTCACTTCTTCTCGGGCGGGTTCGCAGTTGATTCTGCTGTGCGTGCACTCACGTCGACCCTAATTCACCCGAACGGCTAGTCATGTGAAGGCGGACCCATTATTACGTCGGTTCCCTTCAAGCTCGAATCAGCCAAGCTTGTTGTGGACTGTCCGATCAATGCCGCCGACTTTCGTCCTTTTCTCCTAACACAACCCCCTCCCGCGGTTAGGGCCAGCGCAGAAAGGTCATGCCGCCCAAACCTGCGCTCACCGGCTCTTTTCTTGTGTCAACCGATGCTGAAAATGAGGTTGTGTGTCCGCTGTTCAACCAAGATGGCTCGCAGTGCCGGAAAAGATGCATTGGGGTGCGCCTCTCCCCCAATCAATCGCGCGCGTCGCAGTTTCGCTGACTCGGAGCCCGCAGGAAAAACGCTACAGGTCGATGCAAGAACACATCCGACGCGCCCATCCAGACCACTACATTCCAAAACTGCCGGCAACCGAGGAGAGTTTCCAGTTGATGATCAGCACGCCCCCTTCACAACGTCCGCAAGTGCAGACGGGTGCCGCTCCGCTTCCTGGTCAAAGAGGCCCTTGTATGTTGGCTCAATGACCCCTTCCTTGCCCTCAAACTAAGAGAAGCAGTCGATGCGAGTGACAGTGCCTCTCTACTGGAACATGCAGGGGCGGGCACAGGGGCTCTGGCTGTGCAGCCTCCCGCCGCGGCCAATGCTGCTGTTGCCCTGACGCAAATGCACAATTGGGACTCGGATTTTGTAAGTATGCACAGAGTGAGGACGTCGGTCAAACTCAGGACGGTGCTCATTCTCCACCTCAGGATGTGTTCCCAGATTCAGACTACAAGCGCGACGTATCGACGGGGCTCGAGTTACCATCATTACGTGCTGCCTTCCACGAAGACACGCTTCCACCATTCCAACCTTCCCGTACACGCGAGCTCCTGCCCTCGATTCTGCAGTCGCCGGGAAGCCGATATTCTTCTTTACCACCCATCCAACGACGCGGCGAGCGACTGCCGAGACCGCGAAAGCCATCTATGGGGCAGAACGCTCGCAAAGGCAAACACGAACGCGGAAAATCGAGGGACTTTTCGTCCAAGGAGTTTTCCCGACGACTGAGTGTCGAAGGCCGCAAGGCAATGTCTGCCGAACCACCTACAGCCGCGTGGGTTCAAGGCAAGAGATGGGAAGATCTGATCGAGGCTGCGACGAGTGCTACAGAGGCTGATGATGATCGTGATCTCACTCCCGTAAGTCAGACGACATTTTTCGATTGTCCTCTGTTTACCTGCTGCTGCCAAGAGATCGAAATTCTGTAGATGTACCCCCCGGTGGAAAAGGCCCCAGAAGGGATTATTGTGTTGTACTATCTTGCTGTCACTATTATTGCCAAACCAACAACGAACGAACGACGGTCATGTCCTATTCTACCCGCACGACAGGCCAATAGCCGTACGCGAGCGAAGTTCACTCTCTCGGGCAAGAGGAAATCCTGCATTGGTCGGTCGCTGGTTATGGGCCGTGGGAATCCCGGAAGATCTTGACTGATGCTTCTGGAGGACCACGGCTTCATGGACGGACAGATTCAATGTGCGGATGACGAATGTCCGATAAGCGAATTCTTGCCAGCGCGAGAGACGCAAAAGCAAGTTGCTTTTTTATTCTCTCGGGTCGGTCAGGCCACATGCGGGCGATGAAACGAATTTCTGGGGCGATCGGGCCAGGCGCCTTGAAAAAAAGCCATGTGCCGGGGGTCTGTCACCAAAAAGTTTATGCACCCTCAGTTAATCTACTCTAATGTGTACACCAACCTCCTCACTTTCCGGTTCCTTTTTTGCGTTAGACTATCGATAATCAACCTTGCTAACATGCCCTTGGCACTCAATCACAGATGCCGCAGTCGCCAAACTTTCCGCCCTCCACGACTGCTGCCGCCACCGCGGCCAGCGCGGCCACCACCGCCACCACCCATCCCACCACGTCGGTCGATCGTAGGCTATCCGCCGCGGACAGCATCTCGAGTGGTGCGAACAAGCGTTCGTCCCTACCGCCCGGCTTCCGGCCCTTTAGCCATCACCTGCAAGGCCAGCATGGGCAGTACAATGCCTCTCCGCTGCAGCGCACACTGACTCCACCGCCACCTGATGCTCTAGGTCCAAACGACCCCGAGCCCTTCCCTTCCGTCGAGTCACTGGAGAGTGCGGGGTCCGGTCAGAACTTCCACATCTCAGGATCCGGCCTGCCTACGTCGGCCTCGTCTAACGAGAACACTAGCCCGCTGCAGTACCATTCACACCCATATCAGCACTCGCAGTCGTCTTCGTTCGGCAGCAAATCAGACGTGCTGGAAATTTACTGCGCGTCGTGTGGACGGCCGTGGCTCCTCAAAAATGCGTTTGCCTGCACCGAGTGTGTCTGTGGCGTCTGCAGCGACTGCGTCGGACAGATCATCAGCAGTCCTGTGGTCACTGTCCAACCAGGATTCGCACCGATGCGCCGCGGCTGCCCCCGCTGCGGAGTCATGGGCGGGAAGTGGAAGGTACGTGTGTGCTTCTAGTTAGGCCGAAACCGGGTTGACGAGTTTGCAGCGATTTCAGCTCGATTTTCGATAACGCTCAGCCAGCGGTCTCGAGCTAGAACATCCCCTAGGGCGCTTTCCGCATGGGAGGGGAGCGGAGGATCGTACGATAGCCCCCCTACCCATCTCCCGATCCAGCAGCTAGGGAAGGCGCGCCCAGGAGCGCCCAAGCGAGCATGACTGAGACAAATAATGATCCTGTCAGCCGTGAAATTACCGCAGACTCCGCTGAGCGCCGAGCCAACCGGAGGCGACAGGAGAGCAAAAATTATCGCTTCTCCCCTCGCGGAACAGGTCGGCAAAATGGAGCCAGCAGACCCGAAACAGTAAATATAGAAGCCCTCTCCCAGAGAAAAATGGGGAGCGGCACTGGAAGAAGGTATAAGCGACGACTTCCGAGTCACGCAGCATGACTAGTTACTTGGTCGCAGCTTGCGGACGGTGGACCGGGGGGATAGCGACACAGTAGAGTTACCCTTAGCAGAGGTGAGGAGGGTGGAAGGGTCACGCGTCGTGTCCAATCGCTTCGACACGCTCTTCTTGCGCAATGAGGACACCGTGCAGGGCGCCGAGGAGGTTCAAGGACCTGAAACCCAGATTGGACAGGAAATGGTTCGACCAGCCAAGGGTAGCCATAGCAGCGCTGCAAGCCTCCCGTACCAGGCCCCCCTGACCGCCCACTGGCGGAGTGGACGCTGGCTGCAGACGCGGCTTGCACAAGCTAAAACTTGGAAAGTGGCACTCCACTCGAGCGCCACAAATTGTCCATGGCTGACCTCATGAAGCGAACACGTCGGCGATCGACGACCCATTGCGCGACTCGTATGATTCAATGCGAGCACGAGAGGCCACTCCTGTGAACACAGGACATCTGGACAAAAGGATCTCAAAGTTAGCTGCCATTTGGCATCTCAATGGTGGCCTTGGCCCGAAACAGCGTGGCTACCACTTACGTTATGTCTCCTCAGCAGCTGATGCGGATGACGGGACGGGGTGGGAAGTGGGAATTCTGGGAAAGACATGCAGAGTACGATAGCCTCGCATGGGCATGACACCCTCTTGTGTGCAAGGACCGAGGGAAGTGGTCTCTGTGGGTGCTCGCAGAAGGTACCCGGGCAAGCGGACGGTGGCTGAACGAGCGTGGGTTGCATGCGAGGTGGTGGACTCTGGGCCGGCTGCAATGTCCGCTCTCCTGCTCACATATCTTCTATTGGTCTTCTTCCTTTTCTTGGTCTTTGACCACGCATCGGGCGTGCATGAGAGTTGGCACCTGCTGCCTCCCTTATGCAGACCACAGTGTCGTAATTATTCGCTCATCATGTGAAAAGCATTGAATGCGAGAATGGGGGTATCAAGAACAGCCCTGCAGGGCAAGCACCCGCAGAGCATGCTGGGAGGGGTATGGATCTTCGGCCTGCACACCAGCAGATCGGCGGTGACAGTATGTGCTACAGAGCACGTTAGAGAGTACCTAACCGATGTACGGGGTATGGTGTGCGTCTTGGAAAGTAGTTACATTATTTAGTCCTGGGCAAGAAAATCCTTCTTGACTCCCTGGCTTGGACACCCAACCAGACCAGTCTCACACTTTTGCTGGCGCAATTCCAACGGCAAATGCGTGTGCTGATAATAAAGTAACTTTCCGACAATCAATATCTGTTGTTCTACACAGCACATGTCCTCGATATCTAGAGATCTGTGCTGTGATGAAAGTCGAATTCTTGCGATCTTAGGTCTCCCTCTGCGCCGGTGTCGTTCCCGGGGGTACCCAGTAAACCTGATGCCTTCCAAGCCACTTCAAGGCTCTGAATCGATCTACTGTGTAGGCTTGGATTCCTTCGTCGTGCGGACGTCCAATGTCCACGATCTGTACTGCGTAGGATGTGCCGGTTGCGCGCACACACACTACGACAGCATATTTATCTTCTGTGCTCTGATATATAGTAATCAGGGGACGGTTATCTTGTACTTGCACCTGCGACGGCTAATTAGCCATTACAAGGGGCTATGACAGCGGCTCACCCAGCAGGATGTCCACTGGAGCATCTGCGACAGCTACAGTATCCTCACGCTCACGACACCGCATGAGGCTCTGTGCAGTCGCCCGGGCTATTGGTAGACCATGTTCTAGACCGATATGTCAACATTGTCCCATTGTTTCGGTGAAAAGTGCAGCCGTTCCTGTAGACAATCGGTTCTCCAGCCTTAACGGCAGCTAGGATGCCACGCGAGTCGGCAGCAGCCAGCTCTAGAGGAGCTTTCCCCAGATCTGGTGCCATTTCAGGGCATGTCCGGTGAGGCAAGCGAGCCGAAGGCGCAGCTGATTCGGGCTGAAAGTGCGCCCGGTGTTTAGCCGAACTGCCTTTCGCGTCTTGACCCGAGCTGCGACAATCGTAACTCACTCTCACCACCACCATCTTCCGGATCGACGGCATCATCTCTTTCTGCGTCCTCTGCACTCACAAAAATCATGGCGGGCCCAGGCAGTGGACGCGACCAAAACTCCAACGATCCGACAGGCAATTTCGGGGGCTCAGGTCTTCCGCAATTCGGTTCATCCTACTACCCCATCGACACTGAGCTGACGAACCCGTCGGCCAGCTACAACCTCCCCACCTATGCACGACAGCTGGAAGATGCGGCGACCTCTGAAGAGAAGATAGAGCATGGGAACATCAACAACATACCTATCGACGCGAATGGCGCCGCGCCTTCATCTGTGCTTGACCCAGCAATGGCCCCTCCCCAAACACCAAGTCAACCTGCATTCATGCCCACTGGAGGTCGCTCTAGCCTTGATGCGTCTGCTGACACACCGCAAGAGCCCCAGACTGGAGACAAGCGAAAGCGCTCCAAGGCATCTCGTGCATGTGATGAGTGTCGCAGAAAGAAGGTACCGTGCCCGCTCAAAAACTCAGACAAGCGTGCTTTGATACTGACCTTCCTTCTCCAGGTCAAATGTGACGCGCCCACCGAGGCTGACGGTACCCCAAAGACTTGCACCAACTGTCAGAAGGCCGGCGTCAACTGTGAGTTTGAGCGGAAGCCTATGAAGCGTGGCCCAAGCAAAGGGTGAGTGGACCAAGACAGATGTTGTCCATCAACGCGGTTGTCGCGAGGAAACTGACACACGACTTAGATACATTAGCCAGTTGGCCGAGAGAGTCCAAGGACTAGAGCAGAAGCAGCGACAGTCTCTCGACGCTGGTCAAGGCGGGTTCGCCGAGAGCTTCTCCCCTGACGACCAGACTGGCTCTGGTTTTCAAAACCGTGCCCCGTCTTTCTCTGCACCTGCAAACTTCAACCCATTTTCAAGAGTCGAGTATCAGCGCGATAGGATTCCAAGCGTCGGTTGGAATGCTCAATCACCTGGTTCCGCTCTTCGATCTCGAGCCATCGGGAGTCTTGCAATCGCGCCGCACGAGTCCTTCCCTACCTCATTTCTTGAAGAGGCGCCAAATCTGAAATTTCAGGTTCGCGATCCTTCTCAATCTTTCTTCGGCGAAATCTTCGGCTCTCGTCCCTCCAAACGCCAGCGTACTCAAGCACCCGACGACGACATGCCGGCGGTACAGGCTCTGAACCTGGACGATGCTTTCCTCAGCAACTACTACCAGCAATACCATCCGCTGGTCGCGCTACTTCCTGATTCTCGCAAGGTCATCGCCATCGTTTCCGAAGCAGATCCCGTGATGCAGCATGCCTTCACTACCGCCATTGAACTCTTGCCAGACCTTCGAGCCGCGCCCACAGTCAACGGTAACCACGACGCGAACATGACACTGGACCCAGCCATTGATGTGCCGAGAAAGAGCCTCAAGTCTGATCGTTTCCCAACCTATGACGCCCTGCAACAATATCTTTTCGCTCAGGGTACCGGAACCGCGTTACACCGCACTGAAGAGGAGAACCTCACAATGGTTTGGACTATGGCCTTGCTTGCGATGGGCGCGGAAAATCACGTCAAGCTCTTGAAAAACAGTTCCCCCCTGTCCAAGTCTGTCATGCTCCCACTAGCCCGATTCGTTCTCGAACAAGTTCGCACCGACAATGCTGGAATTCCAACCTCTGTCGCCGATCGACCACGACAAACCACATATCCCGATGAGGTGACTCAGGCCCACAATTGCCTCGGTGTCATGATCCAATACCACGCCCTAGGTGTCGGTCTGCCTGCGTCTGGTCTGGTCCCAGCCAACTACCCCGTCAACGTCCGAGATTTTGACGCAAAGAAAACCACACCCGAGGCAGCCTACATCGCCAGCAGCTCGAACCTCATCGAGTTGCTCTGTCACGTTGTGCTTGAAGGTGAAAGCACCCGTGAGATCCGTGCTCTCGGTGGCTTCCTCCTTCAACGACACTTCGACACCCATCTCAGTCTCTACGGCGGCTCTCTGCGAGATACCAGCATCGCGAGCCAACTTCACTGCTTTCTCGAGCTGATCATTGCCCCGTTCCCATACCTGCCCCCTGGTGCCTCTGCGCCACTCTTCCCCGTGGTCAGTGCTCTGACCTGGGCTGACAAGTTGACGACGGTCCTCATCAGCGACGCGCAGGCAACCTCGGCTGCTCCGCGCTACAACCCTCTCGACGTGCACACCTGGTCGCTCGCGACGACCTCTCTCTGCCTCTTCGCCACCGACGCCAGCACTCGGGCACTGGCCGAGTTCGCTGTGAAGCGTCTCGATGAACTGCGTGCGGAACTTCAGAAGAAGTCCGACGCTTTTCATCGGACCTTCGGTCTCGAGTGGTTCTTTGGGGGGAGGATGGAGCCGTGGGCGGACGTGCTCCTGGCGATGATCGACCAGGCGAAGGGTCGTGCCGCTGCTGCCGCGGTGGGTGACGGTGGCCACGATGTGGTCGCCGTCCCCAACATGGAGCAGGTCATGATGAATGGCCTGTTGAACGGCGTGTTGTTCTTTGCGAAGAACACGTGAGCGGCGGCGGTGGTGTTTGGCCTCGGTGGGGAGGAGGTGCATAGGGACGGGAGGGGGTGGGGAGGGGGGGCGACCCTGTACATAGATGTACAGTCGCTGGCGTTCTGCGAGGACGCATGAGCGTCGACGACGCCGTTGGCATTCAACGGCTGCCTAAATGGCATTTACGTTCAAAGAACGCGACTGTCTACGTGTTGTTCTTTATCCCCGTCGTACCCATTGTAGACAATGCGTGATACCTAACACATACCGATATTACATCTGACTGGAGCAGCCTCCCTTCCAGCCTCTATCGTTGCTGCCGTCGCCACCGTCGCCACCGCCGCCGCCGCCAACCACCAGGACACACTTCTCGACATCCTAGCCAAGGCTGACGAGACTAGAGAACGCCTATCTGAGCTGCCGGCACACCTATTATCGACGGCGAGAGTCGTGTACCCCCTTCCTTGGTACAGCGTCATGAACAAGACGTGACCGAGGAGTCTCTGAGATATATTTGGCGTCTCTCCTACACACCACGACAATTCATTCATATCGTCGTCGACAAACGACGCCCTGTCTATTAGGCCTCGTAGGCACCGGTCGTGAGGCAGGGCCGCTGACGCCAACATCCATCGCGTGACATCTCCCGCCCAACAACGAGGACCCGCTCGTTGATCAACGACGTTTTCTGACAAAAGAGGCGGGGCACACCTGATTGTGTTGAATACATATGCAGAGAGGCAGGGCGGGGCGCGGATCACAAACCGACACTTTGGGCGCCGACACTTTGGGCGCCGACACTTTGTGTTGGCTGCTGCTGCTGCGGCTATTGCTGTTGTGGGGAGCCTCGTTTGTACAGTACAGGCATCATACATGCATATACACACGCCTAGGTACTTACGCTGTGGAGATCCTCGTTTGTACAAACATCTTATATCTATACGTACATACGTACATTGTGGAAGTGGATAGTCAAATCAACTTCCAACATCCAACATCCGACCTCCACCATCCATCACTCGATCTTCTCGACTGTCGAGGGAGACGCAACACAGCATTGCTTCTACCATGTTCCAAACCGTTTTCTCATATCTATAGTTCGTCGTGCTGGTATATATCTGCGCCAAGGCCATCCGAGTCTTGCAATTCTACGTCCTCTACTCGTCCGATCTCTCGCAATACAAGCCCCCCTCCGGCGGCGGCCAGCCGTGGGCCCTAGTGACCGGGGCGAGTGACGGCATTGGCAAAGCTTTTGCGCAGGACCTCTGCCGGCGGGGGTTCAACGTGATCATCCACGGCCGCAACGAGGAGAAATTGCGACGTGTGGCCGGGAAGCTGGGAAAGGCTCACCCCAAAAGGGAAATCCGGCTGCTTGTCATCGACACCACGATGATGGCAGCATCCTGCTGGACTGACGAGACCGACAAGATGGTGCTGGATGTCGTGGACGGTCTCGAGCTCACGATTCAGATCAATAACGTCGGCGGTGCCGGCAGCGCGGGCGGTGGTGCGCGGCGGCGTGCGTGGGCGACCGTCGCGCAGAGGTCGGCATCGGAGCTGGACGCGCTGATCAACCTCAACGCTCGATTCATGCCGCAGATGACGAGGGTGTTGATCCCGGTGCTGGCCCGGGGACGGGGCAACAAGGATCTGCTGATGCGGCAGAGGAGGCGGCGGCACAGGGCGGCAATCGTCAACGTTAGCAGTGGTTGCCGAGTTGTTGCCCGCGCCGTACTTGGTCGTCTACTCGGCTGCGAAGGCGTATGTCTCGCGGTGGAGTAGCTCGCTAGATGCGGAGCTACGAGGCGAGGGACTCGAGATTGATGTCCACTCTCTGATCGTGGGAGCTGTGGCCACGCCGAACGCGGGCCACGATGGATCGATGGCGGGCTTGTTCTGTCCCGACGCTGAGACTTTTGCCACAAAGGCGTTGGCCAAGCTAGGCTGCGGGCATGTGGTTTGTACGCCGTACTGGCCGCATGGGTTGCAGGTTGGGGTTATGGCTTGTTTGCCAGAGTGGCTGGGGGCCAAGTTCATGCGCGATACGGCGAGGCAGGCGCTGGCGAGGATGGAGAAGGCGCAGTAAGAAAGGAGATAATATGGTGCAGCACAGAGAGCATGAATTGGAACTGGAGCTGGAGATACAGCTGCGAAGGCCGTGGGTGGTTGAAGTGTGCTCGGAGTTGCGAAGGGCCAGAGAACAAAGGCGTCCGGTTACATGCAGAACCTAGATGCTCTTTTACAATCAGCTCAAGAAGCATCACCGTGAGTGAGTTGCCATGGCGGGTTTGTGTTTTGTCCGCCACCATGCAGCCTGGACGCTGCGGCTCGTCCAGCCTCCTGTCACAAGCTTCAAGCCAGGCCTGATCCTCTGCCGGGGCTCGTCGGACCTCTCGATCGCAGAGAAGCTCTCTCGTCACAGCTGGCCACCAGCTTCCAGCCTCATCTGTCGTGCTGTTGGCACCTTGATATTCCACTCTTGAATGCTCCTCCTTCCAGCCATCGCACTGTCCTCCTTCCTAGCTTCGCAGCTCCAGTGGTGCCAAAGTCCCACCACGGTTCCCTCGATAGGGCAGAACAAGGAGCGAAGTATCGAGAAAGGCTCACTGACTTTCGAAAGCACCTTCATTTGCTAGGAAGTACGGGTACCCGAATTAGCGGAAAGAGATGTCAGGTTCTGATTGCCGCGCAGATAGAGATGTACCAGGACCTGTGCCACAGTATAGAACAACCACCACATCAGGGGTTGCTGATCTCGACCTTCCAGCACGTGCATACATAGACCTTCCAATTCACCGCTCCCGTCTGCGCATATGCTAATACCATACATGTTGAGACTGCTTGCAATTGGGGATGATCAAGGCCTGGGACTCACAAGCTGGACATGGTATTTCAAGACGATACAGCGGCGGACATTCGCGATATCGGTTTTCAACACGACAAGGATACCTATCCACATGTCTGAATCCTCTGGAGGCGCACAAGGAAAGAGACTGAAGGGTCGTTCTATAGGAGGTGTTTGATGCTAGAGGGGACTGGTCCTTCCATTGGCGAAGTGTAAGGCCAGCAGGTAGCGAACGCTGCGAAGATCATACATGAGTACGTGGAATGAAGGGCCTTAACAAGGGTCAGCTCGATGACCACCGTATGATGTATATCAGTCATCGTGGGCTCTAGAACTCTGCGGGTCAAACGACATGGCTAGGCTGCAACATGTATCAGATTGGAGCTTGCTTCTTGATTCTCGAGTAGGGTTGAAGATCCTCAAGAGGTCAAGAAAAGTGCGACTCCTTCGATCCATATCTACTGTAGCCCCAGCACCTAGGCATTCTCTTACAGGTCCTACAGTCCACAGGGATACATAAGCTTTCGTGTCCTGATGCCGAGAATATGATAGCTTCCCTTCTCGGAGTAGTCCGTCCAAGATCGGCGCCATGGTCAATGATTCTCTTGCATTTCTCCCATCATGACAGTAGGCCCATACCTCATTTACGTGGGACTTTCTCGGCCTTCGCCGGCAACCGACAGGCAGGAGCGTGAGCGTGAAGCGTTGGTTTTACAAGTACGCACTGCACGGTGAGTAGGCGTGGTGGGATAAGGACCAGTCGAAAGTTGCTGCCTAGGGTATCTCGTCAGCAGGGAGGAGAACCTTCCGGGATAAATCACGGTATATCAGACATTGGGAAAACAAAACCCAGCATGCTTCTGAGACCAGTACAGAACGTGCCTGCATAGCCCCAGACGAGACTGCAAAACCATGGTCATGTCGACGACAACCGAACTCCAGCAACCAGAGTTCACCAAGCTCGAGCTCCGTACAGCCTACGGCCCGGTGTATCGCAATGTGTCGACAAAGGCAGCGCGTGACGCACGGGCGGACGAGATCCCCTTGATCGATCTCAGTCCGATCTACGGAGACGCGGATGCCCGCAAGGCCCTCGCCCAGAAGATCAAAGTCGCCGCGGAGAATACTGGGTTCTTCTATATCCAGAACCACGGCATCCCCGACTCGGCCATTGAAGGAGCCCTGAACGCGTCCAAGGCCTTCTTCGCACAACCGGACGACAAGAAGCTGCTCGTGTCCAAGCACAAGGGCAAATGGTACAACGGGTATGCAGGCAACGGATCAGGGATGGCTAGTCCATCAGAAGGACGTCAGTATCGATCGCCCTGAGTGATTTGAACTCCAGTCACTACAGTAACATATATTGACCGTGCATCGTAGTGGACTATCGGGAATCCTTCTCTTGGCGGTACGAACCACAATACGACCCTGAACCGAAAGATCCCAATGCTATACCGGCCGAAGTCCAGCCCTACATCCGGGGCGAGAACTACGTGTGGGAAGGCACAGAGCATCTACCGGGCTTCAAAGACGGCTGCATCACCTACTGGCAGGAGTGCCTCAAACTGGCTCGGCGGCTCGTCAAGCTCTTCGCGCTTGGTCTCGATCTGCCGGAGGACTACTTCGACTCGGTAACGACGTACCCGGGGAGTGACGGTGTGTTTAACTTTTATCCCGCCATGTCGGCGGAGGAAGCGGCCAAGAGTCAAGATATCGGGATTGGCTCGCATACCGATCTGCAATGTTTCACGTTGCTCTGGCAGGATATGAACGGTGGGTTGCAGGTGCTGAGCAACGAGGGCGAGTGGATCAAGGCGACGCCGCTCGAGGGCACGTTTGTGGTCAACATCGGCGACTATCTGATGCGGTTGACGAACGATCGCATGAAGTCGACCGTTCACAGAGTGTACAACCGCTCTACCGTTGACAGGTATGTCACACTTTCCAGGTCCTGTCATCTTTAGGTCCTACTGGCTGACGTTCACGAGGTATTCCATGCCGTTCTTCTTCGGCTTCAACTTCAACGAGAAATGCGGAGTCCTGCCGAGTTGCATTGACGAAGACCACCCGGCCAAGTACGAACCGATCTCGTGTGGAGATTGGTGTCAACTCAGGTTTCAGCAGACCGATGTGGACACAAAGGTATCACCTTACTGAAAAAATGGAATAATTGGGCTTCGGACTGGCTTAAGAGGTGATGGGGCCAATAGCCGTGCCTGCAAGGGCTGCTTTTGAAGGACCTGTATCAAATTGCCACTATGGGCCCGATGCAAGCCCAAGGTTCTTCATGGGCGCAGTTGTAGTATATAATGGTACCAGCACCCAACTATAGTTTCGAGGCCCAATCTGGAGCTTTATCGTTCTGTTCGCCAACGTCCAGTGCGACCAAAAACCGACTGACCAGATTATAACTCGCAACGGTGGCCGTGAGCTCCACGATCTCCTGCTCATTGAAGCCCTGCGCCTTGACTTCGTCAAACAGACTTTGAGGCACTGAGACGTCCCGGGTCATGGCATCAGCGTATCTCAGGACAGCCCACTGGCGATCGTCCAATGCGCCTTTTCCTGTTGGACGCAGCTGCTTCACGACCGCCAGTTTCTCTTCTGTGAAACCGGCCGATTTGAGGAGGATGGGTGCATGTGCGTTCCACTCGAACCAGGCCTTGTTGATCAGAGCAGGACGACAGATGGCAATCTCGCGGATGTCATCTGGCAGAGAATTCTTTGTCCGCACGGCTCCAAGGAGAGCATTCCAGCCTGTATCTCATTTTAGCGATCTGTTCCTGACTCGTCACTTTTCGAGACACACCATCTGCGATTTTGGGCGCATGCAACAAGGTCAAGTCCAACGGTATGAGGCCCATGGCTCCCCGACGTGCCTTGACCCGCTCGAGCACCTCCTGGTCCTCTGCGGACAGGTTTGTGGGCGGGTTCGGCACATAATCGAGACGCATGGTGTCAGGCTGGGATTTTGCTTGTTCGGATCTGGTCTGTCAGTATATAATGGACGTTGCTGAACCACTCAACCGCCCTCGCGAGTCTCAGCAAGGCGCAACGCGAAGATTATTTATTCTTCCAGCACCGAGGTGAAATACCCCGCTGTCGACCGCATCAGATACCGATCCTCGCCGTGTGCGGGGAGATGTTTTTGTTCGTCATCTTCCCCAATAATCAGCGGAAACCAATTCCACAGCTTGGAGGCAGCGCCATCGAGGAATCAAACGCCCCAACACACTGCTCTTGTCAGTAAGAGTGATGGTGTCTCGCTGCTGTCAATCCAGCTCTGGGAAGCCATTGAGATGCATGCGGACGTCCTCCGAGTGAAGACAGTCATCCGCGTCCATCGAGATGAGAAAGACAGCAGACACGTCATAGAGCATGTCCACCGTGGTGAATGCACGAATGTAACGTACCCCGTAAGCATACTCTGTAAGCACACCCGGGACCTTACCGCGCATCTTGGTCCTTGGAGGGAGAGCTTTTTACACATTATTACTCCGTACCCAGTCTGACTTTCGAATTGATATCTTTCCCATTTCCTTCGTCGTCGTCGCCTTAAACCACGAAGTGAAGTCCAATTCTCGGACGACCCACTGATCGTGGAACGAAGGGTCAGAGACCCGCAGTTTCATGCCCGGACGTCGAGATTATGAATCACCACAGGTGAGTTGCCCAAGCATGGTGGAAAACAATCCCATTTCCAAGGCCCGAAGAGCTGGAACGGCAGCCTATCTTATTGGCGCCAGGAACCTTGTGGACGCGTGATTTGCGCCGGAGACAGCGGATGTTTGCAGTTGCCAGGACTGGCCTTGGCCAGAGGCAGCGAGCATCACGGGGCTCATGCCAATGGTCCTGCTTATCTCATTAGTCACGGACAGCGGTTGAAACCTGCGCAAGTGACTCGAAGATCGAATGCAGCTCCCCCCTCTGTCCTATGAGCATCGAGGAGCAGCTCCTCAAACACCTCCAACAAGGTTTCTCCAAAAGACCGACGGCGGTTTTAAGGCCCTCACCCTATACAAATCTCACTGGCGCGCACACCTCAAGTTCAGAGCGACGACCAAGTCCGCGCGCATCAGGCTACGTTTCTCGCTTCCGGCAGATGCCTGGGCGAGCTTGCTAACCATAAGATTTGATCACGTATCCAGTCAGGTTAACATTTCGCTGCGACGCGAGTCCGGTTTCGAGTGCGATTCGCATCCAATCCTCCACCCTCACCTCATCCTCCGCCCTGTGTGCCGTCACGAGACGAGGGAAACATACATACCATCTTGCCCTGTTGAGCCATCTTACTGTCCAAGCCATCGCTCTTGCGTCACGTCGATCTGTCCAGTCACCGTGCTGTTCTTCTGTGACTAGCATCACCTAGGCCGGAAGTCGTTATCGTCTGCATCCCGCCTGCTTCCTATCGAAACCAACAGAACATCGTTTCCTGCCGCACCCAGCAGGCTCGCAGCTACTTAATCCCGATCTTCCCCAGACCCGGTTCACTTCAGTCCACATGCCTGGAATTCGTACGTATCTGCTCTAACTCTTTCTTCTTCCACACTGCTTCCGCTTGCCCGAATTAGTTCCCACACGCACCCGGTACCCGTACTCTTCTGACCGCAATCTCTTAATCGCAGCCCTCGACGCTATGGATAAAATCAAGGCCCTCTTCAAGCGCAAGAAGGACAAGGAGAGCAGCACTGCTGGCACCAAGACTGATACCAATGGAACTGCTGCCGCTGTGCCCAAGCCCACCCCGACAGACACCGCGGCCGCTCCATCTACCAGCGACCCGGCTGCACCTCCTGCTAGTGAGTAGACACGCGTCCGTTTCTCTCCTCCACGCGGATTACGCTGACATGTTTCTGTTCCGCAGGTGCTGCCCCTGTCGATGCTTCCGCACCTGCCGACCCTGCGCCGGCCAACACTCCAGCTGCCAAGTAGATCGCGGCCTATCGGAACGGTTACGGTGCTTGATGGATGGCTCAGGAGCTCAAGCCATACGACATGGAATCAATCCTCGATGGAGAGCGACAGTTTTCCACTTGGAGGCTTCCTGTCGTCAGTTGAGCCTCAACCCGGTCGACAACGCAGATCACCCCCCATGCCATCTCGCGCAAATTCGGTATTCTCCTTGAGCCAGTCGACCAGCGTCTAATCAACCATTATACCCCTTTGGCGCTGACACGAACCTTGCAAAAACAAACGATACCCCTCCTTCAGTTCAATCACATTCCTTTCAGCAGAGCGAGCTAATGAAACAATCCATACCACAACAATCAGACTAATGGGTCGGAATGGCCGGACAGAGAATATTGCTTTCCCTTGAGCCATCAGTTGAAATTGAGATACCCCAACCGCTTCGGTTTCCCAGCGAGCGAACAGCGAGGCCGCATCATCCAGCTTCAGAGATACCCCCAAAGTCCTTCAGATAGTCAGCCTTTTGCTTAGGCTAGTAACAGGAAATGCAATTGTTCTTGCTCTCATGGAATGTTTGATTGAACTGTAATACATAAAGTGGCGTCGCTGCCTTCAAATCAACGTGATATCGCGACCAGCTAGGAACTCGCGTGCTTGCGCATGAAAATCCCTCTATATCGCTCCCCAGTGTTTGTTTTTGGGCCTCCATTAGACACACCCGCATGTCTGTCGGCCCACGCATGCTTCCTATTTGCTCGCTGCTGATTTGGCGTGTCACTTGCGTGTCTCCTGCCATATGAAGGCGTCGACTGCGGAGAGTTCGAATGCTTGAGATCGCTCTCCGGCAAAGTCCACGTTTTGTTCATCCGTGAGTATAACAAGCCCCCATGTCCGGTATCGGCTCGCTCCGAGGAGACCTTGCCAGGACGTGTCCAGCAGAAAGACGACGCAATTGATATCCGTCGCTGGATAGAGTAGATTCCCATCAGTAAGTGAGAGAGGTTTTGAAGAGCCAACTCGGATACATCGCCGTGACTCGCGAACGCGCCCCCTTCTCGTCGGCCCTCTTCTCGCGACCGCTGCCGTATCAATCAGGGCAGATTCACATCCAGCGTGACCAGGATCGAAGAATCCTCCTTTTTCCTGCCATTTGTACCATTCATCCCGCCAGTCATGGAACTCTTGCTCCGTAGCGACTGGCCACTTTTAGACGTCGGTCGTGAGGCCGGGTATATCCGTATCGAGCGCTTCGATTTATCGCCCGGGATGAGGGACAGCAAGATATCGTGATGCTGTGAAGATGGGTGCGCCGTGCCGTTCTGATCGCCACCGATGATATGACTGGCCGGGGCCCCATTGCCGTTGACAAGCTGTTGCGAGCCAGCCATGCCGAGAGGTCGGCCGGCCAGGGTATGAGGGAATATCTCGACAATGTGATCGCTGAGCCCTCGCGAGATGTTGTCTAGCGCGCTTTGTTCGAGTTGGATCTCTTCAGGGGACATGAGGTTCTCGGGCGGGATCGTGTGGCCGGCGCCCCATGTTCCGTAATGTTGGGTCGAAGGGTAGTCGTCGTAGAGGAGTCGTTGGCGATCAGCCTATATAATGTGACGAAAAATTAGTCTCCTCTTCTTGCCTGGGGAGTTTGGGTGGTGATGGGGGAGAGAAAAGACCGAGCTTTACATACGTCAGCCTGGTTGTGACCACGCAGGCCCAGACAGGAGAGGCAGACTCCCATGATGGCGCGATGCCCTTGTCATGAGAGTGTGATGGTTGAAGCAAGCGGCGCCCTTGTCATACATCCGGTGGCCTCATTCTGAGGGAGCGTCTACGTTTTCATGGGGTGGGAAGGAAAGTATCGAAAGCCTCTTCAAAGCGCCGAACAGCTGAGCAGTAGCAGACACCCAAGGGTGATACTCGTACGAAGTTCTGACGCGAGACAAGACATCATCTGGTTCGCCGGGGGTTTGCTTGATTTCGCGCGTCGCCAATGTTTTTCCGATCCGATGACTTTGGAACCTCTCACGCTCCAATTCACCTTCTGCTCACATCTACCTAATTAGATTACGAGGTCTTCGAGAACGAACAACATGATTGCGATGAACTGGTTGATCCTAGAGGGTCAACGAAGGCCGCTTTAGTCTGAGCATCACTGAGCCTTTGGCTGAGCTTCACTGAGCTTTCAGAGAGCGCTCTCCTCCCACTCATGCAACGTCAACGCTGATCGCAGCCAAACAAAGCGGGTGAAGCGCCTTGCGGCCAGGGGCCAAAAATGTTCCCGACCTCGACGCAAAGGCAGTTTTGTCCTGCCCCTATCGTTTACCGCCTGATGTGGCCGCGATACCACCGGTAACTGTCATTCAGGTCGGCATGCCAGACTCCCGACTGCTTGTCGTCATGTCAATGTGCATCGTTTTGCTCTACAGGACCAGCCTCTCCTACCAACAAATGAGTCGCCTCTACATTTACAACTGTTGAAAAATACCAGCTTCATCACGAAGCACTCTGCAGCTGGCATTGCACATGAGGGCTGCGCCGCCATGATATAGAAACATTGCGCATACAGGTAGGCGCCGCGGGTTGACTTGTCTGAGACCACCACGCAGATCGACTACAACTAGGCGTACTCGCTTCATCCTTTCCAGAGGAGGGGAAGCAACCAGTCTGCTCACGAGGCAACACCCGACGGACCATTAGCTGCAAGCCTCGTGGATCTCTATACAATCCGCCTTCCAGCTTTTCTTTGGCCTCCTCCTCCTCCTCCTCCACCCCCACCTCCACCTCCACCTCCGCAATACGAGCCGATGCAATTGTCACTTTCTTGATCAGGGCATATATGGATCTAGCTCCCGATCTCACTCTGTCTTGTCAACAAAAGCCACACTCTAACGCTTAGCCTTCTCTTGGAACTACATCACGAACGATAACGCTTCACACTGCTTGTTCAAAACAATGGGTGCCCCTGCAATCACCGACGGTGCCAGCCGCCAATCCATTCCAGAGATAACTGCGAAACTGGACTGGGCAGACCTTGTGACGCTAGACTTATCAGACTTTGATCGACCAGGTGGAAAGCAACGACTTGCTGCTCAGCTTCACGACGACATTCAAAAAGATAGGCTTCTTCTACCTTGTGAACTTCGGCCTGTCCCAAGAAGAGGTCAACGACCAGTTCTCACTTGCTGCCAAGATATTCCAGCTCCCCGAACAGGAGAAACAAAAATACGAACGAAACCACAGCCTGCCATGCGGACCACTGGGTTTCCAGCTCAGAGGCAACGGGCCAGGTCAGCGAGAGAACGTTGAACTCTACGATGATCCCAAATGGAACAGCTGCTTCGAAGACAGGCCGCGTCCGCCGCCGTGCGTCGAGTACAAGGAGAGAATCGAGAAATTCTGCCGCCACCTTCACTACCACATCCTCTACCGTCTGCTGGTCTTGACAGCCATCATTCTCAAACTTGAGGACGAGGAAGCGCTCTGGAAGCTACACAACGAAGAAGCCATGTCCAACTGCCACATGCGATACATGCTGCAACACCCTAGCGCATCCAAGGGAGAGAAAGGCCCCGTTACAGAAACCATTAGAGGGCATACAGACTTTGGCACTTTCACCCTTCTCTTCCGCCAGCCGATTGCTGGACTTCAGATACGGACGGCAGACAATTCCTGGAAATGGGTCAAACCGTACCCAGCCTCCATCACCGTTAACGTCGCGGTATGTCATCCTCCAACCTACTCCACGTGGTGATGCACTGCACTACAACGTTCGCTAATGATATATGCTATTGTAGGATACCCTCAGCGCATTGACAGGAGGCTTGCTCAAGTCTTCAATCCATCGAGTGATTCCTCCACCCGATGACCAGAAGGGCCTTGCCAGGCTGGGAGTGATCTACTTCTCGCAACCTGGTGCGTAGCTTCTCGATTCGGAGCATATTCAGTCTTGCAGAGGAGCTAACATTATGATGTTCCAAGGTGATGATACTGTGCTCCGACCCATCGACAGCGGACTTGTGCAAATCGCGACGAGCAACTCGCCCATTCCTATTGATAAGCAGCTGACGGTCGGGGAGTGGGTCATGGCGAGGCACAAGGGCTTTCGCGAGGATGTGACGGGAAAGGTTGGCGCCCAAATCGTCCAGGGCGTTCAGGTTCCTATTTATACATAGAACCGAAGAACAACGGCTTCGATGTTGAGGTCTATACCCCATACTCTCATTGTGAGGGGCACAGACGCCATCAAGCGTCGAGCACCGAGAGACACGAGGGCGGAGGCAAGGATGGACTTGCGTGGCGTTTCTGATGCCGCAAATGCACCGGTATTGATTGTCGTGTTCCTCCAAAGACAGCGCAGAGATGTGCGCGAAGGTCTAAATAGAGATGCGTGAAAGAAGTCCTGGCAGGGAGGAGGACGCCTTCCCTTGTCATGTAGCACACTGTCACTTTTCTTAAATCCAGTCTTCACCACCAAGCATCATGCTCCACATATGAATCACGGCCGGAGTCAATTTGTCGGGGTTCGAGTCGACCATGATGCCCTGTCTACGCCCACGTTTGACGGCTTGGCAGACTTGCAGTTGGATCATACTGTCCTCACGTTCAAGTATCTGCTGCGGACCGCTGGTGTCGATATGGTCGGCCCACTTGCGCAACAACCTGGCACAGTGTACAGCGCAGTGCCGGCCTGGACGGCTGATGGTCGCGCGACAAGTCTTGGACACCTATAGCGAAGGCATTAGCGTTAACTGCTGCTGGTTCTGGAATAGTATTGGCACAATTGCGTCCGAGCTCAGCTCTCACGTTGAGAAAGTCTGCTTTTGAACAACTGGCAAACACCTCCGCGGCTGCTTGAAGAGCGGCGTGATAGTTTTGCGGGTTCTCGGCTCGTCGCACCTCGCCATCATTCAGACTGACGAACAGGTACTGCAGCAACAGGATGTTTTCCACCTGTGGATGCGCAGAGGCCGTTTCGTGCCACAGCAACTCCGGTACTCGTCCACCAAAGGCTCCGGCACATGTCGAGGGCCTGCAAGATGTTTCGCTGGCGGCTGAAAGCGTTCATGTTCTGGTTGTGCCAGCCCCGAGCCGTGACATAGTTGGTGGGGAGTCGTCTTTCTAGCCACATGGTTTCTAGAAAGCCACACAGGCAGATACACTGGCTAAAAGTGCTGGCCGTTTCAAGCCCGCAATCGTGCCAGACGTCCGCCTTGAGGAGGGTGTGGATCGCTTCCTGGAAGTTCGCTTCGGGCGGCTTCTTCCTGACAGCATCTTCCCATTCCTCTTCAGATGAAGCCTCCCACACGTCAGCGTCACAGGGCAGCGGGAGACGGACATGTTGACTTGAGATGGGAACATTGATGTCAACAAAGTTGGACGCAAGTGTACATGTCACGTAAAGGCCGAAAATCGTCCTGGAAGTTTCGAGTTACCACGTGGAATCGAGGCAATCTTAAGCATTCGCTGAGAACATACCTTTTGTACGTCTCCTTCTGGAACCATTCTTCTCTGTCCTCGAGAATGTCGTACTCGGGGAGATCTTTCAGATATTGTTTCACGTGCTTAACATACCAGCGGATCACATTAATTACCCGGCGCGATTTTGTAGATTGGGAACTCGGCAAGGGCGATTTGTGAACTCACAAATGCTGCTTTGCTGATCTCGCATATCGCCCAACGGCGTCTGTCCTCGTCGCGAGACCAGACGGCAAACTCGATCGATAGAAGCTGACTTTGAAGCCGTGACAGGTGAGGCTACATGAGACATTTTGTTATAAGCTTGTCATCTGAGCGACGAACCCAATGCAGTGTGCCTAGGTTACCTACAGCCGATGTTTCGAGGGCTCGCACCGCCTTGTCGTGGAAGATCCGTGCTAGACACTTGTACTGGTCGACGTGCAGAGCTCCCAGAGCAGCCATGGAATACTGGATCTCTCTAGGATGATTCTGCTGGCGGGCTGGTATGCAAGGGAGGCAGGGAAGATCGTGTTGTTTGAAAGATAGGATACAGGCATCGAGAGCGGCAGTGTCACCCGAATCTTGGGGCACGTCGTCGGCGACAACTTCAGAATCCAAGGAATCCAACATAAAGTAATTGTCATTCGGCGCTCTCGACAGATCCCAGCCGAAAAGGTCGAGGTCAGGGTCTCCTAGCACTGAATCCCATATCTCCCCAACGGCGTCCATCGACGTGTAGGCTCCATCCGCGCTGGGTGGGTGAGAAGGCTCTCTCTGTCCGTGAAGGGCTGCATGTCGATTCAGCGCATCCCGTCGGTGGAACCGCAGGCCACATCCGGGCGACCTGCACTCGTACTTGGGAGCTTCGTGGTTGAGCTGGTGGCGCTTCAGGTGGTCCAGTCGACTGAAGGATCTGAAGCACTCGTGGCATTGCGGTCGCCGCGGACGTGACGACCGGCTCAATGACGATGTGGCGGACATGTGGACGCCTCTCGGAGGTATCACCAGTTACACATCTAAGACCTCTGTCTGTGATTATTGTCGTCCTGGCACTGAGGATCAGACAGGGAGTTGTACTCCGTACCTCGGTTATGTATAGGGCACCCCATCTAAAGGGGGTTACATACGTACGGGGGTGTGGCTGGACCACTCGCTTCCGACACTCAGCTTCATGGGATCTATGTACAGTTTACGGAGTACTGGCCATCCAGCTCAAAGAGTGACTTCTAGAATCACAACGAGCTTTTCCATATCTTTCGATACTCAGGAGTCCGTCCGGGATTGTCTCGGTGAGCGATGGCCCTTTTGAAGCCCTCTTTTGCAGCCATCTGCTGGAATGCGATGCCTTCAGGGGAATTCCTCGTCAAGCCATCAAAAATGGTGGCCAGCTGCTGACTCCGCTCCACCGAACCTTCGATGATACTGTTGACGACTCGCTTCTGCATCCACAGTTGATTCACGGGGACTGTTTTGATCCGGTCGACCAGCAGCTGGACGGTGTGGTCGAGTTGATCTGCCGGGACCGCCTTCAAGACCAGGCCCATGCTTTCCGCCTCTTTCCCGCTGACCAGATCACCGGTAAACAGCATCCTCTTTGCCTTCTCAGGGCCCAGGCGATAGGTCCACATGGCCGTTGTCGGGCAACCCCAGACTCTCGTCGGAGTGTATCCGATCCGGGCATCTTCTGCCATGACCACCAGATCGCAGGAAAGGGCAATGTCACTGCCTCCGGCGACCGCTGCCCCGTGCACTTGCGCAATGGTGGGTTTGTGACTGCGGAAGAGCTCGGCGTAGCACTCGGTGTATTCTTTCATCATCTGGTAGTCTACGAGCGGGTCGTAGCCCTTGCTCACATCCTGGCTGCCCCCGGTCGTCCCGCGTACCGCCTGTTCGGCAGTGAGATTCAAGTCGTACCCTCCACAAAATCCCGGTCCGTTTCCCTTGATGACAATGCAGTGGACCTTGGCATCGGTATTCGCGAGCCTCACGGCAGCACGGATCTCGCTGGGAAGCTTTGAATTGATCGCATTGAAATGTTGTGGTCGGTTCAACGTAATGGTGGCTACTTTGTGATCTTCGGAAACTCTGTAAAGGATTGATGAGAATGACTGCGACGACATCTTTGAGGAATGAAGCATACCACAGATATCGCGAAAGCGTCGAGTCCAAGAGGAGGCAGACGTATATAGATTATCAGGGGGTAGATTCGGTGAGACTTACAGAAGCCCAGCCTTCCCCCTCCCCCACCCCCACCTCCCAGGAACCCAGGACGCCTCATGGTCGACTCGATCAAAACCTGCAATCCTCCTGTTGTATCACCTATCCTGTGCATGATAGTCTGAGCAAAAACATCGCAGAAAAGGCGAAAAGAATCAATATCTAGTGCCCGTCGAAGACATCGTCGCCCCGGCAAGAATGACTTCTAGCGGTGGTCAACTCGAAAGTATTCACGACCAGAATTTGCTCTCGCTGCTCTTTTCAAATCACGAGCGAGACGACGACTCGGTGGTCTGGAGGGATGGCAAGAATGGCGACTAAATCATCACCAAGGCGCAAACCCGAAAACTCGTCCGCTAACTCACGCACGGCTATCGACAGTCGGGACTGATAGAAAGCGGGAAACGGGATCCTGTTTAAAGTCATCGATTTGACGGAGAACCAGGTGATTGGATTCCTGAATGTGCTGGCTCTCATAGCCTCGGGCGCAGTGGTCGCGACCTGTCCATGGCAGGCAACCGCTCACGAACTGCTTTTTCGGATACGAACCTTGCGACCTAAAGCCATTGTCTGCTCAAAAACGACGCTGCCACTGGCGATAGCCACGCGAAAGTCGAGCGGTCACTGGTTCTCAATCGTGGTACAAGACGCGGAGACGATGACAGTAGAGGACGAAGAAGGCCGGTCTTTCATATCAGACCAGGAAACTTCATGGGATACGGCTTGGGATGAAGAGATCGCCAATCGCACAGCCGTCATGGTCTTTTCAAGTGGCACGACAGGAAGTCCCAAAGGTTGGTTGCACTTGTCTACTGGTGGAAGAGGCTGGCGATTTGAACTACCAAAGCTCCCTTCAGGCGTCTGTATTTCCCAGAGAAATATCATCTCCATGATCCTCCAACTCAGACACCTCTTCCGTTCAATCCGCAGTGGAAAGAAGGTCCTGAAGATGGCCGGAATCCTCGACAGTGCTCATGTCGCCGGCTTGTTCCTTCATTCCTTCAGCCCCTTGGGCGTCGGAGTCGAGGACATTCTGGTCCCTGCCACCGACATCGACCTGCTACTACAGACGTACAATCGACATCCCATCGAGCTCATGTTTTGTGTCCCCACGGTTCTGACGCGCCTTCTTGCCCACGACAATTTTAGACGCACAGACTTCAAGAACCTCAAGTATATCACGACGGGAGCCGCGAAGACGACCCCGGTCGTCCAGCAGGAAATCACCAGAGCTCTGACACCGGGCGTGTACTGTCAAGAGGCGTGGGGGATGATGGAGTTGACGTTCCTGGCTACCATGCACGTCCCCGGTGTCCTTGGGCCTTGGAACAGCGTCGGTAAACCACTGTGTGGGAATGTGATCCAGATTCGGGATGATCAGGGCAAGGTGGTGCCAGTGGGACAGACGGGCGAAATCTGGGTTTCAAGTGCGTGACTGTGACTCTCATTCAGAACTCGAAACTAATCAGTGTGACTGGTATTAGGTCCGACGGTCACACCTGAGTATTACTTGGCCCAAGTGAACGACCATGACGCCAAGAAAGATGAGTGGCTCCGTACCGGGGATTTGGGTTCGGTCGACCAAGCTGGCTATGTCTATGTCGAAGGCAGAAACAAGGTGCGCAGAGTGAACCCTATCAGCCGAGACGGCGACCACCACAGAAATGTCCAACGACCCGTGCTGACCACCCGCACACAGGACCTGGTCAAGTACAATGGAGCACAAATATCGCCTCACGAGCTCGAGGGGGTTGCTCGTGAGCACGACGCCGTCCTCGACGTCGGCGTTGTCGGGCTTGACCTCGAAGACGGCAACGAGCTGCCAACCGCCTTTGTCGTTTTGAAGCCGGGCTCTCCCCTGGCCGCCAATTCAGAGGAGATACTGTCTTTTGTGAACAGTCGCCTTAGTCCCTACAAGAGACTAAGAGGTGGCGTGCATGTCCTGCAAGAACTGCCCAAAAACGCCATGGGCAAGCTCTCGTACAGAGACCTCAGGGAGCTAGCAAAGAAATTACACAAGACTCCCCGGACTGCACGATCGAAGCTATAATACAGTATACCCTCTCTTCTCCCGGACGTGGAGTGATGGGTTTGATTTCCCAAGGGTCCCCTTTGCAACCATCAATTCAAACTCTGTCCATGTTCCGATAAAGTTGACTTTCAACTAGTACTGTATCTCACGCTCTATAGTCGACTCTCTACGATCCGGAAGGCAGACAAAGATCGTCGTCATAGATGATGCCCGCATTGTGGAAGAAGAACTCACGAAGAGCTGGTGAGCAAACAACGCTCGTACGTCAGGCTCGTCAACCTGCAAAACTTAGATTTCCAGTCGGCGGCACGGCCGCCAGCGAAGATGTCTCGTTAAGCGGCATGAAGGAGGTGGAGAAAGTGGACAACGATATCGAGAGGACCAGCAAAACCGATATCTCGGTCGAAGTGACCAGGAAGAGCATCGACACCGCTTCGTCGGCACAGGCAAGATCGAAGCTGACGACGGATCAGCGGATCGGACTCTCGGGACCTTGACGAAAGCCATGTCGCGCTTCATGCGCCCTCATGCTCACGTGGCACTATGTGCTCTCGCAGGTGCCAGCATCGTCGTACTGCGCTGACGCTTTGATTTTTGGCCATACTGTCGGCAAACTAACCCGGGGCCACTCACCAGCACATTTTCGAGACAGAGGCTGCTTCTTCGCACTAGGATGCCCTGGCAGCCAAAAACGGGTCCTATTGTCTAAAGTTAAGTGTGAAGTAGAAGAAGGGGAGGACGAAGTGCTGGAGGGAGACTTTCGGAGCGCTCAGGAAGCAGGTGAGCCGACGGTGGGCAAAAGCGGCGGGCGGCTAATCCAAAAGTGAAGAGCGACGAGATGTTTTTCGTTCGATACTGTTGACGACTGTTCTACCACCCCAGTGCTCGTAGTCGTCCTTCTAAGCTGCCTGCAGTGGTGAGCGGCTCGAGTGGCTGCGCTACTTCTGCCGGTTCTTTACAGACACAGATCTCAAATCAGACATGGCCGTCTTTGAAACTCGAGACGGGATCTCAGAGCACACCCACCACCGCCTCCGATGGCCAGCTTTACTGCAACATGGCTGGCCACATTACTCGACAGAGTGAGACAGCCACTTCTTTGCGTCATCTAAGTCAAGCGTACTTTGCTTGCCACCCTCCTATGTCCCTCCGCCTCGTCGCTATGTACCTTGCTTCTTGATCTCACGAAGCATGGAAAGAATTCAAACTGCACACGTCTTCGGAGCAAGGCACTGATGCTGCAAGCATTGTTTCCGTTCAACATTTCACAAATGAGACAAGCCCTTACATTTTACGTCGTCTGGAATTCATTGTCTTTGTTTAAGAATAGCATTGTTGGTTTCAAGTGGCGGATCATAACCCTTGCGTCGGACATGGCTTGCCAAGGAAGGCATATTCCCCCTTCCCATGAGGCCGGTCGAGAGACGAAGTACCTGTTGGTGGTTCTACCGGCCTCATCTCCGCGCAGGATCTGCAAGGCATTCCTGCATGGGAATCTATACCACGGGTCCTCTGAGACAATCATTCTTTCGGGGACGGTATTCGTGATGTTGTGACTTGTGATGACTGTCCGAGATATATAGCCACTCCAGCCGATGCTCGAAAGGCTTCGATGTTCGTCAACCAGTTCATTCTTCCGATTTCCAGAGTCGCTCGCTACTAACCAACAGGTTTCTTGTCATTCGTTTGAAATCAGCTTACCGTCCCTCGTTCAAGATGCGCTCCGCTCTTATTGCGCCCGCCTTGTGGCTGGGTGTGACCACAGTCTTTCCTGGTGCTTCTGCGCAGGAGGAAACGTCCACCACCGCTACAGTTGCGGACGCAGGTACTACAGATTGGCCGTGGCCAGCTGAGCCCTACCCAGGTGCTAGCATTTGGCTTGACTGGATCAGCTCTGCCAGCAGCTTGAGTACCACGACCTCCTCCGCAACTGCTACTTCCTTCGCCGACGATGTCGCCAGCACGACCTTGTCGACAACTGCTGTTTTGACCACCACCACAATGGATGTCGATTCAACTTCTTCGGATGTATCTACTTCGTCCACTGAGACCATTTCCGATACTGTAACAACATCTCCCGGTATTTTGACCTCAACTTCCGAAAGAGCAGCTGATCCGACCGCAACATCATCTAGCTCTACCGGAGAATCGGCAACATCATCCACCTGGTCCTGGGCCTGGACAACCACCACGGGAAACTTGGAGACCACGGCCACAACCTCAGCAGGAGAAGGCCCGGACACCACCTCCTCCTCATCCAACACGGTGACGACATCGGACACGGCCACTACCACGACGTCAAGTAACAATCCAAGGCCCACTACTTGCCCGTACGCCGGCTTGTCCCTTCTCAGTGGCACAGATTCATGTGTCAGGTACAACTTCATCTGCGACAAGACCTATGATGAGAGCAGCTTCCGCGGTGCCTGGATCACGAGGGACACTCCGGAGCTATGCGCTCGCCGTTGTGACACCGTTAACGCTAGTCAAGGTGCTGGGACATGTGTGGGGGTTGTCTTCAACACTACGACCGATACGGATAACTGCAGAGTCCTCAGGAACCTCAACAACCCCATCACCAGCTCCGACACCATTGCCCTGCTCATTCAGAGAGATCCAAATTGTGGCAGAGTGGTTAGCTCCGCGACTGTCTCGGATGAAGCGTCTCCTACTACGTTGACATCGTCTCTCACAACCTCGACTGGGTCCGTCACCACACACGCGTCTAGGCCCACGTCTTCATCTGGTGCTTCAACCTCTTACTCCGATGCACCTATTTCGGCTGGTGAGACCTCGAGCTCTATCTCCGAGCTGACTACTGCTACAACCACTTCCGGATCCACAATCACGGGGGTTCCAGCCTCAGCCACTTGGACTACACGTACACGCAACCCCTGGAGCGATTGGACCAGCGGCTCGTGGAGCAGCCAATCCAGACGGTGGTCAGCTACTTCCAGCGGAAACTTCACGTTCGCCACTGCACGCCCCACCGTGAGCAGCTCGGGCGCTACTCCACCCCTCGCAACTACATCGGTTCCATTCCGATTGAATGAAACCTTGACGACCTCTGCCACAGTCTCTACCTCTGTTTCAGGTGCCTCCACCTATACCGGGGCCAGCAGTACAACCAGTGCAACCGGCGCGTCAAACGCGACCGTGACGTCCAGCACCCTGGGATCTCCCATCTCGGCTACTAGCTCCTGGTCCTGGTCCAACTCTACCAGCACCATCAATGCTCCCAATACTACGTCGCATTCCAACTCTTCTTCCACCGTTGCCGCAATTACAACGTCGTACACCAGCACCACACGCTCTGCAGCCGCAACATCCACGACAAGCAACACATGCCCGGCGTCGACCACCACTTTCATTATCACAGTCTCTGGAGCCCCCGCAAGTGTCACCGGCCCAATCGTCACTGTCACTGGTACTGTTACCGAAACCACTACGAGAACAAGAACAACGAGGACCACGACTGTTGAGACAATCACTTCGACATCCACCGTGTCCGCGACTTCCAGCGTGACCGTCTTTGTGACTACAACTCACACCCTTGGTCAGCGCTGGGGACGGTGGCACTGGTAGATTGCGAAGGGCATAAGGATGAAAGATCTACACGTCCAGTCACGCACTGATAGGAGCTGTGGGATTGCAAGGATCATGGGCGTGAGGAGATATGAGCGCCAAAGGCGTGTCTGCTCAAGTCCTTCATGTCATTGACTTCTAGATTTCCGGTTCTACGTCTCGGCAAGAATCTTGTCTTAATCTAATAGAATCCATCTTTTCCTAAATGCAGAGTTCCTCCATGAAAGGCTCACAGAGGTCATAACTTGGCTGTTCGGGGCACTGACTTGTTGCTCCAGACTTGCACTTCTCGATCTGCCTGGTAATTCTGAGGGAAGTACTGAGGGCCCAAGGTCTTCTTGACCACTTTGCCCGTGCCACTCTTGGGCAACTCACCCTTGACAAGCCGCAAGAGTGTTGGCAGCTTGTATCCGGCAAGCCGGTCTCGTACGTCATCGCGTAAGTCAGCCAGGCTCAACTTCTCCGGGTCTCGATTCTTCTCCTTGTAAAACTGTTGAGCAACCTCGTCATCCCGGAGTGACACGACGGCACCGACTCGTTGCCCGAACTCCATGTCAGGCACACCCACCACCATGGCTTCTCCGATGTACGGCAGTGCCAGCAGCTCTCGCTCTATATCCAGGGCCGAAATCTTGTACCCGCCAGACTTGATGATGTCTACCGACGCGCGACCCACGATGTAGTAGTATCTCCCGACCCGTCTGGCCACGTCTCCAGACTTGAAGTAGCCATCCGCATCATGGGCGTTTGCCGTCGCTTCGGGATCGTGGAGGTATTTGGAGAACATGTTGCAGGATTTGGCGAGCACTTCCCCTTCGTCGCCCTCGGAGAGCTTGACGTCGACTCCGTATGACAATTCGCCGACGGAGCCATCGGGGATGTCTTCGCTCGGATTGACGGCCATGTTGAAGATAACGCCCAGCTCCGTCGACCCATACCGTTGGACGATCCTGCGGCCCAAGAGACTGGTCCAGAAATCGTTGATGGGCTTCGGCAAGGCCGAGGTGCCGCACAAGCAGACCTTGAAGGCCGCGGCAGCATCTCTGTAACTTCTCACCCCGGCCGGCGGAAGCTTCGTAGCGCGCTCGAGGTAATACCGCATCATTCTCATGTAGATTGTCGGCACGCCCGTGTAATGCGTCAGGCCACCTTGCCGCCACCGATTCCACGTCCATTCGGGATCGAAACTGCCGGGCTTGAACTCGATGCAGGCGCCTGATTGGATAAAAGGGAAGAACGAGACCCATATGCCCGTGGCGTGGTGCACGGGAAGCTGGTGCAGAAGGGTGTCTGTCTCCCGTAGACCGATCTGCTGCGCAAACGATAGAGAACCTTCAATCATGGCCGCGCGTTTGAGCACGGCGCCCTTTGGGGGCCCTGTCGTGCCAGAAGTGAAGATGACCACCCCCGGTGCATTGGGATCGTGGTAGCGATTCGAGGAGATCTTGATCTTGTCCAACGCAACCGGCGGTTGTCTCTCGATTGCATTGACGGGCACAAAGGCAAAATCTGCATTTGTCGTGCCTTGGATTTCGCGGGTCACAGCCTGACCAAGCTCGAGAGCTGGAGTTGCCGTGACAAGCGCCACCGAATGCGCCTTGTTGACGTAGTAGCAAGCCTCCTTCACGGGCTGTGCGTTGCTGAACGGACTGGCAGCGGCGCCCAAGGCCATGATGGCCAACACGCCCACGACAAACTCATACCCGCCAGGGGCGAGGAGACTGACGAACACTTCCCGTCCATTCCGCAGGTCATCCACGACCTGGGGTGTGAGAGAATCTCTCAGGACCCGTCGCAGGATGAGGACATCGCTCAACAGCTGGGCGGCTGTCCGTTCAATCCCTGCATTGACGTCGCGTATCGCCGGCCTCGGGTTGGGTCGGTGTGCCAGAGTTAGCAAGCGGGTGAACAGGGGATCGGCAGGGAGAATGTCGTCGCCCGTGTGACTGGGCACGAAATCAGTTCTGTCGAACAGCGGCTGCGGGTGCGGATGCTGCTGCTCCTTCATCTTGTCTTCTTTCTAGCCGCCGTCAGCAGCAGCAGCAGCAGCGTTATGAGTCGCCGCGGAGCCCTTCTTGTACCTTTCCCAACAGTGGCCATGTCCGCCCAAGTGGCCGCTGCGGCTCTTCTAGTCGAGGGCGAGATCTCCAAAGGAGAAATGCCGCTTCTACCAATCACGGCGATTTCAGGTAGGACCAGGACCCCTGTCGTGACCCTCATCCAGCAGCCTCGGCACTTTTGCTGGTGGTGAGGGGGGAGAGCTGGAGCTGGATCGCCTAGGTACAGTATCCCCAATGCCCTCAGGATGTCGCCGTGAAGGATCGATCCCGAGTGTGTTACCGAGACGTCGCGTGCGGCCGATCATATATTTGCTACGGCCCAGACGTCGTGTGCGGCCGACCGTATCTTGATATAGCCCAGAGGTGGCCTCGAACCTGATTGTCGAACCTAACTAGTTGCCACTGGCCCGAAGCAGAGCGAGATGGCCGACTTCACGGACAAGCTGCGACCTGCCGAGCCTCAAGGGCCGAGTATCCTGGCCCAAGAACGAGCAGGATCAAACGTCAATGTCAAGGCGCTGTCACAACACTTGCTTTCGCGCAATGACTTTCTCAATCGACAGAAGAGGATTCTCGCCATACTGGAGCCGCTTCCCATCTTCTGTAAGAAGAACCAGCTCAACATGGCCAGGCCAGACCGGTACCACCTCGGCCTCGCTCGAGCAAAGGCACTGAGGAGATTGTCGTTGAAGCACGGTTGGGACCGAGACGACTACGTGATGGCGGACTATCTGATGGACGAGATGGGCCCGTACGCCCTGCAGGCCACCATGTTCCTCACGTCGCTCCGGGAGCAATGCAACGACGAGCAGAAAGCGTACTGGCTCCCCAAGGCAGAGAACTGGGAGATCATCGGATGTTACGGACAGACCGAGCTTGGCCACGGTAGTAACGTCAAGGGGATCGAATGTCAAGCGAAGTGGGATCCTCAGACCAAGGAATTCATCATCCACAGCCCTACCATTACGGCCAGCAAGTGGTGGAATGGCGCCCTGGGCCGAACTGCCAACCATGCCATCGTCGTCGCTCAATTGTTGCTGCCCGACTCGAAGACGGGGAAGTACAGATCCTACGGCCCACACCAGTTCATTGTCCAGATCCGGGACATGAAAACCAACAAGCCTCTGGACGGCATCGTCATCGGCGACATCGGCCCCAAGTACGGCTATCCCGGCATGGACAACGGCTACATGCTGTTCGACCACTTCAGGGTGCCTCACTCTGCGCTCCTCTCCAAGTACTCCGGGGTCGACCCTGAAAACGGCACGTACAACAAGCCCGAGAACCCGGCCGTCGTCTACGGCTCCTTGACCTTTGTGCGGGCTCAGATCATCATGCACGCGCGCCTCGTCCTGGCGAGAGCCGTGACTGTCGCGGTCCGGTACCTGTCGATCCGTCGACAATTCTCGGATCGCGACGCGAAGGACCCCGGCGCGCCCGAGCAAGCCGTGCTCAACTACCCGACGGTGCAGATCCGCATCTTACCGCTGCTGGCCACGACCTTTGCGCTGCATTACACGGGAGAAGCCATGTACAAGCTCTATTGGGGCACGCGCGAGCAGATCGAGAAGACGGGCGACTTTTCGCGGCTCGCCGAGATGCACGCCGCCTCGTCCGGCTTGAAGTCGCTCTGCACGACGCTCGCGGCCGACGGCATCGAGACCTGCCGCAGAGCCATGGGCGGGCACGGCTTCGGCGGCGGCAGCGGCATGATCGCCCTCAACAACGAGTACCTCTCCAAGCCGACCGTCGAAGGCGACAACTGGATGATCACGCAGCAGACGGCCGCGTATCTGATCAAGCGTATGGGCGCCGTGATCGACAAACCCAGCCTAAAGCCGACCGACTCGGTGGACGAGCAGTTCCAGGACTATCTCCGGAACACGCGGTCGTACAATACGCGGGCCAGCAACCTGGACATTGTCGGCTACCCGATCGAGCTGGTGCGCGCGTTCAAGCAGCGGGCGTCGTATTTCTCCTATCAAGCCTACCAGGCGCGCGTGGTCGAGAAGAAGCCGTGGACCAGCATGATGCTCCAGCTGCACAAGCTGAGCCGCGCGCATTCCGAGTCCCTGCTGGTGTCGAACTTCTACGACGCCGTCTTCACCGACACACCCAGCCCGCCACTCGACGGCGCGACGCTGGATGTGCTGAGGGTGCTCTTCCGCCTGTTTGCGCTGTTCACGCTCGACGCCTCGGCCTCGGAATTCCTGCTGGCCAAGGCCCTGACGGTCGACATGCTGCAGCACGTGGCTCCCGCGATCCAGGACCTGATGGCCCAAGTGCGTCCGCACGCCGTGGCGCTGGTGGATGCGTGGGCCATCCCGGATTACGTGCTCGAGAGTGCGCTGGGCAGCTACGACGGCGACGTGTACAACCGGTTGTTCCACAAGGCGCACAAGGAAAACCCGCTGAACCTGGTCACTTTCAACCCTGACTGGAGAAGCGAGGAGATCGTCATGGGCGAGGGCGAGGAGAATGCGAGGACGAGACTCGAGGCTCTCGCTCTGGGAGTCACGGCGAAAGATCACGAGCGGGCAGCTGGCGCGGTCAAGGCAAGGCTATAGTTAATAGATCCCATGCAGTGAATCCCATCATCGTCTTGACACACTTTAAGTAATTTGTATACTCCGTACTCGCTATGGGCTTGCTTCTAAATCTAGATTTTCGCCTTGGCTGCCGTGCCGACCCTCTTCCTGTGCACGTAACTGATGGCCTTGAACTTATCCAGCGCCTCACCCCACAGCTCGGACCTCAACAGGCCGTAGACACCCATGGTCGCACGCGGGGCGATCGTCTTGGCGAACTCGACGGCCCGCTCCCTCATCCGGTCGGGCTCGCAGACCTCGTCCACGATGCCGTCCTGCAGCGCCTCGGTGCCCGTCCATTTGTGCGCCTCGAGGAGCATCTTCCTCGCGATGCGCGGGCCCAGCTTCAGCCGCGGCAGGGCGCCGATGCCGTCAAAGTGCAACCCGAGGTTGACGGGCGGCATGCTGATGAAGCCGCGCTTGCTGTTCATGATGCGGTAGTCGCACGACAGCGCGAACGGGCAGGCCCCGCCGAACGTGTGGCCCGTGATCAGCGCGACCGTCGGGTACGGGTAGTCGACCAGCGTGGCCAGCAAGGGGTAGAAGCCGTCGGCGTTGGCGTAGATGTTCGAGTCCGACTCGTCCAGCTCGAGGCCCGTGCACCAGAACTTGTCGGAGAAGGACGAGATGATGACGGCCCCCGGCGCGTCCGGTTTCATCAGGTCGCGCTCGATGTAGCGCAGGGCGCTGATGATGGTCTGCGCGAAGGCCACGTTCAGTCGGTTCTCCGGCGGCTTTTGCATCGTGAGCACGTGCACGCCTGGCGCCGAGGCGGGAGATTCAATCGTGAGGTTGGGGAATGTTGGCGCCATGGTGACGATGTGCTCGATGGGTCAATATGGTTGATGAGCTGAATGTGCTCGATGGGCTGAGTGTGCTCGATGGGTTGAGTCTGCTCAAGGGACTCAATGGACTCAATGTGCTCCTATGGCGGACGGTTACCGACGTGATTGTTCAGACTTGTGGGAGGTCGTCATGCAGCACTCAAAATATGCTCTGGAACGGCGACGATATCCTCTGGACGGTCAAGGCGACGGCAATGTGTCCTCCAGCTTGAGTGATTCCTGCTCTGCTAGACCGAGGAAGAGATCAAGTCGACAGCTGCACCGTTTTGTCTCGCTCGTATTCCGGATATCGCCTCGGTGTTAGCAGCATATAATACACAGGGAGGAAGTTGGGGAAAGCGTCAACCTCGGCTCGAAGGGCGATGTCACGTGGGGGCACGGGGGGCTGCCTATGGCTAGCTACGGTGGATCATACGCTGCATTTCTCGACCATTTCCTCCGCTGCACCTGCCGCCGACGCTAAGAGTGAGACTAGTCTACTCTTAGTTTAGCCTCCACTTGGCCTGCTCACTTCGGCTGCGTCTCGCTCTGGCTTCATCATGCATGTCCACCACTTGATGCTCGACGTCGTTCTCAGGAATTATATTGCAGAGAGTTCCATTGTGCTCGGAAGCCGCGAGCCGGCTCAAAGCCCTGGGTCCGACGGACATTACTTCGATATTTCCCATCATGCCATGGGAAACCGAGCTTCAAAGCTCTTATTGCGAACATCTTTGACCTAAGCTTCACGCCTATGCAACCACGGCGCGTACAAAGGGCAGTGTCACCCCTCCTGCAGGGAGGCCATGTTCATGCCGGCACGGAAAGGAAATATCATTAATACTCTGCTCGTCAATGCTGCTTCTATCTGCACGCCTCTCCGTTCTCCAGCAACTTTGGCGCCAACCTTGCTTGCGGCCTTTCCCCCTTTGATCGTCCTACAATTTTGCTCAGTCACCAACAGCATGACCACAGTTTCACAAACACTCCTGGTTTGTCGATGTCCATGCGGCATCAGTGAAGGCATCAAAGCATAACACCAGGAGCGCCTGTGAGGAATTCCACTTTTGATAACGAGGGACTGAGGGTTGGCTCCTTCCATGCGCGTTAATCTGCCTGACATATGTCAACGGCGTGCTCCCCGCCCTTGATCAATCCATGACCTCTTCAAGCGTCTAACTGACCTTCAGTTAGCCGCCCGGAGCGTCACCATACAGCAGGGTTCCACTCACCTTAACGGCTCCTGGTGGTCAGGTGTGCAGGCGCTGTCGCCGTCGGACGCCCATTGGGCTCTCGCCAAACATCTGACTTTCTGAAATTGACAGAGATACGCTTGCTCTCCAAGTCTTGGATGATCTCCTCAAGCTGGCGGGCTTCTCGGCTGACTTTCTCGATGCTGGCCTGGAACCTGTTACCCTCGGCCTTCCAGCGGCCCAAGTTTTCGCGGCAGTTTCGAAGTCGTCGGTTCTTGGTGGCGATATCCTGGCATGTCTTACACATCTCGTCCGAATGTGTGACGTTGTGCTCGTCGACCAGCCTGGCCGGACAAGTCTCGCCTATGCGAGGCTGGCGAGGACAACGTTGTTTCATGTTGCCCCATCTCCAGTCTCCGCAGCTGAAGTCGGTTCTCTCGTAAAAGCACATGTTGCGTATCAGGTCACGATGTACGGTTCAAATGCACAGGTGACGACAGCCTGTCAGTTGTTTGAAACTCTGTCTGCCCCCCCACACAGGTCAGTTAAGCCTTGCTGCTTCATCAAATCGTGCTGGCATGAACCTTACTGGCGAGCTGAAATTCTTTTCTGCGGAACGACTTCGGCCCTGCCAGGTGTCTGAACCAGCAACGTTGCCGCCGAACCTTCTTTTGTTCTTGGGTGCACCCACGTCTTCCTCTGACGACTTCAGGCTTTGGTAATTGGCGCCTGAGGTGAATGTCTGCAACCTTGTTTCGATACTTGTGAAGATTCCCGGGTTGAAACACAAATTGTTCAACCAACGAACCCGGGACCACCGTCGATTGATATCTTCCCGTCTCCTCCTCGCCTATTTGCCCTGGCAAATCGACCACTTTACAACACATAATCCTTGCGACGTACGACGTGTCATTGACCATGGCCAATCGCCCGTTCACAGGCAGGACAGAAACAATTTCAATTCGGCCCAGCCTGAGCCGGAGGTCACTTGAGGCCGGGCACCTGCAGGTCTCTACCACTTCCCCGAGTCTTGCCATGCTGGTGGCAAACCAGATACGAGACATGAATACATTTTCCGCCTGCACGAGACCTTTTGGCAATGTGAGCTTGTCTTGACTCATCATAGCGGTGGGCCCACGGGCTTCATGACTTCAACCAGCAGGGTGCCTACTGGTCGACCAGTCATTGTCTGCTTCATGTCGTGTGCTTTCTGCTGAAATCGGTGCGGCGTGGCAGGATTTGAGTCGTGGATCGGAGGCCCGCCGAGGGGCGACATGGCCAGCAGTACATGTATGTATCAGGAAGGCAACAAGGAGCGCACGCAGTTCTCGGTAAGAAATCAGTCTAGTCGTGCAGATCCAATAGTGCCGGATCATGGCTTCCAGAATCGGTGCCGCCATTACCCGGGGATGTCTGGGGGTCGCAGCGAAACGAGAGCTCCAGGCTGTCGTTCAGCCGGGACTCATTAACTTCAGGAGCAGGGCTCATATTTCGGTTTGTTTCCACACGGCCCGCCGGCCGTGCAAGATCCGCGAACAAACCTTTTCCGACCAGCAGAGGTCTCGTCTTCTTCCGATCCAAACGCTCGAGTCAAGACCTGCCTTCACCTGTCCGAGGGGTTGCTGGGATGGTCAACCTGGAGCAGGGGTTTCGAGAGGGTGGACTGGCTGACTACACGGTTGGTCGACTGAGCCTTGTTGACCCTGAGCGCGGCGATGGACCGGATCCATGCACACCCAGCCGTTTGCAGCATGTAAGAGCCATAGCCAGGGTGGACATAGCTAATGGGCATTTGACACGAGAGTCCAGGGGAGGGCGGGTGGTCAGCCTTTCGTCGCCAGCATGACAAGGGTTGACCATCCTGACGACAACTGCTCACCTCGAGAAGGGAAGGTGGTGGCTGGCTGGCTGGCTGGCGAACTCTTGTCGACCGTCGGCTGCCATCACCACAAGAGCTTCTTCTATGTTCCGGCTCAACCAGCGCATCAACATTGCTGCGCGATACTTCCTGCCCGGATCGTCCAGCGTCGAAGTATAATTTTGCTTATCCGCTACCGTGTCGCCATCGCTCGGCTAGCGCATGAACCCGGTCGTCTGTTGAGCTGGCTCGACCACATTGGTGGAAATAATGTGTCATTGACACTCTTCCTGCCCGTGTCTGGAATCCTCCTCAGCAAATAACCATGTTCAGAGGATACCAAGACTTCGGCCCATACCACCAGCATGAACACAAAGCTCTGGAAGGCGCTGAGACATGTCCCCGGACAGTCATGGATGACAACCGCCATGCCCGTGTGGCCGCTGAGATCCTTCTTCGCCTGTCCGATCACTCTTTTGGGTCTGGTCCCGGTCGTTGTTCCGAGCTAGCAGGTTGAGTGGGTATGGTCCGTGTCGATATGGGTGCTGCTCTGCTGGCGACGCCCACGATGGCTCTTTCGAGTGATCCCTGTCGATTCTAACCGGCATAAACACTTTGAGGACCTCTGGATCCGAACTTTCTCCCAACTCGCAAGCAACACATCGGCCACACAATCGTCTCAGCACGAGAGGATTCTTCCACAATGCCTACGGCTTCCTTGCTCGCGGAAGGGATCTTCGCGGTCACGACTGCCTGAGATGTCTCTTGACTCGATTCCCTTGACGTAACGCAGAATCACACCTCTTTCCCGCTCCCCCTCTTCTGTAAGCCTTCGGGGCTGACGCTCTTGTCATGCTCGCTTGTGGCCAGCGGGCCTCCTTTTTAGCTCCTGCAGGATACAGACATGATACAGCCAGGAGCTGCTAGGATCAGTGCCACTAGAGGTGCCGTATCCGCCTCACTTCGTCTTCAGCACCACGAACGCCCGATCACGTCGCTGACCCGCAGAGCTAACGTAGAGTTTTGACTAGTACTCGTCTCTAGCCCATTTTTCATGCGGCAAGACGAACCCGCACCAACCTAGCTTGATCCTTGTTTGAGCCTACCGATCGATGCCACATTGCAAACGAGCGATATCTGCGGCCCGATCCATGTTGTCCTCGACGGAGACCTTCCAGGCTTTCCGCTGCCGAGCACATTCGACACGACGTGTTCGACGAGGATGAGCTCGTTTCGCAGCAACTCTCTGTCATGATGCGGCTCTGCGGCGAAACAACTACCCGGCAGCGTCGTAGCTACGCTTGCTGCCTGACAGCGGTGGCTCCAGGATTGACTGGAAGACGGCAGTCGCGGGCTTCAGCTTCACCACGTTAAAGTGGTCCTGCTGGTCTCCAGCATAGACGTCCTGTCTATGGACTATCTACTCAGACTGTGCAAAGTGTAGGCTTAAACGGCAGGTCATGGAAGGTATCTGACGATAGAGATCCAAAGGGGCGCCCAATGTGCATTATAAAAAGCTCCCTATACCATTGACGTGCTGCAGAAACGAACGTCCTCGATTCCAACAGGAACAGACAGCTCACAGGGCTACGACATCAGCTTTGCGCATATCTATCCAGCAAGGCACGCTTTGCTCTTGTCCTTTGTTACGGCAGACGCAGGTACCGTGGTGCGGTGCACAACGCCCAACACCCCCTGAGGCCGCAATGACCATAGAACAAGATGCAGGTGGTCGTGGAGGAAATCCATCTTACGGGAGATGATGATACGAAAGCCGGTGCTGTGGCACGCTACCGGACATCCACCCTGTCACACCCGCTTCCAGGCTTGATGACTATGCTCTCACACTGGTTGTGGTGGTGTCGGTCCGAGACTGATTGGCGGGACGCGCTGGAGTGAGTTGTATTGGACTGGATTGGATTGAAGAGTTGGGCGGTATTCTAGCTCGAACCCAGCACGTCCTGGAGCAGGAACATATAGACCACGCGAGCACTGGCGGTTGGCAGTCATGGTGCAAGGACTGAGGTAACAAGGGTGGCCACGACGCGAGGCGTGAGCCGTTCTGTCACAAGAAGCTGTGATTCAAGCCCACTACTGTCCTCTTCGATCGTCTCTGTCTGGTCTCTGGGCCCACACACATATGTACGCAACAAACAGCTTCCTCCACATTCACTGATACATATACCCATCAGCCGCTTGCCGTCGTGATGCTGATTACTTCCTGGCCAGAGTCTTGTGCAAGACATGCTCCTTCATGCCCAGACCCGCGACGGCGGCCAAGACAGCCAGACCCAGGCCCGAGATGAAGGCACCCCTCAGAGCATGCATGTAGATGGCCATGACGACACCCTTGTCCCAGCCGTCGGGAAGATGCTTGATGCCCTCCAGACTGTCCTTGAGGCGGCGGATGACGCGCTCACTGCCCTCCAGGCCGCCGTACTCGGCGCGCAGCTCCTTGGTCAGGATGTTCTGAAAGACGGCGCCGGCGACGGTGATGCCGATGGTGGAGCCCGTGGAGCGAAAGGCGTACGACGCGGCGGTGATGACGGCCTGGTGCTCGTGGGCGACGCTGGAAATCATGCCGACGAGCGTGACGGTCAGCATGCCGCCGTACGCGAAGCCCAGGGGAACGGGGAAGACAAAGGTCATCCAGGCCGGGGTGGCGAGGCCAAAGGTGCAGATCAGCGCCGCGCCCACGACGAAGACGACCATGACGCCCACCATCTGCAGGTAGTAGCGGCCCGTGGCGCGCATGGCGAGCCCGCTGAGCAGACTGCCGGCCGAGGTGGCGGCCGCGAGGGGCACGACGCGCAGTCCCGCCGACGTGGCCGACAGGCCCCGGATCTGCAGGTACAGCGGCACGTAGTAGATGGCCAGGAACGCCGACATGGTGCCGAACCAGTTGGCCAGGCAGGCGGCGAGCACGGTGCGCGTGCGTCCGATCAGCGCCACGGGCAGGATCGGCTCGGGTACCCAACCGGGGAGGTGCGATTCCACATGGATGAACACGCCCAGCGTCACGGCCGAGAGGGCCAGCGAGGCGATCACGAGCGGGTGCGTCCAGGGGAGTTGGTTCCCGCCCGTGTTGAGGCCCAGGAGGAGCAGGACCAGGCTGGCGACCAGAAAGCCGCTGCCGAGGAAGTCGATCCGCGCGAGCGCCGGCTTTGCATTGGCAGTGGCACTGCCGTTCCCGTTGCCATTGAAGACAGCTCCATCTTGTCGATGTGCCTGGCCATGCTCCTGAACATTGATGTCCACCAGGAAAAACACCAACACCGTGCTCACGACGATAAACGGCACCTGGAGTAGAAAGGCCCAGCGCCACGAAAGTCGGTCCGAGAGCACACCCCCGACTGGACCCCCCAGGCCCATGCCCAGCCCGTACACCAGGTTGCCGTACCCCTGCCACAGACCGCGTCTGCGCAGGGGGATCAGATCCGACGTGATGTAGGTGGTGATGCAGGTGAGGCCGCCGCCACCGATTCCGGCGATGACGCGCCCGGCGATGATGGTGCCCGCGTTGGGCGCCAGGCCGCACACCAGCGTGCCGGCGCCGAAGAAGACGTTGCTGAACAGCAGACCCCACCGGCGCGAGAAGATGTCGGTCAGCTTGCCGCTCAGCGGCTGGCACGCCGCGTTGGCGATCAGGTAGCCTGTCGCCAGCCAGGAGAGGAGAGACAGCGAGTCGAAGGAGCTGGAGATGGGCGCCGTCAGCGTCGCCACGATGGTCGTGTCCAGCGCGGCGAAGAAGACGCCGATCCACGTCGACGCCATGATGGCGACGAGTTTGTTCGTCGAGGGCGGGTGTGCGTGATCATTGTTGGCGGCGTCGTCGTCGCCGTCGTTATCATTGTCTTCTGCAGTGGTGTCGTCAGGTTGGGCGTTTCCCACACGCACGACTGTGCCGGTATGGTTGTTTTGCGCGCTGAGCAGAGGGTCGGTTTCGCTGGGCGAGTTGTCGTCGGGCGTGCTGCCTATCGTGTAGGCCATTTGGGGCTAGAGATGGTGTTCCTCAAGGACTGATGATCTCAGATTTGTACACAGTATTCAGTTTGCAGTCACAGGCAGTCAGTCGGTCAGTCACAGCCACGGTGGTACACCAGGAGTGCATGAAGCTCGACGGGCCTGGAACTGACAACGTTCAGAGACTGTACTTTGTGGATGTATGTATGATGCTTCAAATGATATGTGTGTTTGTGTGGGAGAGTATCGGACTCACTTCGATCAAGCTGCGAGTAAGTACACAAGTCGGTCAGGTACTGTAGGTGTAATATCCAAATGAAGCTCGGGTGTTCGTCGTTGCGCCAGCGATCTGCGATGTGGAGATTCGTCCACTGACTTACTCTCTGCGCGCACTTTTCGAATTGTACAGTATGTAAAGTACGAGGTATCTACATGCCAGGGCCGCTCATTGGTTGAAGACGATTAAATTTTCAAGCAAAAGGCCGCCAGCCGGGTTTGTCCGATGCAGAAGTTCAAATGGAAGATAAGGACAGTGACGCAGGGCTTGAATCAGCGAGACTGAAGCACTCGTACAGAAAGTCATGGTTACCTATGGTACAGTATTAGGCCCGCTCAGAGCTACTGTGTATACCTAGTAGACAGCAAGAACAGGTTCTTCCCCGAGGTCGTCCTTCGTATCCATCAGTCCCTCAGGGCCTCAATGTCTACGACCTCCTTGACGGCCTCGGTCGTCAGAACATACGGGCTGTCCTCCTGCACACTGACACTGTCCTCAATCCGGACGCCCATATTCCTGAAATGCTTGGGCCAGCGCTCGTCATCTGGGACGTAGATGCCGGGCTCAACGGTAATACAGTGGCCTTCTTGCAGGGTCACCTTCCTGCTGTATCCGACCGTGTCGTGGACGTCCATCCCGATATAATGGCCCAGATGATGGGGGAATAGCTTCTCGATCGCCTTGGAGGACATGTCGAAGCCGATCTGTTTCAGCTCCTTCGAGAGATATTCCTCGGCGATGTTGTGCAGTCTGTCCAGGGACATGTTCGCGCTGCCGCGACAGAGCGAGATCAACGTCCTTTGCACCGTGAGCACGGCTTGGTAGAGATCTTTCTGGGCGGCGCCGAACTTCCCTCCAACGGGCCAGGTTCTGGTGATGTCGGCAATGTAGCCACCATATTTGCCGCCTCCGTCCACCAGAACCAGCTCGTCGTCCCGGAGAACGTCATCATTGCGCACGTAGTGGATGCTCAGTGCATTTCCCCCTCCAGCCACGACGGGCTCAAATGCCCCGGTGTCACATCCGTTCGCGACGAAGCGGTATCTGAGATACGCATCGAGCTGCTTCTCCCGCGTCCATACTTTTCTCATCACGTCAGTGTGTGCTCGCCCGGATGCCCTGCCGGCGTGTCGCATCAGCTCTATCTCGGCCTGGCTCTTGAAAGCTCGTAGATCGTTCATCAGTGGCCGCAGCCGATGCAGCTTTTTAGGCTCGATAGCATCGGCGAACTCGGTTGTCCTGCGCGCTGCGCCGAACAGAAAGCGCCTCAGAACGGACTGGTTCGGGTCCGGATTCGTGATGTCGGTGTAGACCTGGGACGCCTCGCCCACCAGCTCCGGCAGGATCTTCTTCAGCTTGGAGACATCCCCAGTCTCATCGGCGTTGAAGACATCTCTTGCCGCGTCTGTGCCTGATCTTGCGCCATCCCAGATCTCGGCCTTGGGGTCCTTCTCCCGCACGAAGAGGTGAAATGTATGGTCCGTGCCTGTCGCGTCTTTGCCAATGACCGCGAGTGCCTCGGGCTCGTTGAAGCCGGTCAGGTAGAGGAAGTCGGGGTCTTGGTGGAACTCGTAGAAGACACTGCCGGAGCGGAACTGGATGTCGGAGGCGGCGACAATTGCGATGGCCTTGTCGGGCAATTTGGCTGCCAGTTTCGTCCGTCGATCCGCATACTCCTGGGCGCTGATGCCGGGCGTCAGCTCCCCAGGTCGGAGGAGGTGCGGATGAGTCTCATGGACAGGTTGTCCGAAGGATAGATCGGCGGCATCTACCGTGACGGTGTTGTAGTGACGCCGCCATGGTCGCGTGCGGCGGATCGAGGGCGGCGCACATGATGGTCTGAGAACATTATCAGTACACTTGAGCGTCTGCCATAATGTCCTCCGCATCGACATGCTCTAGGGCGATGTCGGCGACGGCGAAAAAGTGACACGAGGGTTGCTGAATGATCAACTCATCCTTGAACTCTCTGTTGCAGGGTTGGAAGCAATGCCAATTGACGCACTTCTCCACGGCTCGCCTGGACTTTCCTGGTTCGAGCCTTGGACCACTCGCGCCCTGTGAATTTGATATATGCTTGTTGGCAGTGAGTGACTCATTTGAGGACTGATATCCTGTCAATATCCTCTGCGAGTGGCATGAAATACTTTTCTGAAGCTCAGTGAGTTACGATACGAGTTGGTCGAGGAAAAAGCGCTGCAATCATGGTTCGCAACCTGGAGTACCCAAAGAAACCACAGAATACTGTGAAGCGCTACGATAGTCGAGGTAAGAAGCACCACCGTCGACCAAGAACTGTCTCGTCATTAAACCGTGTAGGAACATATGACCTGGGAGCCATTCACTCCATCATCAACACCACCTCAGTTCTTCATGTCTCATTTGCCCCGAGCCCTGACGAGCCGTTCCCGGCCATCCTACCCATGATCGGGGTCATGGGCTCCTTCGACTATCCGTCCTCGGGCATTGACGAGCCTCTAGACTGCTACCTCCATGGCTATGTCAGTTCCAGGATTATGCGCCTGGCACGAGCCTCGGACAAAGGGCTGCCGCTTTGTGTTGCCGCCACCAAGGTCGATGGCTTGGTGCTGTCGTTGACTCCAAACTCACATAGTTACAACTACCGCTCAGCCGTTCTGCAAGGGTATGCCAAGCCTGTGGAAAGCGACGAGGAGAAATTGTACGCCATGCGCCTGATCACCAACAAGGTCGTGGATGGCCGTTGGGAGAACACTCGCGTTCCGCCTGATAACGTGGAAATGACTTCAACCACCATTCTGAGGGTCAAGGTTGAGACAGGCAGTGGAAAGATCCGCCAAGGAGGTCCTCATGATGAGGCCAAGGATGAGAAAAGAGACGATATCACCGAGAAAGTCTGGACGGGCGTCGTGCCGGTGTATGAGGCCTTTGACACGCCAATACCGAGTACCACCAACAAGGTGAAGCAGGTGCCATCGTACCTGGATGCATACGTGTCGCAGACAAACAGTGGGAATCGGCAAGCTGCCCTTGATGCTGTGAACGAGCCATGAGAAGGATTTCGACAGGTGCTCGTCCCAGGGGCAATTCCCCGTGCAAGGGCATCGCCCTGAATCCGTCGTTGCGCTATTGGTGGTGTCCGCGATCCAATGCTTTCCATGTCGATAAGGTCAGAGGTGGAACTGTGTGGCAGTTTAAGGCAGATGAACAACGCATGAATTGTTCCAGCGAAACGTGGGCCTTTCTGCCCCTACATTGAGTTTCTCACGCAGAGGAACCGATCCTGCATGATTATTGTACGACCCACACACATCGCCTCGTTCTAAGGGACTTCTGTGCTATGGCGTTCATTTCATCCATGTTCATATTCAATCTTGACAAGAGGATGTCCATTGCTGCAAATAGTTTACTTCATCAATCAGCTGCACCCAGCAATGAGCAACACAGAACAAGCTGCTCGGTGAAGGCGCTGTCGAAGGAGTCGCCGCCGTTGAGAGATACATTGCTCATATCTCGTAGTGCCTTTGGGAACAATCCTGCACAATACGCCGCAAGAATAGGGTCCTCCGTGATGATCCAGGGAGTCGAGAATGAACCAACCTACTATGTGTACGGAGTACAGCGGAAATGGACCTGGCGAACGTGGCCTTGATCAGGTCGTGGCGGTTGCTCGGCCAACCCACCGTAAATAGTGAACCCCCAGGCTCTGGACAGCATCTCCGCCCAGGACCGCCCCGACAGAACACCACGGCCGATACTCCGTAGTCTCCACATCTATTCATGAACTCAGATCCTCGAAGGCTGATATGAAGGTTCTGCAACACCAACGTCGATTGCATGCCGAAGCCCCGTCGTGAGTCCGCGGCAAGGGCCGATACACGTCCCGCATTCAACAGGCCGCCGAACGCGCGTGCAGCACCAGCACCAGCAGCGCATCCTTTCCTCAGCGATGACGACGAACCGCGTACGCCGAGAAGAGCCCCGAAGGAAAAGGCAAAAGCTTCACCGGTGCCATCGCCATCCCCGGAGAAAAGACCTCGCAGAGCCAGCGATCGACACCGGAGCGCAAGCGACGCGCGCGGGGATCCCAGGCGGCACAGGGAAAAGGAGCGAGATAGAGCAAAGTACAGCTCGGGAACATCGACGAACAGCGGCACTCAGCTTTTGAGTAGCGCGGCATTGGCAAAGCTGAATGCTCACAACGAGCGAACCGAGTTCGAGGAGAAGTACGTAGAACGCAAACGCAGAGAGAGGAGACAGAAGGAATACAAGAAGCTCAAGGCAGCCGACGCATCTCCGAGGCGGAAAGCCAGACACAAGAATCGGAATGTCAGTGGTGCCATCTTGGAGGAGGGAAGGGGTGGTCGAAAGCACGGACGACCGCATGGACGCGGTGGCGGCTACGAAAAGGAGTATGAGGCGCGTCGGCGATCAGAGAGCGACGCTGGACGGCGCAAGAAGAAGATCTGGTTGCTGTTAGGTCTGATCGCGTTATTGCTGATAATTTTCATTCCTGTCGGCGTGGTGGTGAGCAACAACAGCAAGAAGTCAAGCGGTGGATCGTCCTCATCTTCCGCCTCCTCGGGGGACACCTCATCCGACCCAAAGAATGACTGTGACTCAAGCTCGGTCCCAGCAAGCGCAAAAGGCACCTATACTGATATCTCTACCTGGATGGACACGGCCGACTTCAATTGTACGTACACGGCCGAGACAGTCGGAGGGCTGTCGGTCATGGGTCTCAACTCGGACTGGGATGACTCGACCAAGGCCAACGACAACGTCCCAGCACTGAATGAGAAGTGGGACTACGGAAATATGCCCATACGAGGCGTGAATATTGGTGGATGGCTGTCGTTGGAACCATTCATCACACCGTCCATGTTCGACTATCCCGCCTCTGCTGGTGTTGTTGATGAATGGACCTTGACGCAGAAGCTCGGACCAGCAGCACAGCGTGTACTTGAAACACATTATTCCACATTCATCACGAAGCAGAGCTTTGTCGACATCAAGAACGCCGGCCTGGACCATGTGAGGATCCCATACCCCTACTGGGCTGTCAACACGTATCCCGGTGATCCATATGTACCACAAGTTGCCTGGCGGTACCTGCTGAGAGCAATCGAGTACTGCCGTCAAAATGGCCTGAGAGTCAATCTCGATTTGCATTCTGTCCCTGGCAGTCAGAACGGCTGGGCTCACAGCGGTCACCAAGGCGACATAGGTTGGATTTTGGGCCCTGATGGAGCCACGAATGCTCAGAGATCATTGGACATACACAACCAGCTTTCTTCATTCTTCGCGCAGGATCGGTACAAGAACGTGGTCACCATTTATGGCCTTGTCAACGAGCCAAAGATGTTGGTTATCCCCCCTCAATCTGTATTGGACTGGAACCAGCAAGCCATCAAGATCGTCCGAGGCAACGGCATTGATCAACATATTGTCTTCGGGGACGGCTTCCTCAGCCTTGACAGCTGGGACGACATGTTCCATGGTGTTGACGACAAACTGGTCATGGACACTCATCAGTACCAGATCTTCAACACTGGTCAGCTCAAATTAAAGCATCAAGACAAGATCAACCTTGCATGCTCTGGCTGGACAGGGCTAATGGTTGCAGCCAACAATCCTTCGACCGGATGGGGGCCGATCCTGGACGGCGAGTGGTCCCAGGCGGACACAGACTGCACACCGAATCTGAACAACGTCGGAGTTGGCTCCAGATGGGCGGGCACTCTCGACACAGGTGACCCTGAAACCTCGGTCTTGACACCAACCTGTGCTGAGCCTCCGTGTTCTTGCGCCCAAGCAAACGCAGACCCCAGCACATACTCCGACTCGTACAAGCAATTCTTGCAGATGTACGCCGAAGCTCAAATGCACAGCTTCGAACAAGCATGGGGCTGGTTCTATTGGACTTGGAGGACTGAAAACGCTGTACAATGGAGTTATATGCTGGGTTTGAAGGCTGGGATTCTCCCTGAAAAGGCATACTCGCCGTCATTCAAATGTGACTCGGATGTGCCTGATTTTAGCGATTTGCCTGAAAGCTATTGATCTTGCTGGTCTGGACATGTATGCATTGCGAGGGAGTTGAGACAGGATCGTGCGGCTGGGCCGACATAACGGGAGTTGAGGATGGTACAAAGGTTACGAGGATAATGTCGAGCGATGAATGAACATACCCACAGTAGACTTGCACTTACCTGCTCTGAAAACCTTGCTCTCCTTCGTCCTACAAGGTTCGAAAGCTGGAGGACTCCTTCCAGACGAAGCTCGTTCTGGACAAGCACCAGCCATAGAAAGACTGATGGTGACCGAGAGTCAGCTCCTTCTGTACCTGCAAGAGAGACTTTGCTCTCCTCATTTCCCCTTCACAACAAATCTCTGTTCATCCTCAGAGTCGTCTCTAACCAGCTTCATGTAGCTTTCACTACCTTTTATTCACTGTATCGCTTTGCCCAGACCATCAACGCTCTGCCTCAGTGGTCTCGGTCTGCTTCACCACTCGTCCGTCTATCACCAAGGCATATCTGTATGTTACTTGTGCCTTGTCACTATCTTGCAAGACCCACAAAGGTGCTATAAAATCTCTCACCTTCGATAATCGTTTCCTCCCTGCTATCGCCATAGTAACGACGTCACCATCATAGCGCACAGGACAAACACTTCAGGCAACATTAAGTGACACCTGCTTCACTACCACGCCGGCTTTGAACTCCATGGCGGATCAACGTCCCTTTGATCCAGGTGGCCCACGTATTTGTATCGACCTGACGGACGAAGATGATGAGCCAGATGTGTCCCTTCTCGAGCCCGTCCCCAATGGGTCCCACAGCCGTGGCAATTCTGGAGTGCCAGATGCCTCTCGGTATCGTGCGTCGACGTTTCCCTACCCAAGCAACCAAGGATTCGGACACAGCCAGAATCCCCAAATGATCTGGGGGCGTCCAGTGCAGGTGATTAGCAATGGCTCGCTGTTGCCGTATAGCCTTCAAGCAGGGCCATACTATCGACAGCCATACAATCTTACTACCGACCTGCCGTACGGTGGTCGAGTCCCTGACTGGGTCGTAACTCCACATCATCAAGTGATAACAAGCCACCAAAACAATATTTCTGCAGCTGCTCATCCGTATTGGGATCCAAGTCTTGTCCGTGGTCCTTGCGACTTACCAGAACGACCACCAATTCGCAAAGACTTCACTTATCGGGGTGCCACATCTTGCAAGACAACTCCACAAGGAAAGATTCTCACTTCACCAGTCGAGAAGCGGCAGGAGAACTTACCGCCATCTTCAACCACGAGCGCCGCACTGTTGAAAGCACCCATTAACGCGCCACCGCAGCAAGATGGATTGTTATCATCCGCACCTCAAGCGCTTGAGGTCGGCACTGCTGGAAACAGCTTGCCGCGATCAGCGTCGCGGCCCCGCACTGTATCTGAAGGGCAGACAACGTCGTCGAAAGTGGTATCCATGCAGACACCGCTAAATGATCAAGACGGAACTTCCCAAGGAAAGCTGGTTGTGAAGTTGGCCAACTCGAATGTCATAACCGACGTCTCTGTCCATCAAGTGTTTGAGGAGGAGCAATGTGACAAGATACTGTGGCTGGCTCTTCACGGTGTCCCAAGTCGCGCGATTGGGTGGCTGATTGATATCCGAAGACCTGCATACATGAGCAGGCCGACACTTGTGGCTGGCGTCGATAGGTTGATAAAGCACTTCATCCCCGAGCTCGCGGAGGGTCAGGATCATGCCGAGGAGCCCGACGCTTTGGTTGATCGGCTCCTACAACGAGGAGACGACTTGGACTGGAGCGGGCCATACCTGCTTCGGCGAGCCATTGACTTCACATTCATTCCTAAGGGGGATGTTGATCGCGCGAGGAAGGAGCGTCAAAACAATGCTAGAGAGCGCCTGGCGCGCCAGAAATGGTTATTCCAGCATGAAGAGGATCCAGCAGAGGGTGCAATCCAGCAGAGGAATCAAAAGGCAGCGTTGGCGTTACGAGGTCTGGCCAGAGATGCAAATGAGAGAGAGGCGGCCATGCAGAGATTCGGGTATCGTGAAGGTAGCCATGAAGCTGAGAGGCCACTCATGAAGAAATGGCTGCTCAAAATCCGTGAACTTGGCAAGCTGCCCGATCACGTGGATGAGCGTGGGATCGCAGCGTGTGATGACCAGTCGCGTGTCGAACATGTTTTAAACGCTCCAGCAACGATGACAGCCTGATCTTCGTGATGGTGGGAAGTGGCCCCTTCACCGAAACACAGATTGGTCATGAGCGGCACCACCTGTTGATGGATTTGAAACATCATGGTTGGAAGTGTTTGGATATCGAAAGCGTCCTTCAAAGTCGGCTTGTAGTAGAGCTGTATCATAGGGGAATGTCACGGAAGCATACCTAGGTAGTACTCAGATTGCTGTAAGCGACTTGGAGTAGATAACATGATGACGGAGACGCTGTGAAGCTCGATCCCGGGGGAATGAACGGAGGTGAAATGAAATCGAACTTGACATGTCCTTTGGGTAGGCGTGCAAACACATTGTCTTTAGATTTAGCTTCCAGCATTTCGACAATCGAGTGCTCTTCTGGCAATCTAATTGGCCGACTTCGGGCGTTAGGCGTCGATACTTATTGTATGCATCCTCGCATCCCACCTTGCTCATCGTTTGATTATCGAGGCACGAGAATAAAAGAACCAAGCGACAAGCCGCGTTCAACGGGCCATCTCATCATGTTGTAATTCCAGCTCGCTGTCAGCAAAGTAATCTCCACCCCGCCACTGACTGTGCCATGTCTTCTCCTGCCTCATCTTCATCGAGGGTCGTCCCTGGGTCTAGTCCCCGACCGCGCTCCTCTCAAAGTACGCCCCAACATGCAGATCCTGGCGCCACTCCTTCATCCAATGTGGCACCCGAGAAAGACGACTCGAGCGACGATGGCGGGAGCGACGACGACAACACCAACGCGGAGGGAGATCTGCCCATGAGCATGACCGGCAGCGTCATGTTGACCAATCTACCCAAGGATGCAAGCCAGGCGCTCAGGGAGATTGAAGCGATTGATGACCGAAAAGGTATGCGAAAATAAAACATATGTTATCTTGTGCCCCGTCCACTATCACTTCAATTCACTTCAACTCACTTTCGCCCCTCGCCACACTGCACCGGGCTATTCGGTCGTTCGTCTGTATCGGTTGCTCGCTCATCCAGTGACGTCCCACCTCTCTAACAACATATTGCCTGTCTAGTCTCGGTTCGGTTCCAGGCCATCGGCAGCGCGCCGATCCTCAAACAAAAGGTCTTCAAGATCAGTGCGTCGTCGCGGTTTAGCGTCGTGTTGAATTTCCTGCGCAAGAAAGTGGGCGTCCGCGAGGGGGACGGCCTATTTTGCTATGTCAATAGCGTGTTTGCGCCGGGGTTGGACGAGGGGGTTGGGAATCTATATCGGGTATGTATTCTCGGTGTTGATGCCAATGTTAGTATCAGTATCATTATCACGCGGTCGGGTTCTAGGTTCTACTTTGCTTTGACGCACTTGGACTGGAGGAAGACTGAATGGGTGCAAGATAGCAAGAAACATTTGAAAGTCATTGGAGACTAATGCGTGATTGATTTAGTGCTTCAAAGTCGACGACCAGCTGATCGTCAGCTATTCCACGACGCCCGCTTTCGGATGACTTCCGATGACTAGCTAAGTACAGCAAGTATGCAGAAATCTGCAATGTGACTGAGTGTGCGCGCTCCCACATCGAAAATGCGACCGACCAATGTCTCGGATCTGGGGGAATATGATCTCCAACATATCTCATCGGCAAGAAGATCAAGCTTTTGGCGCGGCGACGGGCTGACTGGCCGGTGCTGCTGTGGACTCGACGGCTGCCTTGAATGCCTCCGTCACCTTCGCGTCGCTCTTGTACACATGCGCAGGACTGGGGTAGCTGCGATCGCTGACCTCATCCTTGAACTGCTTGATGGCAGTCAATCCAGCGTCCCAGATTGAACCGTACTGCTTGACGAACTTCGGCATGAAACTGTCAGGCGGTCGAACACCAAGCATGTCAATCTGCACCAGAACCTGGCCACTTGTCCTATTACCTGCGCCAATGCCGATGGTTGGGATTCTCAGAGCTTTGGTAACCTCCTCGGCGATGTCGGGTGGGACGCATTCCAACACAACGGCGAATGCACCTGCTTGTTCAACGGCCTTGGCATCTTTGAACAAGGACATTGCTTTGTCGAGGGTATTGCCTTGAACGCGGAAGCCTCCGAGGGCGTGTTGACGTTGAGGAGTCAGTCCGATGTGCGCGCACAGAGGGATGCCAGCAGTTGTGATTTTCTTGATCGCCGGCGCCATTTCTGCTCCTCCTTCTAGCTTGACACTCTGCATGCGACCTTGTTTGACCATTCGAATTGCGCTGGCAAGTGCTTGCTCGGGGCTGAGTTCGTACGATCCCATGGGGAGATCACCAACTGTGAAGGATCGGTTGACTGCCCGGCTGACGGCACGAGCGGACATGATCATCTCATCGAGAGTCACCTCGGAGGTGTCGTCCATGCCCAGTGAGACCATGGCGAGCGAGTCACCAACAAGGATCATGTCCATTCCAGCTTCTTGGGCCATCAAGGCAGACGGGAAGTTGTGTGCCGTCAACATGGTGATAGGTTTGTTCTCAGCGTACATTTTCTGGAGCGTTTGGATGGTCACGGGCTTCTGGCCTCGAGCCGCGAGCGCGGCAGATGAGGGAGCATGGGAGCTTGAGCGGATCTGTTGCCATTGTCGGGTCTGTCGTGAGGTGGCTGCACGATGTAGATCACGGAGGAGTGGTCGTGTGAGGCTGGAGACCATATTGACTGATGTCAAGGAAGCCATTGGCGTTCAGCCAGCGCCCAGTCTGGTTCTGAAATGAGATGAAGAAGGACAGAAGATGAATATCGTTTGTGCCCTGCTAAGTGACATTGCACAGAAATATAGCGGTGGCGGTGAATGAAGCTGTTTTATTCTCACGTCGTGCTGAATTCTTTATGCGTAAATCTGAGAAAGCGCGTGAGGTGAGGGTCCGTGAAGTGAAGACGAGCCTCGGTGTTGACGACTCTAGGCCGACATCCAGGGACCAGCACCTGCAGTCTTCATCCTGTTGGCTACAATAGCGTGTCTAGGCCGGATCCAGCCTAGCAGACGATGCTTGTCTGGGGCAAAACTTGGGTGCGAGGGTGCTTGCTGATGCCCCCAACGTCACTGCTGGGACTCGGTTGCCGACCGTTTGTTGCCTTTCAAACGGCCGCAATGCGCTTCCACAGTTGCCGGCTGTCCATGCCTCGGATCGTGGGTGTCCTGCAGTTTTCTGTTCATCCAACCCCCAATGCAGCTCGTCAGCCTGGTCATCGTTGAGGACGAGGCTAGACTTCCCCATCCGCGACGTTCCTTGTGAATCTCAACCGACGTGGGGGAACCCCAGTCGTTGAGCTTTGCACAGCGCCCTACAACCTACGACCGTCATTGGACATGGGCACGTCGGAAACGGGTTTGAGGGTGGCAACCACGGTGAGCACCTGATCTCTAGGTAAAGAGCAGCCATGCCTGGCAGCTTCGGAAGCACTGTCTGGCTTTTCGGTCACGGCCCCGGGCTCAGAGGCTCGGAACCTCTGGCCTACGCAGTGACTGGGAACCTGGCTGGTCCTCGTAGGTGCACCTGAACAAGCCCAATGCCCCACCACATGCTTTCATGCTATCTCCAACCAAAGAATGATACTCCTCACCAGACCAATGTCCGACTTCACTCCAAGTGACATCTAAGACCTACACCGCGGCTTCTTCTTCATTCCTCTTCTATCAACAGCTCTCACACATCTCGCGCTTCCCAACACGATCTGGTCTCTAGCGACACTTCAATTCATTAGGACTCCTTTTCTGTTGGATCCCACCCTGTCATATCTCCGACTATTCGCCTCGCGAACAAGGAAGCCGAATCAGCCCGCCCTTTCACCACCCGATCCTATCCCCGCGATCCAACCCGTGATCCCACCCTCTTCCGAACCTCACAACTGCATCTCGCCACCAGTCCACGACAACTGCCCAGCCATCGAGCTGCTATCTGCTCGACGTGAGATCACACCTCTACTACAGTCAATCCTGCACCTCAACCTTCTGACAGATCGGACGAACGGGCGGTTGGCGAGCCACGATGAGTAGCCCTAAGCGGAGGATAGAGACCGATGTCATGAAGCTCATGATGAGCGACTATGAAGTTACACTGGTCAACGACAATATGCAGGAGTTCTACGTTATCTTCAAAGGACCATCAGAGAGTAAGAGCATGACATTCGCTTGAGTGCATGGAGGAGTCGGTCAACATACACGAGGGAATCTGTGGCTGACGGCTGGCCTTTGTTTCTAGCACCTTTTGCGGAAGGCAAGTGGAAAGTCCACGTCGAGCTACCGGATCAGTACCCGTACAAGTCACCCTCCATCGGATTCGTCAATAAGATATTCCATCCCAACATCGACGAAGGGTCAGTCAAGGGTGGCCTGGTTGCAACAAGAAAGGAGGACTGAGGCTGATGCGGGGTTATAGGTCGGGATCAGTATGCTTGGACGTCATCAACCAGACCTGGTCACCCATGTTCGACATGATCAACATCTTCGAAGTGTTCCTGCCACAGCTCTTGAGGTATCCCAACCCTACCGATCCTCTAAATGGAGAAGCAGCTGCAATGCTCATGCGAGAACCTCGGGGCTACGATGCCAAAGTCAAAGGTAGGACCCCTTTCCCAGACTACAGGACATTAATAACCGGTCACAAGAATACATTACTCAATATGCCACGAACATCCACGACGAGCATGACGAGGATGAACACGAAACCGACGGTGAGTTAAGTGAGGTTGAAGACTTCAACAGCGACGGCGAGGATGAACCTGCAGGTGCAATGGAAGATGTCTAAGTCTGGAGTTCTCGAGCACAGGAGTTTGGCCAGCTGGAGTATGTGGGCGCTTCGAGACGCAATGGGCGATGGGAAGGTTATGGCCAATGATGAATCTAGCTTTTTTCCAAGTTGCTGCAGTGTTTTTGCCACAGAGTCTGTCCAGCGCCAGCATTACCAGGGGCTGAGCCATTTCGACCTAAGGGTAAGAAGTACGGAGTACACGGGGGAAGAAGGGGATGTTCTGCTGTGTGAAATAGTACTGGGTCCCCTACTACCTGCTGATTGTACAGCCTCAAGAACACCGACTTAGACTACCTCGAAAGAGCGTGACCAGATCTCCTCTCAATCCAAGCCATGATACCTCGTACCACATGTTGAAGCCGGACTACTCCGCTCACCCACGCACGCTCTCGCATCTGCAATTCGTGCGTCATCGGGGCGCCAGTGACGTGTTTCGCCGATATCAATGCACGCGACCCGGATTGGGACAAGAGCTATTCCTGTCACTTGAGCCTGTAACTGTCGCAGGCTTCACTCAAAACTCAACCACCAGTCGCGAACATTCGTCTGCCCTGAAAACGTTGTCGAACTCTGCACTGCGCGTCCACCGCGTCCACCGCGTCCACCGCGTCCAAAGACACTTACCAGTTCTTGAGTCGTCTAGCAATGGTATTGTGTCTAGAATCTCTACCACCAGAGGTGCTTCTGCGCGTGCTCTCCTTCTTGGAAGTGCCTGACCTGCTCCAAGTGAGTCGCACAAGCCATGCACTGCGCGACATAGCTTGCGATCCTCTGTTGCACCTCGAGCGACTACATCATGTCTCATATACGCTGTCTACTCTCCTCGCGCGACGGCCCTCGAAGGCCTCGATCAGTCCACCCAATTCTTGGATTTGGCTGAGCAAAACCAATGTTCTATCCCGCCAGATCAGCAAGAGCTTAATTCGCATACGACTCAGTCACAATCTGGAACACAGGCCAAGCCCGTATGATCTCGTCCAAAGAGCCATATTACCGTCTGCCTGCACAAGCTACTCATCGCACGTGTCGCCGGTGCTGATACAATCACAACAAGCGGTGCAAAGGCGCAAACTAAAAGATGGGCTAGGGAAAAAGCTGGAACGACGGCCGAGCGTGAGCAGCCTGGTGTCGATGAACATCATACCGGAAGAATGTGCTCGACACAAGATCTCGCCCGCGATTGTGGCGACCCGTAGAAAAGTGATCAGGGAGAGCTTGAAGGACGGACTACGTGGTTGGATCGAGGGTCGCGGAATTCAAGCACAGAAGAGAAAGGCCGACGAGATGGAGGCCGTAGAGAAGATCACAGTCAAGAACCTGGTGCGAAGGTTTGCAGCCAGGAAGCTGGCGCAGGATTTGGCTGAACAACGCAACGTCCATCAACTCGATCCTCTCGTGCTGGAGAAGAGGAAAGCTCAGGCGAGATGGGGTCGCGAAGTAGAGCTTGCGAAGAAAGACGAGGAGAGACGAGCTGCAATACATGGGACTTGCGCCCAGCCTACACGAGCGCATGTTCTGGGACTCAAGAAGTTCTGGGAAGGAGTAATCAAAGCCGCCGGTGGTTGATTAATTTCGAGAGCTTGAGCGAATGGATTACAGTACAATTCAATCGAGGTTATTTCCCCTTCAGCTGCCGGGCACAATCCTCACTCGTCCTTGTCCCTTCCGCTAACCCCTCCGGCCCCTCAACGACGCGGGTGTGATTCTTAAATATGCAAGGCTCTCGCTTAAGTAAGAAGTACCCCAGCAACCAAAATTGGTTCTGTCATGCCGCCAATGATGTCAACAGCTCAAACAAAAGAGACTCCGACGCATTGGATAGAGTGAAATTGTTCATACAGTACAAAAGCGCATAATCAGGAAGGACAAAGGCTCTCCGAGTAAGCATCAAATCGCGCCTCGTGAATCATCGTGTGAAGGGCTGACCAGATGCCACCCAGGCCAGAAACAGAGGCAGGTTATCTGCGCGGCCTGGCTTTCGAGGAACTTCGCCGTCGCAGCACGAGCAACTCGTCGCCAGCAGAAATTGCCCGTGAAAGAGTGCTCGAATATCACCCGACGTCGCCAGTCGGCGGGATCGAGGTCTCACGATCATCTGACGCGCTGGTGAAAAACCACTTTGTTGCCCCGGACAACGGCATCTGTTGCGCGCAAAGCAGCCTGCCGCTGCCTGCCTCGTCGCTACCACCTCCCCACGATCCCAAACCTGGATCTGGAGTATATCGCCCGACCCTTTCCTTCTTCGGCAGAGCTTTCCAGCCCCAAGTAACACCGGAGTCGTCCTTGAGCGCGCCTCCGCTGTCTTTTGACTTCACCTTTGCTCTGCCGGCGGAGATGGTACGAGAACACCAACCGGCGCGAAACCCATTGGGACCAGCCATGGGTAACTCTCAGCCTCCTCCTGAGCCCCAGGACAATGACAAGAAAACCGGTACTACCGAGATACCTGCATCAAAGCCGCTTTATCCGAGTCTGCAGAATGCCTTTCCAGACCAGCCTCAGTTCGGGAGACCGTCAATGCCAGGTGCCTCTCCACAGCCGTATTCAAGAACACAGCCTCTGGTCAGACCGAATAGCTCCGCTCCGCGACAAGTCAGTGGCAGCCAACCACGAGACAAGTATTCCAACCTGTTTGTGTCGGCGAAGAATCCGTCGCAGCGCCCAGAGCTGCACAAACCAAAGGCTATCGCCGACCCTCTACAGGCCTTTAAGAGCGGCCAGACTGCAACGCAGCCCACCAGTTTGACTTCCTCTCGACCTGGTTCTCGCGATAGCGACCTCTATGAGATCACCAAGACTGCCAACCTCCCCAGCTGGCAGCCTAAACCTTTCGTCCCTCCCACGTTCTCGTCTCATCAGCCTCCAAATCAATTCTTCAGACCTCAAAATGTCGTGGACCTCACAAGAGACCTTCCCGTTCCCCATAGAACTACCTACCCTTCGAACGACTCCTATCAGTTTGACCGCTTCGAAGCCACAGATCCATTCACATATATGGATTCGACCAAAGCCAACGAAGAGATCAAGGCTTTGCTGGAAGGCGCTCTTGAGGACGAGGAGGATATCCCGCGCACAAGACGGAGAAAGAAACAACTCGACGATAAGCTTGAAGATCTTGCCAACAAGGTGAAGAATCTCGGGGTGACCAGTGAGGACAAGACAGAGGACCCTGGTCAAGAGAAGGTTGATGAAGAAGATGACGGTACCGTTGAAGGTCTCGAAGTCAAACTGCTCCCTCATCAGATCGATGGCGTCGACTGGATGGTCAACAAGGAGACCGGGAAGAATCCCACCAAAGGTGGCATCCTGGCCGACGACATGGGTCTCGGGAAGACAATCCAGTCGATTGCTCTGATTCTCTCGAACCCTAAGCCCAGCGGAGAGGAAGTCGCAGAGGCCAAGCGCAAATTTCCGGAAGGAGTTGTCAAGGGCACTCTGGTTGTCGCGCCTTTGGCCTTGATCAAGCAATGGGAAGGCGAAATCAAAGACCGAGTTGAGGAGGACCACGCCCTCAGAATATGCGTTCATCATGGCCCGCAGAGAGCGAAAAGTAGCAAGGAACTGAAAAAGTACGACGTCGTTATCACGACATACCAAACTCTGTCCTCAGAGCATGGCGGATGCTCAGAATCCCTCCGCGTTGGCTGCTTCGGCGTCCACTGGTATCGAGTCATCCTCGACGAGGCCCACTCCATCAAGAACCGCAATGCAAAAGCCACAAAAGCAGCCTGCGCGCTGGATGCCGTCTACCGCTGGTGTCTAACCGGGACGCCCATGCAGAACAACCTCGATGAGCTGCAAAGCCTGGTCCACTTCCTTCGCATCAAACCCTATTCTGAATTGGAGCACTGGCGCGAGAACATTACTCGGCCGATGATCAATGGCAAGGCTGGGCTCGCATTTAGACGACTCAAGCTCATCCTGAAGAGTTTCATGAAGCGTCGGACCAAGGACATTCTTAAGCAAGACAATCAGCCCAAACATGGTAAAACTCGCGCCAAAAATGAAGGCAAAGACCCAGGGTTCAAGATAGTAGCTCGAACCGTGGAGACCGTCGAAGCTGAGTTCAGTCCTTCGGAGCAGGAATTCTACAACCGACTGGAGTCGAGAACGGATCGAAGTCTCGAGATGATGATGGCTGGGAACAAGATGAGCTATGCTTCGGCATTGGTTCTACTCATGCGCTTACGGCAAGCATGCAATCACCCGAAGCTCACGGGCAGCGATCTGAGCACAGAGACTGATGCAGCAAGTGGAAGTCAGACCCCGAGTCGGCGAAAAGCCAGCGTGGAGGACGACATGGACAGTATCGCGAATATGCTTGGTGGACTTAGTGTCGAGACCAAGAAGTGTGATATGTGTCTAACTGAGTTGACGCCTGGCGAGGCCGCTAAGGGTGCGATTCGGTGTGTGGAGTGTCAAGAGGATCTGGATAAGCAGAACGATCAAGTCAAGACGGTCGTGAAGAAGAAAAAGGAGAAGAGACGCAAATCAGAGGTCAAGACAATCAAAAAGCAGCGGAAAGTAGCACGACGTGTCGTCCTGGACAGCGACGATGAAGACGATGCTGAAACACCCGAAGACGACGAGGACGTTTCCTCCCTCTCAGGCGAGGATGAAGACGAAGACGACGACGACGACTACGCCTCGTCTGACGAATCGGACACATCGCAACCCACAATCATGCAATCGACAAAAATCCGCCACCTGCTACACCTCCTCAAAGAAGACAGCCACACGCACAAATACATTGTCTTCTCCTTCTTCACATCCATGCTCGATCTTATCGAGCCCTTTATGAAGACAAGCCGGATCCGCTACGTCCGCTACGACGGAAAGATGCGCAACGACGCGCGGGAAGCGGCTCTCCACGCCCTTCGCACGGACCCCTCGACAAGAGTTCTGCTCTGCTCTCTTCGAGCTGGCAGCTTGGGCCTCAATCTGACGGCGGCAAGTCGCGTCGTGATCCTTGAGCCGTTCTGGAATCCCTTTGTCGAGGAACAAGCGATTGATCGCGTCCATCGACTAAATCAAACCGAAGATGTCAAGGTCTACAAAATGACCATCAAGGGCACTGTCGAGGAGCGGATTCTGGAACTCCAAGAGAAGAAGCGCGAGTTGGCAAGACAAACCATTGAAGGACAGGCAGGCAAGAAGAAGGCCTTGGGTCTGAGTCTGCAGGATATGATGCGGTTGTTTCGACGGGACGCGGAGGACGAGACGCCGGTTGACGTTGAGCAAGTGGGAAAGGGAAGGAGTAAGGGACTGTTAGAGCGGCGAGGGGATATGCCGACGACGAATCCGAGTTCCGGGACAGCCTCTTCTACTACTTCTTTGGTTCCCAATGGAGAAGATCGTGGCCAGGCTCATGCTCCGCGGAGGGGAGCCGGTGGTGGTGGATGGTCCAGCAACAAGCCGCGCGTGAGTGGTGATGCGAGCAAGAGGAATGAGAATCCTGTCTTCGGCAGGAGATGGGATTGAGCTTTCCAATACATGCCTACGCCTTGGCGTTGGCGCGTGGCCGATTTTGCGCTGATGATACTGGCATTGATGGATGCGTGGGTATGGACTCGCCATGACAAAAGGCATGGGGCATGGGCATGTTTGCTAGATCCATGCATGAGCCTTCTTAAATAGACAGACGAGTGAATGACAGCCAAGCAATGAAGAGACTTGGATAGATACATGCGGCAGTTCCATCCAGCAGTTTTACTTGCTTCAAGGTGTGGTCAACGACAGAGAAACAGTCTGTTGCGTCCGGTCGTGTGGATTGGCCGCGGCAAGTGTGTGGCCTGAATGGACCGACATATGTCGTGCCTTGGACAACAAGGCAGGCAAAGAGGACCTCAAGGTTCCAGACGGGAGCCATCAGTGGTTCGGGACACGGTATGAGCTGATTGTGCAGTAGAGTATACGTATCCAGAAGCCGCGCAGAGCAACGAGGAACAGACGGGTCATTTGACAGGTCGACAGCGTCGAGTTAGTCACCACCTCTCCGGTGATGCTCTTGTCGGACTTCGGCCTGACCAGATCCTGAAGGTTAGACATCACCGGTCCGGATCCCTGCCTGGCTGTTTGCACCATGTGTCCTTTGCGAGGTTGAGCCATCTCACGGTCACTGGGAACTGTCTGTGGAGATGGGAAGCTTAAGCTGTCCGCGGAGACAAATCTGAAGAACGGACCCGTGGCAACTCGATCAGCAGCCTGAGGCTCGATCGTGTAAAGAGAACCCGATTGATATGCGAAATGGGAGGAATTGCCGCGGCTTTTGAATGCAAGGCATGTCTCTCGTACCGTCCTGAACGAATTCTTTCCCGCTCGCGAACTCTGCTACTCCTCGCCAACGAGGAAAGTTTTACCTGATTGGACTTTTGCCCCAGCCAATAATGCGCAGATGTGTCAAGACCAGGGTCAGCTGCACCAGCAACGTGGCAGCCACCTTTCCCAAGACCCAGGCACTGGCAGGGCCAACGGGCGCCATGCCATGTCAAAAAGTGTTGGCTGCTACCGCGTTCAGCGACATGAACCCACTGGCTCCGTCTCTCTCGGACGCCGCGAGCCTCGGATCTCGAAAAGAAGGCCAAAGCTGTCAAACACCGTGTGGGAGGTGTTGATCACAGTATTCCGGGAGTTGCCATTGCCAATTCCCCAGCTTGCAGTCCGCATACGGAGTCCTGTATTACGGTCCCAGGGATCCCCTTGAACCTCGAGGAAATCATGTCGCTGTCGCCGAAGCCAAACCGCACCTTGGCGATGGTGCAAAAGCACAAATCAGAAACCCAGACGTTCATCGGCAACACCGCAAGTGGAGAGCTCTCGAAACACTAGCGACATGGACTGAAGCGGATCGTCAACGGAAGAGAGAGACAACGTCAGAGGAGAGACCGCGAATGGACGTACGAGGAGCCTGCCGACTCCCAGAGAAAGGGGTAAGGCTTGGGGTGGTCACGATGGTGAAACGTGGGTCAGCCAGGCTTTTAGAAGGTTCCAGGTTGGCTGTATGAGTGTACCCCAGTACTGGGTAGCTCCTTCGAGATCCTGCGCTCGCCCAGTCGCCAGCGGCGTCGACGGCACCGTGATTCGGCATCACTAATTCGACTTCAAACGCCCACCCAGTACTCCGTAATTATGGACGGAATACTGGTACGGTCCCCGTTGATGGTGCCCAAGAATCGCCAGGCGAGGCCGCGAAGGGCATGAGGCCAAGGACGCGATGCCGCCCCCAGCAGTGGCGCCTACCAGTCAGAGGCCTGAGGCTTCTAGGCTTTCCAGCTGTGTGGGTTCCGCTTCCAGGCGTCCAATCGGCGCTGCATCTCCACGACAGCCTCTGCTTTTGCCATGTGCTGGGGCAATGCATGGCGGTTGCTCATCAAACCTCGTGGAACACGTTGGGCGCCCGTCTTGGACCTTCGAATATGGCTTCGAGAAAAGTCTGCCGACGGGCACTTCACTCTCAGTCCTGTCCACTGCGGGCATGCTCAGTACCCCAGTACTGTGAGTACAATGTTTGTATCGCGGACCGTGAACTGGGTAATTGTCCGGAGTAGTTCCCCTACCACAATCTCTCGTTGGGCTCTGCGCTCCGTACCTATCTACGTACACTCTAGCTTTTCAGTCTCAGCCCGTGGGCGTTCTCGTATCCTCGTTCCTTCCTCCACGTGCTGGTTCTTCACGTAACTACAGAGTCGATACCAACGCGCTCGCCCAGGCGGCGCTGTTCTCTTCCCTCTGCCATTTGGCGACCCAAGTTGGCGGACTAGCTGCTGTGAAAAGGGTAGCAGCATCCCTGCAAGAGCTGCAAGGTTCGCCTCCGCCTTACCAGACTAGACGGCTAGAGCGAGCTTCATGCTTGGGCTACTGCAACCTGGGTCCTGGTACTAGACCCTGACCGCATCCTCACCACGGTATTCGGTCCAGCACCCTCAACTCTTCAGTCTCCTCCCTCCCTGGCCTCTCGGCACCCCCAGGCTATTATTCTTCAGAACGTGCCACACCGGGATTTTTGTAGAATTGACAGCTGTCAAAGAGGCTCTGTCGAAACCCATCTGCCCGCTTTGGTTTCCGCCGCTGGCGCTCCTCTTTCATTGCCTGGCTGAGAATTCCCGGCATCTTCACACCAAACTCGACGTTTTTTTTCGAACCTGTGCTTCCGCCATCCGCTCCCTTGCGACTCCTCTTTCGAATTGCCGATTTCGACTCTCGCTGGATTCCAACCTCGGTTATGCCCAGCTAGGCAGGCTCTGGGTATCTGCTAATCGATGGTCATGTGCATTGGATAAACCTGATCTTTGGTCCAAAGCCTGATCGTCAAGGCGCTCAACTCCATCGCAAAGCTTCACCGCTATCCAGCGCATATCCGCCCGCACCCGTCGTCACCACCTCCCCACGTTCGACTATTGCACGACCACTGTACTTCCCCTCCAAATTTCCGACCGACTGTATGATCATCAGTCATCTTATGTTACGTTCAGTGCTCTCGAGGCTGTAATAGCGGAGGGTTCGTGGCTGGCTAGCCGCCGTACTTGGGTCAATGGGGAACTCTCAAGGCAAACCCGTGGTCTTGACCGATGAAGGTGAGTGGTCCATCCCTTGACGTCAACATGTGCTCACTCCAGCGGCAAGTCAACCTCAATCATTTTCGGCTCTTGAGGGTGGTGGGCAAAGGAGCCTTTGGGAAAGTGCGGATTGTCGAGCGGAAAGACTCAGGCCTGACCTTCGCGCTCAAATATATCCGCAAGGATGAAGGTAGGCATCAGTGATTTGACATGTGGCGATCTGTCCCTGACCGAGAGCAGTGGTCCGGTCCGAAAGCGTGCGCAATATCATTCGAGAGCGGCGAATGCTTGAACACCTCAACCACCCATTCTTGTGCAATCTCCGCTACAGTTTTCAGGATGTCGAGTATCTCTACCTCGTCGTCGACCTGATGAACGGGGGTGATCTCCGCTTCCACATCCAACGAAAGGCTTTCACCGAGGATGCCATCCGCTTCTGGATGGGAGAGCTGGCCTGCGCGCTGCGGTACATCCACAGCCAGGGCATCGTGCACCGGGATCTAAAACCGGACAATGTTCTGCTCGACTCGGAGGGCCATGTGCACCTAGCAGACTTCAACGTGGCCTCCGACTTCAAGCCCGGCAGACCGCTGACGAGCAAGTCCGGGACCTTGGCCTACCTGGCGCCCGAGGTGTTTAGGGGACACGGATATTACAGTGAGGTGGACTGGTGGTCCCTGGGCGTGACCATGTATGAATGCGTCTATGGGAAACGACCGTTCGAAGGCAGGACCCACGAGGAATTGGTCGACCAGATCTGTGCCGCCAACCCTCGATATTTCGTCACCAAACCCCCAGTGTCAATGCCATGCCTACATGCTATGACATCGCTGATTGAGAGGGACCGGCGCAAACGGATCGGTGCGACAGGCTTCGACACATTCACCTCACATCCGTTCTTCAGCTCGATTAGCTTCGAAGCGCTGGAACGTAAGCAGATAGCTCCCATCTTCATCCCGTCCAGCGAGAAGACGAACTTTGACGCCACTTACGATCTCGAGGAGTTATTGCTAGAAGAGGCACCCTTGGAAGCCAGGGCGAGGAAACAAAAACCGCGAGCAGAGCTGCGTGACGACGCCACGAGCAAGGAGATCCGAGAAGATGAGCTGCACCGCATGATAGAGACTATGTTTGAGCCCTTTGACTATACCCTGGCGAACTATGAAGTGTATGCACTGGCTTCTTGCGCAGTCGCCGGACCCAGGCTAACAGTGTCTAGGAATGCTGCGGCGGCGGTGGCTGGCACTGTGCCGGAAGAACATGTGGAGCTGGAAATGGACACGACTCACCACGACGCAAATTCTATTCCCACATCGCCTGATGGGTCGCCACCGCTTTCTCCCAGCATTGTTGCAGCGCCCACAAGAGCGGAGGAGAACTTACCGCCCTTGGATGAACTCAGAGCGAAAATTCCACCGGCGCCCGCTCAACACGCACGGCCGCCATCCTCGTCGAAGTCGTTCAGCAGACCGATTCCTCCGCAGCGGCCGATGCCTGCAACGCGGCAGACGAGTAAAGGTGGTGGAGTACAGATGGTGCTGGATGAATCAGGGAGCTGGACCAATCTAGCGGACCAGACTGCCCCGAATCCGCAAGATAGCTCAGCAGACGGAGGGAAGCATGAAAAGTCGGGAGGCAGCATGTTAGGATTCCTGAGCCGGAAGAAGGGTCGGGATCGAAGCCCCAAACCGAAAGAGGCGGGAGTGCTGGGCAAGATCGGGGCGAGACACATTATTAATTGAACAACCAGAGCGACGACGATTTACCCAAGCGTAGCAGGTACGGCACGAGCCAGATCAGTCCTATAGCAGCGGGTGGGCGTTTTGGATACAGCAACTGACAGGCAACCGGAGCGGACGATATAGCAAATGCGACAACCGAGGTCAGGTTCTGGAGAGAGCAAAGAGACCAGACGAGGATGACAATGGTCTGGCATGTGTCAGGCGTACGGGAAGAAAGGAGACGGGCATACTCAATTGACGACTGACTGCATGGGCGGTACTGGCATGGATCACGGCGGAGTTGTACCATTACTGTAGACAGTTGTAATACCACGAGAACAAGGAGAGAGTATGAGAGGCACGAGAGGATGATTTCTACGGTGAAGGGAAATGTGGTGAATGTGGGGTGGATGCTGACGAGTCGGGCAGTTTAGGCGACTGGCGCCCTGCTTGTTTGGCGGTTGCCCGGCATGGGACGAGCTGGTGCTGGGGGGATCCACCGCGCAACAAGCTCCAACCCAGCAGTGCAACAACCAAACATCAACATCTCCGACCAGCTCTCGTTTCTCGTTGCCATTGAAGCACCTCTGCAGCGTGTTCCGCCTTCTGTGCTGGACCGCTCTCTCCTCTTTCGGGTCTCAATCACTGTGCTGATTCCAACTGTTATGTGTACCTCTTAGTCCCCCGTTGCAGTTGGGAAGTGGCCGACCATCACATCAGGCGCGTCGCGTGTGGTCCATACCGCAACATCCATACCCCTCCGCCCTGCCATCCTTGCTCGACTCCAACCACCACCCAGCAACCAGCAACCAGCGACCCGCGACCAGCACATATCCTTATGAATGGCCGCTGCTGTATTCATCCCGCCTTCGCCGCATGACCCTTTTGCGAAAATGGCGGCTTCCTCACGTCGACTGCCGCTCGCTAGCATCTCCAATGCCGCCAATTCTCCTCACCGTCCACTCACCAACAGTGGCACGAAACGACCCCGAGCCCTCGCAAATCTCCCACAGCAGGAAAATGAGCCGCCTCAAAAGCGGTTGGCGAGCGAGAAGGGGCCGCGTGTGGTCCTCCACCCCGTCACGCCGCAGAAGCCGCCGCCGCCGTCCATGCCGGAGGGTCGTGTCTTTGAACGGGGTCAAGGCGAGGACCGCTCCACGGCATTTCAGCGGAAGCTGGTGGCTGCCCGAGACAGGGACAGGACTGCAGCCCTGCGCGTGACGAAGAACGTTGACGCTCCATCAAAGGAAGACTCCATGAAGCAATGGCAGAGACAATATAGGAAACTGTTCCCGACCTTCCGCTTCTATTTCGACGGCTTCTCAGACGAGGCCAAGTCTCGTTTCCTGCGGCAGATCACCGCGCTTGGGGGGGTATGTTTGCAGCGGTCATGATCTCGGGAATGCGTCACTAACATTGCTCTAGCGCGAGGAGAAGTTTTTCTCGAGAGACGTCTCACACATAGTCACCACCCGCCCCATACCAGGAGAGCTTGGGAAGAATGGCTCAGCAGCTGATCACTCTGCTCAACACTCCCCCACCGAGGATCAACCCCAGACGATCAATCCTTCTTTACTCGAAAAGCATCCCCGTGGACAGGCTGCCGCAAGTGTCACACGCAATGGCACCAACCAGCTGGACATTCTCGTCAGAGGAAAGGAAATGGGTATCAAGATCTATTCTGTGGACAAGCTGCAGAGGCTCATCAGTTCCATGCTTGCGGGTACTGAGGGCCATAGCCACAACACGAGGGGCGCGTCCCATACCACGCGCCAGCAAAGAGAAGATTTAGGCGAGGTGTTGAGAAACGAGAAGCTTGGGGTCGCTTCGGAGCGGGAATTGCCCTTGACCTCGTTGGTGCCCTTCAAGGGCCCCTTTGTTTACGTCCACGACATGGATGAGAAGTATCGTCCTACCATGGTCAGAGAGTACCCAAAGCCTGCAACAAGGACTGAAGGTGAGTGGCCCCAGTTCCGGTCCGCCGGCATTGGGAAGTGCCCGTTTGTCGTCGATCCGAACTTCGAGCAAGACCAGAGAAGAGCGCAGAAGCGGGCCCTCCAGCAGGAGCAACAACGTCAACTGCAGCAACGGCGCGAACAGCAGATCCCGCGTACGCGGTCACATGTTAGTGTTTCGACTGCAGTTCCCAATACCCTCAGACGTGTCAGTCCAAGGAAACCTCTGGCAAGTGTCCAGGTCCCTGCGAGAGCCATTCCAGACGTCGTCAAGGACGAGAAGGAGCCGACGAGCTATTCTTCCACCGTGGACCGTCAGCCATCCTTTCCCCCAATGCCGAGGCGCGCCGAAGTCGAGTTCGTCCGCCCACCCAAGCTACAACTAGGGCGAGAGCCCGCAGCGTCGGGCATCCAAAGATCGAACTTGACCTCTGCCATCCAATCTCAGATGATCTCTTCCACAGCTGCTACAGGAGTCAAGGCGGGGACCAGCAAGGAAGTGCACCAGCAGTTAAAACGCCAAGTCCTCGAACGCACCCATACCGGAAGTCTCTCTGTCGGATCGATCCCGTCCTCTCATCGCATGACGGACCTCGCCGGAGCTCTAAAGACGGCTCGAGCCCCCGCGCCGCAAAGAGCAGCAAAGAGCAAGGCGCAGGAGAAGTTGGGTGGAATTCAAGAGGAGGTGGACCCGCACGAGGACGACATCGCAGCCGAGAGGGCAGCGCATGCTTCAAGAAAGAAGAAGTCGGTGAGGAAGGATCCGAAGCCCGGCTATTGCGAGAACTGTCGCGACAAGTACGACGACTTTGACGAGGTAAGGCCCGCGGACATGGTGTATAGGTCCCTGCTGACATGAAGGTAGCATGTTGTTTCACGCAAACACCGGAAGTTTGCCATGACCCAGTCCAACTGGACCGAACTCGACGCCCTCCTTGCCAAGTTGCAAGAGCCGTGAATCGCCCAATTACTTTGTCAGAGTTGCGTGGGCCACTTTGGGACGACTTGCACAGCGCGGTGTCTACACTCACTTTGACCACGAGTATCCTTTCAGTATACTTGTTTGAATTGCATTTTAGCCAGTCACGTTTTACTTGCGAGATGGGAGTCGAGCACCAGCTGGCTCGGAGGGGGGAGTGTAGCCATTGAGCTACAAGTGTGGATTCGACTGATACATGGACTGTCGACCATTTAATTACTACAATAGCTATCTATGTGTTGCCCGCTGGGACTAGAAGAGGTTGGCCAGCGGGGCCTGTGTGTCCGCAAGGGACGTGGCGAATAAAAAATTGGTGTTTGAAGATCTCGAGCTCTGTGAGTCGTGCTATTGAATACTTGCTCTCCTCGTTGCGTTCTGCCCTTTTCGCCCATGCAGAAGGCGGCACTCTCCGTGCATCCCTGTTGTGAATATCGTCGCTGTCATCATCTCGGAATCTGCCAATCGATCTCCAGTCTCCATCGACCGTCACCCGGTCGACAACGAGGCTCTTTCACAGCGTGCCTCTCAATCCAGACTCTTCAAAACATGCGTGCCAGAGGACGCGACGCCGGCGTACCCATTGAACTGCTCATTTTCCGCCAGCAACAGAGGCAGCTCGTCCTCTCGGAACGAGGCCAGGACATTCTTCTCGGTGGCCTTCCATCCCATCTGCCGGAGCCTGTCTCCGCGACTTCTCGAGTTCGCGCCAACCGTCGTCGGCGAATACGGGCCAAAGAGATCCGGATACAGCTCTGCCGGCACATTCTTCGGTTCGGGGTCCTTGATCCTCCCGGCCTGATACAGCTGTTTGCCGATCTCGACGGCGGCATCTCTCCACAACATCTCCTCGCCGTTCTCACAGACGAAATAAGGATTCTTGAGGACCTCCTCGGCGCTGCTGGTCTCCATCCAGTGCAGAATCACCATGTACGCCCTGACCAGGTCCTGGACGTGGATGTTACACCTCACCGACTGGCCTTTGCCGATGACGGGGGCGAAGCCGTGCTTCAGCGCGAACCTCGTCATGGTGGGCAGCTGGATGGACATGCGCTTGATGTGTTTGCCCACGCCGTACACTAAAGTCGGGAGGATGATGATGATTTTCGCCTTGGTGCCGAGTTCCTTGCGAGCGGCGAGGATGGCCAGGTCGATGGCGCGGTGTGGTGCGTCGTCCGGGATCGTGTCGATCTCCTCGGGTCGTGCGTCCGAGTAGACCTTGTCCGAGATGTACATGCCGCGCGAGTTGTCGACCAGGCAGCTCGTGCCGCTGGTGTGGATGAAGATGCTGTCCGGCAGGCCTTGGTTGGTGGCCCGGTCGCGCACGCCGGCGAGCACGGCTTCCACCGAGGGGAGGTGGTCGGCCGTCGCAGCGTGGATGGTGATCGGGTGCGAGGCTGCGTGTTGGCGGATCAGGTCGAAGTCGTCGAGCGTGCCGATGACGACCTTGACGGCCGGGTAGTGTTGTTTGATTTGCCGGGCGTGTTCTTCTCGACGCACCAGCGTCGTGACGGAGTAGCCGTCTGCGAGCAGGAGTTCGATGAGGTCGGCTCCTATGAGGCCCGGGCCGATGAGGAAGATATTCTTTGCTGGGGACATGATTGATTGTTGAGGGGTTGAGTACGGGTACCAAGGTAGCCACAGTAGTCACAGGTAGTGATCGTTGATGGGATTGAGTACGAGCACAAGTACCTATGTACTGTAGTTCTCGCGTTCTGATTCACCGTGTGTGTGGTGTCTTGATATCGTTTACACCAGCTGGCTCGTTAGGAATACTCTTTCTTCAATCCGTGTCACTGGCACCGGCACTGGCACCGGCATGAGCTCTCACTACTACCTACCTACATATGTATATCACTTCATTACCCTGCCTCCCTGCTCACACACTCTCCGCGCGCCCCCTCCCCCCTACTCTACTCTACTCCGTATGTACTCCGTACTCCACACTCCACGGTTGTTCTCCGCAACATGGATGCAAAGCCTCCCCTCCCCGCATCTCCAACAAAGTATGTAATCTGAGAGGCAGGTGTTTTGCACGATTGGTCCCTTGATCAAATGTTGGCGGCACGACTGATCAGCGCGTGGGAACCACCGGTCGCTGGCTACGGCCGAGACGGCGTGCTCTCCCGGTGGTGCCGGTGAGGTACTGTGGCATTGCACAGTACCACGAGTACACTCCTCGCGCGGAGCTGTCAGCTCATCTCTCTTGTCTCTTGGGTCTGCGTTGATTCAAGAAGTCTCGGCCAAGAAGGAGTCTTGACTGTCCATGTCATTGCGATATCTTTGGTTTGAAGGAGACTTGGACGCCCATGTCACGGCCTCATCTTTGGTTTGAAGGAGCTCTGCCACTGTTGAAGCGGCTCATAGGTTCGGAGGTGCTGAGGTCGGAACGTTTTAAGGACACACCTCTCGGCACTTACAGTATTTCGTACCGTACTTATTTCAGTTAAACTTTCGCTGGCATGCATTTGGTATGGGCAATACAGCTAAAATAAATTATTATACACCTCACTCTGACTTCTGCATAGACTTTGCTGTTGCTAAGCTCGCTGTTGCTAAGCTCGGTGTCGCTGTTTAGCGTGGTGTCACAAATCTCAGCCTTACCATTCAGCCTAATGCACCATTAAGACTCGTTCATCTCGCTTACAGCCTCAATTTTACAGCTTTCTTTATGTGAGTTCTCCTCCTCCTCTCTCTCTTTAGTCTTAGTAATGTAGTAAAGACCCGGCGGTTCATTAGCGGAAGGAAGTAGAGGCGAATACTCATGGAAAGGTATTCAGTAGCACCAAGGTTGGTAGTGGTGAGGTCTAGTGGCGGCGAGATAGAAAATACTATTCCTCAGATAGACTTTCGCAGGTACTCCGTACATAGTTTTGAGTGGGGGAGCCTACTAATTGTACGTACTCCCTACCTGCGGAAGTTCAACCAAAATAAGTGCGGTACGAAATACTGTAAGTGCCAAGAGGTGTGTCCGTATACGTCCCGTCAGAGGTCCGCAGGTTCAGATTTCTCGTCATCACAATTACTCTCCCACTTCCCGGTCTGATGCTGCCGCCCTTGAGAGTGGCTTCGGGACTGCTCGAGGAGGAATACCGACGAGGTGGCCCGTGCGGTGCGGTGCCGGCCAACTTCAATCTCGAATCCTCGCTTCGTCCTTCGTCTCCTCGTCTCCCCTTCGCTTCTACATATACTGTTCTTCCACATTGCGCAGACCCTGCCATGATCAGAAATGTGCATGTCACGGTTTCTACACATATACTAATCACAGACAGATTGATACCCAGTTCGGCGCGGGCGCTGTCTGGCAACAATGAAGTCCGGCTTTGTTCATTGTTCTACGGGTTCGTCAACGACCATGGGCTCTGCACATTGAGTCCCTCTCGAGATCATGCCAATTCCGGACGCTTTGTCTATTTCTGACTGGAAGAGACGCTGCACTGGCCATTTTCTCGAGGTTCGAAACAATGAAGCTCCCAGCATCTCGAATGTCTGTTATGCCTGCTCGTCTACGAGGGAGTATCCACGGGCGTTGTCTTCTAGTCGTTTTATTTCATCTCGTTTCCCTGCTATAGTGTGACAATACAGACACTGACATCAGGAAACACGTTATACCCGGTGAGTGCGACATTTTGGCAGCCATGAAGGAACGAATCATGAGATTCAGGGACTTCGACACGGAGTGGACCGTCTTGGCCACGACCTCGGAGGACCCTTACAAGCGGGCGCGCTGGACTCGGGACCAGGACTTGGTGGTTAGACGGATCCGAAAATGGAGGGCCAGACATTCATGGTACGACGGCCGAGCAGAGATGTTCGCCCTGTCGAGAGCATATGTCGAGAATGACCCCGAGAGAGACAGCGCCTGGGAGGTACGTCCTGTTCAGCCTGGCTTTCTTGGAATATTGCTGCTTCCACAAGCAATGGCTGACGTCGGTTTCCCAATCCCTTAGTGTGTGGATCTTTTAGGCGCAGGGGCTTTTGGCATGGTAGGTAAGTGGTGCAAGTTTGATGCGAACCGCAGGATCGTCGATGTGAGTCGTCCAATAATCCCGTATATATTTTTGTACGCCATGGGTTTGCAGACAAGGCTGACTGAACATCGACATGTTCTAGACTGTCGCGATCAAGCAATTCAACTACGAAACCTGGGAGTGCGACTCGGATGGCAGGCCTGGGGTTCCTGCCGAAGTAGCACTGCCAAAGGCTCTCGATCGCCAGGGATGCGGTAGCATCGCCGAGGTTCGGACGGCCAGGTTCTTCGACGTCAGTCGTCCGAAGTGGAGAATCTACCTCGAGTACTATGGGCATGGCACATTGGGCGACCTCGTGCAAAGATACCGGGAGAAGAGCGCTGAAGAGAGACGGAGGTGAGACTATCGTCCCATTCCAATAAGAGCTGAGACCTCAGAGAGTATCACGTTCACCAACAAAAAGTGGAAAACTCACGAGAGTATCTCGTCGCTGATAGTTTGCATCCACAGTGTCCACATACCAGAAGACTTCATATGGCAAGCATTCAACGACTTTGCGGCGGCCTACTACCACATGCACTCCTTCCGCCTCAAGTCGCTCGGAGCGAAGGGCCGTGATGCAGATGTAGCCAACGGGCATTTTGTTCTGCATTTGGATCTGAAGGATACGAATGGTAGTATCGCTCACAATGTTCTGTCAGTGTCCGTTATGACTGACTAGCTGTGTAGTTCTTCTCGGAGACGCACCCGGGGATGAAAGGTTCATGCCGTATCCCAGGCTGAAAATCGCCGACTGGGCGCTGGGCGAGTGCACGAGTCGTCGCGATCCCAAGAATAGCCGGAAATGGAGGAACAATGGGACCATCTGTTGGATGCCACCGGTGAGTACTCTCGCTATGTCTCTGGCCGCCAGAGTGGTGCCTGTACTTGAATGCCACAGGCTGACTAGCTCTTTCGTCCGTCAACAGGAACAATACGATTTCAATCGCTTCGGGCAGAACTGGGAGCGCAATGTCTTGGGCGGAACAAATCGTGCGTACAGCGCCAAGCACAATCTCTGGCAGGTAAGTAGAGCTCATCTATCGGCCATGTGCTCGTCTGGGACACGGTGCTTGCTTGATGCTGACGACAAACTGACTAATTATGTAGATGGCCGCTAACATCTATGGCATGATGGAGCTCGACTTGGACAATAAGAAGCTGGAGCAGAAGCTCAGGGAAGCTGATCGTGATGAGAATCACACCCGGAAGCATGGGTATTCTCTGTTGAGTGGATATCAGCATCAACGCTACTCGTCCGAGCTGTGCGAACTAGTGGAAGATTGCCTACGCATTAGACCTGAAGATAGGCCCGATCCGAAATCTCTGATCCGCAGAGTCAAGAAGGGTCTGGAGCCGGGTCTAAAAAGGTATGCGAGGACTGGGACGTGGGAGAGGTTGGAAGCTACAAAGGCCGAATGGGGGACATTCAAGCCTCGCAACTAACGGTTCGGGTTATAAATTAGATGGGGGATTTTGGTCGTGATTTCTTGAGAATGTTGCTTTTCCCAGTCGATGGTATGCAAAAGTAGTCTTTGGGTAGACGTACACTATATCAAGAAATTGGGAAAAGTGTTGCATACACCCCATACTGTTTATTCTAGTTGTTCGTGGACGAGGCTGCCACAGAGCCTTGCACAGTCTGATTGGCCCGTGGATCACCCAATCGAAGAACTCATTCTGCGGAGCTTCAAAGAATATTCCCCTTCATATAGCCACTCTCTGGTACTTACCGCGTACACTGACTTCGGCGCCGTTGTATGCCTCAGCCACGACGTCGCATTACCCTGTCAAAGTGAAGGAGACCGTCCAGAAGACATAGCGCGGCGACTGCGCAGTACCCACGAAAAAGGATGAGCTGACGACTCCTACGGCTCTCTACACAACCACCACCACGACTGTCACTCCCACGAACAAAAATGTCGTGCATCAACCATCTCCATTCCCCCCTCCGCCGCCTCGTACGCGAAGCCGCCCGCTCGGCTCCTCGAGATCTCCCCGCCTTCCTCGTCCCAGCGATCACAACCGCACTCCTCAAACCCCGGAGCGCCAGACCCGCCTCAACGCTCGCTCACGCTCACACTCACACTTCTGCCGCTCCCGCCGCTCCCTCGCATCAGTCCCGGATCGGCCGCACGCCCATCAATGTCCCACCTGAAGTGCAACTCCGGTTCTACGGCCTGCCCAAGGGGAACGTGCGCAGTCGACATCCCGACACGCCGAATATGGCTGTGGAAGTCACGGGGCCGTTAGGTACGTATGCGCGCAGAATTCCTTGAGAAATAGCTTGGAAGAGGCGTTCCGTATGAATGCAGATGTATATGCAGACACAGAGATACTGAGATCGCTCGATAACGACACCCACACCTGAAATGTAATCACGCTGACCGGACACTTCCCCCCCCATCTAGGCCAATTGACCGTCCCCCTCCCTCCGTACCTGCACGCGCAGCACGACGAGGCCGCGAGGAAAATCTCCGTTCGAGTCGACGATGTGGCAGAGAAACACCAGCGCGCCATGTGGGGTAAGCAGGCACCCTTCCCTACCCCTACTCTACTCGTTAAAGAAAGACAATGTACTGTCTTTGTGTCCTGAGGACGACAGACTGACACACCCTTGCTTCTCGTACTTAGGAACGATGCGTGCCCTCCTCCAGAACTCCATCTCGGGCGTCAGCGAAGGACATCTGTCCATCCTCCGGCTCGTCGGCGTCGGCTACCGCGCGACCATCGAACCCACGGCCACCACCGTCGCCCCGACGTACCCGGGCCAGCAGTTTGTGAACCTCAAGCTCGGGTACGCTCACCCGGTGGAGCTGGGCGTGCCCGAGGGTGTTACGGCGTCGACGCCCCAGCCGACGCGGATCCTGCTTCAGGGCGTCGACAGGCAGGTCGTCAAGCAGTTTGCCGCACAGATCCGCATGTGGAGGAAGCCCGAGCCGTATAAAGGGAAGGGCATCTTTGTGGATGGCGAGACCATTCGCTTGAAGGCCAAAAAGATCAAGTGAGCGTCATAGTACGCTGTAAGTGAGTGGGTGGTTTCATAGCGAGCGAGCGAATAAGTGACCGCCTTGTATCAAAGCTGGTGCTGGTGCTGGTGCTGGTGCTGGTGCTGGTGCTGGTGCTGGTGCTGGTGCTGGTGCTGGCGCTGGTGCCGGCACTGCAGCAATGCCTATAGTAGCTGGCTGACTTGCTAGCCTGCAGCAAATCCGGCCAATGTATATCGTATGGCGGGCCTGGAACACTTGCCTGTTTGCGTGTATTGCGTATGCGTGCCTGCGTGTAGATGTCTACGCAAGTACAGTACAGTACTGTAGGACCCGTGATCGGAGGACGGGGAGTTGGACTTTGGACGTATTTAGGATCAGGCCTTGCCTTGTAGGAAGCAGAGTGGGCTGTACGGAGTATGCATACATCCATCTACTGTGTACATCTACCTTTTCGTACTTGTCTCCGCCGGTGCTATACACCATCGGCTGGACCCTGGCGCACGCAACTGTCATGCTCGGAGCAAAGTACTAGATATCCATGCGTACAAGTATTATATGGCGTATAGATTTCACCGGCCTGGACCTACAGTATACGGAGTAGGGGACAAGTACTCCGTACAGGTACAAGTACAAACATGTACTGTTCCATATATAAACTGATCGGCTGACCCATCGTATAGGCTCCTTGCTGTTGGACTCTGCACAGTATGTTGTTTGAAGTCATGTGTCATTCGGTGCCACTGCCACTGCCACTGCCACTGCCACCGTCGCTCTATTCTTATCCATTCTTTTCCTATGCTGCCCTATCCTACCAGACCAGACCATATGATTCCATGGCATGGCATAGATGAGGTACGCCGTGTCTGCAACGGACTTGACGCCCAATGATTTCGCTGGATTCACATTGGCGTCGTTCTGTTTGCTCCTTCGCGGTCCATCGTCGCATGCACATCATATCCATAGCGCATCCACACCCACGGCCCAAGACACCATGGTTTTCTACTTGCCTGTTCTTCTGTTACTTCGCACCAAGAACCTCCTGCACGGCCTTCAGCACCTCGGCATGAACATTCGCCGGCGTGGCCACCACACCCTTGTTCTCTGTCAGGGTACGACCACGGCTGAAATCCAACCTCTTGCCTGCCACATCGGTAACCTGGCCACCCGCTTCGCGCACAATCAGATCTCCCGCGGCGTGGTCCCAGATCTTTTCCACATAGTCCTTCCGCACGGGCAGGCGGAGATACAGATCGCCGGCGCCGCGTGCTACGCTGCCGTACTTGGCCTGGCTGTCCATTTGGACGGGTTTGCCCGTGATACCGAGCTTCTCGGCGATAAGCGCATTGTCGCCCTTGGACGAGTGACCTGGCTCGACAGACTCGCACATGACCGCTTCACTGACTTTGCTGATCTTGCTGACGTGGATGGGTTGGCCGGCGGTCACAGCCCCACGGGTGAGAGGCTGCGACGTCGCACCTTGGCCTTGGACGGCGGAGAAGAGCACACCTTTGCCCTCGGCGTCGGTGGCGGCCGAACCAATGTCCTCGGTCAGGGGAGCCGAGTCGTCGACGGGAAGGTTCGGGCAACCCAGGACGCCGACCTTGACATCCCCATCGACCATGAGGGCGAGGCACACCGCGTACTGTCCGCCACGGAGGAAGCCCTTGGTGCCGTCGATCGGGTCGAGCGCCCAGATGCGGCCTTTGGCCCCGCCGGCGGAGTTGCCCTGATCGATGGCTGTGAGCATGGCATCTTCGGACGACAGTGGGCCGCCAAGGAGGGCATCGCTGTCGGGATCGCTTAGCTTGGCTTCCTTGACCAGATTCCAGATCTTGGCGGAGAGGTCTTTTTGCTCTCGCAGGGAAGAGGCTTCCTCCTCACCAACAACTTCGTCGTCGGGGAAGTTGTGCTTGATGGCCGCGATGATGAGGGCTTGGGCGCCGAAGTCACCGATCGTGACTGGAGATTTGTCGTCTTTGGAGACCGTGCCTTTGGCTTTTTCGTGGAAGACGGACTTGGTGAGGATTGCGGCGCGCGACACGGCCAGTTGGGCCACGCGGAGCTCTTTTTCGTACGCCATGGTGGTTACCTTGGTGGAGAGAGATTTGTTGCCCGGTCCCGACGTGAGGCTTGATGAGTTCCAGTAGTTGAATTGAGACCCCAGTGAGCTGAGTCTCAGTCTGAAGAGCGACGATGGCGACGGACCTCGTGGAGCCAGTGCGAAAGCGACGATCAAGAAGGAAATTGCGCAGACGACCAGAAGCGGGCGAAAGTACAAGAAGTGGGTTGGTTTAGAGAGGTTCATGCAGTAGCAAGAGTTCAATGTTGTTCGTCGCTACTCACCGCAATGTTGAAATCTTCAATCTGACTGGCAGCAGCAGCGCAAAGTTCGGGCTGCTGCAACCGGCATTCGGCAGTCGGCGAGCCTGCAGTGTGTAGTGTGTAGTATGCAGGCTGAGCTTGGCAGCTCTGATCTCGCCGACGGATGAACATCACTTGAGGAACGCTGGAGGCAGGCGGGAAATGGCACTCCTCGACAGGGCGTGATGTGTGCCAGGCGGCGACGACGATCGACGACTAGGAAATAACGTGTTGTTCTCGCCGTGGCAACAACACGCATGCGTACCTAGTTATGCCCCAATCACGCAATTCAAGCATAACTTGACACATGACTGCTGTGGCTTGTGGCTTCGTCTGGAAAGCCTACAGTAGATCGGGCTTTGTTGCACCCAAGATAGTGTTTCGATAGCGCCGTGCTTGTTCTCTACAGAGTATATCGCCGCCCGTATGGAGTACCGAGTACTTTGTGCGTGGAGGTGGTAACAACACAACAAACAACAGCGAGATTATCACTCTTGACTGGGATAGAGATGAGCATACAGACGGAGCACGCAAAGGAATTGTCCCTCTCGGCCGGGATGTACACAGTTGATAGGATATTTTCGGATGCTTAGCCAGGATCGATAATAGCAGCTGCTGATGTGCCTGGCTCACTCGTTCCTCACATTCCCATGATCCTGTGTAGACGCGTTTTTCTGACCACCCCTTGGCTGCAGACCCAATGGCAACAAATGTCATTCCACGAAGCATGCACGATGATTATACACAGCCCGTACTCCATACAATACCAGGCCATCCCTGACACGTCATCGGGAGACTGTGACACCAGAACGAAGCAGCAACGGGTTGGCACGTCTCGAACCCGGGGAAGGACTCTGTTCAGCAGCGGATTGCCGCCCTCTAGCTCGCACTAGGCGCAGCGGGAGTCGGTTCAACAACATCCAGCCTCGTTCTTTGTTTTGGGGGAATCACCGTTTCAGCCTGTCGGCTCAACAGAAACATGTCCCGGATCAGGCAGAGGTCACTCACGCATCTGGCTGGGCAGGCGGTGTGGTCTCGCTAACGGGCCAACCAGAGGCGCCGGGCGATGGGTGTGCCGGAAGAGATTCAGCTAGCCCAGCTTGAACCTTGGATGAGGTTCCCTTTTGAGGACGGCGTGGGCGGCGGCTCAGGAAATCCAGATCCTTCGGGGCCTCCACAATTGGCCTTTTAGCCTGCAGGACGGCAAGCCTCGTGGCACTTGCAACTGGCACCTTACCAAAATAGACCAGGACCACGTCTCCGATGCAAACAACCCAGGACCAAAGTGATAATACCTACCCAGTAGGTACCTATCATCGTGCCGCTTTGATGTAGTTCCAGCTACATTCAAATTGAGGTGGTACATCGCTGGAAAGATCATCGAGGCGGGCAGCTGTCACAACCGTGCTTGCGCGCGACGCAGCTCAGAATAATGTGAGAGAATACGAATCACGTCTGCAGTACGCGGCTATTCAAATTGCGCCTATTTCCTGAGGCCTCTGGAGGGCTGAGGCTCGCGTATGATCCATAAAAGAATCTTCCGAAAGGAGGGTAATTTTCCTCGGAGGCGAATGACAGCAGATAGATGGCTTGACTGGGTCTTGGTCGGGAGGCGAGACCTGGCAGACTAGGAAGTCTAAACATCGAAACACACGGAGCAGCCGGGGGAAGGTGCGCATCGGCAAGGAGTCCAGTCTCGAGAAGAAGGAATACCGTGTGCGTCTCGTCGCCAGGCAAACCAGTCAGAAAACGCAGCCCAGATGGAGTTGGTGAGAAGGAGCTGGTGAAAGGGAGGTGAGAAAGTGGTGAACCATGGTCGTTTGTTTGTGGCTCTGAATGGGCGGGTACCCAGTACCCAGTAGGTGGCTGTCGAGCTACCCAGTAGACCCGCCAAACCTGAACGGGGACCCAGGCTTGTTTCCGCAGGTGACTTCGCTGGCTTCGGCGCCTTTCCTTTCTGGTTCGTGGCTCATGGCTCTCAGTTCCTTGGTGCGCTTTGAATCGCAACCCGTTCACACCTCAACGCGCGACCACCCCCAATTTCACGAATCTCGTTCCGTACGCCTCTGACATCGATGGGCCCTCTATAACCATGTTCTCCGCCTCGGTGAGTCCTCCCTCTCCTATATACTCCCTGTCATCGCCCTTGTCTTGAGTTCGTCACGTCTGTCTGCACCGGCCATCACCTACCCCGCCGGATACCGCCCCCATGAAGCTCCCTTCGATGTCCATATTCCTGCTGCACACACCAGCCTGTGCACCCGACGCAGGTTTCACCGACCTCCCGAGGCCTGAGAGCCGTCAGCATCCAGACGTTGATCAGCTGGACAGCCTGATACACTGTCAGGAACCCGGGACGTGTGAATTCTGTTGCCGCAAGAAACGCCGGACGTCGTTCGATGCCTATCCCGCCCAGCCGTATCCTCAAATTGTTACTCGCCGCTTTGCAGACAAGAAAGGCTACGCGCGCCTCGTCGCACTCCTTTTACATTTCTCATGCTGCGCCCGGCAACGGAGGAGATATCAACTAACAACTCGATACCGCTACTACAAACAGAAGAAACCTTTCTCTGCCATCTCGGTCCATGTCGAGCAATTGACCTCGGAGATTTACGACGAAGATGACCTCGCCGGTGTTCCCGACCTCCTCGAAGTAGTCAAGCTCCAAGGCACGGGCACTCAGGAAGTTGCTCGAGCCTTGAGGAAGAAACTGAAATATGGCAATGTCCATCGGCAGCTGCGCGCCCTCACCATCCTTGACGGTATCCTGCAGAATGGTGGAAATAGAGTACAACGCGCACTGCTGTCTGACGGGCCTCTCCTGGAGCGTCTGCGGATAGCTGCCGCCGATCCGACCTCGGATCAAGATGTCCGGAAGAAGTGCAAAGACCTTTTCGGCCAATGGGTAGCCAGTGCCAAAGACAATCCTGGCTTGGAAGGTGCCAAGTCTCTCTACAATCAGCTCCCCAAGACGCACAAACCGGTACAGCAACGGCGCGAGCAAAGCCGCGTCCTCCGAGAAACGGAAGAGGAGGTGGCCAGAGAACAGGAGATGATAATAGCCAGGTCTCGGTCTGATAGCAATGAGAGACCCAGTCTGTCGCCCAGTCCTACGACGCTACGCAAGCAACCGTCTCCTGTAGCGCTCGGCGAGTCGTCGACCTTTGCTCCCAAAAAGGTGAAAAAAGACAAGAAGTCCAAGAACAAGGGAGTGGTAGCCTTCAACCTGGAAAAGGAGAAACCCAATATTTTACAGTCTATCGCAGCGTCCTCGGTTGCCTCGACCGGTCTCAATAATGCTCTGAGATTAGTCAACCGAGAGTCGGAGCGAGTGTCGGACAATCCGGAGGTGATGAAACGTTTCGAAACATGCAAACAGCTTCGACGTCAAATCCTGCGATATATTCAGTTCGTGGAGACGGAGGAATTTCTCGGCGGACTCATCCACGCCAACGAAGAGCTAGTCAATGCTCTTATGGCCTTTGAAGTGCTGGACAAATCGGTGGACGACGATTCGGACAGCGAGCTCGAAGAAGCGCAACACCTCAGTCGTATCGCAGCGAAGAGTGAAGCGTCTGCCACGAGAGATGCCGAGAAACTAGTCGCAGGACTGAGCATCTCTGGACCACCAAAACCTCCTCGTCCCGCCCCGTCGAGCATATCAATGCCACCGCCCCGACCTGCACCAAATTCAAAGAACTGGAGGGCAAAGCAGATCGAAAGTGACGACGAGAGCGATACGGACGTCGACGAAGATTCCGACGACCCATTTGCGGATAAAAACGCCATGAAGACGCCCGATCCCGAAGCGTTGGGCAGGAAAGGGTATTCATGGAAGGAAGTATAGATGATGGTGTGAATCACCAAGCGTGAAAATCTGGAGGCCTTCGAGCACAAATCCCTTGACCGCACATTATGGATAGAGCGCAGCGTGGTCTGCTCTCCAAGTTGATGAAACTATGAATCTATGAATTTTGAAACGAGTGATGCTTGACTTTTCTACTCGTCCTCGCACTGATGTGATCAAGCGGCAATTGATTATACGAACCTCGTATCCTACCCCACATTTTGAGGGGACCACGTCCTCGGCGGTTCTGTATACAATGCCCTTGGAGGGCTGAACCAGAAAGCCTCTCTCTGCCACTTCTGTACGCAGACGATCGGGACAAATTGGTCGGGTCGACAAGCAAGATAAACAGAATGGGCTCCCGAGACAACTACACCTTTGCCAATCAATCCGCGATTCCCTCTCCGCTCGACAAACAACTTCCGGCTTTCTTCAAGTCATGGGACGACCCGCACTCGAAGAATGAGTACCTCAATCTCTTCCACCCGACCGAAGGTCAACTCGTCTTCGGCAGCACCACCACGGGTCGTGAAGCCATCCGTGCCTTTCGCGACGCCATGATCCATCCAGAGAACGGCCCTGTCGTGGATCTCGAGCATACTCTCGGCAAGTGCTTCGTGCTGGCCGGCGGCGCCGGAGAGGGCAAGCAGGAGGTCATTGTGAACGGTAGCTTGTGGTACAAGTTAAGGAATGGACGCAAGATCGACGTGGACTTTGCCAGTAACATCAGGTTCGTAAGCCCGGGCGAAGGGCAGGATCTCCTGGCCGAGTTTTATGAAGTTTACCTGGATGCCACTGAGTTGATGGGTGCGATCAAAGAGATGAATGAAGCAGACGAGCACTAGGTACCGCGATGAAGGTCGGTTTCGTCGGGGCGCGGGGATGCTGGTCATGTCATGGGTTGTACTCGTACTAAATTGTTCTTTGTATTTGACACGAAGGGCGACATGACAGTATTCTTGCTCAGCTGCTGTCGGAAGCAGCTTGAACTCAGCAATGCCTTCAGCTGCTCGCGACCTACAGGCGCATCACCCAGACTTGGAGGGTGACATGCACATCACCCAGCATTAGCGGGGCACCAAGGTTATGTAAGCCAGCCCACGATTCTGGTGACTTCACCAATTTCACGATCCCGGTTCCTGCAATGTTGACGTGCACCATCTCACACCCCAAGTCCTCCTTAATGATCTTTACAATTGTTCAAGTACCCCGGACGCTCTCGCTATGTCCTCGCTGTCTTTCGCCATTTTCTCAAATATTCCGTCGTCCCATGAAACCTCGCCAGTCCCAGTTTCGCAGTCTCCCTGATCAAACATGATAAGCGGCCGGTTCTCAGCATGGGCGAAATGGCACCTCGGGTCGCGGAGCTGGAGGTAGGTACGACATATCGGAGATTGACGTGATCCCGTCCTCTAACGGTCTTCCTAGGCTTTGCGAGCAACGTATTGTCCACCACTCGACGAGGCCCTGTTCCATGCGATAGCATCGGATTATACGCTTCCCCAGAATAAAGGAGCGTTGGTCGCAGTTCTCGATGACTTGGCAGTCGGCGCGTTGGAGCAAGAAGACACAGAATTTGATCCGTCAGGTACCGACGCTACCACGCAAGTCAGAGATACAACCAACACGTCTAGGTCGAGCCCGGAGGAATCCTTTTCAAACGGTGTGACGAGCATAACGACTTGCCCATCTGAGCCGAGATCGAGCGACGCAGACAGTCTAGGGCATGGTCTGCACAACTCTTCCGAGGGGCAGAAGACGACATGGCTGGAGAACATGTTCCCAGGCATACCGAGGCGCGAGTTAACCAGTATCCTCGCTAGTCACGACGGTTCACTGGACAAGGCCACTGATGAGTTACTCAATCTTTCATTCCTCAAGCAAGGATATGAAGAAGAGACCGAAGAATTGCCTGCGCCCAAGGGCGTCGATGGCTTCGCAGCAGAAATGCAGTCGTCCCGTAAAAGCCGGAAGAGACGCAAACCCCGGACGAACGATTCGTCACGCGGAAGCTCGGCTTCGTCGTCACTGCACAAGTCGGAACACACTCCAGTAAATGTCTGGTCTACGATGTCCGAGGATGTGGAGTTTATCTGCTCGAGAACGAAACTCCATCCCCAGACAGTACGATCGGAATACCATTTGAATGGTGCCCGATTATCAAGTACGATTCGTGCGTTGGCTGCTAAAGAAGCGGCCGAACACAACAGAGTTTCGGACACCAACCACATCCTCGACCTTCAAATCGCCGAATTTCAGCATCGATATGAGCATGTGCCAGTATCGCAACTGTGCGGTTTGCTCTCGCTGGCACGGAACATTCCGTCGGCGGCCCAAGAACTGCTGGAAGCCATGACCGTTGTCGACGACACGACTAAGCCTGGCAAGCTGTATGATGTTGCCCAGTACACCCCCATTGACCTCAAAGAGAACCAGCCATTCGAGACGCCATCAGGCTCGAAGTGGACTTCTGTCACTGCGCAGCCTCGTGCGTCTGCAGCGTCCCAAAGAATAGGCGCCGGTCAGAAGTTCGGCCAAGCATCTGCTGCATACAAGAAAAGCAAGTCTAACCCGCTTTTTGGGGGAGCGGCAGCATACTACGCTGAGGTGGCCCACGAGCAACTGAAAGCGGCCAAGGAAGCACATGCTGCAGAAGCAGATGCCCTAGTGTCAAATCAGTCTTCGGCAAATGTGCTGGACCTTCATGGTGTGAGTGTGCAAGATGCCGTCCGCATTGCCAGCGCAAAAACCCAAAGCTGGTGGGATGGCTTAGGCGACGCAAAATATGCCACTGGAGGCGGTGGTCCTGCTAGAGCCGGCTACAGAATAGTGACTGGACTCGGGACCCATAGCAAGAACCAAGCACCTCGGATAGGGCCAGCTGTGAGCAAGATGCTGATCCGAGAAGGCTGGAAAGTGGAAATCGGCCATGGCGAGTTGATTGTAACGGGCAAGGCCCGTCGCTGAGGAGAAGTGGTCATTAGTGGAATCCGCCGTGCACCGAACGTAACGAGGAATATGAGAGACGTACTACGAAGCTACCCAGTACGGTAGGAGCTGAGGTCGAGGAGGTAGCTCCTTTGCCGTCTATTCCAAATAGTTCACAGGGCTGTGCCGGGCTGCATGATTCAGCCTCGTCACGCTAAAGCATGATTCCAGAATCATTTGCCCCGTGCACCAATCAGACGCTCTGGAGGCTTTCCATTGCATCACCGTTTGTCGGCGCGGATACGCACCTAATACGCCGCCCAAGTCAAAATAACGCTCACCCGGTTCGAGTTGATTCTCCTTGCCTCTCACTTGATCATTCTGCTATTTTGCTATAATTGTATGCTCTCCCTCTCGGCACTACTCGACCACCTCTCTATGCGCTTTCCATCGTTTCCCAACATCGTGCGCACGCTCTACACGCTCAGCAACGCAACAGCCCATCGACTCCTCCAACAACCTCTGCGGGGTACCACCACCAGCACCAGCTCGCAGGTCCACCGCGGCGTCGGCGCCACTGTCCTGCGATCTATGCCATCGATCCCATTCTTGGGAGCTTTATTCGGAACGAGTGCCTCGACCCCCGCGGCCGCCAAAATGACCTACCCGGACACCCGATCCGACGACGAGTGGAGGGCGGTGCTGAATAAAGGTGAGTGAGAGCTGGTCCTCCTCTGCTAGACTGGCCGATTGGCCGAGACCGGGAGACACGCCGCACGACAAGTGACCAAAGTGACTAACGTGGCGCGAATGTTGTACAGAACAATTCCGCATCCTCCGCGAAAAGGGCACCGAAGCCCCCTTCACGGGCGAGTATGACAAGCACATGCCCTCGCAGGGCGTGTACACGTGCGCGGCGTGCAGTGCGCCGCTCTACAAGGCCGACCACAAGTTCAAGTCCGGGTGCGGGTGGCCCGCTTACTTCGACTCCATCCCGGGCGCGGTGACGCGGCATACGGATCGCAGTTTCGGCATGGAGAGGACCGAGATTGTGTGCTCGAATTGTGGGGGGCATCTGGGCCATGTGTTCAAGGGGGAGGGGTATCCGACGCCGACGGACGAGAGGCATTGCGTCAATAGTGTCAGTTTGAAGTTCCATGAGAAGGAGAGCGAGGCGAACGGGAATGGCGAGGCGAAATAATACGACGCGTAGGTAGGATTGAAGATATGAGGCTATGAATGTGTTGCCTGGACTCGTGGAGGTCTTGACGTGTTCCACTATGATGGATGAGCACGGCACAAATGTCGATCAAGTACGCAGCGGGAAACGTCGTGGATAGGAATCATCGTATGGGATACAAACGCAGGTGCTTACGTCTGTGCTGTTATGACTGTGTGCTGTCATGTGCGCTGTTGTGAGTGCGGCTTGCACTGCTGATAGAGTAACAGATCCCTCGAGTCTGTCGGCTTACTGTCTATATCGATATGGCTACATACCTATTATTGATACACAACCCCAACATGGCCTGCTGCCATGCGGCCATGTCTCCTTACTTCACGACTTCTCTAATTCAACCACGCTTAATCTCGCCTTTGCCAACTCGGCGCCCTCGGGATCCTCCAACACGTGAGGGACAACCTGGTCGCCAAAGACCTCGTCCATCTGCTCGAGCGTCTTGCCCTTGGTCTCGGGGTAGAAGAAGAAATAACACACGGCCGAGATGAGGTTGGTGCAGAAGAAGACGTAGAAAGTACTTGAAGCTGACGGCCGACAGGGCCAAGGGCGACACCTGCGCAAAGACGAGATTGAAGGACCAGTTGATGAAGGTGGAGGCCGCGTTGCCCCCTGGCGCGGATCTGCACGGGGAAGATCTCGGCGGGATACACCCACGAGATGATGCCCGTCATGGTGAAGAAGAGCGAGACGCAGAAGTTCATGGCGACCAAGGCGCGGAGCATGTTGTGGATGTCCGGGTTGAAATGCTGCGACAGGGGCGGCGTTCGTGGCCAGGCAGGCGGCCATGCCGATGGCCGAGACGATCAGGGGCTTGATGCGCCCGATCCTTTCGAGGAGCCACAGGCCGACGGTGGCGTACACGATCGACAGGGCGCCGGAGATGCCGATGATCATGAGGGACGTCTGCGTGCCTATACCGAGCGCTTCATAGATGCGGGCGCCGTAATAGTTGATGACTTTTGTGGGCGAAATGTCAGCGACGGGAAACATCCTCATGGCTACGAGTAGGCGTTGGGGAGTGAAACTTACCATTGATCCCGGACAGTTGGCAGAAGAATTGAACACCACATCCGAGCAAGAGACGTCTCCGCCATGACGGCCTGGTGATGATTGTCTTCCAGTTGATCTCGAGATTGGCTCGGTCGGCGGCGATGACATCCACGATCTCACGGTATTCTAGCTCGATCGTCTCCTGTGGGAGTCCACTTCGCAGCTTCTGGAGCACGGCCTTCCCGTCTTCGTTGCGATTCTTCTCACAGAGCCAACGGGGGGACTCGAGCAAGAAGAGACACCCGACCGCCAGGATCAGGCCAGGTATGCATTGGAATGCCAGGGGAAAGCGCCCTGCAACCGTCAGCACTCAGCGATCAGCGATCAACGTAGGTCGTTCCGTCCGCAGGTCAGACAAACGAACACGCGGCGCGGGCGAAACGTACACGGGAAATCACCATTCACAAAGCTGCATCCGTACCCGATCCACTGCGCGCACAAGAAGCCCCAGGACAGCATCCACTGCAGAAGTCCTGACATCGCCCCACGGACACTCTTCTCGGACAACTCAGCACAGTACATGGGAATCGTGCTGGTGAGCAAGCCCAGCGCAATCCCGGCGATGAAACGGCCGGCAATCATCATCGCTATGGTCGTCGTGCCGGCTTGAAGCGCACAGCCAAAGACCGAGATGACCGACCCGGTGAAAATGGTCCATCGTCGACCCAAGAAGTCTCCAAGCCAGCATACAGCAGCGGCACCCACGATGGCGCCTCCTGTGATGGCTGAGACGATGCCGCCGCTTTCAGAGTCGGAGATGGACCCGCCGAAATGGTCAAGGAAATGGCCCGCACGCCCATTGACATCGGGGGGAAGAAGCATGTGTCCGAGTCAGGTGTTATGGGTCGAGTGCTAATGCCGGGGAACACAGCCAAGATCAGCACCAGCAGCATACCACCGAATGGTCACCCTGGTCTTCGGTAGAGGCTGCGCTGCTGCACGGCTCTGACTGGACAGCAAAGAAGATTGCCGCGCCGGTCACAATGAAGAACGACGACGGCTCACTTCGACCTCTTCATTTTTCAGGGTCGTTCGAGCTCCCGAGAGCTCGCAGCGTGCGAAAAGCTCGACTGTACCTGGCTGCGCAGGGGTGCTATCATGCTTCCATCAATGGCCAAAGTGTCGGTGACCAGTGTATGGCGCCTGGCTGGTAGAGCTACAAACATCGCATGCACTATCAGGTCTATGATGTTGAAGCGTTGCTGGAGACCAAGGGAGCGAACCTCATCACCGTAGACGTGGCTCCAGGATGGTTGGCTAGCGTCCTCGCCTGGGTTGATGGTCGGCGTTGCATGTTTGGCGACGAGCTAGGATTGCTCGCTCAACTATATGTTTCCTTCAAGGACGGCGACGCCGAAATGTTTGTGGTCGGGACCGATTGCCAGTGGCAGTGTCAGTGCAGCCGCATCACCAGCAGTGAGATTTACAACGGTGAGGTGTATGACATGACTTTTGAAAGTGCTCCAGTCACTCGTGGTGAAGCGCAGTCGACAAGCTCGAGGACAAATCCACAGGCTGTGAAAGTTGTCAGTTTCGACTTCGCAAAGCTGGTGTCGCCTAACGCGCCTACCGTCAGAGATACGGAGGCCGTTCGCCCCGTCAGCATCTTTGAGTCTGCTTCTGGCAAGACGATCATCGACTTCGGCCAGAACTTGGTCGGGTGGCTTCAGATTTTTGAGCTCCGGAAACCCGCCGGACATGTCGTGCAATTTCGACACGCTGAAGTCATGGAGAATGGCGAACTAGGCGTACGGCCTTAGCTCCACGAGAATGCCATTTGGTCGATGAGGGGAAACTTTCTGTCAGTGCCTACAGACTGTCCTCAACGGAATGAAAAGCTCGGCTGGACTGGAGACATCCAAGTCTTTGCCCCGTCTGCAAACTTCCTGTACAACGCGACTGGCATGCTGGGGAACTGGCTCGACGATCTTGCTTGCCGAGCAGATGGAACCCTGGCGAGAGCGCGTGCCGCCCTTCGTGGTTCCGGATGTCATCACGAAAGCTCATCCAGATGACGATGATTTTTGGCCACACATACCCAATGCTGTATGGGACGACGCGGCGGTGCTCGTACCATGGTCTTTATACCTTGCTTCCGGGGACAAGGAGGTGCTTGAGAAGCAGTACGAAAGCATGACCAGCTGGATTGACAGGGGGCTCCCGCGAGGAACCAATGGATTGTGGGACGCGAATATATATCAGCTCGGAGACGGGCTGGATCCCATGGCGCCGCCCGCTGAACCTGGTAATGGAAGGACCGCCGGGGCGTTCGTCGCCGATACGTACCTTGTTCGTGTCACGGACGTGATGACCCAGGCGTGTGCAGTTTTGGGTCGAGACGACGATGCCAACCGGTACCGCAGCGATTGCCAACGACTGAAGCAGGCATTCCACGACAAGTACGCCGCCAAGTCAGGGCTTCTCGTCGCCGATACCCAAACAGCCCTCTCGCTCGCCGTTGTATTCAACCTCCTCGACAGCCCTGACCAGCTCGCCGTCGTTGGGGACACCCTCGCGCGTGCCGTCCGCCTGCAACAATTCAGCGTCTCCACAGGCTTCGCTGGCACACCTATAATCACGCACGCACTGACATCCACTGGCCACCCCGAGCTCGCCTACCGCATGGTGCTGGTGAAAAACTGTCCCTCCTGGATGTACCCGATTAGCATGGGCGTGACCACGATCTGGGAGCGATGGGATAGCATGCTCCCTGACGGGAGCATCAAACCTGGCGAAATGACCAGTTTCAACCACTACGCGCTAGGGTCGGTGATGAATTCGCTGCATGAGTGTGTTGGCGGCATCAGCCGCTTGAACCCGGATGGAAGAGAGTCAAAGTCCAGCCTGTGCCGGGTGGGGGCTTGACGAGTGCGAGTGTTGCGCATGAGGGTCCTTACGGGAGGATTGAATCTTCGTGGGAAATCAAGGCGGGGACAAACTTTCATCTTGAGATTTTGATACCGCCCAACACGAGCGCGTGGGTTGTCTTGCCTGATGAGCGAAAGAAGAGTAGTATCGACAAGGGTGAAGAAGCAGGCAGGTGGGTGACTTCTGGGAGACACCATTTTGACGTCGATATTGAGTTTGAGCCGTGGCCGCCCGAGGCGATGATGCCGCCGTTTTGGCCGCAGAAGAAGCCGCAGCTGGTGTGATCGGCAAGTTACAGTTCTCGCGAACCCATGGGAAAGCAGCCTTCTCGATGTCTTTCTGCCTTTGGTCTTTGGCGCGATCCGTTTGCGGTACAGGTCGCCTAATGAGCCTCCCCATTGATGACACTCCCACCATCCTCTGCCTCTCCTTCTATGACGGCTCTCCACTGGAAAGCCCATGGCCTCGTATCTGCAGCCTCCAGCTCACACCGGCTGCGAGGAGTGCGGGGCTTGCAGCAGATTCGCCACACACGAGGAGATGGATTTTTGGGACTGATCCGGATATAACGAGTCTGAATCTCAAATGTCAAACTGCTAACATCGCCCATGAAGTCGAACCGAGACGAAGTCGCAATCTTTCTTTGCTTGACTGGCTTTTTTTTGCGAAGACAAGCCGGGAGCCGTTTTCTCATGTGTGCCTCGTATTCTAAAGGCCGGTGTAGGGACGCCTCCGCAAGCATCTGTGGGCTCTCAGCCTCAAGCACAAGGGCCCTGTGCTCCCGAGCTTTGCAAGGAAGTGCGTCGTCCCAAGGCATCGGCCCTTGCCTGACCAGGCCGACACAACGTGCGGCCTGCCCTTGGATGGGATTTTCAAGATGATCATGCGCCGAGGAACTGGCGATAAGAGGGCGTTGAGTCCAGACACTCAGCAATCGCCTCTACCTCTCGCGTCGCCCAAGCTGCATCCCCAGGAGTCCCGCTTGACTCTTGCGAAGCTCGCCACGCAAAAAAGTCCGCAAGGTTATTATCCGCACCACCTCCGCTGTATCGGCGTTTTTGATTCTGGGGCACGTTCCCGCCATGTCAGCAATCAAAGGACATACGGGCTGTCCAGCCAGACTTAACCGGCGTGCCAGCGAATGTCGATTGGGATCAAGATCACCGAAACACTGATCGCAGTCCTCTTCGTCGGCATCGTGGCTGCCGTGTACGGTCTGCTCATCCGACGAGGCACTCTAATGTCCACCACTGCCATTTATCCGCGTTCAGCGATCGAAAGAGAAGATAGACAAGCTGTCGTCGTCTGCGTGGCCAGATCGCAGCGGAGACGTCACCAGAGATGCGGCAGCCACTACAGAAACCAAGAGTGCAGACTCCTGTGGCGGGGACAGCTCCTCCTATGCGAGACAAGTTGTCCGAACGAATACGACTGACGTATTTAGGGAAGATGCGATCAGATGAAGGGCGGCAAGCTCATCGCCAAGGGGCAACATGACAGCCGTGCGACACCTACGAGTCGACGTAAGAACCCGGCTGACCATAATCTGCAGAGCATGCAATATTGGAAATACACTTCAGCAAAGGAGCTTGTTTTGAGATTGGGACTCAAGGCTGTTGGCACCTGTAGGGTGGAAAGGTCAAGAGTTTCCATCTTGCGTGACCCGTGGCGATAGTATTGCACCGTTCCGCCACGGGAAGTCTGAAAGACCCGCATGTTTGTAGCCCAAGACTGCTTTCACGGGTTCTAAGGATTATAGATTTGTGCGCAATAACGGTGATAGTTCGACTTGCGTTGGTGCAGAAGCCCCTAATTCAGAAGCCGTAGACTCGCCTTGATTGGTCCTTTCCATCTGGTAATCGATTTTGTCAGCAACATACCTACACTACCTGCCGCCTGAATTGGACATCATCATACCTGTTTGGAGCGAGTCAGCAGTGCCTCCGCTTCCTGTGTACAGTCGTGGCCCCACATCCAGCGCGACAGCTGGAAGTAGTCAACTGCATCCCACTGTTAGCACACAAGAGTTTCCATTGCGAGTCCACCGCGCTCGCTGATTATGGGGGGACGTACCTGGAGGAGTGGCGCCCGTCGAAAACTTTCGGAACACGGCCGAGAACTCCTCCGACAGAGGCATGTCGGCGTCTTCGGGACCTTGTGGTTGACGGTCCTCCTCGCGCGAGTGGGACAACTGCTGGACGATCGACGTCCTTGGCACGCGCAGCTCGTCATAGAGCGCCAGCCGTTTCGGGATGTCGGCCTCGTCTTCCAGCTGGCTCATCAGGATGCCGAGCGTGGCTGCGTCTTCGATCGACTGGGCCGCCCCTTGGCCTTGTCGAGGCCACATGGGATGTGCGGCGTCTCCGACCAGCACCAGCCTATCTTTGTGGTATGTCGGCAAGGGTTCGCGGTCGGCGATCTTCCAGTCAAAGACGTAGTCGTCGGCCTTGCGGCCAAGGGCTTGGATGACGGGCGGCAAAGTGCTGAGTCGTTCGAGTAGAAGGGCGCGGCTGACCTTTTCGCCCACCACGGTCGTGTTGTTTCCAGGGTCAGTGTACGCGCCGAAGTTCTGCATCTCGTCGCTACGACAACTGTTAGCTTCTCGGTTTGGCTTGTGAATTTGGGACAGTCGGGATGGGGAAGGGCCTGCGCACTTGTGACACGGGTAACGGACCAGATAGGTCGAGCGATCCGCGTTGACGTAGAAAGTGAAGCTGCCGGGCCCGTCATCCATGACATGGGCTGTGGCGGGATCGTTCAAGATGTCTTCCGTCCTGAGCAGGAATCGCATGGTGGACACACCGCTGGGAGTGGCAGGGACTCGGTAGCCTAGGACGGCTTCGTGGGCCACTGAGTGTATGCCGTCCGCTGCAACGATGAGGTCGGCGTGCATTTCCCTTCCATCTTGTAGCTTGATGCTGCCTGTAGGATCCCAGCTGACAGCCCGTGATGACAGGAGGACCTCGACGGGTTTGCCAGGGCCGGCGGGACTGGTGCATTTGTCCTTGAGAGCGTTATGGAGGTCAATGCGATGGGCCAGGAAGAACAAGTCCTTGAGGTGTGAAGCAGCGGCTCTGCGGGCCCATGTTAGCGGACGGCTGTCTCCATCCTCGCCGAATCTCGGGATCGTGTCCTTGCTGAGGAAGTGGTATTCCAGGGAGGTTCGGAACGCCGCGGCTTTGGCGTCTCGCTTGGGCTCGATACCCAGTCCGATCAGTGCGCGAGTCGCGTTGGGAGGCACCGCGACCGCCAGACCAGCCTCTCGCAGCCATGCCGAGGATTCAACGACGGTGACGGCGTGGCCTTGTCTTCGCAGGGCCAGCGCTGCCGTCAACCCGGCAATGCCTCCTCCGGCGACAATGACGTTGAGCTGTATGTGAGGCATGCTGCAGAGAGTATCAAGGGCACAAGAAGAGGTTGATGCGCTCGGAAATGATTCGACGGTGGAACGAAAGAAACCATGTGCCACGAGCGTACTTCGATCTCGTTTAAGGTGAATTTATAAGATGAGCAGTGTGCATGGTCCTTCACGTTCGTACACAGTACCGATTGTAAGCCTCCACTCGGGTTTTGCGGTGCGAAGGCTGATCTGGTCAATGGTCAGATGTTTTCCACTGGCAGAGGAGCTTCCCGCTTACCCTCCACGCATCACGCTCACACGGCGGTATTCCACCGCATGCGGGATGTCTCTTCGAGATTCAGGTGAAGGCAGGACCTCATGGGGACAATGCTGACCTTGGCCGCTTGACATTTCCAAGTGCTGTGGTAAGTATATCACCTGCGGTTGTCTCATTCTTGATTGTAACCGAAAGGGACAGGCCGAGAGCGCCGTGCTGATGTCTCGATGTGGCCGAAATGAGAGTTGTAAGCTGGTAACTGCATTAGGTAAGGATAGCACCACAGTGGACCTGGACAGCTCGTATAAGCATATGGGTTGGCACGATTGGCAGGGCTCGTTTGGGAACAACCTGAATACCTTGGTGATCCCGGCAGAGGCGGTGGAGACGAGATCCTTTCACTAAGTGCCACGAATGACAATGGCGTGGTGAGTGTGTGAGTGGGCAGGAGGATAATGTCAGTTTGAACAACACTCCCCCGTATTCATTACGGTAGACGACAAGTCACCTTTGCGCTTGTTTCTATCCAGGGCCACGAGGGCTTGCGACCTACCGCTGTTGCAATTTATCTTTCGACGAAGCGGGCATATCTGCTAGAGATCCCGTGACAACGGAAGAGGCAGGAAAAGGCTCGTCGAGTCTGGTTTTCGGTTGGATCTTGATACCAGGAATTGTTCCCGCCACTCTTAGCCTTGCTGTGGCTTATTGATTAACGACTCGGTTCGACACATGACGTCTTCGGACAGCAGCAATATGGCAGACAAAGGACCAAGGTGGAAGAGCCAAAGGCAAAGAAGTCAAGTACCTGCATTACAACAGGAAGGCAAACAGAATATCCAGATAGGCACAGGTCGCAGCATCACGTGACTAGAAACCTGCTGACTAACATGGTGTCATTTCAACTCGCTCCCGACTCGACCTGAAGGAGCCACTTGGAACTTGGCCCCATCATCGCAGATGCGAACCACCGACACATCCTCTGACAGCACCTGAAGTGGACGTTTGTTGCCCTCGGATTCGCTTCTTGGAATCAGCTCTTCCACCCGGCCGCCCCATGTGACCGAGCTCACCTTCCTCTCGCAAGTCCTTCCAATCCTCATTGATATCTCTACAAAGTCCCAATGTCTCGTCGACCGGGCAATGACAGGGCGGCTCAAAATGCCCAGACCCTCAAAGCCCTGGTCAAACTTGAAGGAAACAAAATGTGCGCGGATTGTAAGAGGAACAAACATCCACGATGGGCCAGTTGGAATCTGGGAGTCTTTGTCTGCATTCGCTGCTCAGGAATACACCGAGGTATGGGCACTCATATCAGCCGAGTCAAGTCGGTGGATCTGGATGCGTGGACAGACGAGCAACTACAGAGTGTGCTCAAATGGGGTAACACAAGAGCGAACAAGTATTGGGAGGCAAAGCTGGCTGCTGGGCACGTGCCGTCAGAGGCCAAGATTGAGAACTTCATTCGCACCAAGTACGAGTCCAAGAGATGGGTGATGGACGGTCCGATGCCCGATCCCTCGACCTTGGATGCAGAAGGAGATGATGATGTGCCGCTCAGCATCGTTCAGGAGAAGGCCAAGATTGAAAGATCGGCTTCTCAGCGGCAAGCCCCAAGCCAGCCACCACCGCAGCCTCTTCCAGCGGCCAATGTGAATCTCTTTGATGACTTCACACCACCTCCGGCCAGACCAAGCACGGCAGATATTCCAGCCTCACGGCCAACACGAACTGGTCCACCAGCTCCGGCTCCGGCTGCCAGACCTGCAGCCAAACCACAAGACTCTCTGCTTGGCTTGGACTTCTTCGGAGGCTCATCCGCCGCAGGCATCGGTCGTCCTTCGAGCGCGGCTTCTAATCCTACGGCGAGTACAAACAGCCGAGGAGACCTGAAGAATTCTATTTTGTCGTTATACTCGAGTGCACCTAAGCCTCAACCAGCACCGCAGCCCCAGCACGATCGGCAGCCCTCCTTCGGTGGAACGTCGTCAATGCCAGGCGCAAAGCAAGATGCATTTGGCGGGCTCGCCGATGCTTTTAGTGGGTTGAGCTTTCCCGGCACGAATACCAGCACCGCAAAACCTCCTGCTCCACAGGCCTCTTCTGTATTTTCCGGCTTTGGCAGCTTGACCAGCCCTGTCGCCGGCCCCACAGCAACTCCTTCAGCGCCTCAAGTTACCTCTCCGCCTCCTTTGAGTGGAGGCGGCTTCTTCGACAGCATCCCATCCAAGGCGCCTGCCGTTAAGCCAACCGTCACATCACCGTCAGCGCTGAATGGATTGGATTTCTCCTTCACTCAAAGAGCACCACCCCCGCAGCCAGCGGCAGCCCCTGCACCGAAGCCCGCTGCTCCGTCAATTCCTGCTGATCTGTTCGCTGCAGACGACTTTGGTGGGTTTACCAGCACTACGCCTGCCTCCCCTCCCAAGGCCGCTCCGGCTCCGGCTCCAGTTCCAGCTCCCTCAGTTCTATCACCTGTCACCAGCAAGTCGGCGTTCGATTCACCTTTCAATTTATCTTCTCAGCCAGCACCAGCGGCGGCGCCCACACCCGCGTCACAACCATTCAAAGCACCGGTTGCTCCGCACGGCAGTTCGTCTATGTTTGACCCTTGGTCTTCAGGCGCTGATAGCAGTCCGTGGGGAGCACCGGATCCTGCGCCTTCGAAGCCAGCGCAGCCCAAGGTAGAACTAGGAAAAGTACCATCACGCATTACACCGAACGATATTGCTGGAGGATGGGGCGAGCCGATCTCGTCTACCAATAAACCCGTGCGGCAGGCGTCCGTTACGGCGGATGAGGACTTTGGAGGATGGACATCAGCGTCGACGACACAGACACCGGTTGCTCCTCCAGCAAAGCCCAGTGGGGGCTTTGGCGGCGGCTCTGATCCGTTTGACAACCCATGGGGTTAAATCTCACCGTCAGGTCTCGGCGACAATGTATGTAGGGCGATACTTGGAGGAGGGGTAGTGGCGATGAAGCATGAACACATGTCGTTGGTGCTTACACACGATAGCATCTAGATAGCAAAACGCAGCACGCAGTCACGCACGGCGATCCTCGTAGTCAACGTATAATTGGCCCCTGGTACGCTCAGGAGCATTTGACAGCACGTCGAGTGGAGGTTTAGCGGATAAGGAGAATTGTAATTGGCGAATGGCGGCGAGGAAATCAGCGCCACAGATCAAGGCACAGCCGTCAATCCAACAAGGATACGGGCTTGCAATTCCACCAATTCCACCCATTCCACCATTGGGTGACAGGAGCGCGGCTGCTTGCGTTCCCTACAGTAGACTATGATCCTATCCGCACCATCCTCCTGGCTCGACCACGACGTCTGCATCTGCATTTAGAAGACTGACCCCTGCGCCGAGTCACCACAGGCGTGTCTTACCTGTCAAAGTCGGTCGATTATCCGTGTGTCTTCAGCTTGCACCGTGCCCGATTCGACCACAGCACCACATGGCACAGTCGCCGTCTCCGCGTTTGACTCGATGATCTCAGGTGCTGTATCTTCGCACACAGTCCACCACGATCGCTCTCCCACTGCTACAAAATCCCACCGACAGTCGCCCGACCTCGACAGTACTTCTTGGTTCCCCTGACTACCCGATCGCCACACGACCGCAGTCCGATGATCGTAGGGGCCCCTCCGGGAGCACGACCCTGCCGGCGATTGTGCGCAGGAGGTGGGAGAGGAGAAAAGGCTGCCGCCTGCTTATCGAAGTGCATACAATAAGAAAGGACGATTCGGCTCTGGAGACCTAGCGGCTCCCGGTCCGCTCCATGCAGGTTCGTCCACAATCCAGATGTGGCATCAGCAGGATCAGAGGGACAAGTGACTGACACAGTGACTCTTGCCAGACTTCAACCCGGAGCCGAGACACAGGTGCGAGCTTCGCTGCTCGCCAAAGGGGGCACCTGCCCCAGTTGTCGATAAGTGATGAAAATCACCATGTCACCGAGACCATCGGCTACCTCTACGACGATGATTCTGACCACGACTCTCGCCCCTCCGCTCACTACTCGAACTCACATCATCATGCGAGTGCACAATCCCCCGGTAAAGTCAATGGCAATCATATACAACAGGATTTAGCTCCCAGAAGGACGCCGTCCATGCCGAGGAAGCAGCTGCACTTTCGAGATATGTCAAGCGACAATGCTGCTCAACAAGCAATTGGTGTCTCACGGGCGTCTCCTAGCCAGGGCCATTCTTGGGACCACCAGAACCATAATCACACACCTTCTTCGCCGACGGCCGGCTCGAGAGAACGGTCGCCCTCCGACACCGCTACCTCTTCTTTTCCTTTGAACGATATCGACTACGAGTCCAGTCCAGCTGGACTGGCGCAAGAGCTGAGCAATTTACAAGCATTGAGGCGCATGTCGATGCACGTGGGCGCCACAGATGATCCGGATCTGCCTCAGATCAACGCAGCGGGCATGCCGAGTGCGCCTAGCCCTACCTCGAGCGAAGACGACTCGTCCAGGTTATTCTGGGTTCCGGCTCGACTCCACCCAGAACTCGCGCCAAAGGAATTCAAGACGTTTCTGGAAAGCAAGGCGGAGCAAATCCGACGAAGGTCTGGCGAACTGTCTGCATTCACGAGTCCGACATCTTCGAGATCGAGTTCACTTAGTACTGAGGGAGGGAGCAGTGGTCTGCGCAGGAAGAAGTCGATGCTCTCTCGCCAAATCGACAGTTCTGTAGGCTATCAAGATGGAGCGGACCGTTTGGAGCGAAAGAGATCACTTTCCCGAAGGACGAACCCGCAGGACCCAAACCTGCAAGAGCTGGAAAATCTGGTTTCAAATACTGCGTCTTTGTCAAGGACAAGCTTGGACCCTTCATCCGAAGATGATTCTGGAGATATCATTCTGCCATCAGTGCCTGGCAACAGCCTGAAAAGGTCGACTCGGACCACTTACCGACGAGGCGGGAGCGTCAAGGTCAGAGGAGATCGTGGGACCTATGCTCAACGTGCGGCTAGGCGAGCCGCAGCTGGGAGTCCTTCAGAAAGCAGGCCCGAGTCACCCGAAGCCAGTGTTCCGGCCATACCTCCACTGCCAAACCTCTCCATGGACGTGCCGAACCTGGCGCAAACACTGAAAGACCCCTCGCACGCACCGGGCGTTGTCAAGGCTCTCCCCACGAACTTCTCGAGACCGGCAACCTCGTCTTCGGCAAGTCCGAGCTCTTCTGTACCAACCACTCTTGACTCTGTATTCGGCTATGATGATCCGAAACGAACAAGCACGGCGAGCATGCCAGATATGCGAAAGTCCCCGCCTCCGGCAAGGTCGCCGCCCTCGACCATTACATCCTTTGAGCGCAAGCCTGCACCTGTACCGCAGATAGTGGAAACTCCACCACCACCGGAAAGCCCCCAGATAGCTGTTCAGCCGCCGCGCTCCTCCTCGATGGCCTCTCCAACCGTGCAGCAACCAATGCGCCATCCGGAACGAGTGTCATCACGTGAAGATACCAGGAGCAGGGCAATTTCACCGCAAAGGCCGCCGATGCCTTCCAAGGGCTCCCTGCCCTCAATCACTCCACGAGCAACGTCACCAAACACGATGCCTCCCCCCAACAGACCATCACTCAGCCTTGAACAACCGTCACCTCTGCCTGGTAATGACACGAATACCAGTAATTTGTCCTTCATTCCAACTTTAACTGTTGACAAGCGAGCCGATCACAAAAAGAAGGAGGAGACTAAGAAGTCCAGCTGGAGCTGGCTTCTAGGCAAAGAAGACGGCGACAAGGAGAAGCCAGAGAAGCCCAAGGCTAAAATCTTGAAACCTCCTCAGACGCACGACAACACACGTCTTGATGTGCTCCAGACATCCATCGACGGCGGTGGCAAGGGGCGAGAAAGTCTAGTCCTGGACCGCGAGCACTTGAAACTCGATGAGGAGCGCAAGAAGGAAAGCCAACGTAAGACATCAGGCAGCGACAAAAAGGAGAAAGAAGGTCTATTCTCCTCCATATTTGGAGGCAAGAAGGCTAAGGGGGACAAAGACAGCTCGAAGAAGCATCGCGACCGAGGGCTTTCACCCGAGCCGCCGTATCGAGAATTGAAACCCGACATTGATTATAACTGGACACGATTTTCAATCCTGGAAGAGCGAGCCATTTACCGCATGGCGCACATCAAGCTCGCCAACCCTCGCCGAGCGCTATATTCGCAGGTGCTGCTCAGTAATTTCATGTACAGTTATTTGGCGAAAGTTCAGCAGATGCACCCACAGATGAATCTACCCACGAGTGCTAAGCAGCAACGAAAGCAACAGCAGAAGGACCAACCTCATCAGCCGGATGAGTATGTCCAATACCAGCGGTACCAACAGGTGAGTTTTTCCGTCACCTGTGCGTGATGATCGTGTACTGACGTTTTGGCAAGCAACAGGCCCAGCAACAACAGCAGCCACAGGTTGAGCAACAACATGCCGCTCAACAGGACATGGGCAATGATGCATCTGGTTACGAGTTCGATGCTGGGATTTCGCGGCCTAGCTCCCGAGGAAGCAAGCACTCGGTAGAAAGTAATGGATCACATGGGAGCAGTGCGGCTGGATATAACCAACAACACTATCACACGAATTCGCAAGCACAGCAGCACGAAGATGACGATGACATGTGGTGATAACTCGGCGAGCTTTGAAAGAGTAGGGGCTGTTTCTCCTTGTACCTCCAGCGCAAAGTTAGCTGATGGTACCACGGGACAAGACGCTTTCAAAGCCTTCGTGCCTTGAGAACGACCGCTTGAAGCGCTTTCTTTTGTTGACCTCTAGCATAGCGAGCAGATTGGGGGAATATATATGGGTATGACGGATAATTTCGAAGCAAGCAATGACACGATCACATATTTTCATGCCATAGCGAAGTACCAGCCAACGTGATAATTGTAGATATTCGTGGAAGGTGAGATGAAATTGGTGGCTTCAAGTGCTGCTCGCCTCCTGCAGCGGCTAAGCATTCTGTATGACATCGTCCCAGCGTCCCGTGTATGTAGTTTTGCGCCAGTGAGACAGACCACCAATTCACGCCTGTTTCTTCTTCACGCAGGCACCATACGAGTACCCAACTTCACATTCACAACCAACAGGAGTACCGACCATCATTAATCGTGAGCCGTACTGGAAACTCCTGAAAGCACTGAACGAAGTGAGCTTGATCATTCCAGCACTCGGACTCGTACTCCTCAGGGCTCACTGATTGTGAACATCGCGAGTACACGGTATTGCTCCTTCTACAGTATCTATAGAAATAAGACAGGCAACTGTTTCCACCCCTCTGCACGGTGCCGTTGCGACCGCGTACGTATCCAGATCCACACCTCGCCCGCCACCACGCACACGCATACGCCTACGCCCACGACCGAGAATATCAGCGCGAGAATAAGATACCGCCAAACGAGAGTATCAGCGCAGGAGCAGGACACCCCAGCCGAGCGTATCAGCGCAGGAGCAGGACACCCCAGCCGACCGTACCAGCGTAAGAGCAAGGACAGTCGCAATCGCAATCGCAGTCGCAAGCAAGAAAGACTACAGGCCAGACAGTACCAGACCATACCAGACTATACGAGTCCAGAACAGACCACACAACACAGCCCAGCATGGCCGACGCCTACGCGCGCGAAGAGTAAGTTCTTCCTCGTTCTCGACCTCCAGCCCCGCCCTCACGTCTCATGTCCCTTCACCATGAGAAATACACCTGTGTGTGTGTGTGTGTGTGTGTGTGTGTGTGTGTGTGTGTGTGTCTTACGGCCCTCTTCTTTATACTCCCCTCTTCTCTTCCCTTTCCAGCTAACACCACCTCTCCACAACCACGCAGGCAAAACAACGCGCTCCTCACGTCGCTCAGCCAAAAGACCTCGGCCCTCAAACACATCACGCTGGACATCTACGACAACGCGCGCAACCAGGGGACGCTGGACTCGACGAACGAGGTCTTTAGCAGCATGAGTTCCAATATCCGCGGGAGTGCGGGCCGGTTGACGCGCATGGCGAGGCAAGGAGATCGCGTCGCCGTACTGAAGGTCGCGGGCGTGGTGATAGTGGCGGGATTGCTTGTTTGGTGGGTCGGTGGTTGGATCTTGGGACTGTTGTTAGGGCGGTAGGGAGTGGTGTGTGACAGAAAGATGGAGAGGGAGGTACAGGTACAATCCAGAAGGGGAAGGCAGATAGGGAAGAATCGTGCTTGAGTTTGGATGGGAAGCGAAAGTGATCAGAACGAGCCGGAGACGGAAACGGAAACAGAGACGGAGTGTGATCACTGTGGCACTGCTCACTGCTCGTTGCTCGTTGCTCGTTGCTCGTTGCTCGTGCGCAGGAGGAAGTACTTGCCTGTAGTACGCTCCAGTACAGAACGGTGTACAGTGCGGGCGTCGAGGACCGGGAAGGAAGAAAGGAGGGTGGGACTATTTCTCTGCATCAGCGTATGGAGTATACTATTCGTTACGTCCACAGAGCGAGTCTATCTATCTCTATGCGTGCCCGGTCATGAATCACGCGAAGTGTGTCGTATGTATTTGGTCAGTCATCGTATTGCGATTCCGTGGTAATGTCTATGCGCATTTCCTGTCGTTACTTATGGCAGTCGGGTGCTGTCGACGATATGATACGAGGGTACGCCGTATATTGTACGTCGTGTCTTTTGGGATGGCGGTGGTATGTGTCAGGGTCGACAGCGTATTGGATACACTTTATGACTTCTCGATGACAAGGAGGGCACGACGAGGGGATGGCGAGGAGGAGATGGCGAGGAGGTAGCTGGCGGAAATGCTATCGCAAGTCAAGGCGTCTACAAACCGGCGGCGATGGCAGCAACGGCAGCGACAGCAGCAATCTCACCGACCAAGAACAAGATTGTATGCATCATGACATTAGGGTTCTGTATCCCCCGTCGTGTTGTACATGAAGAAGCGCTCTGGCGCTCTGGCGCCTTCTATGATTGTTGCGCTCAATTCCCATGTCCCATGCCAATGTCCCTCTTAAAACGCCAACGTGAATCCCAGACTTGAACCAAGACCCAAACCGAATCCAAAACTAAAAGCCGCAGACAAAGGAAATTCGTAAAGTCATTAAACTGCGTCTTCAAAGTCTTCGTTGTCATCGCTGTCGTCTTGGAATGCGACGCTGTGTTCTCTCTTCAGGCCCGCAACAGGAGCCGGTGCTTCCACTTCGACATCTTCAAAATCTCCTTCATCTTCATTGTCCATGTCGTCAGCGCCAGAGTCGTCTGATGGTGCCATGGCAGCGCCGTTGGCGACTGCTCCTCCTTCACCGAGATCAGATGCCGAGGCATTGCTGTTGTTGTGTAGTGTGTTTGTGATCCAGTCTGGTAGCTGGTTCTGCTGGGCGAGCTGCTTGCGTCTGGTTTCGCGGCGCTCGGCCTCCTCTCTCTCTTGGTCTTCACTCGTCGTGAGGTTGACGGTGAGGTTCTCCGACTTGACGAGCTCGGGTTGTCCGTGTTTTTTGACGTTCAGGCCCGGTCGGTTGAGAGTCATGTACTGAGTTTCGGCCGTGTCCTGCCGTCCGCTGCCATGAGGGCGAGGAACATATTTTCTTCTGTCCCACGCGCTCTGGAAGTCGTTCTCGGGTATGTCTTGCCGGTCGATCTTGAGGATCATGGCATCGAATTTCTTGAGCTGGTCATTCAGCTTGCGGATCTTCTCATGGTTGCTTCTATCCATGTTCGTCCGTGCTGCCTGCTCGTTCTGGACGAGGGTGGCGCCGCATCTGTCGCAGTAGAAGCCGTCCTCGTTGACTTTGTCGAGGATGTCGAGCTCTTCATACTCGGCTTTGCAGCGAGGGCAACGCCAGTCTTTCCGCTTGGTATTCTCATCTTGCTGGTAGAGGGCCTCGACTTTCTTGCGCAGCTTCGCGATCTTGTATTTGATGGCGTCGATGGCGGCATGGAAGGGACAGTAGTAATACTCCCGTGAGGAAGGTCTCGCGCCGGTGACTTTTTGTTCAGCTCTAGCTCCCGTGGCGATTAAGCGTGCGTTGCGGAGAGGGTTCAACAGTGCGCGTATGTCTTTGGGTTGTGATTGTAACAGGAGATTCAGATCATCCATTTGCAGCACCGAGTGTAAGAGGATGGCGTCGATGATGAGGATTTGTTTGGGGTGCGAGAAGAAGGTCCGCACAGCCGTCCTCAGGAGCTCTTTGGCGGCCTCCATAGCTGGTTGCTATGGTTGTTGGGAGGGGAGAAGAGAGGAGTTGAGGATGTCCATGTACATGACATCGATGTCGTTCGGGTCCAGGCCCGCCGCAACCGCCTGGTCACGTGCCTTTTTGTAGGCTGCCAGGATCGTGTCAACTCTGCCGAGCGCTTATGTCAGCATGCTGTTCGCGGCACAGGAAGACAAAAGGCGTTGTAGATACTCACTCTTCTTGTTGTGCTCCAGGAGCACGCCCCCTCTCAACTGGCTCCACGCCAGCCGATGGTGCCCTCGAGGACACCCGGGAGAACCGCGTCGTAGCACCCGATGGTGCCCGAGAAGACGGCCGCGACAACGCAGCAGAGCGGAGCTCGCTGGTGCCGGATGGCACCCGGGACACGACGGGGGAGGCGGAGGAGATGGTGCCAGTGTGCACCAGGGAGAAGACAACGGTTGTTGCGCTCGATGGCGCGCGGAAGCTCCTCCGAGACAGGGAGGGCGGGAAAAAGGTGGTGGCGGCCTCGGCCACCGGCGTTTCAACTGGCTCCTAACCAGTTGCTGGCGCTGGGGACGCCACCCTTGACATGGGCGGCGTTGGGAGGTGGGAGGAGGCGGCGGGCGACGGCAAGACAACCGGGCGGGCAGCACGGAGGTTGTCGTCATCGACGACACGAGAGCACCGAGACAAAAAGCAGCCCATGGTGATGGTGATGGTGATGGTGATGGTGATGGTGATGGTGATGGTGATGGTGATGGTGATGGTGATGGTGATGGTGATGGTGTTGTTGGTGGTGATGTTGGTGTTGGGGCCGGTGCTGCTGTTGGGCAGGACGTTCTCTCGACAAGTAACAAGTATGGAGGATAGAATAGAAAGAGAAGAAAAAATAGAGCTCAGCGAGGGGAGAGCGAGAGTTTTGATCAAAATTTCCAGCCTTGCGATAGGACGGACAAATCTTGCGACAACCATCATTGCCCGGAAACTTTTGCTGTATACGGGTTTGGTCTTGAGGGAATTCTGCTTCCCAGCCACCCAGCCATCGTCTTTCTCCAACTCGCTACTGGGTACCACGGGTAGAGAATGCTCCATACCGAGTCTGAGCTGACGAAATGCACGCAGCGGTATCCCCCCATTAAGCTGGCTCGATGACTCACATTGGTATTCGCGTGTGAATAGGCATGTTGGCCCCCATGGTCATGGCGAGCAGCAGGATGCTATTGAGGGAGGGAGGAAGGGAGGGGTGGAGGTGTATCCGATATTGATACCCACCTAGTCGCCTAATGTGGCATGGTCGGGGGAATGCACGCCAGGTGGAGTCCGGATCGCGGAACCGAGTCTCCACCAATTCTGGCTGCCTTTTTGCGAACCCTACCTCTAGCGAACTCGGTTTCGTGTTCTCGCGCTGCTCCAACGTTCGAATACCCCGCCGTAATCATGCAGCTGTCAGCGCTGCGGTGTCGTGGTGCTGAATGACAGCTGCGGTCCTCTTAGAGCGGGATTATCAGGCTGCCATAGCAAAGATGAAGATCTGTTCTTGCGTTCGGTCCAATTGGGGTGCGAGGTGGAAGGGGGTGGCAGCAGCACCGCCGAGTAGCGGGGTTGAGCCATTCTATTTGAGAGCTTCCGCGCTAGAGAACAGCCCTGTGCGTTGGTCTGAAGGTTCTGCAGTTCTGGACCTGTTTTCCGGATGAGCCGCTTTGTAGAACGAGCACTTTGCGACTGGAATGTCAGATATTGGCTCGATCTCGAGCTTCTATTTGACGGATATATAGACCCGGGCGCTTTCCCAGGACGTGATATTTTCCTTCCGGTGAAAGCTAGCCGTACCCCTCTTCAATGCTCAAGAGGCGTCGTCTCTCTCGATGACCTTCAATCCCAACACACTCTAGCCTTCAGACGCTTGTGATAGTAGGAAAGGCCCAATGAAACTTGTTAGGGGTTTCTTCATCTCCTCTACCAGTTAAGATTACGGTGCAGATGCAATGTTCCGGTCTCACAATGCCCGGCTTGTTGTTACTCAAGATCGGACATAATTTCGTCAGGTGTGCTGCAGCACTCAGGCAACCTGGAAGCTGAGTCTACACGATAGGGCTGGTTCAACAATCGCAGCGGTTAGACGGCACAATGGGAGAGTCATGCCTGATCAAAACGGAAGTCTCGAATCGTCGAGAGAGTGGTGAAGCATGGAGATTGGCGTTCAAGAAGCCATCATCTCTGCTCTGTAGTCTGCACGTCGGAGGCGCAGCATACTGGGACAGTATACCTCGACAACTGACTCAAGGTGGTCAGCATTCCTCACCACAGAAGGTACTGGGAGAATTGGATGGCTACCATGTGGTTACGGTCCTCTTCGAGCGTGGAGGCAAAACGGGCAAGCCCGGAGCCCGGAGATTTTGCGGGCTTGAGCCGCAGTAATGTTGAGTAGAGCCCTGCATGTCGTGAAGACGAAGCCTTGGTAGAACCTGACGGATTACCCCTGCAACCGTCAATACACTGTTCAGGCTACTCGATCGTTGAATGTCTAGTTTCCGCGGCTCTTGCGGCAAGGTACAGGCATATATCGCGTGCCTTGGATGCAAGGCTGAAATCTACGGTGATCACGACTCTTGTGTCATCCGGTTGGCGCACGATGAGCCATCCGTATTCCTCAGAGTCGCACCCAAGAGTATGCAGTCCGGTCCCGTGTAAGAGATGCAGGCGAAAGCTAGAGCAAAACGGGGCAATCGCCATGAGCAAATGGCAGGATCTGCAAGGCACCACTTGACGACTCAAACCCATCGCCACAATTATCGTCTCCGCTCAGTAGCTCTGTGGTCGGTAAGCTGCATCGTGCGAAAGCAAGCAGCGGTCTTCCAGGACGTAATCGGAGGTCGAGGTACAATGAAGAATCGAGCATCAGTTTTGTCATTGGCAAGCTCGGTTGATGATCTGTCAGCTACCACGAGTCCGGACTCTCATCGTCCCTGTTGTCAAGCTCTGCAAGACAACAATCACCTTCCAAGCATTCTATCGCTTGTCACTCGTAGGCCTTCTCTCTTTTATCACCCGTCTCTGTGGACACGTCCGCATACTGCAAGTCATGTTAATGCAGTACTCACTCCGATCCAGCGTGGCTTGAGTCGAAGGTGAGCTCCTAATGAAGATTTCGCCAGACCTCACCGTGACTTCAAATTCACTGTTCTACTGCACCAACAACAGTGGTATAAATCTGACAGATTGCTTGAAACTCGATCTGAATCACCAAGGCGTGAGGCCTCTCTTCTTCCCCCCTCGATAGTTTTGTTTTCCTTCTACCTAACCCTTTCTTTTGTCCTTGGACCGCTGCCACTAGGATTGCTTCATGCCGGCACGCGTCGCAGTTGGACGCCGACAAAGATGTTGTGGTCGGGGCACTCTTTGGTGCCGTCGAATTTGCGTCGCCTTGTCTTCGCCTCAGTTGTTGCTTTGATCGGCCATGCGCATGCAAAATTCCTGAAAGGTAAGCACACTTCGAGCTCCCTGAGAACGCGCTGATTGTGTCAGCGGATCTCAAATGGCCAGTCTTCTGGAAACCTCACAATGAACTTCAACCAAGCCTCACCGACGTCCTCGCGTTTCGAGAACCAGACAGTGACCCTGTATTCGAGAAGGCAATGCACATGGTGAACACACTTTCCACACAGTCGACCTGTCACCAAGCCGCAGCAGTTCAGTTGCTTGTCACTTGCAAAACTGTGGGAGCGAGCATGGCTCGGGAGGATGGGAAACATGACCTGCTAGAAAGAGCCAAGTCCGTCTACGCAGTGCGGGTGGCTGTTTGTGAAACTGGTGAAGGCAGAGCAGAAGTTCCATTAGCGTGCAAACCCATCCTCACCATTCCCCAGCGGCTGAATCATGAAATCGACGTGGTCAGCAGCAGAACCGTGGCTCCCTGTCTCGGAGCGTTGATGGAGGAACACTATTACTGGACAAGCTACAGCAACAACAAGCAAGACGCCAATACTTTGTGTCAAGCGAGCACCCTTGAATCTATGAGGCTGGAGGCGCTTCATTCCTACCAGAAGCTCGCAGAACTTCTCCCTGAGTTTCGGATTGCGCTCAGATCCACTCGGTCCCAGTGGATGGACTTCCTAACACAGCAAAAAGAAGAGGTTCAGCAAGTGAACATGCTTCACCGCCAAAACCGTGATGAACTTCAAGCACAGCACAAAGTCGAGCTTGGTTCGTTTCGTGACTCCATGAGAATGGCCAAGGATGGCCTACTTGACATCTCTCAAAGCCTGCATCAGGCAATGGTGGGCACCGGCTCTGACATTACACAAGCTCACGAGGTGCGTGATCATGCAGCTGCACCACGGGATTTGCTAACTGACTGGTGAAAGGCTCTCCGAGATGTTCTGGCTGATTTCGCAGGCTTGAAAATCTTACTGCAGGATACGGTCGCAGAAACGAGCGAAAACAACGCAGAATTAGTGGCTGCTCAAACACGAGATATTGCCAACGTCCACGATCTTGCTCTTTCAGCGGCCCGAGCCCTGGAGAATGTACACGTAGAGGCATTCGCGCAGGTATGGATATGCTACTCTAGATAAAGTCGAGGGCTAACCACAGCTAGGATGTCCACGCACTCGTTCATCAGATAAATACCAATCTCGACCAGATCGCGAGTGCCCAGTCCATGCAGCTAGACACTACGCTGCAGCATTTAGAGCTCAGTAAGGAACTGTCCTCGGCCCAGGAAGCAAATCTGGCTCTAGGAGAACGTATCAAGGACTCATCTGCTTCTCTCGCATCCGAACTCGACACTGCGAACGCTGCGGCTGGCCAGGTGTCCAACAAGCTCGACAGAGTCAACCAGGCGTTGGCCCATATCGAAGCAGCAACTGCTTCTCTCAGCTCCCTTTTCGGCATCATTGCCATACCCTGTCAAATTGTTGGACGCCTTCACCTTAAGCTGCTTGCACTGTTCGCGACACCGGCTTTAATCCTGCTTTTCTGGAGGCCGATGAAATATTCTTGCACCATGATGGCCACTTATAGTACGTAACCTGCTTTGCCTCCTTTCTTAAAAGTATGCTGACAACTTACAGGCTTCCTTGAGACCATGATATCATTAGTCCACGAACATCGAGACATAGTCTCGACATTTCTGGGGCGCCTCGGCCACCATTCTCGAGCTATAACACATTCTGGATCAATCGCCCTCCGTAACAACATCCCGGTCGCCGTGGCCGCGATCATCATCGTCTTCTGCTGCTACTGCCTGGTGTCTAAACGGACGCGACCGAAGCAGAAACCAAAACTGAAATCAATACAATCTTTGACTTTCAAGTCTATCCAGAGGCTTGATGAGTTGACGACTTCAGAGCGGGGTCACGACATATACAGACTGCGAGATGGTAGGCGACAATGGCGGTCAGCGGACAAATTTCCTCGCGCGGCCACCGTCTGCTAGGATTGGCAAAGATTCGTACACAGGCAAGGCCCGCATTCTACGACTCGCGTGGCAAGGTTGACCACGCGTATGATGCATGACTCTACGACTTTGAGTTATCCGATTTGTTGCGGACATATGGAAGCGATCTGCCCTCCCTGCATGCTGGGTGCGAGATCTGTCATTTGGTTTCGCGTCATTTGTTTGTCGGCCTCGCCCTATGCATGAGGAAAGGGCTTGGGTGCACGTGGTCAGTTGAGCAAGCAAGAGCTCGAATAAATTGATTTCTGAAGAACATAAATCCTCCAGCCTCATCTGGAGTACCGGACTGCCGGGTCCGAGGATGCATTTCCACGGCGGTGACTGTACCTCACGACCTTTGATCGCACCGATTGAAGGTATAGAAGTAGGATCTGAACGGATCCTTCAATGGCGGCTGCTCCCCCATCGTACGATTCGTGCATCTTTGATGGGTGAAACTGGTGAAACTGCTCCATATTAATGATCGATCAGACAGGTAGGTCGGTTATGTAGCTCAGTCAACGTCAATGTCACCGGTGCTTGCAGTGCTCGCTGGAAAGACTTCGCTTCATCTCAACGTCCTCTCATGTCGGTGGTGGCGGTGGAATTTTGCGCAATATGACGCAGGTCGTCTTGAGAGACTGAAGCGTCTCACAGCCTTTGCCTTGCAGTTCAGGTCGAATACATACGTACATACATGGGTGCGGGGTGGTCTGCACATCAAGGTCGAATGACAGTGACGCACCAGATGGCCACGATGTTCCGCGTGGCGGGATGGCTCGCAGTGGCTGGAGGCGGCCTCGAGCCATGAGGGTTGCCAGATCACGTTGCTCAACCCCGGGACCACCATGCAAGCCGAAGCCAGATCGAAGAGGGAAGAGGGAACGTAATGGGAATTTTCTGAGGCTTTTGCCGACCGCATTTTCGATGGGATTGAGCAGCATGGGTGTGGTAGGTCACGGGGAAATATCGACGGGCAGCAAAGCGGACGGAGGATTCGGGCTTCGCCACTGTCGACACCGGCGAGGTGGTCCTACGTATACAGTAATTACAGGGTAGGTCATCTGAAGAGACGTTCATCGTTCCGGAATAGGCGCTGTCGAGTGTTCAATTAAACAATACGTCAAACAGACCAAGACGTCCTATCTGCCTGTTTCTCAGACTCTGAGAGACTCTTTCGGGTCCTTTGGGTCTTTCAATTCTGAGATCCCGCTGGATCACGGAAAGTCGAATATATTTTCTCTTACTTTCCACCACTTCTTGCAGGCGGACCACTCTGCACCAGACACGCAAAGTCACGCGGTATTACGGAGGAGAAGCGAGGCATCGACACTGTACGATCGGCCTGGTACGACAGCACTCGTTAATGATCGTTGAATAGAGATTGACACCACCGATAACGATGCTTGGCAGGTACCTGGCAGAGCACGCAAGTGGCCTGGAGGATCGATAGGCAGGCTTCGATTCACGATTCGAAGCCATGCGACTTGCGACACTCGCTGCTGGACTGGGCGCCTGACGCCGCAAGATCCCTGCAATCCTAGCACTTGCACATGTTCTGCCGAGCTCGAGTACGACAGTGACCGACAATTCCAGTAGCTCTCAATCCGCCCCCATCCAGGATCCCTGCACCGCGTACAGTAGGCCCTCTGAGCTTCGACTGCGAGGGCCAATGACTCGACGTCCCTGGGATAGGGGCATCATGGGGCCATTCAGCTCCTTGCCAATCAGCCCACTCGCGACATGCCCCATCTTGCAATGTGTCTGCAGCCCTACGCGATGAGGAAGGACTGCGGACCTTCATGAGGCGTCCCAGCCGTGGCTCCGAGACCTTTACGAGCAGAGCCAGGTCTCGTTGCTGTTCTGCCTTGCCACGAGCTGAAAGACGAGCATCTCGATATAAGCTACAGAATGTAGCGTGGGAGTAAGTTACTCATTTGCGAACTCTGTGTGCGCTTCTTCACCAAAAAGAACAATCCCTCGCTATCCTAGAGTCGTTCTTCCCACAAACCTGGGCTGGGCGCAACATTGCAGAACCGCGGGTTGATACCTAAGCAAGCACAATGCCCATAAGTTCAGTAAAGGTCGTCACGGCCTTCGTCTTGCTGGCGACCTCGGCGCTGGCTGCAGCGGCGCGTAATTCCTCACAGACCGTCATTCCTAATGCTTCAGACGACCCAGCAATTGATCCCGTCAAAGTAAACAGATATAAATCTCTCCTAGGTAAGTGTGATTGCGCGACACCGATCTCCAATTTTACTGTATTGATCTCTACCGCAGGGACGTTCAACGCCGACGAGAAATTCAACGAGCCGTTCAGATGGACCGACATTCTCGACGAATACCACCCTTTGAACGCGGATTGTTCCGCAAGATGCTTGACTTGCGCGCCAGGGTGTCATCCGAGCTGTTGCGTGCGTGGCAGCTCACCGGCGACCGACAGCGACAGCGACAGTGACAGCGACAATCCTGCCGTCTCGGATCGAGGGATCCAATTCCCAAGGACTCCCGGGCCACGGTTTCCCGGCCGCCCTGTGATGCCACCACTGTCCTGTCCCTGCCACTGTGAGGCCGACTGTCCCCGATACATCCAGACAATCTGCTGCTTCACTCCAGGCTCGCGATCAGACCGGGCACCGGTATCGGCATCGACACCGAACTCTGCATCAACCGATCCTCATGAAACGGAACCACTTGAGGCCATCGCAAACGACGCAGCCGCAGCCGCAGCCGCAGCGCCAAATCCGCTGATGGACAGAATCCGGCCATTCCACCCTCGGGATCGAGTCTGGGGCCGACCACCCGGCCGCCCACTGGCTTGTCCCTGTTTCTGCGAGCCCACCTGTCCGCGGTACATCCAGACGATATGCTGCACGACGCCCGGCTCCGGGATCGGAGGGACCAGGAGACAACATCATCATCATCAGCAGCAGCAGCAGCAGCAGCAGCAGCAGCAGCACGACGAACTTGTCACGGCGCCCAAAATCCACGACACCTTGGCCATGATTACGGAATCGGCGCACGGAGAATCCGTCTCGGTCCTCGCGGCCGTGAATCTGACCGTGTTTGACAGCTTCATCACCTTCAATCTGGTCCAGGGTCTCGGGCGGACCGACGAGATCGTGCATGATCCGGAGCGCAAGACGTTTGAAATCACCTTGGCCGCGATTGTCGGGTCGGAGGGCAAGGAGACCGCGCTGGCGCAGACGTTCGTGGTCATTGACGGGTCGAGACTGTTGGAGGAGGAGCAAGTCCTTCTCGGGTCCGCGTTCGTCTCCCGGGCCGGTGGCGTGACGGTTGACCCGGAGTTCTTGACGCCGCTGCAGGAGGGGTTGCCTGTTCTGACGGGCGTTGAGACGACCGAGGAGTGAAGGAGGACAACCGCAAATGAGCATGGACTTGCCTAATACGTATCACAAGTTTGTGCGTGATGTGATGTGATGTGGCGTGAAGTGATGTAGATGCGGCAGAGAGCGACTCGTTCTGTATTCGTTAAGAACCTCTGGACTACAATATTGTACAAATACCATTTACAATCTAAGCCACTCTCTGCACCTCAGCCGAGACTGCGACACAGCGACAAGGGCTCTGGCGTGATCGAAAGGACATCGCACGGATCTGGCGTGGAATCTCGCCCGCAAGATCCTTCGCACTATCCGCACACACGTCGTTTTCACGGTAGATAGATACAGTGCATACAGCGCACAACACACGCATCTTCAGCTGCCGTTGCTCCTGCTCCTGCTAAACCAGACTCGTCAGAACAAACCCACTCATTGGATTCCCCTCGACCGCCACCCTCATGGTCTCGCCTCTAATCTTGGTCTCATCAAACACTCGATGGTTGTCCTCTGCAGTCCCACCCACATCCACGTCCACGGCCCCTCTCTCCACGCTGACGTCCCTAAAAGCGTGCAGTCCCAGCGCTGGCAAGGAGAACCGAAACGCAAGATCCCGCACATCCACCGTCCTCAGCGCGCGGTATGCAACCACGGCACAGACGCACCCAAAGATGATATAGCAGCAACACCCTGCGACAAGGATGGCGAGGGGGATCTTCAGCACCTTGGCCACCAGCAGCGGTGTACGCATCTGTTCCTGCACATTCGCCCGGTTGGAGAGAAACGGTCCAACGACAGACATGATGCGGGAGGAGTAGCTGTTGGCGAAACTGTCGGCCAACGCCTGTGCAGTGGGTTGCAGCGCGGCCTCGAGGATAAAATCCTGCAGATTGTTGTCGAAGCTATCACTTGCGCCGAGGATGTTGTACCCGTGGAACATCTCCGCCATGGTGCCGTTGGGCGATGGCGTGAGCGTGCGGACCTTGACAGTCGAATTCACCCAGGCATAGTCCACGAGGTAGGTCGTGTAGCTGCAGCGGAGCGTGAAGTCAAGATAGCGAGTCGGGCCGCGATAAATGCCTGGGTCGGAGGACATGTCGACGCCGGCACGCTGGGCTGTATCTTGAAATCGGGCCGCCACGCCGAAATACACGGGGTTGATGAGTTGGGAATCGGGCATGAATGGACCGAGGTTGCCCGCGGAGTCGTACGGCGTGGCTAGTTCTTTGTCCATGAAGAAGGAGTACTGAAGCGCGGCTCCGGGTTTGAAGCCGAGTGGAGGAACAGAGCTGTCACCATCAAGCATACCTTTGTCAGTGAGGTTGGGGGCTTTGCCTAATACGCCCCAGAAATTTTTGCTGCAGTTGAAGGAGCTCCAGTATTCACCCGGGCCTTCAGAGGTCCAGGTGCACTGGGAACTGATGGGTTCGCACGTCGTCACGACGCCCGCGGTAAGGGCTTGGAAGTCGCGGAAGGGAGAAAGATTGGCAGTCTGCGGTGTCAAAAGCGCGACCTTCGCGGCGACTCCGGACGTGGTGTTCGATGGCATGGAGGAGGGCGGGGAAACGAGGCGAATCTCACTCAGATTGGATGTGCCGCGCTGAAGGTAGAAGATTTCGTTCTGACCTGCCACATACGCGTCGTAGTCCGTGGCGCCGATGACGCCGTTCCGGGTACAGGGCAGTCCAAAGTTCTCCGTACGGTTGAGTGCGAGACATTCTGACGACAAGCCATATCCGTAGGCATGGTTCTCCTGAGAGATGGACACTTGGTCGAAATTGATGGTCGAGGTCGTGTAATGCAGGGCTGTATCAGCACCGAAGACAACGCAGGCCAAGAGCAACGTCAAAGCCAGAGTGCGTGCGGCACGACGTAAGACTGGTGGAACGACGACACCATCTCCTCGGGAGTAGGAAAGATACCTCCCCAACCTCCCCATTGATGCTAGGCAAAGCCCGACCAGAATGCTGTACTGGTATGGCGTCGGGAGGTCTTGTTGGTGGCCGCCGCTCGAGGACTGATACATGACGAGTGCGTATTTGAAGCTTGTGAGACTCATGATGAAGCCAGCCAGCAAAGGCGCCAGTGTCGACGCCCAGGAAGCGACGAATGCTATTCGCGTTGCCGAATAGTTGACCAGGACGACAGCATGATTGCTCAAGGTGCGAGAGTTGGAGACTTCCTCGAAGAGGCTCTCCTCGGATCTGACTCTGTAACCGAAGATCAGGGCCAATAGCCCTGCGACAAGGCAAGCCATCGGCAGGATAACGATCGAGGTCGGCAAAAGGATCGTCTTCCACAGTGTCCATTTCGGGCACCTAAGATCGTGGTCTGCCGGAGGAGTGGAGTAGTACTTCTCGGTCAAAGGCCAATTGCGAGCTTGGCCAGAAGATTCGTCATCTAAACTGGTTACTTTCCCACCCTTGGATCTGTCGTAAGTAAATCTCGATGCCTGTGACCATGTCGAGTCCGGTGTCGCTTGGGTGTAGCTGGCGACATCCTCGCTAGATGGCAGGAGTGTATGGTCGCTCTGAGACAGACTGTCGCTCAGTCGGCTGGATAGTGCATGCGGCAGCTGTACTCCCAGAGGAGCGGCGATTGACCAGAAGGGATTCGTTGAAGCCATGGTTGGGAATTGACGACCACCCTAACAAGCAATCTTCCTCCTCCTCTACCCTGGATCTCTTGTTGACGATGATCGCCGGTTCAGGTTGAGGGCAAAGAACACCATGGATCCATGCACGAGACAGGACTTTTCAAGTCATATCTGGCGGCGTAAGATGCACATGCAACAATACATCAGAAGCACACACAATCATACTGAATCTGTGGCTAAGCGCAACAGAAGCTGAATGTCCGGTTCCCACTGTTAGTGCAAAAGCCTGCCGGACTTGCATGGTCGTCAAAAGTTGCTGGTCGCCTGGTGCCAGGCCAGCGCGAATTAGATGAAGTGGAAGGTAGCCAGAAGGAAAGACATTTCTCCCGGCTGCAGTCATGAGCGGTGATTCGCATGTGGAAAGCGATCTAGCTCAGCCGCAAGGCTCGCGTGGCGTCAGCGCAGAGTATGGAGTACTTTGCAGAGCCGGCCAGGACGAGGCCCAGTTTGAGAGAGCGAAGAGCACGGAGAAGTCTGCGTACGAATCAGCGTGAATAGACGAGGCCTCGCTTTCGTTGATGTTGATCCGGCCCCCAACCACGCAAACGGCCCGAGGATGATCCACACACCGCCAAAAGGACCGCCAAGGATGGCAGCCCTACTAGACACTAGGTTTGAAGCATTCCTCTCCGTGGCTGGCCTGACATATCGTTCCTTGCGTGTATGCCGTTCCTCCAGCCAAACAAATCCCAGACACAAGGAGCAAGACAGCCAAGTCTCAGGAACAACGCCACAATCCCCTCCCCGAAACACATTCGTTCCGCTGCCTTTTACTCTTGGCGTTTAGCCGTGGCACATGTAGTCTCCTGTACTTTGAAGTCATAAGTCTGCCGAGTTCATAGGGTTGGCCCCTTCGTATTATCAAACTCTTCAATCTCTCCAATCACGGTTTTCAAGATATACGGCACAATGACTGCCGCATCTCCCTCGAAGAACCAGTCATTCTTGGTGAGCTCCCGTGCATCGCCCCTATCCATGTTGATGACAGCGACGCGCGCACCCTTGGCTCTAGCGATGTTCGTGTAGCCAGCAGCAGGGTAGACTTTGGCGCTTGTACCGATCACCAACATGAGGTCAATCTTCTGGCGGCTGGAAAAGTATGCGTCCACGTCACTCATCACGTCTTCGGGTAGCGACTCCCCGAACCAGACCACCCCTGGACGAAGGAGGTTCTTCTTGCACGATGGACATTGGGGAAGATCTTCTGGCTTCAGTTCGGGAATGGCGACATTGATGTCTGAAATATCTGCGCCTCGGAGGAGAGCGTGCTTCTTCTTCTCGGCGGCAGCCTTGAGTTCGGCGTCTGGATTTTCTGCTGGAAGGGCTAAGGCGGGGACGATGGGGTCGCTGAAGTCGTTCTTGCGGGAATAGCCACAGCCGTCTTCATCCCAGCATTTGACGTCGAAAAGATTGCCATGCAGTAGCTTGAGCTGGTTTGCAGGATGGCCAGCACGAGGACTCAGACCGTCGACGTTCTGGCTGAGGGTGATGAAGTCGGGATTCCGGCGGGCGAGTTCTGCCAAGGCCAGATGAGCGCGGTTTGGTTTAGCATTGAGAGCCATGTGCCGTCGGTAGGAATAAAACTGCCATGAGAGACCTGGATCCCGCTGGAAGGCTCCAGGTGTAGCTAGCATCGTGGCATCGAAGGTTCTCCAGAGGCCGCCAGCACCGCGGAACGTAGGCAGCCCGCTTGAAGCAGAGAGACCGGCGCCCAGGAGAGCAACGATGCGGCGGGAGGACTGTAGGTGTTGGATAAACGAAGCAACATCGGTCAGAGGCATCTCGTTGGCACAACCTGAGCTCATTTTCAGAGGACCAGGAGGTCAATCTACTGTGAATGAGAGACGTGAGAGTCGTGAGAGGCGTAAGAGGCTGTTGATTCGGGCAGAGGGGAATGAGCAGGTAATGAGGCGAGACGCACCGATGAGAGGCTCCGAGCAAGTATTTTGCTGTTCAACCAGGCAGCAACTTACCGCCAGACAGGGCTATACGGAAGCCTCACTTGACACCGGTACTCACCCGGTGTCCATCAGGCTGAGGATCGATATGTGAGCACCACAGTGCAAGTACAGAGGCGCAGGTGAAGTGCCAATGAGAGTCGAGGCCGTCAGGGTTACGGCGGTTACATAACGAGAACGAGACGCTATGGACGGAAGTGGCGGCGGGGCAGAAGCCGCCTATCATTTTATCGTGAGACGGCCACATGGCTTGCGATATGCGGTCACACATTCCTGCGTGCACCAGCCCATCTGTTGATCCATCTTTCACGACAGCACCGACACGGCTCACTTCCTCTGGTGGCTCTGGTACCTCCCACGATTGACAGTCTCATTAGCGAGTCCACAAATCCTCCGGCCGAATCGCTGGCCCCCAGTTTCTTGACTTGTCACTCCACCCGCCCTCACCGATTCCCGCCTTGCCACCGATGCCTCACCGGCCAGGGTTATAACACTCCCGGTTGCCCCTTGCCAATTTCACTATCCTCCTCCCACCGGAATCGCCTAGTCTACGCAAATGGGGGTGCCAACGAGATCCCGCCCAAGTCGCAGGCGGGTGAATGCCCTTCTCTACGTGACCGAGAAGATTGGGCCTGAGGTCCTCCCATACCTCCTCCAGAACCCAGACCTGAACCTTCGCGTTATTTCCGAATGCTCCAAGGCCGAGTTCCAGCAGTACATGGACCCGAGTGTTGACTTGGAGGACGTGCAATGGATCGAGAACCGACCGCAAGACCCATACCGTAACCAAGTCATGATGCAGGGACACCGTCTCTCCAGGTGGGCTGATCTCTTGTTCATCGTCATGGATGCCGGAATGATCTCCCTCATGCTCAGCGGGTTTACCACAGATGTCATTCTGCACGTGCTCAGGTGCTGGGACGTATCGAAGAGGATCGCGCTATTACCTGAGATGAGTGTGGACCAGTGGAAACACCCGACATGGAAGAGGCAGTTGAACAAGCTCCAACGGAAATGGGACTGGGTGCATGTGCTTTCTCCCGCGCTATGGGACTACGCCGCGGACCCGGTTGATTTTACGCAGCCAGGTCCGAATCCCCTGGGACACGACAGCGAACCGGAAATTGAGTGGCAGTGGGAGGGTCCTGGAGACATCATTGAAGAGGTGGAAAGCGAGGCACAAGCGGTGCTGCGATCGACCCAGCTCAAGACCAATTCATCCATGTCACACCTTCCCATTCACAAGTCGGCTTCCTCCAAACCATCACTGCCGAGCGAGATTTGGACCATGATACTCGACTATCTAGGAGATTGGGAACTGGCTACCGCACTTGGAATTTATACCCATCTCTCTGTCCCGCACGAATGGGAGTCCCTAGTCCCCAAACCAGGCTCCAAAGCCTGCTCACTGGAGTACACCATCCTCACTCAGCCGCTCTCTCTGATCCAGAAATACTTCGCAAACACTTCCTCCAACCCGCCAACAACGCTTTCCCCTATCGCAACGCGCCTCATCTTCCGGTTCTCCATGACCGACCTCTTGACATACCTAGCCCTACAACAAAAAGACATCTTCTGGACGTCCTTCGGCCTCGCGCTTCTCCCCCACAAAGCCTCCCTGATCTACAACTCCCCCACAATTCTACAATGGTGGAAAGACTGCCCTGCGGTCATCAAGAAAGAATACGGTCCTGAAGCCATGGACGGAGCATCTCGAGCCGGCTTCGTCGAAGTGTTGGACTGGTGGCTCAATTCGGGCTTGAAACTGACGTACACGGAGAAAGCACTCGAGTCAGCCAGTGCCAAGGGTCACGTCGAGGTGCTCGAGTGGTGGCGTGTCAACTCGCAAAAACTAGCCGGCACGGACCGCGAGATACACCTCAAAGTCGGCAAATCGATCCTCCTGGCAGCGCAGAGCGGTCGCACCAATAGCATCGAATGGTGGGAGACAAGCGGCATCCCATATGCGCACGAAGACGGCGTCGCTCGCCTCGCTTCCCAGCACGGCCACGTCCCCGTATTGGAAATGTGGTTTGGATTCAAGGGAAACAAGATGATCTTCGACAACCAGGTCCTCGTGGGCGCGACAAAGAATGGTCATGCGGGTGTTTTACAGTGGTGGAAAGAGATGTCCAGGAAGAGCGGACTACGAGTCGAGTACAAGACATGTGATATCGAAGAGGCCATGGAGGACGCCGTCGGTGGTGGAGGTGAAGGAGAGGTGAGAGAATGGTGGGGCCGGAATGGCTTGAATTTGGGGGTGGGCACAGGGGAGTGGATGAGGGTGAAGACTCTGTGATTTGACCGACGGCTGAGCTGGATGGTGACACTCTCAAATATACTATCCCTGGCGTATCATGTATGGTGTTTGGCGTAAGGAAGAACCGAATTAAGGGATCTGGAGGGAACGAAATGAGACACCACAATGGCGACACGCCCAGCGTCACGACGTTGAAATGATGGATACAGAACGGTCACGGCGTCGAGTATTACATACCTAGGTATCTAAGATATATCTATCAAACCCACGCAGACGTCCATCGATATCGCGGCGAGCATTGACAAACAGCCTGTTATTGTCCATCACTTTCTAATCGTGCCGACTCACCTCACCTCGCCTCCCTTGCGTGGAAGTGTACGGAGTACACACATGAGTGCATCGCCTCGAGACCCAAGCAGACTGACTAAGTGTCTCTGTCCTCGGCACTGGGATTCAATTCAGCGTAAAGAGATTCGTCACTACGTAGCTACAGTAGCTACTGTACCTACTTCCTTCTACCTCTACAGTACCTCTACTGTACGGAGTACCTCTCCCTCGTTTTCTCGTTGATTGCTTGGATACGGCGGGGAGACGATAAACTTTTCGTATCGTATCATATCAAGCATGCATGCATGCACGCGAGAGGAACTGACTTTCCAGTGCTACTAGTAGCAAGGCAGTCACGGGGTTCTCTCTCTCGTGTCTCGGTCAGTGTTCAGTGTCTTGCTTGCTTGCTTGCATTCATTCATTCATTCAATTAGCTAGCTAGCTAGCTAGCTAGCTAGGCAGGCTGCATCCAAGTCCCCCCGTCATGTTCGGGAATCAATGATCTCTCTCTCTCTCTCTCTCTCTCTCTCTCTCTCTCTCTCTCCTCTCTTCTCTGCATCCTTGCGCGATGCTCGAGGCCAATTCATCACGCTTCAAGAGAGCACTTTCAGCTTTCGAACGGATTCTCTACGCTTCCATAACTGCATCTGCTAGGCATGATTTTTTCTTTTCGTTGCAGAATGGATACGCTCTGTTCCCCTTTTTCCCTGTTAACAAAATAATAATGGAAACCCCCCGAAAACCCAAGAAGATTTGTCCGCCAGTAGAAGGAAATCTCCCAACCAGCCATATTAATCGCTTCGCGCCCAGTCCCTGGCGCCAGGACAGGCCGCAGCCAATCCCTCCTGTCGTTAATTCGTATCTCAATCAGGTCGAGCTGTGAAAGTTGGGAAAAGGCTTCAAGCCCTCAGAGACGCCATGTCAGTCATCCGAAGCCATAAGTGCTCATCCAAGCTCCACACAAGCCATCCTTGTAATCTCAACCAGCATGTTTGTCATTGTGTTGTCTTGATCCCGGCCCGGGCTGTTTGCCACGTTATCGCTGAACCGGAGTGTGTACTTCAAATCTCACGAACTAAGCGGGTCCTCGTATTCATCTCCGCTCATCTCGGCCAGCTCACTGCTATTGTCCTGCCAGTCCGCCGAGCTCAGCGTCTCAACAGCCGAGTCAGCCTTGGCCCTCAGTTGAGCCATCGTAGCCTGCGCAAGGGCAACCTTTTCCTCGTCCGCTGCATTTTCCAGGTCGAAATACCGTAGACAATGCTCCACCACGTCCATCACTTGATTCACTTGACCAGGTTGCAGATTGTTACCGTCTCGGCTGCGTGGATTCAAAAAGTTCTGTTGCACGAGGTTGGAACAGCTAGTTGTCAACTCTTGCGCCGCCGCGACAAGCGTCCGATACAGGGTGAGGTCGCCAGCAAGCTCTTGTAAAGGCGTAAACAGAAGCCTCTTCAGCAGGTCCACCGTATGTGCGCGCGTGTTGAATTGTCCTTCGGTCGGGGCCAGCAGTAGTGTCGGTGCCCATTGCGAAACAGTCTGTAACATCAGTTCTTCGAGGAAGGATGACGCCAAGTTGCAGGAGACGTTGTCGATCTTAAGAAGAACCTCCACGAACTCGTAGTACTCCTTGCCATACTCGATGCCCACGGTCGCGATACTCTCCAACGCGGATTGGGCCAGTTCGAAGACTTTGCTCTCGGTCGGACAGAACTCGCAGAACACCAGCGTCGGTCGAGTGAAGCAGCTGGCGATATTGACACTGCGATCATTCAACCCGTGAGTCAATAGATTGGCGAGATAGTGGGAGAGTCGTTTGTCCGAGGCGAAGATCGAGACGATGACATCCTGTGCGGTCTGGTTGTGTCGGCCTATGATCAGCCGCCGAAGCCATTCAAGGTCGGGCGGAATCTTATTCAGCCCGAGAGCCTGCGACTCAGCTGTGGTCAGGCCAATCTTCTTGTCGAACGTCCGGTATCCCTCGTCTGCCGGCAGGTGGAGATCGATTCTCTGCAGCAGACTCGCGAGGACCCTGATCAGCACTTGGTATGGGAACTGTCGGTTTCTCTCCCGCGCATTTAGATACAGGATGTATCGCGCCTTCAACCTCCGCGACAGAGGGAAGTCGGAACCGGCAACATGCATCATAATCATGTCAATCAACTTTTCCAGGAAGTCCTCTTCAAGAATCCAGATGGTCTCTTGGTCACCCAGCCTGTGAATGTGATAGAGGATGTTGAAATAGTCAGTCCACGGCCGGCCATTCTTAGTCACCACGTCCCATAGCTTAGACATTTGGCTGAGACAACTCTTGAGCCAACTGCTGTACTCTGTCGAAAGCCTCTGATGCTCGTCATCGTTGGGGTCTAGTTCCGTAAGGAGCTCATGTAGGCGCGCGAAGACGCTGATGAAAAGGTTGGCAAAATTCTTTCGTACGACCTGTAAGGGACTTCGAACGACGACATCTTCGAGCACTCGATTGGTGCGGAACCAATTAGCAACGGTTCTAGCGCACTCGGAGCATTGAGCCACGTAGCCAAGGAGGACATTGACAGTCTCCTCCACTGAGGGTAGCTCTTTGAAGCGAGAAGATATGGTGTGCACGTACTCCAACACCATATTGATCGTCTTGGACTCGAGGGTGTGATCCTCGCTGCATTTCTCGACCCCGCGCCTCATGTGTTCAAGCAGACGGAGCACAAATTGAGCATGTGCAGGGTCTTGGGCGCAATAAGAGCGCAAGTAGAGTTCGTTCTGTTTCGCTATGTGCTGCTCCATCCCAGGTGTTAAAGGGACGCGCACAGGATTGATGGCATCGTGTAGTCTATACTGCCCCTCGATTTTCTCAATGCTGGAGGTTCTCTGATAGAACAACATGTATGCGCTGTAGAATTTTGGTAGGTGGTAGAATCCAGCCTCGGATATGCCTCCGAAGCAATTATCACGCATCTGGTTGGGATCGAACAGGCCGACATCTTGATCGTTGAACTGGACCCAAGCCTGATGTACACCCTTGATGGTTGGTCGTTGGCGGATGAACGAGTAATAGTGTCCAGAGTCCGCCGTGCCTGAATGAACGATGACCCCTGTGAGCTGGAAGTAGTCCGGTTCTCCCGACTGCTGTTCGTCACTAAGTCTTGCCAAAGTATAAGGCGCCATATCAAGCGTGTCGGGGAACTGAAACTCGTCATTGACTTTCGTCCTCATCCCCGTCATAATGTCGTAGTCGAACCGCTTGAGGTTGAAGATAAGGTTGTCAGGTACGTCTTTCAGACATGCACGTTTGACTGCGTCAACGTGACGGCCACAAGAGGTGCACGAGTATTTGTTCTCGCCTTGAAGAACTTCACCTTCGACGTAAGCGCGAAGGCTATCTTCCAGCCGCGCTTTACCTTTGATCTCCACCTGGACGGCGGAGAATGGCTCTAGTCTCTCAGAGATATGCTCACACTCTTTGGATTTCACTTGCTGCACCAATTGGCCGCCATACATGGACTTGAATGTGCCCCTGGCGGAAGGATCAATTTGTCCTTCGATTCGATCGAAGAGAAGGTTGAAAAACTCATCGACGTCCATCTGCACGGATACGTCAATTTGCTCTCCCTCGTATGTTGTGATGGCTTCGACCGCGAACGACGGATCAATGGACTTTTCATAGGAATTTTGCATATTTGCAAAGACCTTTGCAAGCTCCGTGACCAGTTTCTGCTTTGACCCGTCTGCGCCGATCATATTCAGAAAGAACTCTCGAAATTGTACGTTCATGAAGAGTTGCGAGAACAACGAATTGAGATAGCAAGTGTTTGAGAGATTCTTCAAGCCTGCATAGCCAACATCTGTGCGGAGACTCTGGCGCTCGTGACTGTAGAATGGTTCGAAGAAGTTTTCCGGAAGCAAGTCGTCTTCGAGTTCGCTGACAAGTGTCGCTAGATCACGAGGTCCTTGACATAGAACTAGGATGAGACTGTAGAGACTCTCTCGGACCGTACTGTCCAAAACAGGCAGTCTTGGACTGTCTCCATCGTCCGATATAGGTGGAAAGAGGAACTGCGAGATTATCCTGTCGATGATATGAGTGCCAGAAGGGAGCGCATTTGCTGCTTTTAGAAATCTGCAGGTCTCGAGCAAAAGTTTCGTCAGGCATAGAACCACATGATCTGTTAATGGCTGTCCGACAACTTCCACATGGTCGTGTTCCAGAAGGATAGAGCTCCATTGATTGAAGTATCCAAGAAGGCGTTCGGCAGAAAAAGACTTGCCTATACGCCTCAGAACAGCAAGCATTGTCTCCGAAGCTTCGGTACACCTCTCAGGATGTAGGCAAGCGCGAGGAAGAATCTCTGACAGCGCTGTCCATAGATGAGACAGGCAGACTTCGATGGTGGCGGCTGGGAAGCGAGATCGTGGCGCTCTCGGATTATTGATTTTCAGGTGCAATTTTGTGCCGATAGCCCCAGTCAGCCCGACCACAACTTCGAGAAGTGAATGTCGAACTTCCACTCGAGGATCCTGAACAAAAGCAGTGACAATCAAGTCTTTGAAACCAGCCTCGGTGTCCACAGGCGCCCAGATTCGATCATCGTGGAGGCACGCCTCAACGAAAGTTTCCAGGACTAGCTTCACCATAGCCGACGCCGAGATCTCATCCAGATTGGTGTTTTGACTAGCCAACGCGAAGCGAAGCAATCTCGAAGCTTGGATCGAGAATTCTTGGTGGTCCTGTATGTATTCGCGTGATGTTTCCACCGGAACCTTTGCTCGAAATGCCAAAAGTAGTGCTTCCACTAAGCCGTACGCGATGGACATCTGTAGTTGATCGGCAGCGTTGCTCAGGTCCAACTTGGGCAGGACCTGTACGATGGTCTGGATGCTGTAGGTCAGAAACTCCATATCTGGATTCGAGCTGAAAGATTCATCCTCTATACAAGACCTCAAGGCTTTGGCACAGTACAAGAGCTTGAAAGGCTTGCCTGGTGGGAGAAGTTCCGTGGGAGATTTGTCTTTCGATCTCAATATCCGAACCAGCTCGGTCTGCGCAGAGAAAAGACTCAGGAAGGTGTACACCTCTCTGGAAAGGCGCTCATCAGCATCGAGTAGATCGTATAGATCGTCGAAGTGATGCATGATCTTGTTGTCAACTGGAGAAGTAGCGCGGGTGGAACGAGTTGGCGGGCTATCTGGAGTGTTCAGGGTCTTGTGGACGATCAGGCTGCCGGAGGCTACTTTTGAGTCTGCAATGCTGGTGGTTTGGCCTGCAAGCGATACCTTCTGTCCCATGTGGAAGATGGAGAACTGAGTAAAGCCACTCGCCTCGCACAGATACTTGTGCAGTTCGTCAGACGTATTCTCAGAGCCTATTGCGACTTTCTGCATTTTTTCTGTGACGTACTTGCTAGCCATGACCTGAATGTTCAAGTCGATAGTTTCGCCTCTTCTGGCAGGAAACACTGGTAGAACCTGTGCCTGTTGATCCGGGATTGGACTGTAGCGTGGCCGCAGCTTCATGCCCTCAAGGAACTTTCGGAGGAACAGAAGTGAACGGTCAAATCGCAATTCTTCGGCACATATCTCGCCTTCGGACGCAATGATGACCATCGGCTCGTCCTCGCCACTCATAGTGCCATCAGTGTAGGATTTCAACTTTGAAGCAGATGACATGACTTGCTGCACTGAGCGATCCACAAGAGACGAGTGGGTGGCGTCAATGACCGCTTTCGGTCGCTTGGTAACGATAGGGTTATCCAGGTACATGCGGATGATGAAATCAGTGGCTTCGTTTTCCACGCTGTTGGGGGGCGCTTCCAACATGACTTTCCACATTCTTTCAATCCCAGGCACCATGATGACATCCTCCGAATCCAATGACTCTTGTGGAGTCCTCCGAATCGTGTATTGGACAGAAGTCCGGATGAATTCCAACACGGATTGATTGTAGTCGTGTGAAGCAAGAGTCGGCAGGTGGTTTTCAAGAATAAGGTCCACAACGATATTTGCATCCTTGTTCTGCTTTGGCTTCGCGACGTGGCTCAGTTTGTCCCAAGCAGCGGCTCGAACAGAGGAAGGCAGTTCCGAAAATGCATAGAATGACGTCCAGAGCTCTTGCACCAGACCCGGGGTGAAGGATTCAGGCATGTGGAGAAGAAAGTAAGTAAGACACGTTGATCGGACCTCGTACATAGCCTCTATCGATAACGGCGAGACATGGCGTTCGAGCATGGCGTTGAAGTGTTCTCGAAGATACGCAAAGTCCGCCACTAGGAGACCAAGCAGGTCGAACTTCTGCATCGCTTCTGCGGCTCCGAGTCGTCCCAATAACACCAATAGGCAGTGTAGGACCTGGAAGTCGCCAGTGGCATATTTGCTATGGGCTTTGAGGTTTGTCGCAACTTCAGCAATGATCTGGTCCCAACCAACATCGCTGCTCACGGCAAGGTGGAGGTCTGGACGTCCAAGGGAGAGCAGATTGGACAAATACTGCGGGAAGTCCCGTCGTATGCGAAGAGCCTGTTCAAGACACGCGTGCTGTTCCAATGAAGCTTCTCGCATCAGCTTAATGCACAGAGTCCAGGTTATTGGGTCAATGAGAAAGCCAGGATGAAGCATCAAAGCCGAGGCCTTGCTTCTGATGTTGTCGAAGAGGCTCGCAGCGAATTGCAGGACAGAAATGTCGAGGCGCTCAAAGGGATATTCGGAGAGTTTGCGGCAAATGTAGTAGAGGTCAGGGAGCTCATAAACGTTGAAGCAGTTCCGAAGGAGATTGAAGACCTCGTGGACAGTCCGAGGGTCTTGACTGTCAACGATTGTTTTCCAGATCACGTCGGTGTCGGCGTCGGTGTAAGTCTTCGAGACGCACAAAAATCCCACCACGTTATATGCTCGGTGGATCAGTTGCGGGTGGGAGTCCACGCCAACGACGTACTCAACGAGTTGATTCTCTTTGATGAACTTGACCAAGTATCGCACCACTGGATGGTTCATTGGTGGGTATGGCTGGTTATCAATGTAAACCCGATGGACCGCAACAAGATCGCTTGACATTGTCTCAACGCCGTAGACACGAAGCTCCATGCGTCCATTGGTAATGAACTTCCGAAGGATCTTGAACTTCCAGGCGTATTGCATTGTAAGTGGGAGATCCGTGAGATCGGAATCGGCGAAGCCAACGCCCGACGTCGAGATAATGTCTTGTCCAATCTGAGGAACTTCCTCTCCAATGGCGGATATCATAGGATTCAGGGTGTCTATGATCCCCTTGGCCGTTTCGAGGTTGAGCCATGCGAGTTGCTTGCCGATGGCATGCTGAATGGCCTTGTCAGCTTGGAGAATAATCTCCGCCGCGCCATTGCGAATGTTCTCCAGCTGCGAAAATGACGTAGGGACAACATCGATGTCACTGGTGTACATGCTCGACATAGGACCCATCATGGCCTTCGTCACCTGGATCAAAATGTGGAAGGGTCGAAAGAGTTCTACTTTCTTGGGCAGAGCGGCACAGACTTCAGTCAGCAAGGCCGACAGCGACCGTAGCAAGGACACTTCTCCGAGCCTACCAATGACCAGCACATGGAAGTTTACCCGGTCAAAGCTGTGGGCTCGGATTAAATACTCGTAGAACGGGACTCGAGGTGAGAGTATCCAGACCAAGGCTTGCAGGTACTGGGAAGACACAAAGCTGAAGGACTTCAGATCACGTGGGTCGCTCTCATCAAGCACTTCATGCAGGTTCCGGGCATCGAAATCGGCCAGAAGCTTAGCGATTTCGGCAAATGCCACGAAGAAGTCGACAAGCTCTTCTGTCCGAGCACCAGGAGGAGGCCCCGCCTCCCGTCTCAGCAGCGCTTCGACAAGATCTGGAAGCCGAAACCAGAAGTCTCTTTCCTCTTGGAGCAATCTGAGGGGGAAGTCGTCGCACATGGCCACAAATTCAATCATCCAATCTTTGACTTGGCGGAAGATCGCACCATCCTGTGCTCCGGTATGTTGAAGCCGCTCTGACATGCGGGGAATCACTTTATGTGTGCTGCCTGAAGGGGACTCTTGAGAAAACGGAAAGGTGCGGTGTACGTGGCCCGATGGCACAAACTTCGGGTCGGACGTAGAGGTAGCTCCGCCGCCAATCCGCTGGGTCCATCTCGTCTGAGTGGGATCTTGGTCAAAGTCTTCTGGCTCTGCCACTTCGATTTCGGGGCTCTTGCTGGGTGACGAAGATAACGAGATGTGCTCTGGGATGTCTGCAGGGTTGCGTTGAGCGTCAGGCACGGCCTTCGGCTCTTTCGAGCCGTCACCACAGACCGTTGGGCCTTCGGAGGGCGGGGAGTGGGAAGGCAGACCAGCCCCAGCAGCTGCGACGGTCGGATCTGTCACAGATTGGGACGACAAGGGCCGAGTGTTAATCGTGACCTTGCTGGTTGGCGACATGGCTGTCGGCGATGCAACTGTTCTCGGGGGCAAGGGTGGCGTGCTGGGGTTTCCTTCCGCAGCATTGTCACTTTCACGGACCTGGATCTCTGGCACGGGAGGTGCGGGGTGTGAGTTTTCTTGGTGTAGATCGGACATGACATGCGATTCATCAGGTTTGGAATCGCTCAGCCTCGGGCGCTTGTGCTCATGCTCAGGCAGCTCCGAACCCTCAGTGGAATCACTTCGATTGCGCGTAGAAGAGTCCGAAATTAAGGACGACATGGTCGGGAGAGCTGCATCTGGAAGTCCGCTGAAGCGGGAATCCGCAGAGAAGAAGCAGCGCCGCGAAAAAGTGATTGACTGAGGAGTGAAGTTGACGGTTTGAGTCGAGGCAGTGAGCGGTCTTGGCGCGGCTGAAGAAGGCCGCCACTCAGAAATAAGGCAACTACCCTGCCAGCAATGGTGCCTGACTTTGACTCTTCACGGACAGAAGCCTGCGACACTCTGTCGTGCAAGCAGATCGAATGGCTATTCAGTGGATGAAAGGCCAACCTGACGATGATAGAGTGATGTCCGCTTGGTCCATTTCTCTGGCGTCGAAATGTCCGGGGGTAGAGAAGGGTTCGGAGGCGCTGGAGGTGGGGGCCTAGTGAATTCGTTTGCTGGTGCAATGAAGGAGACAAAGCGGCAGAACGTGAGGCTGGCTGATACGCACTACGAGGGCATGTCTTTTCAAGTGAGAACTGGATGGTACTTCATCCACGACGGAAATAAAAATTGTTGACTGATCTGTGAGTCGGCTGGCTTGTCGTTGGACGGAGGGACCAGGCTGCCGTTGATTTAGAGACGAAAGCGTGAGGAGCCCACTCGTGACTTTCAAGCCCGCCCGGGACGGCAATCCTACTGGCCCCCAGGCGTCACAGACGCGTTTGGCGCGAAAGAGGGGCAGTAGGAGTGCAAGTGGGCAATTTAGCCCAATCCTGTCTGCGGCTCACACGTCATCTGCTTTGTTTCCATTCCATCTTTGCAGCAAGGGGAAAAACACTCTCCAGCAATGGACAAACAGAAGAAAACCACGGTCCACTCTTTGTCACTCCCGTACCCGGAGCCACAGTGGTACCGTGCCCCAGTATGTGAGCCTCATAGGATCACCTCAAGCTAACAGATTCACGCTCCTAGGCCTCCCATCTCTACTGAGAACGAGCAGGCAATACTGCGATTTCTCCTCCCCCTTCTCCAGCCCGTTGGTGACTTCAGACGCGCCCATGTCCCTCGCTCGAAAGGCAAAGGAAGGCCCCGGAAGGCGAACAATGACAAAAAGGAAGACAGCTTGCCGACATGGATGCCAGATGTGTATGACCACCTGACCGTCGGATTTAACAGTACGGTACGCAGACTTGAGTCACTTGCACGGGGCCAGAAACCCCAGATCCTCGTTGACGACACCGACGTCGAGCAGCCAGAGCCCGGAGTGAACCTTTCGGTCGTCCTCGTTTGCCGCGAAAACCTGCCGGATATCATGACATCCACCCTCCCACTCCTCATAGCCACGTCGGCTTCCAAGCCTACGCGAGCCAAGCTAGTCAATATATCTGCAGAAGCAGAGGAGCAGATTGCGCAAGCACTATATCAGCGTCGCATTGGCGTACTTGGTATTGATGTGGAGACTGTTGGTGCAGAGACTCTGCTGCATTTCATACAAAATACCATTGCCACGGTCGATGTACCCTGGCTTGACCAAATATCCCCTCCGGTCTATCATCCCGTCAAGGTGAACACAGTTGTGACTGCGGCCAAGACCAAGCCGGCTGCCACAGGTCGCAAAAGAAAGAGGCTTGGAAATGGCTGAGACTGAACCATAAAAACACACCATGGTAACCCTTCTCACCGGATGAACGGAATGCGGACCGGGACACGTTCACGATAATCGAGATAGTCCTGACCAAAGAACGACACAAGGTGCTGTTCCTCATCTGGCACCACTATGTCAGCTAAACAATAGAAAGGGGAGTGTGCTGCCAGGACTTACGGATGATCCTGTGGTGGAAAAACTTCCATAAGATCACGGCGTAAAGAACAAAGCAAATGCGATTTCCCAGCAACACTTGTGTCCCCAGGCCCCACCAGAAGAACCCGAAATACGAGGGATGTCGGGAAAAGGCGTATACCCCGTCGGTCACGAGGACGTGGTCCGCTCTCTTGGACCATTGAACGATGTGGTTAAAGTTTGTCTTGGCTGTCCTCATGGCGGCGCTTCGGACGAGCTGACCGACAACAATCAAAGTCAGGCCCAACCCAACCGAAACCGAGGCGGGGATTGATGGAAGTAACCTCGGGATGTGGAATGGCAGGCTCAGCCATGCAGGCGCGTAGCTAGAGTACAGCCAAAATCGAACAAGGAGCTCCAACATGGCCGAGGTATGCGCAGCAGCATAGCCAACACCATTGGATGACAGGAGGAAGGAAGAGATGGACGCATCGGCCGGGTTGTATCTTGCCGTCAAGTCGAACTCAAGATAGTGGAATAGCGCGAGGACCGCAATGAAGCATGGAGCCCTCCACAACCCATTGTCCCAGTATGCCAGTTCCAGTCCCAAGACCGTAGAGACGCCGACAGCGAGGCCTAACGCAAATGCGCGAAGGGAGATGCCCGAAAGCGCTCGCTTCCCGCCAGGAAGATATGGCGGTGGGATATACATGGGCTGCAAACGCGCGCGAGCATTATTGCCATTGATGTGCTCGTCAATGCGATCTCGCGGGAACTCGTGAATAATCCCTGGTGAACTAGGAGCCGAGGAGTCGGACATAATCCAACAGTTACCGTGGCTTGATATGGCAAGTGGAAAAGGGAGGGGGCCGCCACAATGCGATATCTTATGGCAGAGTTAATGCGGCAGTAGGCCCCGATCTAATGGGTGAAAAGGGGCATAATAAATGATACAGTAGAGAACGAGAACAGGCCGGTATGAGACAGAGAGAGAGTGATCAATGTGGTCGCATTCATTAGTACAGGAACAATAGTAAAGAATCGATCGCTGGCAAAGGTGCTCGAGGTCCGTGGCTGTGCGGCTGTCCAAGCGTTGAACTCGGAGAAACTGGGCATCTGCCGCATTAACCTTTTTCCGGAATCGACGCCGCTCAGCTACGCATTTAATTCATCTCTTTACTGTGGTTGGTACAGTACAGTTACCGTTGGTCTATTGGATACCTACAATAGGTACGGTAGGTAGTCATTCGTGTCCTTCCACCTGAAGAGCCCTTGTCAGTTCCTTATGGCAGGGAGTAGAGAGTCGGCTGAAGGAAGATGGGGATGTGTCAGTTACAAGAATAACGAGACATGGTACTGTAGTCGAAAGACGGGAGTCCCACAATCGGCTACATGGTTGGAGTTCGTCCGCCCTTGCTTGTGTACGGAGTACATACCTCGTACTCGTACCTTGTCCCTGGATCGCGGGCTCCCCGCGAGCATCAGAAGGACCGGATCGGGCAGGAGACAAACTGCTGCATCTGGGATTGAACAACAGATCACCGGACGTCATCAAAACCAGGCGGACATCTCCAACCATACATCATGATCCAGTCGTTGGTTTTGTTGTGATCTCCTCATCGACAGGTGGCTGTTACTTGCCATTGCAGTGTGCAGAAGTCGATTTGTGCATCCACTAAGCCGCGGTTTGTGCTGTATAGCTCAAGTCATTGATAAAGTTGCAACATGTCTGACAGCACGTCAAAGCCGAAGAAAAGAGTTTTGGTTTCATATGGCGTTGACATCGACGCAATCGCGGGATGGCTTGGCTCATACAAGGGCGAGGACTCTACGAGCGACATCTCGAGAGGTATGGCTCTGTTTCCCCAGGAGTATCAGATCCAATGCAGCTTGCATTGTGGAAATGCTGCGCTGCTGTCCCGCTTGATTGATTGCTAAATGCCTTTGTGGCAATAGGTTACTTCGCTGGTACTCAGGGAGTCAGGAGACTGTTGAAGCTATTCGAGAAATACAAGATTAAAGCCTCGTGGTTCATCCCGGGCCACAGCCTGGAGTAGGTCTCTGTGTCTGACGAGTGTTTTGCTGGCCCAGTTGCGCGACGCACACCTGACCGGTGCTTTCACCACAGGACCTTTCCTGAAGAATGTGCCATGGTCCGTGATGCTGGCCACGAAATCGGCCTACATGGATACAGCCATGAGAATCCTGTTGATATGACACTCGAGCAGCAGAGAGATATCCTCGACTATACGTACCGGATGCTGACCGATTTCTGCCATGGCAAGACCCCTCGAGGCACCGTTGCTCCATGGTGGGAGGTGTCCAAGGAGGCAACGGAATTGCTACTCGAATACGGAATTGAGTACGACCATAGCATGAACCACCACGATTGTCAGGCGTACTATCTCCGGACCGGTGATGATTGGACGAAGATTGACTATGGCAAGAAGGCCGCCGAGTGGATGAAACCTTTCAAGAAGGGTCAAGAGACTGGACTTGTCGAGATTCCAGCAAATTGGTACCTCGACGATCTGCCGCCAATGATGTTCATGAAAGCGGTACCAAACAGCCATGGTTGGGTGAACTCCAGGGACGTCGAGGACCTATGGCGGGTGAGTGGCGGCTCCAGTTGCCAGCGCCGACGAAGTCATTTTGACCCGTGCATAGGACCATTTCGACTACTTTTACAGGGAGTATGATGGTAGGTCACAGCTTGCCTTGGTTTCTTAGTCTCGCTTTTGACTCTTTGCGTCCTAGAGTTCATCTTCCCGATGACTATACATCCAGATGTTTCTGGCAGACCACACGTCCTGCTCATGCACGAAAGACTGATCGAGCACATCAACAAACACGAGGGTGTAGAATGGGTGACGATGGCGGAGATGGTAGACGACTTCAAAAGCAAGAACCACCCTGCCGAGGGTGCCATGATGCCAGCAGCGCCGGGGTCGATCTTGACGAAGGGATAGAAGTGAGGCGCATGGATCACCTTCTCTTGTTCATAAACTTCAAAGCACCACCCAGTTTGGCGACTTTGGTCACATCTCTGAATGTGAGACTGATGCGCGTTTGGCGCTGAGCTTGTCCACTCTGGTACAATGGCTTATCCTCGACAAGGTCCCAGTTGACGACGCTTTCATGGTTCAGCTCTGTGTCAACCAGAAGCTCTGAGATGCCGTGGAGGGTGCTGACGTACATGTCACCGGTCGTGACAAGCAGGCTTCGAGGTTCCTGTAAAATGCGCCACGTTGGCTTCGCCTCCCGTTCGCCGTGCTCATTCTTCTTGTATATGTCGAGCACGGTATGACTACCCAAGCTTACTGTAGCAGTGACCGGGCTATACGCAGGGCCATCCTCGTGAGGCATTATTCCCTCTCCTGGTTTGTACTCATTGATCAGGACATGGTTGGGAGCCTTGTGAGGTGTGGATTCGAAATATTTCTCCTCTTTCAGACGGACAACGATCGATTCGAGGTAGGCTGGTAATGGCGCAGCAAGGAGGGTATCACGAGCAGGTCCCGTTAAGGTCGAGGGAAGAGAAAGCAGACGTCGGTGGGTAAGGACGGTCCACTTTGATTCTGGTAGCTTCCGGATTTCATTGGTGAGACGGTGCTCCTCGGTTGGAGTTATGAAGCTGGGAAGATAGTAGCATGAAGGCGGTAGTCCGTTGACTGAAGAGACACTCATGGCGCAGCATGGAAGCCGGAAAGAGGACGAGAGAGATGGTCGAGCTCAGATGACAACACTTACTGGTCGCGTAGGCCATGTTATGTTGGTGCGCCCTAAATGCATGAACAAGCGCTCATTTCAAGACACGCTTGAGATGTAATTCACTTCAAATTGGGAGGCATTGGATTCTCCGAGTCGCACTTCACCACCACCCAACAAACTGCAGCATAATGAGTAGCTACTCGACCTCCTCGATGGCCACTTCCGTCGGAAATCTTACAGGCAACATGCTCAGACCGTGCGTCGGTAAGAGTGAATCTACTGTGTCCCTCAGCGTTGCGCTACCTGATCTCGCTGTCGAGACGTCATGACTTTGTTGCCCGAATTGACTTTGTGCCTTAAATCTTTCTGCTCGTACCTCCTCTGTTCAATCAAATAGCCGTCTATAAGACAGGTATGGCTCACGAAAATTTCTCTCTTTACCGTCAGACACTGTTGAGCCGACAGCATCGATACGATGCCTCTGTCCAGCTCGGCGAGTACACTCCTTTCCTCTATCCGTGGGACACGCTACCGGCGCTGTACTTGTTCCTCGCTGTTTCAATCACTCCACGCCTTCCCTTGAGCGTGGCCAGAGCTGTCCGCTACATTGCGTTCATTCTCGTACTCCTACATGGCGCCTATGTGGTCTCTCACCGGCGTACACTCTGGTTTGCTGGTGGGTATGGAATCGGGTTATCTAGTGCCTGGGGGATCATCATGTCAGGTGCTGTCCTGGTGTGCAACGACCTGGAGCGGGATTTCAAAAGGCTTGAGACACGAGTTGTGAGCTCGAAAGCCGGCAACCATCAAGAGAACGGATCAGCGCCCCATCCTGCTTCTTCAGACTCTGGGAAGCCAGTCGACATTGTGAGACGAAGGACTGCAAGCGTTTACGCCCCAGCCGATCCCAAACAGAGATCTTCTGATGTCCTGGAGCAGCCAGCTACCCGACCGTACAGACTGGTATGGCAAGGCTTTCCTTATGGTGATGGCATGCTTCACCTTATCGACTGGACAGTGGACCTCATGACGAGCTTTCGAGGTGTGGGTTGGAAACATCGAATCTCGACTGCCCATTCTATCGATGCACCAGTACTGCCCGAACGAGAGGAAGAAGAGCCTCGGTGCAAAAGTCATGAGGAGAGCAAGCCGATTTCGATTTCAACCCAAAAGTTAAGATCTCTTCAGATGAGGGCTGTACAGGACTTCATGGTCAACTACTTACTTCTGGATCTACTAAAGACTATGTTCATTACTGATCCCTATTTCCTTGGGTTGGCGCCACTGGAGAGTCCTACACCGTGGCACTGGCTGAACCGCCTCAACGAGACTCTTCCTATTGCAACACGCCTTGTACGACTCTCTCTGTCCATGGCAGGTGTCATCGTGGCACTATCGTTTATTTTCAGCCTGAATCCTCTGTTCTTTGCCACCATCCTCCCGAGGCTGGTTGACATATCAAAGCTCACAAAAGCACCATTGCTCGAGCCGAGCCTATATCCCCGAATGTGGTATCCGCTTACGACTTCGGTGATGTACTCAGGTCTAGCAGGGTTCTGGGGCAAATTCTGGCACCAAATGTTTCGGTTCGGCATCTCGGAGCCTTCGCGGGTACTGGTCAAGCAGCTTCGACTGAATCCACGTGGCAATGTTGCGAGAGTAATGCAGCTCTTGATCGCATTCGGCTTGTCAGGCACAATCCATGCGCTCGGGAGTTACTCGACGTTCTCTCTCCAACAATCTCACCCTTTGTCTGGCCCATTGCTGTTCTTTCTCTTGCAAGCGCTAGGCATCTTTCTACAGACATCCGTGGTCAAGCTGGTGGATGCACGCCTCTCCTGGGTCAGGGCGACGCCATTAACTGTTCGCCAGACAATCAACCTGATCTTTGTTCTAATTTGGCTTTACTTCACCGGCCCGCTTTTGGCCGACGATTTCGCGCGTTGTGGGATCTGGCTATTCGAACCTGTGCCTATCAGCACCCTGCGTGGACTAGGTTTCGGACCAGGTGGGAAGGACGAAGGATGGTGGACATGGTATCAGGAGGGCTCGCGGCTGACGGGCTTGTGGAAGGGCGAGAAATGGTGGGAAAGAGCATTGGCCATATACTAGGCATAGACAGAAGAGGCTCAAATGAAAATCCCATGCCATTACTGTGTGTACACAGTAAGGATATCAACCGTAAATGGACGTGTCAGGGCGCAGTATTCGTAGTGCTGGCGTGATGTGCGGAAATGGTGGGAGTGTCGCCAGTAGCTGCCAGATGATGTCACCGTTGCCGAGCCCGAATGCAAGCGTTCCAAATTTGGGAGGCGATGCCTGCGACTTCGGGTTCCTGGCATTTCGCCATTCTGCATTCTGCACTGGCTGCCATGCAATCGACGCCTCTCCCGCTATTCTCCTTGCCCACTTGAGCATCACTGCTACAGACATCAACGTTGCCATTTTGAAGTCAGCAAACGCTCAAAGCCGAGCGAAGCCACTCGTAAGGTGGCAACCGTTTTATTCTCAGTCTGACCTAGTTAGCATCCACGCTAGGTGGGCTAGCTAAGTAAAGACTTGCCCCCCAGCGTGCAGGCGTCAGTCTCGGAAACAGCTGCGGCGCAGCGTCCAAGCGTTGGGTTCAAGCCCTGCTCGGGCCCAGGCTTTTCGCTCATTGCGCTCTCGAAACTCCATCCCCCAATTCTCGCGACAGGTCAACACCACTTGGACTGCGCTCTACTTGCGTGCACGTCATTCCACAATTTCCATCTCGCTGTCTTCAATCTCACCACTGTTCCCTGCGACACGATAGACTCCCTTCGCCCATTAATCGATTGCCTGCCTGCAGCATTGCGCTCGCCTATCGGCCGTCGACCTGCCCGTGATCTCAGATCCACCCCGCGCCACCTGTTCTGTAACACCACCTCACAAACGATCCTCGCTCATATTCGCGAAAACCGCCACCCACCCAGAACAACCTAGCAGTTCGTTTCGTGTCGCCTGGCTGCTGATGTCCGTTCGTTGCGCTCCCTTTTTCCGTCATGGCAATGCAAGGCCCGCTTGCCAACGACAAGAAACGAGTAAAAGTCTATGAGCTACGCGACAATGACTGGTTCGACAGAGGCACCGGATTTTGCACCGGCCAGGTTATTAATGTACGTCGAAGGAGTTGCGCTCTGGTGGTGGTCGTGTTGGGGAAGTCACGCGCTGACGGTTGGGTGGATAGGATGAACCGCGCATCTACGTCGAGTCCGAAGACCAGCCCGATCGCATGCTCCTTGAAACGCGGATAGTGAAGGATGACGGGTATCAGAAGCAGCAAGGTCCGCAACACGAAGTTCGCACACAGAGAATCCCGCGGCGGCTAACGCGTAATAGATACGCTCATCGTGTGGACCGAGACCAATGGCATGGATATGGCTCTCAGTTTCCAAGAGGCTGAAGGGTGCGCCGTGATATGGTATGAAGAACGACAATTTCCATCGTGCCGCGCTCTGATATCGCTCTAGGGAATTTGTTCACCAAGTGCAGCAGCAGTTGCTTGCTCTACCGGGTACGCTCTCGATGCGCCCAGCTATCTACGCGGTATGCTGATTTTTTGGCAGATGACGGGCTTTCGGACGATGCGCTTGATAATATCACGACCTCGTTCACTCTCAACCCCCCCGAGCTGAGCAACCTCGACGAAATCGAACAATCGATCCGGCACGCGAGCATTACCCAGGGTGGACGCGAGGCTCTGGCAAAATTCCTGATTCGAGAAGAGTACCTGCTCAAATTAATACCACTCGTTGAAATGGCAGAGGACCTCGAAAGTCTACCGGATTTACACCGCTTATGCAATATCATGAAGGCCTTAATTCTGATGAACGATAACACCATCATCGAACACTTGGTCACGGACGATATAATCCTTGGCGTGGTCGGCGCGCTCGAGTATGATCCTGACTTCCCCACGCACAAGGCAAACCACCGTCAGTACCTGGCGGACGAATCGAGGTACAAGGAGGTGGTGGAAATCAAGGACCAGAACATCAAGCAAAAGATCCGCCAGACATGGCGGTTACAATATTTGAAGGATGTCGTGCTGGCTCGCATTCTGGACGATCCCACTTTTGGTGTTCTCAACTCCCTCATCTTCTTTAATCAAGTCGACATTGTGCAACATCTGCAAGGCAACACGGCCTTCTTGAAAGAACTGTTTGCCATCTTTAATCAGGACAACACCGACGTCAAGCGGAAGGAACAGGCAGTGCATTTCTTGCAGCAATGTGCTGCCATTGCGAAGACCCTGCAGATGCAGTCGAGAGCGAACCTCCTGAACAACTTCATCGCCCACGGCCTCTTCGCTGTTATCACATTTGCCGTCAAGCACCCGGAGCCGTCGATGAGGACGACAGGCATTGATATTCTTGTGGCCCTTCTCGACCACGATCCGAATATGATGAGGAGTTACATGCTCAAGGCAGTTTCGGAGAGGAAGGTTCCCCTGACGGACACCCTGATCGAATTGTTGCACGCCGAAACCGACCTGGGGGTGAAGAACCAGCTGGCGGATGCCATCAAGATTCTACTCGATCCACAACCGCCGTCGAACGACCCCATGGGAGCTCGACAAAACTCGGAATTCATGACCAAACTCTCGCGGCCGCAGATGACACCGACCCAGCAAGCCAACGAGCAATTTGCGCAGGACAACTTTGACCGATCGTGCCGTAAGCTGTTCCAGCCGCTAAAAGTCCTCGAGTCTCGGGAATCGATGCAGAACTTCAGCTACCAAGAAGTGTCATTGTTTTCATACCTCGTCGAGATACTGTCCTTTTTCGTACGGCAACACTCGATAAGAAGCCGACCTTTTGTTCTGTCGGAAAGTCTGGCCCCCCGAGTGGCTCAGCTGTTGCAGGTACCGCAGAAGCCGCTGAAATTGACAGCATTGAAGTTCTTCCGAACGGCAGTCTCATTACAGGACCCGTTTTATGCTGCCCAAGTCATCAAAAGCGACGCATTCGATGCTATCCTGGGTATTGTCATTGACACCATGCCCCGGGATAACCTCCTCAATTCCGCGTGCCTGGAAATGTTCGAATTTATCCGCAAGGAGGCGATAAAGCCGATCATCATTCATCTCGGAGACAACTACCGTCAGAAGCTCCAGGACATCAATTACGTCGACACTTTCGAGAACCTGCTGATGAGGTACGAACAGCTGACAAACGACCATCCTGAGCCAGAGCACACGCTGTTTAGCCAAGACGATGCGACGCCGCCAATGAACCGAACGCACATCAATGGGCGGTGGCAAGGCTTGCCAGAAATGGACGTAAGCGCCGAGGACTATTTCAACACCTCGGATGACGACGAGGAGGAAGGCGAAGAGGATACCGACCGCGAAAACATCGAAGATGTCTCGGAGCGGATGCAGTGGCATCGCAGAAGGATGAAGTCGGAAATGATGAACGGCGGCGCGAGTCCGATCGGAAAGCCCCTTGTCGATTATCCTGACGACGACGAGGATGATTCCATGGGAAGTAAAGCCGACGCTACCCCTACAACACCGCTCACGCCCGAGAGCAATAAGGACGTTTCGTCTCCCGAAGCAAAGACGACATCCGAGAAGAAGCTGCAACCATCTCCAGAGATCAAGTCCGCCACGGAGGCAGAATTACAACATCCTCCCGAAAGAGTTACCGAAAAGCGTAGGAGGCAAGAGGACGACGACGAAGACGAACTGAGCAAGCTCTCCAGTGGCCCGAAACGACGGAATTCCACGTCCAGTGCTTCCAGTCTCGCATCGCAAGGGTCAGTACGGCGGAAGAAGGGTTTCCTGCGGTCCAAACAGGCGGCTGGCGAGAACGCCAACAGTGTTTCGACGAACAACGTGGACACGGAGAACCACGTTGAAGGCCGAAAGCCACGGAAGATCGCCATCACCCTGTCGAACGTAACGAATAAAACGGATGAGACGCCGACGACGAGGGCGGATACAAAGCTGCGGAGTCATCAACAGTCAGTGACGACCAAGGAGTAGGGATATGAATAGAAAGCTGTGAAACTATGCGACCACGTTTCTTCACATTCGGCGACGGTGTTGATGGAGTACGAACGCCCTACCGACCTGTACCATACAACCAATCTCAAGGTGTTCACGGGGCGCAATGACGGATGTGGACCGAGTCCAGAGCAGTGAAATGGAAAGAGAGACCCAACACCACAGCCTAATGTCTCTGGTTTGGACGATTGAAACGATGGCGTTTGACATCTACCGCTGTCGCCTGGGCACTAGTTACCTAGCCACCTGACGACATGCGGTTTCCTGCTGTACAGATGCGGAGATTGGGAGCCTCATTGGGCCTGGAAGGGGAAACAGGTAGTGAGCAGCAAAGCCTTTTGGGGTGGGTACGGGCGAGGGATCTTGCTACGCTCTGCTCTTCTGTCAGAGCACGAAGGGTAGAGACAGAGGAGCTGTCAACCAAGGCATGTGGGCGGAATTGGGAAGCCTCACAAGACGCCCGATTGCGAGCGAAAAGACAGATTTCACGGTATATTCCATGCTGTGCTCTAGAGTCTTATCTATCTCCCTTCCAGCTATACTCGTACAGTTGTTGCCGCCGGTGCCTTCCAAGTGGCTTCAACGACTTCCAACACGTCGACGCGGAGTTTGCCGCGTTTGTCGTGCCTCGTATTCGAGCCTCGTATTGCATTCCAACTGCAGCTCCTAAACGCATCTCGTAATTTCAAACATCATCATCATCATCCGCGCCTGTCCCTATCACATGAGTTGTGGCCCTCGATTCGAGCAATGCTTAACAGTGCAGCAGCGTAGCGGCATCCCTCAAATCACATCACGACAGGGCACGTGGCACCAAAATGGCGGGTCTCCCCCTCTCGTCGTACAGCTTCGATCATGTCATTCTCCTGCTCGATACTGCGGACTTTGAAAACCCGCCGGAGTGGTTAACCAAGAATTTCACCATCATCGAGGGCGGGACGCATGCCGGTGAGTATGAGCGTCCTGCTCCTGTCGCTTTTAGCTCTATTTCTCCATGGGGTCTCTGAGCCCGATCGATTATGCCTAGATCGCCCGTACCACAAGGGGTGGGCGTCATGTTTGTCTGTTTCTCTCTCTCTTCCATTCCCTTTTTTGCCCGGCTCTCCTTTTGCAGTCTTATTTTCGTGTATTAGATCGACCCTAACATCCCGCAGGCGGCTCTTCGCGCAACAAACTCGTCGTCTTTCCTGACGGGACATACATCGAACTGATCAACTGGGTCACCGAACCGAAAGAGTTCTTCGACTGGGCCAACAAACCCCCGGGGCTGATCGATTTCGCGCTCACGACACCCACTTCGGCGTACGAAACGTTCAACGAGGTCACCCAACGATTAGAATCCGAAGACGGACACGGCGGACGTGGAGACGGCGGGCTGGGCGTCAAATACAAGGATCCTCTCCCCGGCGGCCGGAAACGCAAAGACGGACAGGACGTCAAATGGCACGTCACCAAGCCATCACTCGACAATGACGCGCCTAACCTCCCCATGCCGCTGGACAAGTTCTTCCCCAAAGGACGTCTGGATACGCCGTTCTTCTGCCACGACGTCACGGACCGGGCGTTGCGTGTCCCGTATGCTGAGAAGGACATCTCCGAGACGCATCCCTGTGGTGCGCGGGGGATTGTTTCCGTCGAGGTGGTCGTGCCGGAAGAGAAGATGGACAGTTACATTCGCTTGTACGGCTCTGTGCTGGGCGTCGAGGCGAGCGTCCACGGCGGCTATCGGTACTCTCCGACCACCAGTGTGAGTTTCCCGCTGAGCACGCCGAATGCAGACGAACCGGCGATGAAGGCGCTCAGGGGCAGGGTGGGTGTTGAGATTCGGGCGCCCAGGGACCAAGATGATGAAGCCTGGGTGCGGGAGCGAGGCGTGGGGATCAGAGAAGTGCGAATCTTTGCAGAGGCGAAAGGCGAGGATGAAGTGGACGAGGCGCCGCTTGACAGCGAAGGCATTGGAGCGAGCTTGGTCCTGGTCAAGGAGCCCGTGGGGTTCTGGCAGGAAGGACCCCGATGATGGGAGGGAGGGAGGGAGCAAAGAGGAGGAGAACTCGAAGCGGCGGCCGGGCAAGTCAAATGCCGTTTTCGACTCGAGACAAGCAGTATCAGGACTGCATCGGTATTGTACTGGGGCACCTGGATGACGAGGGGTGGTGCCTGGAATTGGCCCCAGACCGAGAAAGTGAGATCAGGAACGCCAAGCAGGCTGAGGCTCGTTGCCCTCTCTCTTTCTCTATTCAGTTCAGTCTCAATGCTACACCATCGAGTATCACAATTTGTTGTGCCTCGCGGCAGCGGTCCCTCTCTCATCAAGACTCCCCGGATGTGTTCCAGCTCTCAGCCTCGCACCGCCGTCGATACTGATATCCTCGCCATTGACATAGCTCCCCGCGCGGCTACAAAGATACAGCACCACACCAGCGATATCTTCGGGCCTCCCCAGCCTCCCAAGCGGGTTCTGCTGCCCCACGACGTCCACGCCTCCAAGGTAATCGATCTGCGGATTCGCCAATCTGGAAGGGAAGAAGCCCGGCGCGACGATGTTGGTCGTGATGTTCTTGGGCGCCAGCTCCAGCGCCAGGTTCCTACCCAGATGGTGTGCGGCGGCCTTGGACACGCTGTACATGATGGCGCCGCGCGCTCCCACATGGGGCACGATGATTCCGCCGACCGACGAGGTGATGAGGATCCGGGAAGGGTCTTCCGGCGTTGCAGACCGGGATAGAAGCGGGACCATACTGCCAGGTCACGACCAGGAGTCAGTACGAAATCGACTGTCCACACCACACCAAATATACACTTTGCCATCCCACACGGCGGGCGGAGAACCCACGTATGTACTCTCAAAGACACAGCGAACACCGAGAGCCAAAGAGACAGGACGCGCCGCGACAAACACAGCACAGCCATGAAGGGTTGCGGAAGAGAGGAGAGCGTAGGAGGGAGCGCATAGGTAGGAGAACGAACGACTCACAATCGACACAAGTTGAACACGCCCCTGACGTTCAAATCCAACGTCTTGACGCTCTTCCAGTCGTCAAAGTCCTCGAACGGGCCGCCCCAACTGGCCGCCGCGTTCGCGACCAGGATATCCACACCCCTTGCTTTCGCCCCGCCCTGTCCCTGTCCTGCGTCTTTTCCAATCTCGGCTTCGACGTCCTTGACGAACCTCTCGATCTGGTCCGTATGCCCGACGTTCGCGGGGATGGACACGGCCACGCCCCTGATCCCAGGGAGGGCATTCAGCTTCTGCACGGCGGCGTCGAGGTTCTTGGCATCCCGCGCCGTGATGATGACTTTGGCGCACCCGGCCCGCAAAAACGCCGTCGCGCAGTAGAGCCCGATGCCGCGGGAGCCTATGTTAGGATAATCACCGGGGTCAGTGGTAAAGCAACATTTGAATAGTAGGAAGATCACCGAGGGCCAGTGGTAAAGCAAACATTTTGAATAGTAAGCAGTAAAAAGGTGAGAGTCAACAAGGCCAGGTCAGCCTCAGCCCGCGGAAGACCCAACCTCCGAGGAAAAACGACCCGCGGAACCGCGACATTGTGACTACGACGCCGTTGTCGCGCGAATCTTCTTTCTCGGAAAAACACACACGCACACGCACCTCCTGTGACGACGGCTATCTTCCCGTCCAGCCGGAACAGCGTCTCAAAGTCCTTGATCTCCGCCATCTGAGATCTCAGGGGAAAGGCACGACCCCGATAATTGGATCAACTCCTATTTTGCTGGTCCTTCTCCTCCTCCTCGTCGTCGTAAGCCTCGTCCAGTGAGCTCAGAATCCTCTACTGCGCGAGCTCGGTTCAAGCAAGGGTTTCGTGCCCGATACTCAATCTTGGATACTCTCCGATTGAAATTATGCCCTTTTTTCCCTTGGACTGTGGTTCCGCAATGCCGAGTCGTGGAATCACAATCGCGACGCTTTCGAATCAAATTGTATCGGAGAGACGGTATCTCGAATGATGTGACCTGTGACTTGCCTCTGGGGTATTCAAGCCAAGAATTGTCATGACCTGACCACAATGACTCGAGCACGGCTCTGAAGTGGGGGAAGAAGATGGAGAAGCAGATGAGGCTGGCACTGATCCGAAGTTGAACCTCGGTCACACTGGCGGCCAAAGATCCTGTAGCCGGCTGGACCGATTGCATACGATGATATGCTCAAAATTCTAACTCTATGACGGTGCTTGTACAGGTTGAGCGAGCTGCCTCTCTACTGTGATATCCAGAGTCCAACTTTGTGACCCGATTTAGCCCCACAATGCGTGACGATGCAACTCCGACGATATATTATGCTTATGCCCATACCGTAATTTCATTCCCTCGCCTCAGAAAAGCTGGTCCAGACTTCCTCTGCGACTCACTTCCTTGCTAATTCTGCGCGGGTGTGGAGCATGAGCTGGGCCATCAACATCAACCGATCCACGAGCGCGCTCATGTCTGTCCGGGCTCGACCTCCGCCGTGGCTTGCTGATGCTCGGTCGATACCTCGGTCCCTCCGGGCTTGTCTTCGATCGTGATCTCATGACGGCGGGCCCGTTGGGCGGAATCCATGGATCCTTCAGTTTCATGCTTGTACTTCGTCCTTTGAGAGCTCCCGCACTAAAATTCCCGATGTCGGACTGTTTGGGAGCAACGTTAGGATCCGCAACCACATTGTTGTAGCCAGGAAGATCTTTTGATGTCCGTCGTGGATCTCCTCGCTTGATCTCTCCGCTCGGCCTCTTCTGCTTCCGCTGAAATTGTTGCTGTCGGTTCTGGAGCTCCCTTTGTCGGTTCATCATATTGCGCTCCTCCTCGCTTAGCATGACCTTGCGAGGAGGGGAATCAGGGGGAATCCCGAATTCGGATTCGGAAAAGCCGAGACCCGAGGTTGAAACTTGGAGTCTGGGCAGCCGTGGGCCAAGTCGCTGTGCAGGGGTGTTGTTCTCTGGCGCAATATGGCAGTGATAACAGCTTGGATGTCTGTGGAGATGATGGTGCGAGGACAATGCCCTGCTATGACGCCCTGGTGCCGTGTTTTCGTCTGTTGTCGAATCAAGCGGCCCATCTTGGCAATGTTGATGAGTATGATGCGACCGACGAGGAGACTTGTCAGTGTCGTTCGTGAGGTCGCGAAGATCAGCGGATTGGAGTGATGCCTCGTGTCTTGCACGTTCGATAGACCGTCGCACAGGAATCTCAAAAGCTTGACCTTGATGGAAAGTAGCATGACTGGGCCCACTAGTTGGAACCGGTACCGTTTTGGCTCTCTTAGCTTCGATAGAAGCAGCGACTTGCGCCAGAGAATTGGGTGGGATATCCAAGGAGTTCATGGGTATGATTGTAACAGGCAATTGCACTGCAACCGTCTTGAACATCTTGAGCGTCACGACAACGTTGATGAAGTATCTGACCTCAAAGAAGCGCCCAGTGCTGATCGTGACATGTCCGCGTGGAGCTTCAAGCTCGATAGTACGGACATCTGAGGAATGCGCGGGCACGCCTCGCCAAGCAGGCGACCTCTTCAAAGTTGTTCCACTCACGATATCGGTGTCGGTTCGCTTAGGAAGGCGGAGGTAGTTCGCGCTTTTCTCTGCGGTCCCTGCAGGGGCATGAATGTACCATAGTGTCGATTTCTCCAGTTGAACCTCGATTTTCTTGACTGCCTTTGCCGTAGTGTTGGCGACGTGGACATCGATGAAAATCATGCCCCCATTGACCCATGTTTGACGATGTAGACCGGCAGTCAGCTTGACTGTTTGGACGTCTGGCTCCCGTGCCAGATACAGTGTGTCTGTGGCCAGAAGAGGACTTGCGAGGCTTGCCAGTGCCTTTTCTGGGTCATGCACCGTAAGCATTTGTACGTTCCATGTCTGTCTAATGACAATTCGCTTGTCTCCGGTTTTGACCACGACTGAAGGGCAAAGGAGATATCGGATCGAAGCTTGCTTTGAGGAATAAGGAGGCGGACCTAGTTTCAGAGGTAGATTGACGCAGAATGGAAGGACTGACGTCGCTGATTTCATCTCCCACCACAGGTCCGGGCCAGGCTGCGGATGCTGAGAGGTGACCAACGAAGGTGGAGGGGGGTTTTCCTTGTCGAACAGTTCCGTAGCGAGGGACAGGAAGACCCAACGACGACCGTCAGATATCTCTTCCACGCCAATGACATCAACACAGGCCCTCGTGATGTACATTGGCTTAGTCTTTGGTTTTCGTGCAACTCCACCATCAACCTGGATGGTCAATTGTCCCTCCACGGTCCCTCCTCCTACACATAGTGGAGAAGGCAGACTGATTGACAGCTCAACCCGAGGGTGTCGGCTGCTGCCGTTGTCCAAGACTTCATGAGGAGGTGAGGTGCGGATGAAGGTACGTGCGAGGGAGGGACGGAGGATCTCTGATGATTGAGCTGCGCGGCGTACTGACTGGCGAACAGGCGACTCAGCTCGTCCTCTATGCGGGATTACTGTGCCGGTACCGTCCAATTCCGGTATCCTCCATGTGGCCATCTCCCGCATCGAAATTTGCCCTGAATCTCCAAGACTGCGTGAGAATATGTTCGCGGAAGAACGTCTTTCAGGGACAGCCCGATGAGGCAAGCTGATTGCACTTGTCGCTCGACTACCTAAGCCTGAGAGAGCATTTCCCGGACCACCGCGGAACGCTGAAGGGGTAAGATACTCGGACGATGTCGTATGCGAGAGAGTGTCGGCCTGTGCTGGGGGAGTTTGCGGTCTATCTCTGCTACCATCGGCCCAGGCTTGAGCAGGATTTCCGAGCGTAGCAGTTCTTGACGATCCAGAGACTTCACGTATGTCTGAAAGTTGATGGACTCGGTGTCGTGCTAGAGCAGAGATCGGGCGGACGAAAGCTTCTCTTGAGGGCAATGGGAAACGTGTAGGCTTGCCGTCGTCCGTTGACATTCGCTTTGGCAGGTGAAATCGTTTCAAGGAGTCTGAGCCTCTTCGTCAGTCTGGCTTCATGAGACTGCGGCGTTCTGGCTGTTTTCAACACACCTTTCGCTGTCCAGTGCTCCATCGGAACGCAGTTGCTGTGATATGCATACGGTAAGAGGCTTCCTATTATCCGTCAAGCATTGCTTCAGGCCTCAAAGAAATGTCATTTCGTGAACAAGGTCATTTTGACTGGGGAAAGCAGAGAGACGGTCCCCAGAGGTTTGACTAAAGGAAACCGTAGCGATCGTGCCTGCCATGATGTCCAGCAAGCAGCGATGACACTGTTCTTTCCACAGCTAATTGAGCAGGAGCCGCTGGCGCACCCAACAACACCACTATTCGCCTCATTTCAGTCACAGTTCTGCCGCAGACGTCTTACTGTTTGTCAAGTACTCGTATTCCCCGGAGATCGGGGGAAGATCATGAAGCTCTTTGCACACTCGACATCGAGAGCGTCTCGGACGGTCTACTACCTGCGACCTTTACGTCCGCCTCAAAGGATGCTGCGAGTAATTTAGCTTGCCAACAGCACTATGAACCAGCATCAAAAAAACTTCCCGAAGCTTCTTGTCCAAGAAGCCAGTCTTGACCGTTGGGTGTTGTAAGGTCCAGATGATGCACGCTTGGGCCGCTTTACCACCACTTGGTTTCGCGCTTTGAGCTCGTGGTGGCCACGCAGGTTGTAGTACTGAGTACAGTTTCCACAAGGTCATGTGCCCCCACTGTTGCGCGACCATTGGAAGCCGAAGGACGGAGAGTTGAGCCGAGATCAGGCGGTGAGCGACCGTATGGCTCCAAAAGGATGATGCTACATCACAACATTCCACGAGTTGGCCGCTTGAACCCTCTTCGAGCTTCGACTCGACCAGGGCTCGTGCACCGGCTTTACAACTCCCAGGTGTTGTATGTAGGGACCGTGATCTGCGACGACATTCCAGGCCACAACTGCGGAGGTTAAGCGAGTCTCGCCAGAGGTAACCAAGGTGAAGGTGAAGTTGAAGTGAGGTCGAGATTAGTCCACGGAGAAAGACGAGACAGGAGGGCGGGGAACCCCTGTTACAGGGACCAAGAGCAACCAAGCGCAGGGTGCTCTTCGGCTAGCAGCCCCCCAAGTGACCTCCTAGTGGCTGCTGTCGGTTGAATTAGGCTCATCTGACGAAGGCCGGCGCTCGCCTGACGTTGGATCAGCCTTGTTTCACCTTTCCTCTTGAACTGTTAGTGACTGCTCTATTCCAAGTGAGGGCACAAATTGCGGCCGGGTTCTGCTCTTATTGGATCCCGCACATCGCAGACCCGGCTTGAAAATTTTTCTTCCACGTGGCTTGTGGCCGGTCTCTTGTCCAATGTCGTGGCTGCTCCATAGCGTCTCCACCTAGTCACTCGGGGTTCGAGAAAACTTTTCCTGCTGTTCGACGTGCGCCCGAGCTGGAATGCCACAATGCTTGTCGCTTACTGGGTAAACCACCTGCCCGGACAAGTATTGGGTAGCTTTCCCCCCTTCGTGTTGAGATCGCTCGGCCTTCCGTTTGATGGCGCAACGATCGGCTGGTGCCCTCGGGTCCTCTCTCCTTCCGGTTTCAAGCAAGCTCCTCATTCTGGCTCCTCGAGCGAAGTCGGATTTGGTCTGCTCTAGCATTTTCGGACCACCATCGTTTGTCTGAGTCCTGCAGCCGGAGAGTCCGGATCACGTCAATCACTCAACCTGGGGTTCAAACGGTGCCACGCACGACAAGGGAGGGGAAAAGGAAGCCTCAGCCGTGGCAGTCTGTGCACCGAGTTTTCTTAAGCCCTGCTCTTGCCTCCCCACCAGCGGCATCCTTCCACTACCCAGGAAAATTTGTTAGCTCATTCGATTACCTCACTCTGGCGCCATCTTTGGCCTGCCCTTTGCTTTACATCTCTTATCTCTGTTTACTGTTGTCAATTATTATCTATCTTTTACGTGTTCGATATCAGCTCACCCCAGGAATCGCGCGTCTATTCTTGCGTTTCCCCGGATCGCCCATCGACAAATCTACCCCTTATCGGCGCTTATGCCAGGCACATTGCATTAGACCGGTCGCGTGGAGCAGGCATGGGCTCTGTCGCGAACACCGACGTCACACTATCCGACGCTGTGGTACCCAAGCGGGAGTCAAGTGTTGACCGGTATTCCTCCTTCTCGGTATCGACTCCAGAGGGAGAGGATGGCGCTCCGGGCGGCGAAGAGCACAGAGCAGCAGAGCCTGCTCCTGCTCCGAAGCGTAAGGGCGGCAGGAAGCCGGTAAGACACTCAAGTTCTCCGTTTGTGTTATTCCGCTCACTGATTCATGCAGATCTACGCAACGTCAGAAGAGCGGAAGCAGAGAAACCGCCAGGCGCAAGCGGCATTCCGTGAGCGACGTACCGAGTACATCAAGCAGCTCGAAACCACCATCCAACATCATGAAGAGACTCTCCAAAATCTCCAGCAGAGTCATCGCGCGGCCGCAGACGAGTGCCTGATGCTCCGGTACAAGAACTCATTGCTCGAACGCATCCTTCTCGAAAAGGGTTCGTGTCACCCCCCATGTTTCGCTCACTCGACCTTTGCTTACTTGTCCTGCCAGGTATCGATGTCCAAGCTGAACTTGCGCTCAAGGGGAGCCCTACACTGCGACCGCATCGCGCACCCCCGATCACGGGTCAGGCTTCGCCCATGCAGAAGGCGATGCTCAGCCGGCAGCAATCGAGACATCGAAATTCAATGGCACCTCCACTTCAGACTGTAAATCCTACTACCCAGGCAGGAGGACCGCGAAACTTCGCAGGCTCACCCACAGCACAGCCCACTCCTCCTTCCCAACATTCCTCTCCTTCCACAGCAAAATCGCCCGGTTTTGCTTTGCAAGGTGGGATGACCTCACCTGCGACGGAAATGGCCGCTCAGCAACCTCCACAGCAGCAGCAGGTCCGACCGTTACCACCTTCGCATCCCGCCTCGTTCCCGCCGCAGCATAGGTCGCAGGTGCGACCCCTATCAGGAACCAACCTGCCGCAAGCCTACCCTCCACGAACCCAACCAGAAAGCTACTATCCGGCTTCATTCCAGAAGCATTACACTCAACTCGGCAAGCTGACCCGTTCCCTTTTCCCCTTGCGCATGTGGAGCTTTGTTCGTCCTAGACTGATTCCGTGAGTACAGAGCAGGAGTACGATGCGCAAGCCGACATGATAGATGACCTCGATGGCGGCGGCGACGACGTCGACACCGATAGCTTCATTCCAAACTTTCGGCTCCCGCCTACGACGTCCACTGCCGGCATGTCGATGGGCATGCAGGCGTCCCCGCCGATGACTACTAGTGCAGCTAGCGATGGCGGGGGCGGAGGCACTTTCATCGACCCATACGATCCCATGCTGGACGCAGACCCGTTCGGGTTGACTGCCAGTATGCATTTTCCGAACCCCTACACATACCCGCCTGTGCATCCCAGAAGATGAATTTTGAGGACAAGATACCCAGCGTCACGCATGTCCAGTGATGATTGATTGAAACGCATAATGAGCATTGCGAACATGGGCATTGAGCGAAGGCGTACTGTCTAACTTGCACAGCATTAGTGGGTGGGTGGATGGTATTCAGCTGCATGCATGTCCTCGTCTTGGAGCCTGTGCCCGACGTGATGACCCACAGCATTGTTGTCTGCTTCTGTTGTAAATAACGCGATCCAAAAACACCCTTATAAAGCTTGTCGCGTGCTCTTCGCTAGAACAGACCACCAGCTTGCTGTTGCTTGCTCGAATTCTACGTTCCCAGGACCTAGTTCTGGGGCGACAGAGTGCCAAGCGAAATCCGAAAGCGGCTAGCGCACATTACAATCGAGGTTGTCCTCCGAATTGTCACGATTGCGTAGCGACTCTGATTCTGATCGATTTTCATCACCGCTTCAGACCCAACCCTTCTCGACTCGACAAGGTCCAACGACTTGGTAGTTGTGGACGTTGTCTTGGTCGAGCGATTCATTCTCTTCACCTCAAATTGGAGCCTCATTAAAAGCAAGCCTTCACGGAAGGCGCTCGAGAGGCTCACGTCATGGCGGACGTCAAGAGCAAGGTGAGCATCAGCTGGAGCTGCGTTTTCCAAACCATCCTCGCACAGTCACTGACAGCAATCTGCACAGAACCTCTACGAGCTGTTGGGTAAGACTGCCATGGGCGCGTCACCTCGAGCTTCGCGATTGACATGAGAATTGCAGGAAATACCTCGGACCAGGACTCTGACCGCGAACCCGATCCACCCACCAAGACTGTCGACAAGCCGGCTCCTCGTCATGGCAAACGCGATGCGCCAAAGGAAGCCCCTGCGCCCCCAGCTGACCGCGCCGGCGTAGCTCCTCGAGGCGGTCGCGGTGGTCAGCGCTCAGGTGGTTTCAATGACAACGAAACTGGTACATACTTGCAAAAAAATCTGGATAAGAAACATCTTGCTGACACGTTGTAAAAGCCTTCCGCAACAGAGCTACCGGTAGAAACTACAATCGCGATCAACCCACCGAAGGTGCTGGCGAAGATGGCTATGGCAATCGCCCTGGCCGTGACAGCGGCCCAGGTGTTCGGCGCGGTGGCCGTGGCCAGCGAGGACCTCGTCGTGGCGGAGATCGTCACAGCCGCACTGGTGTTGCGTAAGTTATCTGCCGCGATTCACTTGTCTACTGTCCTAATGCGTGCAGTGACCATCCGAAGCAGGTGGACCATGGCTGGGGTGAAAGCACTGGTCAAGGCGAATGGGCCGATGAGAAGGCTGGAGAAGCCATAGCCACAGAAGAACAGAAGGAGGGTGGATGGGACGCTGGTGCCCAGAACCCGGCGTGGAATGAAAATGCTGAACAAACCACCATTCCCGAGGATGGCGCTGTCCCAGATCCGGCCGCTCCAGAGGCTGAACCCGAGCCAGAGGACACCCACAAGTCCTATGCCGAGTACCTTGCTGAGCAGGCTGCCAAGAAGTTGGAAGGCCTTGGTCTGAAGGAAGCTCGTCGACCCAACGAGGGCGCCAAGGAGAACAAGAAGTGGAATGCGGCCAAGGAGCTTACCAAGACCGAGGACGCCGACTACTTCAAGGGCGAGGAGAAGGCCAAGCGCGAACGCGAGCGTGCCACGAAGAAAGAGTTCCTTGACATTGACTACAGCTTCAAAGAGCAGTCGCGCGAGGGCCGTGGTGGCCGTGGTGGTCGCGGCAGTGGGCGCGCACGCGGAGACCGTGGTGATTTCCGTGGCGGACGAGGCGGTGGTGGCGATCGCGGTGATCGTAGCGACCGTGGTGAGTTCCGCGGCGCGCGTGGACGCGGACGCGGTGAGCGAGAACGTGGCGACTTCCGTGGAGGACGAGGACGCGGTGGCCGTGGCGATGCTCCTGCTGTCCCGGTCGACGACGAATCGGCTTTCCCCAGCTTGGGAGGAAAGTAAGCCCGCACGCCCATGGCCGTGTCCGCTTCCTGACCACAAACCCGTCGCACAACACCGCACCGTCCATTTACTTCGCGCCATACAACACCACCGGCTTTGTACTATGTGAACAGCAACACTCGTTGGCTCGATACCGTCAATCCATTACTGTACTGGCGGGTTCCGAGGCAGAGAGCAACGCATTTGCAGGGAGAAAGATCGGGTTTATTCGACAGACGGCAATGAATCCACACCCAAAAGCATTGAGCAGTGACCAGGGTAATGGAGAAGGAGGGATTTTGTTCTACGATCTCGAGCAATTCCACCTGGCTAGCTTGGAATTCGTGTAAGATATGAATACCCTGCCTTGTCCTTTCCAGTGCCGGGACTGCCTTACAGAATGGAATGTCAATTGATTCTCATTTTCCTGTGCCTCGTGGTGACGCGGACTTCCGTTTTCGTTTTCTCATTCTCGCTCTGCTCTCTCATCCACGTCTCAGGATGGAGTCGGCGTGTGTGTTAAATAATGCCCACGCCGAAGCAGCAACACGTTTGGTGCTGACCGCACAACTGCCGCGAGAGAGAACGAGTACCCAGTATCTGCACGATGCAACATTGCTGTTGTTCAGGACATCGTCCCGATGCCTAAAATATCCGTGGCGGCTCCATATCGGCAGTTGAAGGACACGCTTGTCTGGAAGCGTGTGTACCTCGTACCACAATAGAGTCAGTGGCTAGCACCGTCGCACAGAACGGAGTACACGGTGTATTTCATCTAAGCCAGGCGGTCAATCGGTCAGCAGTCGCAATGCCCCCGATGCCCATTGAGCCTAGAAGGTGCAGATTGACGGAGGTCCAAGTCGGCAGTTGAGACTCACGATCATCTGCCGAAACTCCTCCGCCTCCCAGATCCAAACTGTCGTGACTCTTCGCTCCCTTTTGCACACCCTTTCGCTCGTCTCTCAGGCATCGGCAATGTCGACTGGCCTTCTATCTCATCCTGGCCTCGGTTTCATTTGCGTCTTCGCCCACGCTACACCCCACATGCAATTCCGCCCTGAGCCGAGCCCTCCACTCGCTCCTTGGACTGCCATGACTGGCCAGCTGTTCGTACCATTGCCCACGGAGCATTGCCTCGCGGTGTTGCGGCTGGCGCTGAGCATTACCAGTGGACAGCCACTCGTTCGTAGATGGCAGCCACCGAGCCAACTAATTCGCTGGCCTTGTGGATGAAAGGTGTTTACATGATGCTCGCCGCTGCAGGACCCTCCATTCATGCGAAAGTGAACTGCCGAAGCGGAATTGGCCACTTTACTCGTTGCAGTAGTCATTCAAGCTCACCGGGATTGGAGAGATCTGGAGCTCGAGTGACGGAAGCATGAATCGCGGAGACGATTGACGTCGGACTGTGCGACCCGTACATCAGGACCACCATATCTCGCATCCTCCCAGGTAGAGTTTCTTGAATCCGAAGTTGGGTGCATCATCTCCTTCACTGTCTCCCAAACGTCGTGGTCGCCATGCTCGAGTCAATTATTCCCGCCATCGTCAACAACTGGCCGATTGCCCTGGCCGTTGTGGGTGTCGCTTACTTGCTCAAAAACTACTTCAACCATGGCCTCAACAAATATCCGGGCCCGGTGTTGGCGAAATTCACAGACTGGTGGAGGTTCTTTGATGTATTGGGGAGACGGCCGGATATCACACATCTCAAACTACACCGACAGCATGGAGACGTCGTCCGACTGGGCCCGAACATGCTGTCCTTTGCGAATCCGCGGGCATTGAAGACGATATACGGATTGAACAAAGGCTTCGTCAAGGTACGACCACCAACCTCGAGCGCTGGCCGTGGCCTCGCTAACACGAAATTTACAGTCCGGGTTCTATCCCGTGCAGCAGGGAGTCAGCAAGGGCAAGCGATTGCCGTCGCTGTTTTCAACCACTGACGAGGCCTACCACGCCAACCTTCGCAGATCCGTCAACAATGCCTTCGCCATGAGCCAACTGGTTCAGTACGAACCTGGCGTGACTGAGTGTGTCGAGGTGTTTCTCGACCAAACGGAGAAGCTGTATGCAAGCACAGGCAAAGTGTGCGACTTTGCAGAGTGGCTCCAATTCTTTGCTTTTGATGTAAGTGGGGCGCGCCTGATACCGCCGAGCAAGGTTCACTGACTACGGCCAAGGTCATCGGATATATCACTTACAGCAAACGACATGGCTTCATTGAGGGAAACAAAGACGTTGATGGCATGGTCGGATATCTCGGACACCTGTTTTCCTATGTAGCCCCGGTAGGTGTCTCTCCGTTCGGGTGTTGCACACATTCTGACTCGCCCAACTCCAGATCGGACAAATACCGTGGTTAGATCTTCTGTTCTTGAAGAACCCGCTGGTTCTGCTGCTGGATCGGCTTGGGGTCAAGCTGTTCGCGTTTCCAGTAGCAACCTTTGCGCAACAACGAATGTCCGAACGATTGGCTGAAATGGAAGCCCAGGGCATCGAAAAGGGGACGTCAAAACCCGATCTGTTGTCGATGTTCTTGAAGGCACAGAACGACCGTCCCGATTTCATGACTGACCATCGAGTTCTGACCATGGCCATCTCAATGGCGTTTGCTGGGTCAGAGACCACGGCCATCAGCTTGGCTGCCGTGTTTTACTATCTCCTGCGCAACCCGCGATGCTACGAGAAATTGAACAAGGAGTTGAACGAGGCCGTGGAAGAAGGAAGAGTCGCAGACACCCCCACGGGAACCGTAACATGGACAGAATCACAACAACTGCCGTATCTCGATGCCTGTATCAAAGAGGCATTCCGAATGCACCCAGCGGCAGGACTGCCTCTGGAAAGAATCACACCTCCGCAGGGGATTGAGATCGATGGCCACTTTATTCCGGGAGGCACCATTGTTGGTTGCAATGCGTGGGTCATCCACAAGCGGGAAGATGTCTTTGGATCCCAGGTCGACAGCTACATCCCCGAAAGATGGCTTGATGTTGGGAAGGAACAGCTAAAAGAAATGAATGGCACATTGTTCCAATTCGGAGCTGGCTCGAGAACGTGCATCGGCAAGAACATCAGTCTCCTGGAGATGTACAAGTTGATACCAGCGTTCCTGCGACGGTTCGAGGTAAGCCGTTGCATCACGGATGCCGCAGATCCTCTCAACACACAATCATCGGGGCTGACAATTACGTTTGCAGATCGAATTTGACGACCCGAGCAGAGACTGGAAGTTGCATAATGGTAAGTTGTCTCCAGGAGCCGCTTGACTCTTCTGTCGTTGACGATATTGTAGCGTGGTTTGTCAAGGAGCACGATTTCTACTGCCGGTTCAAGCCAAGAAAGTCGCATTGAGCCGGCTGGGTCTGTTCAACGTGCGTCTGGGTGACCAATCGCTAATAGCCACCCGCCTTTCCCACCGATAAGAGGAGTGGTAGCAAGACATGGCCGAAGATCAACAGAGACAATGGCGCCGTCCAGTGGTTTGTGGAATGTGCGACGGAATAAAGCCTCCGGATGTAGAGTCCATCAGGGCGTGAAAGGTGCCGGCGACGGTATATACAATTTTGTGTTCTCCAGCACGGTCTTTTCTTCCTCCCAGCCGCCGTATCATGGCATTATCTTTCCGTCTCCGGCTCCACATTTTGAACCTGCCATGCCACGACGTCGGTCGCCACGTGACTGCGGGATGTTCTCGCCCGATAGACACCAGCCGGCCCAGAGAAGCGAGACCACAAAGCGATAGCGGGCTTAAACACAAGATGCCAGAAATTGCGACGCTTGCGTAATCAAAGATTCGGTCTCGGGAGACTGATTGCGACGTCGATTGAGCGTGATGTGGTTTGCGCTCTAGGCAGCTCAATGAGGTACCTGTTTCCCTGGTGATCCGCTGTAATTATTGTATTTTGTCCCCCTTCAGCTCAGCCAGGACCGCCCGTGCTGTCTCCGTAGTCCCCGCCCGCAAACGTGACGGGGAATTACAGTAGATGCTTGGGACATGAGCCATCGGTCAATTGCCCTTGATGGAAAGACATCTCACCCACTGGTCCAGCAAGCAGCCTCCCCGTCAGTACGAGGTAGGTACAGGGTACGGAGTATTTGGTATGCGTTTCCGCAATATCATAGTACCCAGTACGTCACTCTGCAGACCGTTCGATTGGGGTACTCGTAAAGAGGGGGAGGGGGTCAGCGGTGCAGGTCCGCGCGCCTTAGGTCAGCCGAAAAAATCCAATACCCTTGAATACCCCGTGGACGACCCTGGTAGGCTTTCCGATGAACCTTTTTGTCGGCCGAGTGCTTTGTAGTTAGATCCGATTGCCCTTGGCCCTCATTCCTGTAGCCTCAACGGTATCAAAGCTGGGAGCATCCACCCCACCAGCAAGAGGGTCAGCTTGGTCCTGGTCCGGCGCGGCTGTAAGGCGCCTTTTTCTGCGGGAGGGGCTCAAAGTCACAGTGTGCGGTTTGGGCTGGGGGTCGAAGGGGGTTTCTTGATTGTTAATTCACCGTGGGGTGGCTCGTATTGTGTGCGCCCGTGTGCGTCGCCATGCCATGCCATGCCTTGCGAAACGTGGTCGAGAATGGAATTGATAAGAAGGCCCGCGGTCCTGCCGTCAGAATTGTTCTCTCTCTTTCTATCTCTCCACATCGCCATCGGTTGTCTCTCTAGGTAGCCGCAAAAGGGACCTCAACCAGTTCTCTGCCCCTCATCCACGCGTCTTTTGTTGACTGACTTACTTTGAGTCCGTTCGCGACCAATCCGGCGCAACTCATCCAGCCCCGAGACCTGCTGTCCTTCACAACCATCCAGCCGAGTACTGCAATTACCTACCATGGGCTCGCTCAGCAAGACAGATACCTTCCTCGAGGCCGTCAAGGACCGGCGCTCCATCTACGCCCTCGCGGCTGAATCGCCCATCCCGGACTCCAGGATCGAAGAGATCGTCAAGCACACCGTCACCTGGGCACCGTCCACGTACAACGTCCAGTCGGCTCGCGCCGTCGTCCTGTTCAAGGAAAACCACCAGAAGCTCTGGGACATCGTGAAGAAGCACATGGCCGACGTGCCGCTCGAGGGAGGCATGCGGGAGTACATGGACAGTCGCATTGCCGGGTGGAGAGGCAGCTATGGAACCGTCATGTGGTTCGAAGATCAGACGGCTTTGGATGGCTTGGCCGAGAAGAATCCCATGGTCGGCGGCATGCTGACTGAGTGGTCGGATCATTCAACGGGCATTCACCAATTCATCGGTAAGGTCCACGCACATTCTAGCGATGGCTGTCCTCATGTCCCAGAATACTAACCTTCATATGATGCGCAGTCTGGACGGCCCTTGAATCCGAAGGTTTGGGCGCGAACCTTCAACATTTCAACTTCCACCCCGGCATCACCGCTGAGATCAAGTCGACGTGGGCCCTTCCCGAGGCGTGGAAGCTCAAGGCCCAGCTCATCTTTGGGAAGCCCCAGGAGGAAGCCAAGGAGAAGACGTTCGAACCCATTGACAAGCGAGTGTTTGTGAAAGCATAGAGACGGCGAAAGACTGCAAGAGACAATCCAATATAGGGTTTATCAGCATAGATAGACGCACAATGCAGTGTCCTCGAAAGAGATGGCGTGGCATAGAGGGGCCAAATAGAGATATCAGCGACGCGTGGTGCATGAGCCGTTCATGGTCACGACAGTATCCGTGCGTGCGAGTCCGGTGAGATCGAATCTGATACAGGATTGCTCCAACAATCATTGACCTTTTCGGTTTTCGTCACATGAAGTACACGCCCTTTGGCCAAAAGGTAATGCCGCTGAGACACGGAGTACAGGTATCGAGATAGGAGCTTCAGTGCGTGATCGGTGAATGGAAACACGCGTTCGCTCGCACGTGTGACCGCAATACTGTGCAGTACCTTACGTATGCTGTTTGTAGCGCCAAGTACGGCTACGGCGGAACAGGAAGGCGCTCGTAGCAGAAATAGATCAGCGAGAAGCGAAAGGCAAAAGGCAAAAGAAAAGGCAATCTGGCATGTGGTACGGAGTACGTGTGGTGCATGTCCGGAGTCTGGGCCAACCTGTCAGGAATCTTCGGATTACTGCCGAAAACCCTGAAAAGCCTTGTCGCATAAGTAAGTAACTCTTACCGGGCGCTAAATATAATATTAGCAGTGAGTGACCAGTTCAAAGCCACGTTTGTGAGTGCTCAGTACGGAGTCATTCGCCGATGAAATACCTACAGTAGGTATAGGCATCCTGGGTGACGCCTTCACACTAACGCTGAAGACGGTGACCCTGTGCCAATACTGTAGACTGCGGGAGAGACGGAGCAGAATCCACGAGGTCCCCCGTACTCTGTGCACACTACTCATATCATAGCCCTTGCAACTGGCGGACTTTTTACCGAAGACGTCGACAACGCCTAGCCACGAGACCGGCGAGCCGGCGCGAGGCTGGAGGTCTTTGCAGCACGAGGTATGAATGGCCCGTAAGCTGATTGCGCCGTGATGCCGCAGCCACTGCCAAGATGTACTGCGCATTCTCCTTGTACTACATACAGCACGGGTACAAGTAGGTACAGTAAGGTAGCTACGGTGTAGCGCAAGAAGTTAGTACCGTGCACTCCTCGCCTGGCCGACCCGGCATTTAGCACGCCCATTCGCAGTACTCAGTACCCGTACCCGTACCCTGCATCGACGACCTTACCTTACTTGGGTTTGAGACCGCAGTGACTTCGGAACTCAGTGTACGGAGTAGTTGCCATCCATCTGGCCCCGGATTAGTCCTGCATACACAGTACACAGTACACGCTTCACGTCTCGTTCTGGTTTTGACATCCCCAAGGACCGACCTCGGTGTGTACCGGGTATCTCTTGTCCACCACCTGCAGATGCATTCGTGACCAATCTCTCACTCCTCCTTCGACGTCGTATTCCTTGCAGTCTTCGCTTCCCCAAGTCCAATTGTACCGCCAACATGGCTGCTTCCTAAGATAGATTGTTTCTAGCACGGCTCTCGGCCCGGATCTGAACGCATTCGCCTTCTGCAATCGTTCTAGGCTTTCAATGCATGTGAGATAGGATTCCATGCCCAGCCTGCCCTACCGGCACCGCTCCACTTGTTGAGGCTGTGGTGAATACTAGGTAGACAAGCAGCATGCCACGGTAAGCCACAGGCCTGAGCATCCAAGACTGAGAATCTTATCTCGGACCCTGCTGACTGGGATCTCAGGCCATCTCGTGCATGGATCTTGCTTCTGCAGGTCTTCCAGGCTGCTTGCGTTACATCTCTGGTCTTAATGTGGGCGAATGTTCCCCCCAGCGCCGCGGTGCTGCGTGAACACCCACCACGAGCGTCTTCAACGTTTCTGCCACTCTCATCGGTCCTCAAGAGTGCTCGACTTCGTTGCCGCCCTGTCCACCCACATACCGCCAGCCACGACCAGTCGAGCTCCACCGCTCCACACACATGTCAACAGGCCCTTAAGCTCGTCCAGCAAACACCCCTCTGACGGACGACGGCGGTGAGATCGACTCACCGCGCAGCCCGGGTCGTCGTCCAACGGCGTGCCGGCCACAAGGCCACGAACAAGAGCAGGCTGCCCACATGAATTTCCACAATGACTACGAGGTCAAGGCTGCCATGATGCCTCGGATCAGCACATATCCCGTGCGTCCAGCCGCACGACCGCCTCAAGAGACAGAAAGGTAGGCAGGGTGAACAACCTCCCCCCAATTCGCACGAGACGCGGCTGGCTGGCTGGCTTGCCGAATGTCCCACTGAAGCAGATTTTTGTTCCCTAGCAGCGATGACGCGTGCGATTGCTGTCTGTATTGCATCCTGATGTGCCTGACCTGCTGCTTTGCCGGGGACTTGGCCAAGCGCAAAAAGGTCGACCGGGCCGGCCCTCGACGGAGCTCGGCCTTCCTCTACACGAGAGGCGGCGTACGACCGCAGCTCCCGCCACAGGCACTCCGCGCCGTTCCGCGGATGAGACAGATGTCGCGGCCCCAGATCCCATACCATCCGCCGCCGATGGAGTATCCTATGTCGGGTTTCCAGGGCAGCGGCTTCGACATGGCAACCGGTGTTGATGAGATGGAGGATATGGAAGAGATGGAGCAGGTGGAGCACACTGAGCATGTGGAATATGAAGCGCTGGGAGGCTCGCAGGGAGCGGAGGCCGAAGAAGGAGCCGAGGGTGGTGAAGAAGGCGAGGTCGAACTTGAGGCCGACGGAGGGGCGGCAGGCGGTGAAGACGATGGTGAAGAAGTCGAGGCTGAATATGAGGCCCAGGAAGAGGGAGGGGGAGGTCTTGATGGTGGAGGCGAACCCGAGGCCGAGCAAGAGCGGCAGGCAGGCAGAGGACGCGGGGGTGACAGGGGTGGTGGACATGAGGCGGAAGCAGATGTCAACGACTCTCAAGAGCCCGAACAAGATGGCATGGGACAAGGGGGCAGAGGGCCATGAGGAGTGAAGAAAACGGACCGTGACAGCCTTGTTGGCGAGCCAGCCATGAATATGTGCAGTGTACATAGTGGTGGCGCATGGCTCGGCGTACTTGTACGGTATGAACACATATACATACCCAGGTGTCTCATTCACGCGCATGGCTGCGTCGTCAGGACTCCCTTTCCAGCCGCTGACATCCTGCTATGGTCAGCCGAAAGACAATGCAATCAGTGCATACTGCATCCGCGTCGCGTCCATGACAGCTATCTGCTGTCCACCACTGACGCAAGCGGCGAGATAAACCACGCGGTCGCCCATTCCGGTCGAGGCAGCCTTGTGACACGATTCGATCCTAGCTTCCGGAGTACAAACTGAGGACCGAGTCGTTCGTACCTCGTTACCTTTTCGACTGGATTCTCACTCTCTCGTGGTTCAAAGTGGTGGCTCGCAGCCCCTGAAGCTTCGCATTCTGGTGCCGAGGCTAAGGCCCAAGGGGGAATAGCGCGGCTGTTTGGGCCAACCGTCACTCCACCATTGGCAATCAACCACCAGCAATTCTTCCCCTGCTCACGCAATCAATCAACCACACAACCCCCTCTCATTCCCCGTGGCACTTTCGCTTTCCTTCGCAGCGACATCTGTGGATTTCCCAACGAGGCATCAGAAGACCCAAGAGTAGCTCGGTAGACTCGCGGGCGGAGGAGTTTGGAAGAGGAGCAGCTTGAGCGGTTCTGACGGCAAAACAGCCCCTATTCCGTGCGAACGCGAGGGACCGGTGGTCAGCAACTTCGCATCTCACCTTATTCGATCTTGTGTCGACGCCGAATTCGTGTGTCTCTCTTCTTGATACTCCGTACAGTGCGTCGGTTTCCATATCGACACCATCTCACCGCGCCATCACCATGTGGCCGTTCTCGACTCGGCTGCCCGCCGTTCTGGCTCTTTTGGTCACCACTTTCACCATCCTCGCCAATGCATACCGCCCCGTCCAATTCGTCAAACATACCGGACAGTCCGGCCGGGCCGACCAAGCCTTCAGCCTGGTCAACTACTACAACACCACGACGGCGCAGTCCGACCTCTACGTCCGCATGTGGATGTTCCGGTACGACTCGAGCAATAAAGGCTGGGCGTCGCTCGGTCTCGGGCCCCAAATGAAAGGCGCGCTCATGTTCATCATCTACGGCGACCCGGCGAGTAATGATCTAACCATGACGGTGCGGACCGTGGATGGCCATCATCCTCCTCGACCGCTCGACGAGATGAAGGATTTCTACTCCGGCGAGGTCCCCGACGTCGAGGTTGTCGGCACGCGCTTCGAGGCGTACACGGGCGATTGGTACTCCGAGCAACTCAAGGCCAAGCCCTCTCACTTGGGCGTGGCGGAATTTATCGTGCGCGGCTACGAGAAATTCACGGCCCCGGCGTTGGGGATCCACAGCGATAGCACCAAGCAGTCGATGATTTGGAGCAGTAACTTCAAACAGGACTTTGAAGGGGATTTCTCCTACGAGCGGAGCATCGACATGCACCAGTTCGGGCTGGGATTCGGGTTCCTGTGGGTCGACCTGCTGAACGCGAAGAGCGAGGTTCCATTCTTCCAGACCATCGACGAAGTCAGCGACCACAGCGGGTTGAGTGAGATTGGGGCCCCTGCCGTCCCGAGCGACGAGGAACTCAAGAAGGGCGACGAAATCATCGCCGCGCAGTTGAACGGTGGTACAGGCGAGGGTTCGGCGGACGCTACCACTCCTGGGGATAAAGAGGCTTTGCCACAACCACCAACGGCCGATTCGGACACATCTACGCCCGGTGCCGATGATGGCTCCAAGGTCGAAGAACCCGTCAAGACGGTCAAGCAGTGGAATATCCGCTCCTTCATGTGGTATGCAACCCCCTTCTCCCCCCCCCCTACCCCCCAAAGCCCAAAGGTCGTCGTGCGCTTCTCATGGCAGTGGCTGATTGACAAAACTAACCACCGTTGGCAACCCCCTGCTTAGGCACCTCCATGGCCTGCTGTTCACCCTGGCCTTCCTCGTCGGGTACCCGCTCGCGATCTACCTGCTCCGCTCCCCACGCACCGCCGCCGC